GCTGCGCAGCCACTTCAGGGCAGCGGGATGAAGGCTTTGTGAGATTTGACCAGCTCCGGCCCATCTGGAGCTGATACAGGCTCGTCTTCTCTTGAGCCCAAGCAGAGCGTAGTCCCGCAGACGAAAGGATAAGCAGGTAATGTGCTACATGCTGAAGTTTATTTACAAGCTATGCTGAGAGCATACAACATACATCTTGCCTCTGTGAGAGCAGAGAAGCAACTCCTCTCGACACAAAGAAACCGAGAGAACAGTGAAAAACAGGAAACCAGTGTACGTCACATCCAGTCTCCCATTCCCGTGGGAACCCAACAGTAACTTGAACTGTGGAATGTAAACATTATCTTGTGACAAGCAGTTGCTGCACAGTGAGGGAAATAGAAACCAACAAGCTTCTCGTTGCCCTGTGCGCAGCAATCCCTCTCGCTGTTCTAGCTTCTGGGATAGCTGTGCATCCTGCATTCGCTCCATAAGATGCACACACATTTCCCCTTACTTTTTAGGAGGGAAAAAGTGCGTCCTATAGAGCGAAAAATACGGTATATGGCCCTGGGCAGTGGAGCTCACTTCCATAACGGTGTTGTTTTGCTTCCTGTCTGTTTAGTCGGAGAAGAGGATGAAGTCTCCATTCGGGAAGCAGCCGAGTGTGTGGTGAGAGCGATGGACTTCAAGGGAGAGCTCCTTGTATCCTTGTGCATGGTTTCCCAAGGCCCTGCAACCCCTCTCAAGAACGCCGCAAGGGCTGTCCTTTTCTGGGTTCGCCTCCCCTCTTCTTATGCAAAGCAATACAGATGGTCCCAGTCTTCCCCTTGAAACTGTTTCCTCTGCCGGCAAAAAGCAAAGGCTTCCCTTTGGTCCCTGCATGTCTTCTTCCCTTCCCCAAAAGGGCAACTGATGCCAACGAGGGCGTTTTCCCCCCATTGGGAAAAGGGTTTACAGACCAGAAAGGCACCTTCTTCCCACCCCAAGCAGAATTGGGGCCTTGTGCTGCCACTATTCAATTTTTTAAAAAACGCAAAACTACTACAGAATCTCCTTCTCATAATTCTTCCACTTTGTGTGTCGTTGCACCTTTCAGAGCAAGGTTTCCAAAAACTTGGGTCCTCGGCTGCTTTTGGACTACAACTCCCATCATCCCAGTGGTCAGGGATGATGGGAATTGTAGTCCCAAAGCAGCTGGAGACCCAAGTTTGGGAAACACTGTTTTTTAGAGGAAGGGATGGAGAACCAGAGCTGTGCCTCACCCCCATCAGCAGAAAGAGAAGTTTTTTTTCCCTTTAACTTGGGCCCCTTCCTAGTTTGATACAACGAAGTCGGATGGGCAGTTCAAGAAAACAGCCAGCAACAGCAAGCTGAAGCGATACCTCCCCGATTTCCAGTTTACACCGTTTGAGCGAGGTAAGAACAGTGCAGCTCTTGCTCCTTGCAGCCAGGGTTGGGATGGAGCGGCTGTAAACAAGCTTAATCCAGGGCACCATTTATTCTGAGAGCAGCTGCTCTCCAGGGTTGAGATCCTGGCCTAGCCTTCAGACGGATTGTGCTTGAGCAGCAACAACAGAATCGCCAAACCCAGAGCCTGGGGTGACAGCAAGGTGAGGCCCACCCCTGTCCTGCAACATGCTGCTTCTCTCTGAGCAGTTTGAGTCCTTTGCCCAGTAGCTAGCAAAATAACCTGCTTTATATTTATTAAGAAGTTTCTACTACTTGATAAAGGGACGCGGGTGGCGCTGTGGGTTAAACCACAGAGCCTAGGACTTGCCGATCAGAAGGTCGGCAGTTTGGATCCCTGTGATGGGGTGAGCTCCCGTTGCTCTGTCCCTGCTCCTGCCAACCTAGCAGTTCGAAAGCACGTCAAAGTGCAAGTAGATAAATAGGTACCACTCCGGCGGGAAGGTAAACAGCATTTCCGTGCGCTGCTCTGGTTCGCCAGAAGCGGCTTAGTCCTGCTGGCCACATGATCCGGAAGCTGTACGCCGGCTCCCATGGCCAATAAAGCGAGATGAGCACCGTAACCCCAGAGTCGGTTATGACTGGACCTAATGGTCAGGGGACCCTTTACCTTTACCTTTACTACTTGATAAAGAAACAACCTATCTCTGGGGTTTACATAAAAAGGTAGAAAAGCACGCATTAAAACTAGCAATTAGACATGGTAAAATTTTGCAACGTGGGTACAAGCAAACAGCTTCAAAAATAAATATGCCTAGTGCAATTGGGTAGCCTTGACTGAACAAAGAGGCATTGAAAACGGAAGGAATTCCAGAGCATAGGTGCTGCTAGAATAAAAGATCAGTTTCTTGGTGAGTGTGGAATGAAGATTATTTGCTATGTACGAGATTGCCAGTTCCACAAGTTGAAGGGTCAGGTGGGCACCCAAGGGGGCAAATCCTTTGTGTCAGCTGCTTCATGCTACAACACACGTCCCTGTGTTTCTAATAATAATAATTTATTATTTATACCCCGCCTATCTAGCTGGGTTTCCCCAGCCACTCTGGGCTGCTTCCAGCAAAACACTAAAATACAATAACCTATTAAACATTAAAAGCTTCCCTAAACAGGGCTGCCTTCAGATGTCTTCTAAAAGTTTGGTAGTTATTTTTCTCTTTGACATCTGGTGGGAGGGTGTTCCACAGGGCGGGTGCCACCACCAAGAAGGCCCTCTGCCTGGTTCCCTGTAACTTGGCTTCTCGCAGCGAGGGAACCGCCAGAAGGCCCTCGGAGCTGGACCTCTAAGGGACATTTAAGATTTTTTATTTATTTATGCCCCCCCTCAGCAGCAGTTTACAACAGTAGCTGCACACAGCTTACTGAAACATTAACAAGGACATCTTGACAAGGGAGCAGACGCAGCAGGCAGGCGGCCGGGCAGTCTCTTGTGACTTCGGGCCACTGGCCTGATCCAGCAGGCGGTAATCTGCAAAAACTAGGTGTGGGAAAAATGCATTTTATTTATTTAGGCAATCCGTAACTGCATCGTCATTCAGGTCAGCCGCAGAGCAGGATGTAACAAGAATGCCAGAAGAAGAAAAAAACCCAACTATAACAGCTATGCATTGGGGTTACATCCATGAGTTTTCTGGAGCCACCTTCGCTGTAAACTAAGGAGCTTAGACATGGTCTGTTCCCTTGGAAAAATCAGTTCTCCAATCTTCCAAAATCTGGATGCCACTGGCCCCAGCTGATCGTTCTTCTCTTCTTCCCGCAGCCGTGAAGGAAACGTGCGACTGGTTTTGCGCCAACTACGCCATTGCCAGGAAATGACCAAAGGAATGGAACCAGGGTGGCCAGCGCTGCTGTCTGCAAGTTTTGCATCAAACTCAGGTTTTTTGTTTTGCTGGAATAAAGAATGACAACAAAAGGGGCTGTTTAGGGGGTGCCGGGATAGTGTGCAAGCCGTGCTTTTTCTGACTCTGGGGTGATAGTTTAGTTTAGCTCTTAGATGGCGCAGCTTGCTTATTCATGAAGCAGTACGCAGCGGAATTGGTGGACGGAGGGGGCTTGTGGTGGTGGCATTCACGTTCTTAAAGAGCAGCTTTCAGCACTCTAGACGGCTGGTGGAAATCTTGGGAGAGGAGTGGCAGGGATGTTGCACTCTTCCCGTTCACAATAATTGGCCTCCGTGACCTGTCCTGTTGCACCAGAGTCCTTTCTTGGAGCAGAGCGCTGCTAACTGCACCACGGTCACCTTGCGTTTTGGAGAAGAGACCCCGTTTCCCACGGCCAAAGCTGATGTGGCTGTAGGAACCCTTTCAGTCTAGGAAGAAGACGTGACCTGGAGTACAAGCCTCTCTGCCTGATCTTCTAATCCAACCTTCAAAACAAATACTTGAAGAGACCCTGTGCGCTTTTCAAAATTCCCGTTACGCATATTGTCACAGGCTCAAAGCTCAGGGATACAGCATGCACCCTCTCCAGCGTCCGAAGTTCAGTGTCCCCTATTGTGGGTTTGGGGTAGGGTGAGGGGCTACATCTGCCACAATTTTTTAAACCCTTGCTTGGCTCAAGAAGCCCTAGGATGGGTAACCTCCAATTATTTTATTTCTGAAGGACTTATGGAAAAGAGATGTGGAGGTTAGGAACTCGTTGCAGCAAACCAGATGCCAAGGGCAGGCGCTGTTAGGGGGCGTTGATGGGAGCTGTGTCCCCAAACAGCCGGAGGGCGGCAGGTTGGAGAAGGCTGGGCTACCAGAGGAGCCAGCCAGCCAGCCAGAGTCCTCCATGTGGTAGCCGTTTTAAATATTCCTTTAGCTCATCTCACTTTGACCTGTCAGAAAAAGAACACCACTGTAATAAAACTTGACAATAAATCAGTTATTTCTTATGCCTGTGGCCTTCGTCTAGCCCGTACTTCCTACCCAAGTCTGTTTTTATTCTATTTCCCTTAGTTCTGCCTTCACACAACCCTGGCATATCTTAAATAAAATGAGTCTAGCAGCAAGTTTGGCGTCCTGGAAGCACTCTTGTTTTGGGAAACATAATGCACAAGTGATGTTCACCTGAATTAGTTTTGCCTCCTCTGATTCCCCAGAGTAGTTTCACACTTAATTCCTCTTCCCCAGGGAACTCCAAGAGTTATAGCTCCTAACAAGTCTCAGCAACCTGAACTACGCTTCCTGGGATTTTTCACTTTAGCAGACAGCCGTTAGTTTCCCCTTTAACTGGTTGTTCTTCCCAGTCTTGTGGTCCATCCTCATTCCTACGTCTGTGGCACCAGCCTCGCCGATGGCAGGTTTTGCTGAATTCCCACCTAACCATGAAAGGACGCCCACTTTGGCTAGGCAGGTACAGTCATACTTCGGGTTACAGACTTTTCAAGTTGCACATCATGCTGAACCCAGAAGTACTGGAACAGGTTACTTCCGGGTTTTGGCGCATGCGCAGAAGTGCCGAATCGCAACCCGCACGTGCGCAGACACGACGCTGCGGGTTGCAAACGTGCATCCCGCACAGATCACGTTCGCAACCCAAGTGTCCACTGTATTGGTACAGAAGGGAAGAAAAAGACAGAGGCTATCGGTCAAAACATTTATTAAACGTAAACCTGGCAACTTTCACATAAAATAAATCGGTGCAGAAACATGGATTGTCTGCGACAACTTTTCACTCAAAGTCCTTGCAGAAGCACCTGCGATCGAGGCAGTAGACAAAATTGTTCTTATGGGTTCAGCACGACCATCGTGGGAACTAAAGGCAGCTAGAGATGGACAATGCATGCAATTAGATCTGCCTTTGTGGAAAGAGTTGGTGGTGGCTATGGCCTTAAAATGCTTTGCCTTCCAGCCACGCTCCTTAAACCCAACACAGGCCGACGAGTCAGGACAGAAGGAGTTTGTGCTCTTAATCTGGAGGGCTTCAGACGCCAGTTTTCTCTTGGGCAAGTTGAGTCGGATCCAGAGGGACATCAGATTGTCGTTTGTTCAGCTTCAGAAGCGCAAACAAGTGTAATTTTAAAAAGAAGGCCCTCTCTCGTCAAAAATTGAGCACCAGGAAGGGTGGTACCCAAGCAGCGAACCCACAAACAGCATCTCTGCCGAGTCTCAGCATCCATCCGTTGGGAACCTTAAAAGCAGGCGCCCGATTGACTGGTGTAGGAGGACTGACCAGAAGCATGGACGTGGCAGAAGACGTGGCCTGGGACAGCCTTCTTTCTGCACTGATGTCCGGTCCTGGTGACTCCTTGACAGGGTGGGCGTGGAGTCAGGGAGCAGTTGGACCTGGAATGAATATATATCAGAGAGAAAGATGGGTGATAAAGAGGGCAGTTAGAGAAACTATCTGATATTAATGTGGTTTCCTGCAACAGAGATTCAGAGGTGCACAGCCTGGGAGTCATTTTGGACTCACAGTTGTCCATGGAGGCGCAGGTCAATTCTGTGTCCAGGGCAGCTGTCTACCAGCTCCATCTGGTATGCAGGATGAGACCCTTCCTGCCCGCAGACTGTCTCGCCAGAGTGATGCATGCTCTGGTTATCTCCGCTTGGATTACTGCAATGCGCTCTACGTGGGGCTACCTTTGAAGGTGACCCGGAAACTGCAATTAATCCAGAATGCGGCATCTAGACTGGTGACTGGGAGTGGCCGCCGAAACCACCTAACACCAGTCCTGAGAGATCTGCATTGGCTCCCAGTAAGTTTCCGAGCACAATTCAAAGTGTTGGTGCTGACCTGTAAAGCCCTAAACAGCCTCGGTCCAGTATACCTGAAGGAGCGTCTCCACCCCCATTGTTCTGCCCGGACACTGAGGTCCAGCACCCAGGGCCTTCGGGCGGTTCCCTCACTGTGAGAAGCGAGATTACAGGAAACCAGGCAGAGGGCCTTCTCGGTAGTGGCACCCGCCCTGTGGAACATCTTCCCACCAGATGTCAAAGAGAACAACAACTACCCCCAGACTTTTAGAAGACATCTGAAGGAAGCCCTGTTTAGGGAAGCTTTTAATGTTTGATGTATTACTGTATTTTAATATTTGGTTGGAAGCCGCCCAGAGTGGCTGGGGAAGCCCAGCCAGATGGGCAGGGCATAAATAATAAATTATTATTATGATTATTATGATTAGTGTTAGTATTATTTCTGCCTCTGACCGTGGAGGGAGGGCAGAGCCATAGTGGCTAGGAACTATCCATAGCCCTTTCCTCCTTCATGAATTTGTTGAATCTTTTAAAGCCATCTAGGTTGGTGGCCATCGCCGCCTACTGTGGCAGGGAGTTCCACAGTTTAACTGTGATCTGTGTGGCGAAGTGCTTCCCTTTATCCACCCTGAATCTTCCCAACATTCAGCTTTGTTGGACGTCCACACATTCTCGTGCTACGCTGCAGTGTGCGATACTCAGAGGTAGCCTGCCCCGGAGAGTGGAGGCTCCATTTAGACATTACGCCCGAAACAGATCTCGTCGATCGTATCGGTCCGCTGAGAAAAGGGCACGTCAGGTTTTGTTACTTACACATCGCTGGCCATGGACTCGTTTGGGGAACTGGTCCTTGAGATGGGAAAGTTGAAGGCTGAGTCCAGGCGGTGGTGGGGGAATTTCTCCAAAGCGGCCTGTTGGGAAGAGAAAAGACTTTGGGAGGGTGGGTGCCTTATGGCCAAGGAAGAGAGCAAACTCATGCACGTGCAGATTTCTGGCACTGAAGCTCCTAACTTGTGCGTAACCCTTTTGTGGGCAGATTTATTTATTTATTTTTTAAATGAAAGATTTGCATTGGGGAATCATCTACTCTGAACCTGGCTTTGGCTGGGGAGGGCGGGATATAAATAAATTATTATTATTATTATTATTATTATTATTACTCATATGGCCAGGCGACCCAAATACCCCAAGGCTAGGGCCAAATTAATGAGAGTGTTTGGAGAGAGTGGGAAATTGCAAAGGAGAACACAGGAGGCTACACCAAGTCAGACGATACAGTGGTATCTCAGGTTAAGAACTTAATTCGTTCCAGAGGTCTGTACTTAACCTGAAACTGTTCTTAACCTGAAGCACCACTTTAGCTAATGGGGCCTCACACTGCCTCCGCACGATTTCTGTTCTCATCCTGAAGCAAGTTCTTAACCCGAGGTACTATTTCTGCCTTAGTGGAGTCTGTAACCTGAAGCGTATGTAACCTGAGGTACCACTGTATTACTAACCCCGGCGATGTTTCTCTGACTGCATACAGCTCTCCAGAATCTCTGGCAGAAGAACCAGTTAAGAGTGTTGGGAGTAGGAGATGTGGGTTCAAATCCTCCACTCAGCCACGAAGCTCACTTGGGTGACCTTGGGGGCCAGTCACTCAACTCTCAGCCTAACCTACCTCACATGGTTGTTGGGGACATAAAATGGGGAGCAGGGGAACAATGCACAGCACACCTTGGAGGAAAAGTGAGATATTAATGCGCATGCACAGAGACAGACAGGAAATGGCTTTCCCCATCACTGAAGACGTGGTTTTTCTACCTCTCTCACAACAGGCCTTTTCTGTGGTGGCTCCCCATCTGTGGGATGCTCTCCCCAGAGGATTGCCTGGCACCATCGTTACATGTCTTTAGGTGTCAGGAAAAAGTATTTCTCTTTACCCAGGCCTTTGGCTATTCAATGATCTATGGCCTGTTAAATGTGTGTGGGTGTTGTTCTGAATACTTTCTTATTATGCCCTGTATTGTGGTTTTTTATTATGATGCTGGGTAAAATAAGTTCTGTGGGACGCGGGTGGCGCTGTGGGTTAAACCTAGGACTTGCCGATCAGAAGGTCGGCGGTTCGAATCCCCGCGACGGGGTGAGCTCCCGTTGCTCAGTCCCTCCTCCTGCCAACCTAGCAGTTTGAAAGCACACCAGTGCAAGTAGATAAACAGGTACTGCTCCGGCGGGAAGGTAAACGGCATTTCCGTGCGCTGCTCTGGTTCGCCAGAAGCGGCTTAGTTATGCTGGCCACATGACCCGGAAGCTGTACGCCGGCTCCCTTGGCCAGTAAAGCGAGATGAGCGCCGCAACTCCAGAGTCGGCCACGACTGGACCTAATGGTCAGGGGTCCCTTTACCTTTACCTAAAATAAGTTCTTAATGTTGTACACCTTCCTGGGATCTTTGGATAAAACATATAAATAGAATGAATGACGACAACAGCAACTGAAGTTTACTTAACGATGGAAGATTCACAACGGCCTCGGTCCAGTATACCTGAAGAAGCATCTCCACCCACATCATCCAGCCCAGACACTGAGGTCCAGCGCCGAGGGCCTTCTGGCGGTTCCCTCGCTGCGAGAAGTGAGGATACAGGGAACCAGGCAGAGGGCCTTCTCGGTGGTGGCGCCTGCCCTGTGGAATGCCCTCCCACCAGATGTCAAGGCAATAAACAACTATTTTACTTTTAAAAGACACCTGAAGGCGGCCCTGTTAGGGAAGCTTTTAATGTATTGTTTTTGATATTTGGTTGGAAGCCGCCCAGAGTGGCTGGGGAGACCCAGTCAGATGGGCGGGGTATAAATAATAAATTATTATTATTATATAACTGACAAAATGGAGTGCTTATTCTGCCTGGACACTGAGGTCCAGCGCCAAGGGCCTTCTGGCGGTTCCCTCGCTGCGAGAAGCCAAGTTACCGGGAACCAGGCAAAGGGCCTTCTCGGTAGTGGCACTCGTCCTGTGGAACGCCCTCTCACCAGATGTCAAAGAGAAATATAACTACCAAACTTTTAGAAGACATCTGAAGGCAGCCCTGTTTAGGGAAGCTTTTAATGTTTAACAGACCACTGTATTTTAATTCTTTGTTGGAAGCCGCCTAGGGTGGCAGGGGAAACCCAGCCAGATGAGCAGAGTATAAATAAATTATTATTATTATTATTATTATTATTATTAATGTAGCACCAACTTGGACTGTGGAACTCGCTGCCACAAGAGATTGTGATTGTTTCCCTCAGCTGCTCGTGTCCCCAAAAACAATGGGACAGAGTAGGGTTTGAAGTGGAACTCCACGGAAGTTCAAGGGTTGGTGAGTTTTTTGAACCGGAAACATCTCCAAACACTACACACCCAAGGCAGACTTCTTCCCTCCCCACATTCAGCACAAGACAGCTAAGCAGTTTCCCCAAATACCTCATGCCTGCTGGAGCGGGTCAGACTCTGGCGCCGAAGGCTCATAGGGTGAGGGGAATAGCTTCGCTGAGGCTTCCAGCCCGTTGCAGGATGCATTGTGCCTTCCGCCAGAAAGATGCTCTCGCCCTTCATTGGAGAGTCACTCGCCAGGTGAGAGTCACCTGCGACACAAAGATTGCAAATATTGGGCATAGGATGGGGCTAATGGTGGAGACATACCTTTGCCATTTACGACAGAATTCCAAGGACCAGTGTATTCTCTGTTCAGAAGAGGGGGGAACCAAACGCAGCTTCCCAGCAAAAGCTAGCAAACATAACACACAAAGTTTTAAGTGTCTATACGCTTATGGCATTTATAAATTTCAAATTTATCATTGTACGTTGTTTTAATTGTTTGTTTTCCTTCTGCGACTGTACCCCCAAGTGTGTTTTATAAGCTGGTCTCCGACCGTAATAAATTATCTATCTATCTAACACAGCTGAGTACGGCTTCAAAGGTTAAAGCGCGAAGCCTCTAGTCCTCATCGAGGTGGAAGGGAAAGCACCCGTTTTTGTGCTGCAAGTTGAAAGCTTCAGAATCCAGAATGGAAATGCATTTTATTAAGTTATTTCATAAGATTTATACACCGCTTGATTGTCAAACTCCTCAAAGCAGTTTGCAAAGAAATAAGATTATTGGTAAGAAAAATGAATGGCAATAACACAAGACCTTCAAAAACAACAATAGGACAAAAAAACTCACATCAACTTTCTAAATACCTGGGTGGGCATGTCTAAAGAAAAATGCTTTTAGCAGGCACCAAAAAGATATCAATAAGCAGGGAGTTCCTAAGTTGCTAAGGGCTTTATATACAACTGGAAAACATGATGCTCAATGTGACACATTGAAGAGATGGGGAAGAATTTAAATACCTGCTTAGCCAGAAAAAAAAAACCCCTCAGAGGTTGGGGCTAGAGAAGTCATTATATAGAGTTCATGTCACAGGATAAAATAAAATTATTAATTATTATTATTATTATTATTATTATTATTATTATTATTATTTTATTATACCCCAGCCACTCTGGGGGGCTCCCAACAGAATATTAAAAGCACATTCAGATGACAACAGGATATATTCTGCAACACCTACAGTCTTTGCTGTAAGCAAAAAAAAAGGAAGATTTGCTACAAACCAGATTCTCTTCTCTAACATGTTTCCTGATCAACACAGTTGGCAGAAGAGCTGCTTTCTGGACAGTGAATGCAAGTCATCACCCCCAGCGTCAAGCCTTTGTTCTTGGCTCCCTAAAGCCCTGCACACCTGAGGACGGCTCACCTGTCGCGTAGCTCAAGTCTCCCAGCTTCTCCAGTTCCCTTTTCAGGAGACCAACCTCACCTTCGCTGCGGAGAGGAGAGGAGAGGCCAATCAATCATTTTCTCGCTGCTTTATCTTGAGTCTGGCCATTGGTGCATCTAGCTCAGTAGTATCTCTCCACAGTTTCAGGCAGGGGCACTGCCCAGCCCTGTGGGACGTGGGTGGTGCTGTGGGTTAAACCACAGAGCCTAGGGCTTGCTGATCAGAAGGTCCGCGGTTCAAATCCCCGCGACGGGGTGAGCTCCCGTTGCTCGGTCCCTGCTCCTGCCAACCTAGCAGTTCGAAAGCACGTCAGAGTGCAAGTAGATAAATAGGTACCACTCCAGCGGGAAGGTAAACGGCGTTTCCGTGCGCTGCTCTGGTTCGCCAGAAGCAGCTTAGTCCTGCTGGCCACATGACCCGGAAGCTGTACGCCGGCTCCCTCGGCCAGTAAAGCGAGATGAGTGCCGCGACCCCAGAGTCGGTCACGACTGGACCTAATGGTCAGGGGTCCCTTTGCATTTACTGCCCAGCCCTACTCGGAGACAATGGAGACTGAGCCTTCTAAAGGCCTTCAGCTGTTCCATCATTGAGCCCCAGCCCTCTTCTGCCCGGAGAATCTGCGTATTCCAGAGTTTCATAGAATCTTAGGGCTGGGAGGGACCCCTTGGGGTCATCCATCCCAACCCCCTGCAATGCAAGAATCTCAGCTCAAGCACCCATGGCAGGCAGCCACCCAAGCTCTGCTTAATCCAACCTTTCAATATCCAGCAGCATCGCCTGTTCCTGGCCACGCCTTCCTACCTGTCAGGCGTGGAGGTGAGCCGGCAGCGGCTGGAGCCTTCCACCTGTTCTTCCTGGGTGCCCACTTCTGCCCCCTGCCTCAGACGCAGCAAGGTGGGCTTCCATCTCCTTCCTTTCATGGCACAGAGGCAGAGGGTGCCTAGGAGCCCATTGCCTAAAGGGCAGAGAAAGTGCACATCAATATCACTTGCCATACTTCAAGGTTTCCAGTTCATCTACTCTGTGGGCTCAGCGCCAGATAAAAAGAAGATGAACTACCATATTTTTTGCTCTATAAGACTCACTTTTCCCCTCCTAAAAAGTAAGGGGAAATGTGTGTGTGTCTTATGGAGCGAATGCAGGCTGTGCAGCTATCCCAGAAGCCAGAACAGCAAGAGGGATTGCTGCTTTCACTGCACAGCGATCCCTCTTGCTCTTCTGGCTTCTGAGATTCAGAATATTTTTTTTCTTGTTTTCGTCCTCCAAAAACTAGGTGCGTCTTGTGGTCTGGTGCGTCTTATAGAGTGAAAAATACACTTCACTTGGTGTGCTGGTAAAACTGAAAATCGGCTGGTTTTCTCTTAAGAGATGGAATATATCAATCTTCTTGTATTGTGATTTGTTTTCACCAATTATAGATGAGTAATTCTTTGTTGTAATTGATAAGTGTCAGCTGTCTAATTATTACTTGCTGGTGTTTAATTTTAGTGTTTACTATTGGATTCTAATTCATTATTGCATCTTGCTTTATTTGGTATAAGTTGTTTAAAGTTATTGTGACTTTTTATATAGGATCTGATTGTTACTATTAATGTTTGATGTTTATTATTATTATTATTGTGTGTGTTGGAAGCCACAATAGAGGGGCTGGGGCAACCCAGCCAAATGGGCGGGGTATAATTAAAATAATAGTATAGTAGTAATAGTAGTAGTAGTAGTAGTAGTATGTGTTGGACCTGGAACTCCTGGAATCCCCTGACCACTCACTAGACTGTTTCTGTTTCCCCCCCTCTAGTTTTCCCTCCCAGTAAATTTTTTGTCGTTCTGCAAATCTTTTTTATTTCATAAAATTTATGCACACCTTAATTGTGAAGAATCACCTCCAAGCTGTTTAGAAAAAAAAGATAAAACAATAAAATCAACTGCTCTAAGGTTTTTTTTTAATAATCAAGCAGTGTGCAAGTGAAATAATAACATTAATAAGAAGAACTGACAATAACGTAAGACTTAAAAAAAAAAAAAGACAACATGCTAAACACCAACATGCTGGGTTGCATAGACTTCATGCTTGCCTGCGACAGTCAAGATTAAGAGGCAGGTGAGCGACTTGAAGCCCAAGGAGACGGCCTGGTTCAGCTCAGACAGGGCGTTGGCCACGACGAGAACTAGCAGCGTGGCACGCGGGAGCCCAGGAATCTGCAGGAAGGTCATGATGAGGGCTGCCAGGAGGAAATAGCTGCCGTGCAGGACACAGGTATAGATGGAGCTGAGGCTGAACCCTGCGAGACAGAGGTGGGCACAAAATGCTCTAATTCCCGTATTTCGCTTATTTGCTAAGCTGTTGTGATTCTGCATTGTTTAAAGCTTTGCATTTTGCAATGGCGCTGTGGGTTAAACCATAGAGCCTAGGGCTTGCCGATCAGAACGTCGGCGGTTCGAATCCCCACGACGAGGTGAGCTCCCGTTGCTCGGTCCCAGCTCCTGCCAACCTAGCAGTTCAAAAGCATGTCAAAGTGCAAGTAGATAAATAGGTCAGCCACGACTGGACCTAATGGTCAGGGGTTCCTTTACCTTACTGATACAATAGTCTTTATTGTCATAGTCCCATACAGAACAACGAAATTGAAAAAATCTACATCAGACATTCAAAAACCAACAAGCCTGCTATCCCAGCTATCCCAGCCTGGTTAGCCCCCTAAAAACTCTGATACCCTATCATTAAATACAATATACTCCCACAGAGACTACCTTAAAGGTAAAGGGACCCCTGACCGTTAGGTCCAGTCGCTGCCGACTCTGGGGTTGCGGCGCTCATCTCGCTTTACTGGCCGAGGGAGCCGGCGTACAGCTTCCAGGTCATGTGGCCAGCATGACTAAGCCGCTTCTGGCAAACCAGAGCAGCGCACGGAAATGCCGTTTACCTTCCCGCCAGAGCGGTACCTATTTACCTACTTGCACTTTGATGTGCTTTCGAACTGCTAGGTTGGCAGGAGCAGGGACCAAGCAATGGGAGCTCACCCGGTCACGGGGAATCAAACCGCCGACCTTCTGATCAGCAAGTCCTAGGCTCTGTGGTTTAACCCACAGCGCCACCCGTATCCCTAGAGACTACTTTACACTGTGTTTAAATCTAAAATCGCATTTGGGTAGAAACTGTTTCTCAGGCGGCTAATCCTAGTCTTTATAACCCTGTACCTTCTTCCAGAAGGCAGAAGCTGAAAGAGGTCATTTCCGAGGTGCGCACTATCCTGCCCTATCTCTGCAGCTTTCTTATGACACCTGGAAGCATAGATTTGATCCAAGGTGGGAAGAGTGCACCCAATTATTCTCTCCGCAGTCTTTACAACCCTGGACAACATTTGAAGCTTTGACCTGCCTGTGGAGATCAGAGGCTGCCAGGGAAGTGATGAAACGGAAATCAAAATGAGAACCTGACCCCTTTTCTCCCGCAAGCCCCAAATCTTCTTTGGAGTTCTGCCGAGATCAGATTTGGGGCGGAGAAAAGAGAGGGGAGTTTCCTTGCACAATCGGAAGGCGTTGAATCAACTTTGCTCGATTCAGCCTCCTGCCTCTGCCCTCCCAAAATCGTCTTACCTGCCCAGCTGATGAACCTCCGAATGTGTTGCAGCTGCCCGTCCACACTCGCTTGCATCCGGTCCATGGCGTTCAGCAACACTCCCAGACTCTGGTTCATCTTCTGCAGCTTCTGCATCAGCTCCTCGTAATACAAGGCCGTCTGGTTCTGGTAGGCCGCGAACAAGCCCAGGTTGGTTTCTGGGATGGAGGGCGGAGGGGGAAGAGAAACGACCGAGTTCAGAGCGCAAGCGGAGAGGCAGTCTTGGCTCCGTGGCCAGAAGGGTTTGAACGCCACCTCCCACCACCAACCTGTCTTGTAGTAGACTTCTTGAGCTCGCCTTTGCACCTGGGACAGGTCCTCAAGGATGGCCCTGTGACCTTCTTGCAGCTCCAGGTCCTGCTGATCTAGGTGACGGCTGACGTTTTCTGCAAGGAGAGTGTTAGGTTGTGGGTGAACATATCAGACGACACAGCGATTCTTCAGACAGCTCTTGTTTATTCACAGGCCAGAACAGAACTGAACTGAAGGGTTCAGCCAACCTGCTTATATAGAGCTCAACTACAAAGCAACAGTAAAAACTTTCTGTAACTATCCAATCACTGAAAGTCCCTTTCAATTCCTTATTTGCATATGTGGACCTGAGTAAAAACTACCTACAGTATCCCCCTGCTGGTCCAGGGTGAGAACTTCAGTACATAACAGAGAGGAACACGGGCAGCCCTTGCTTTTTGGAATTTCTGCTGCGATACCCAACAAACCGCAGTTTATGTCGCAATATGACGAGCACCCCCTATCTGCCCTTCCCTGAAACCCTATCAGGGGTCTAGATGGCCCTTTGTGTCTCTTCCAGCTCTGCAGAAATTGAAGACATCTCTGTTCTGCCAAGTCTTCCCAGGGTCTCTGCTGTGTGTACAGCTTTTAAAGTTAGTTGCTCTTATTTTCTGTGTTTTCATCTTTTCTGTAGCCATTTTCATTGCATTTCTTACATTGCCTCAAGACATGTGCATTCAAGGAGATGAAATAATTTATTTTGTTGGACTACAACTCCCATCATCCCTGAGCTCTGGCCTTGCTAGCTAGGGGGTGATGGGAGTTGTAGTTCAACAACATCTGGGGACCCACAAGTTGAGAACCTCTGAAAGCCAAACATGCCCCATTTATTTCAGTGATGGGTAAGTAAGGTCTGGAGATTGACCCCCCCCCCCCCAAAGCCAGAAAGGTCCTTTCTATAGGGTCAAAACATGAACTCCCAAGGCAGGATTTGGCACTCTAACCCTGCACCCCCAGAGACAATGGGAGCAAGCCTTGGAGGACACAAGGCTTTGCAGAGTTTTTTGGGGCCCACTGATATCGCAGTTAGTAATACTGCTCAGTCTGAAGTGACTGGAAGCCTAAGAACTGACTCCTTTTGGAAGAAATCGTTGTGCAGGCCCATAAAAAATATTATTCAAAATTTTACTTGCAGAACTCTTCAGAGTAAAACAGAAACATCAAATGATGCATCCAAAATATCCATGCAATGTCTTGCACTGTCCAGGACAGGCTCAGCATCTTAGAAAATATGAAACAGACTTAGAAGCAGAGGTCTGCCTCTGCCCACAGCCCTGCTTTCCAGCCTCCATTGGCCTTAGGCTGTTTATTCTCCCTTCAGGACAGAGTTGCCATACATCCGGAAATGTCCGGGATTTAAACTGCGAAAACAGCACATGGAGGGAATTTCAGAAAAATTGGCAGAAAAAGCTCAACAACTTTTGTGTCCGGATTTTTTACTCCTTGAAATATGGCAACCCTATTTCATTGACATCCTTCTGCAATTAATCCAGAATGCGGCAGCTAGACTGGTGAGTGGGAGCAGCTGCCGAGACCACATAACACCAGTCTTGAAAGACCTACATTGGCTCCCAGTACCTTTCTGAGCACAATTCAAAGTGTTGGTGCTGACCTTTAAAGCCCTAAACGGCCTCAGTCCAGTATACCTGAAGGAGCGTCTCCACCCCCATCGTTCTGCCCGGACACTGAGGTCCAGCACCGAGGGCCTTCTGGAGGTTCCCTCACTGTGAGAAGCTAAGTTACAGGGAACCAGGCAGAGGGCCTTCTCGGTGGTGGCACCCGCCCTGTGGAACTCCCTCCCACCAGATGTCAAAGAGAAGAACAACTACCAGACCTTTAGAAGACAACTGAAGGCGGCCCTGTTTAGGGAAGTTTTTAATGTCTGACGCTGTATTGTTTTTAATATTCTGTTGGAAGCCGCCCAGAGTGGCTGGGGAAACCCAGCCAGATGGGCGGGGTATAAATAATAAATTATTCTTATTATCATTACCCATCCTCTTTGTGATGCCCTCGATCAGTTCTGCCACCTGCTGCTGCCCGCTGGCAATCAGAGCCTTCTCCCGAACCAGTTGGTCCAGGTTGTCGTGGATGGACTCCTCCATCTGCACCTGGCTGCCTTGCAACTTCTCCTGCTGGGCCAGGATCGCCTCCTGGCTGGTGGCCACTTTCTGCAGCGATTCCGACGTCAGCTCCTTCAGCTCCTCCTGCCCGCTCTGCAGGGGAGGGAAGTCGGAGAATAAGGAGCGTCAGAAGAAGCGAGGCAGCTGAACGGAAGAATAGATAAAGCTACCCAACGACAGAATCCATAAATTGCTCCACCTGTCTCAATATTGTCTGCATGGACCGGCAGCAGCTCTCCAGGGTTAAAACACTTAATTGTAAAAGCAGCATAAAATATAGTATAAAAACACGAATAACAATAAAATTCAAAAATCAATTTAGGGGAAATAAGCATTAGATAATCCCCAGGGCTAGCTGGCTGAATTGGTCCTACTTGGGCCAGCGAGGAGACCAGGGGAGAATTAGCTGTGGGGTCTCAGAGCGGGTGATCTTCATAAAAGGGGAGGGAAGAGAAGGGAAATAAAAGATCAGGCGGAATTCAAATTAAAGGCCAGGCGGAATAGCTCTGTCTTACAGGCCAACGGAAGGAGGTTAAATCCTGAAGGGCCCTGGTCTCATGGGACAGAGCATTGCACCAGGTCGGAGCCATCACTGAGAAGGCCCTGGCCCTGGTGGAGGATAGTCTGACGTCCTTAGGGCCCGGGACCTCTAAACTATGATTATTCATGGGCCTTAAGGTCCTCTGCAGAGCAGACCAGGAGAGGCAGTCCCATAGATACAAGGGTCCTAAGCCACAGATAGTCCTCCAGCCCCCCAAGGAAGATCCTAATTTTTATATATATCAAATCCCAAGCAGTACAAGCCTTAAGCATTTTCATCGCTTCCAGCTGGCTGACGGCAGTGGAGACCAAGGCGTTGACGGTGTGCTCTGCTCGGCGCTTGAACTGCATCTGACGGGTGGCGTAGCAGACAGCCCGGGCTCGGTTGCTCACGATGTGGTAGGCGTTCCAGGTGTCTGGATCCATCCCCGCCGTGCATTCTGCTAGAGTCTGTTGGGAGAACAGAAAGGGACCGGCAGATCGCGATTGAATGAATCATTGCGGGAACCCTACAGCTCATCCGAGACCCCAGAATTCATGCAACTCTGTTTAGATCGGTTAATTTTAATTTTATTTACGTAACGGGGCATCAGCCTCACCCTTGCTGTCTGAACCAGGTCATTAAAACAAGGAAATGCAGCCATCATAGCTCTGGGAAAGGAGGTACGGCTGCTGCCCACGCCTCCAGCAGCTGTTTTTGTAGGCAGGTGCTGCTTCGTAATGAAATAAAAAAATTAAGGCTTATATATAAAATAAATGTTCATGGGTGTGCCAGGCAAACACGTACATAAATGTATGGGCCACATGTCTGAGGCAGCACAGGAGGGCAGCCCTGGAGCCATTTTGGCTCTCAAACTGACCAAATGTTTTCTCTGCAAGGTCAAAGGAAAATGGAAAAGCCTCCCCATTGTCTTTTAATTCACAAAACCTGTCTTAAGGGTCTGTGCATGAATAGGGTGAGCCTGTGACCTGGCTCAGGAACTAAGTATTTGTCACTACAAAAGACTGGACAGGCTCCCCAGGGTATCCAATCAAGTGACCATTAACAGGTAACCTGCCAGACAGGAGATAAACAATGCACTCAGATTTCTGTTGTAGACCGCCTTTTCTGTGATGGAGGTATGATGTGTCTGGGGGTGGTCTTGAACTCCAGGGCGGGCAATTTAAAATGTCTATATAAGGGCGGGCACACCTGGGCTCTGGGTCCTCCTCCTTTCCTGCGTGTGAAGGGATCACCCTGTTGCAACAGTTAATAAAGATCAGGCTTCTTAGCTGCTTTGCTTCTCAGTATTCTCTGGTTGGCCTCTGTTATTTTCTCCGACCGATAGAAAACCTGCAAAGGACTCTATAAGGGCTCTTGTGTCCCCCATAAGGGAATAAGGGCAGATTTCCATTTATTACAGTAAGATTCTAGGTAGGTTCCCAAACCGGATTAGGTACCATGTCGGCAGTGCACAGGTAAGTCCCACGTCCTTCGACGCTGGCCTGGCAGTTGAACAGGGAGACACTCAGCTTGGCCAGGTCCTCTTCTGTCAGGTCCGTGCAAGACGACCGAAGCTGTGCAACCACCTAGCAATGAAGGTAAGAGAGAGAAGGGAAATAACCAGGCCGAAAGGGGGGGGGGGGGTATCTCCTGTTTTGCTACAGTACTTTAGTGCAAAAGGGAATATAAAGTTGGTGTTTGTAATCTGAGACAACCCAGCCACCCAGAGTGGCTGGGGAAACCCCGCCAGATGGGTTTGGTATAAGTAATAAATTATTATTATTATTATTATTATTATTATTATTCCACAATGGACATTTAGAGGCAATGCAATAATCTGATTTTATTCTAGGTCTGCACATGCTTCGTGAGCACTACTATAGAAAAAGGAAGCTTCTGTAATTCTTTGGAATTGTACCTGGAGGAGCGTCTCGACCCACATGTCCAGCCCAGACACTGAGGTCCAGCTCCGAGGGCCTTCTGGCGGTTCCCTCACTGCGAGAAGTGAGGCTACAGAGAACCAGGCAGAGGGCCTTTTTGGTGGTGGCGCCCTCCTGGTGGAACGCTTTCCCATCAGATGTCAAGGAAATAAACAACTATCTAAGTTTTAGAAGACATCTGAAGGCAGCCCTGTTCAGGGAAGTTTTTAATGTTTGACCTTTTATTGTGTTTTTAATATCCTGTTGGATGCTGCCCAGAGTGGCTGGGGAAACCCAGCCAGATGGGCGGGGTATAATAATAATAATAATAATAATAATAATAATAATAATAATTACAGTCATACCTCGGGTTACAGATGCTTCAGGTTGCGTTTTTTCGGGTTGTGGACTGCTGAAACGCAGAAGTACGGGAATGGGTTACTTCCGGGTTTCGGCGGTCGCGCATGCGCAGAAGCGCCGAATAACAACCTGCGCATGCGCAGAAGTGCCAAATAACAACCTGCGCATGCGCAGAAGCGCTGAATAACAACCTGCGCATGCGCAGAAGCGCCGAATAACAACCTGCGCATGCGCAGAAGCGCCGAATAACAACCTGCGCATGCGCAGACACGGGTTGCGAACGCTGTCGGTTGCAAACGTGCATCCCGCACGGATCACGTTCGCAACCCGGGCATCCACTGTATTATTATTGGGGCCTGGATGGCTCAGTTGTTTGGAGCGTGGTGCCGATAATGCAAAGGTCGCAGGTTCGATCCCCTGGAGCAGCTGCGTGTTCCTGCATTGCGGGGGTTGGACTAGATGATCCTCAGGGTCCCCTTCCGACTCTACAATTCTACGATCCGTTGTAGAATGCAGAGCAGAAAACTCCGGGGCAAACCTCCACTATGGCACACAAATGGCCCGTACTGCAGGGAGAAGACCACCCTGATGTTTATAAACTGCAGGCGGACCTTATGGTGGCAGGAGTCCAGGGGCGAGAGATCCAGCCGCCGGGCCTCAGCTAAGAACCTCTCATCTGCCGTGGTCATCTCAAAAGGCACATGGGACAGGTGAGCTGGGTCCGGAGGGGGTGCTGGGGGCACAGGGGCTTTTTCTGGGGTTCCACTTCGAGTGAGCCAGCCGAAAAACCCAGAGGAGGGCACAACCAGGAGCAGGAGAAGCGAGAGGCAGAAGGCCCAGCGATCAAGAAGCAGCATCTTCAGAGGGTGTCCTGCAAGGGAGAGACAAGGACAGTGATATATGCATTGCAGAGGGTTGGACTAGATGACCCAAGGGTCCCTTCCAGATCTGCCGTTCTATGATTTTTTTAAAAAATATTTTTATTAATTTTTACATGAAATTTCCAAAAAAAATATTACAATGTATTTTCCCATCTTATTCAATGTTTTGGACTTCCATCAACCACATCTGAAGATTTTTCAAACTTTATTATTATTATTATTATTATTATTATTACCATTATCATCAATCACTTAATCTGCATTTCCTTAATTTCACTATTACTTTTAATAGTCCTTCACTAACAGTTCTCTTCATACTTTTCTCTGCAATATTTCACATAGTCCTCCTTACAAAACTTCTTGCAATCCTACTAGCGTAATCTGTTGATTACAATTGCTTTTCAGATATAGCTCACATATTTACTCCAGTCCTCTGAGAATCTCTGGTCCCGCAGGTTTCGAATCCTTCCTGTCATCTTGTCTAATTCTGCATAGTCCATTAATTTTGTCTGCTGTTGTTCTTTCGTCAGTAATTCTTCTTTCCATTTCTGTGCCAATAGTACTCTTGCTGCCGTTATTGCATATAGAAACAGTTTATTATCCTGCAGTTCTATGATTCCACGTATCTTGTGGTTTGTTGCCGTTTCCTGATGCTAAAGTTTTGCTAGGTCTGTATGTGGGTCACTGTAATCAGAGTTTTAGAGCTGGAAGGAACCCATCTAGTACAACACCCCTGAAATGGAGGAATCTTTTTGTTCTACGTGGAACTCAAACCCACACAACGCTGACATTAAGAGTCTCACGCTTTTACTGACGGAGCTGGGCGTGTTGAATTTTCCAGCTTTCAAATTACGAAAAATGAGGGCTGCTAAGAAGTTGTAACCACAGAGCCTAGGGCTTGCTGATCAGAAGGTTGGCGGTTCAAATCCCTTTGCTCGGTCCCTGCTCCTGCCAACCTAGCAGTTCGAAAGCACGTCAAAGTGCAAGTAGATAAATAGGTACCACTCCAGCGGGAAGGTAAACGGCGTTTCCGTGCACTGCTCTGGTTCGCCAGAAGCGGCTTAGTCATGCTGGCCACATGACTCGGAAGCTGGACGCCGGCTCCCTCGGCCAATAAAGCGAGATGAGCGCCACAACCCCAGAGTCAGTCACAACTGGACCTAATGGTCAGGGGTCCCTTTACCTTTATGAAGTTGTAACATGACTGGGGAATTCAAAAGGTGTTTGGTTTTTTATTAAATCAATATAATTTAGTTTTGCTTGGCAAGTAAAATGTATGCAAAAAAACGCATAGAAATAAAAAATGATTGCCAAGTACTTGCAGTTATCTTGTATATTATTATTATTTAGCACTGCATGACATTTTCAAAAGGCAAAATCAAAATGCCTTTGTTTTCCGAAAGCAGTTTATGTGCTTCTTCATCCAGCCTAGACGTAGCAAGCTAAATGTCGCATCACAAAAATAATAGCGGATTTGAATTTCTCACACCCAAAAACAAATTTTAAGCCCCCCCTCCCGCTGAATAAATTTGCAAAAAGTAAGTTTCGCCCCCTAAAATGACACACCCTGTTAATGATTTCACGTTGCAATGTATTCTCTTTTCTTTTATGCTGTGCCTTCGGCTGTTAATTTTTTGTAAGTGGCTTAGAGAGTCTTTTGCAGCAAATTACTAATAAGTCAAAGAAACCATCTGGTCTGCAGACAGGATGCCACCTAGAAAAATACGCAGACATTGGGTGGTGATGGTGGGGAACCAGACCATAAACTGCTGCTGCTAACGGGAAAACTTTAGGGGGAAAGTGAAGAGGGAGACATTTTCTCCAGCTGGGTCCTTTGTCCAAAATTAAGGGGAAAGGGGAAAATTCACATTCCCTGTTGCTCAACGAGCCTTGGGAGAAAGGGCGGGGGGTGTCCCATAAAGGTAATTAATAGCACTTCAATAGCACTGCTGCCCTGTTGAAAGCTATTGTTTTCCAAAGATTATTCTATCTGGCTCCACAATAGACCAAGATAGCCAATTGTTTGGGGTATATTCCAGCAAAGGCAGCCCTTGGAAAAAAACCATAGAAGTAGCCCTTCAGGATGAGACTTTGAGGCTCATGGGATCCAGCATGTGATTTTCCCACAGTGGTCAATCACAGGCTCTCTCCATCCCCCAATATAGGGAAGGGTTCAGCATCGGATGGCACTGTGGTCTAAACCACAGAGCCTAGGACTTGCCAATCAGAAGATCGGCGGTTCGAATCCCCGCAACGGGGTGAGCTCCCTGCTCCTGCCAACCTAGCAGTTCGAAAGCACCTCAAAGTGCAAATAGATAAATAGGTACCGCTCCGGCAGGAAGGTAAATGGTGTTTCCGTGCGCTGCTCTGGTTTGCCAGAAGCAGCTTAGTCCTGCTGGCCACATGACCCGGAAGCTGTACACCGGCTCCCTTGGCCAATAAAGCGAGATGAGCGCCGCAACCCCAGAGTCGGCCACGACTGGACCTAATGGTCAGGGGCCCCTTTACCTTTACTATAGTTCAGCATAGACTGCAGTGGTGGCCAAACTTGGCCCTCCAGCTGTTTTGGGACTAAAACTCCCATCATCCCTAGCTAACAAGACCAGTGGTTAGGGATGATGGGAATTGTAGTCCCAAAACAGCTGGAGGGCCAAGTTTGGCCACCACAGAGCAACTGCCCTGCATTCAGGCAGTCCTTGGTTCACGCCCCAGCATCTCCCAGGAGAGGAGAGGTGGAAGAAACTCTTTTCAAACTTTGGACTCAGTGTAGACAATACAGAGTAAGAAACAAGACAAGACATTTTTCTCTGTAGAGCATGAAATCACTTTGCGACTCTGAGTATATTTCACAGAGCATGAAAGCAATAGCTTCCCCCATTCCCTCCTGTTGCAGCATCTGGCATTCCAAGATAGACTGCCCAAGAACATGGAGGTTTCATTTTGCTAGCCAACATACCTAACATCAGTGCTTTTTTTCCTGGGGGTACGCACACCCCTAAACATTTTGTGATTCTAGGTTTGGCCTCATTGAGGGGCAGTATTTCAATATGAGTTGGAAAAGCAGGGTACACCTAAACATTTTTTTTTAAGGGAAAAAAGCACTGCCCAACAGCATGAGCAAGCATGCCTGGAGCTTTCACTGCTTTCTTTCTTTAGGTAAGCAGTTAAAGACATTTTTATAGGAATAAGAACGAAAAGTTTCACCTTTGCTCCAGAAACAGAGACCAGGCTGCATGCTCTTCCTGCTAGGAGCACAGCCAGACATGTTATTACACGCAGTAAGGCATCCTGGAAGAACCACGAACCTTGGTAAGCTGGATGTGGTCAAAAATGAGATGGCAAGATGGGGAAGAAACGGACGCAGTGAGAAATTTTACTTTCTTGGGTTCCATAATCACTGCAGATGGTGACAGCAGCCACGAAATTAAAAGACGCCTGCTTCTTGGGAGAAAAGCAATGACAAGCCTAGACAGCATCTTAAAAAGCAGAGACATCACCTTGCCAACAAAGGTCCGTATAGTTAAAGCCATGGTTTTCCCAGTAGTGATGTATGGAAGTGAGAGCTGGACCATAAAGAAGGCTGATCACTGAAGAATTGATGCTTTTGAATTCTGGTGCTGGAGGAGACTCTTGAGAGTCCCATGGACTGCAAGAAGATCAAACCTCTCCATTCTGAAGGAAATCAGCCCTGAGTGCTCACTGGAAGGACAGATCCTGAAGCTGAGGCTCCAAGACTTTGGCCACCTCATGAGAAGAGAAGACTCCCTGGAAAAGACCCTGATGTTGGGAAAGATGGAGGACACAAGGAGAAGGGGACGGCAGAGGACGAAATGGTGGGACAGTGTTCTCGAAGCTACCAGCATGAGTTTGACCAAACTGCGGGAGGCAGTGGAAGACAGGAGTGCCTGGCGTGCTCTGGTCCATGGGGTCACAACGAGACGGACACGACTAAATGACTAAACAACAACAAGGCATCCTGGAAAGTTTCAGGTCAACACTCTGAGCAGAAATAGGTGGGAAAGGACTCAGAAGGTCCTAGGTTTAATCCCTGGCATGTCCAAGGAGGACTGGCAATGCACACACACAAATACCCTGCCTGAAATCCCTGGGGAACTGCTGCCAACCAGTGTGGACGATATAGAGGTAGACTGACCAATAGTCCCATAAGGCAGTTTCCTATCCATCAACCCAGAAATTCTTTATAAAATGAAATTATGATTTTATTTTATTTTTAAAAGACCCATACCAAGTAAACTGCAGAGGGTTTGGGGTGCCTACCACCTTCAAAAACCATGTCAAGATTCCTGCATTGCAGCACGTTGGACTAGACGACCCTAATGATGCCTTATGATTTTAAGGCTTGGCATCTGGATATTTCCAGGGAGCCAGTAGCAGCTCTAGAAGCAATGAGCTATTTATTCATGTATGCTACAACAGCGGCAAGAGTCTTGATAGCACAAAGATGGAACGAAGAAACCCCGACAAAGGAACAGTGGCGAGAGAAATTGATGAACTACGCAGAATTGGCTAAACTGACATACAAACTATGAGATAAGGACAACTGTGACTTCAAAGAAGAATGGGAACCTTTTACAAAGTACCGTATTTTTCGCCCTATAGGACGCACTTATTCCCTCCAAAAATGAAGGGGAAATGTGTGTGCGTCCTATAGGGCGAATGCAGGCTTCGCTGAAGCCTGGAGAGCACGCGGGGGCGGTGCACCGACCCCTCTCGCTCTCCAGGCTTCAGGAAGCTCTGCGCAACCCTCGGGAGACCGGCTCCGAGGGTTGCGCAGAGCTGCCTGCAGTCCCGGGCTCAGCGCAGCTCTGCGCGGCCATCGGGAGCGGGGCGCGAAGTCCCGCCCGGCTCCCGATGGCCGCGCAGAGCTGCCTGCAGTCCCGGGCTCAGCGCACTTCTCCCCATCGCCAGCCCCACAAGCTCGGGGGACAGCGGGGAGGCGGAGCGCGCCTTCCCGCTGTTCCCCGACCTGGTTCTTCCAGCCCCGCACCTGGGGGGGAAATAATTTTTTTTCTTTATTTCCCCCCCAAAAAACTAGGTGCGTCCTATGGGCCGGTGCCTCCTATGGGGCGCAAAATACGGTATTTAAAAAGACAACAAAATGAATTAGACTCCTTGGCAGGTTTTGAATAAACATACACAAATTTAATGATTGGTAACATGGTAAATAGATAATATAAGGATGGAAATAATTTTATAATATGCAGAGAGCGACATGGGTTGAGAAATCAGAGAGGAACAGAGGGAAGTCTCAGCGGGGGGAGGGTGGGTTTGATGGGTTGGGGAAAAAGGGGGAAAATAATGAATATGATATGTTTTGATATATTACAGTGGTGCCCCGCAAGACGAATGCCTCGCAAGACGGAAAACTCGCTAGACAAAAGAGTTTTCCGTTTTGGAGGTGCTTCGCAAAACGAAGCTCCTATGGGCTTGCTTCGCAAGACGAAAATGTCTTGCGAGTTCCTGCGGTTTTTTTTCCCTTCCCCCCCCTTTTTCTAAGCCGTTAAGCCGCTTATCAGCTTATCGGATAAGCAGATAAGCGGCTAAAGCCGCTAAAGCCGCTAATAGCGCTAATCCGCTAATCCGTCAATGGGCTTGCTTCGCAAGACAGAAAAACCGCTAGACGAAGAGACTCACAGAACGGATTCTTTTCGTCTTGCGAGGCACCACTGTATGTTGAAATTGTTAATTAAAAATTAAGGAAAAAAATAAAATAGAAGCAATAAGCTAAAGCTGGACACCAAAACGCTAAAAATCACATGTAATTTGGAAGACAGAAGAATGTTGACCACTCCCAGCAAGGTCTGTTACACCCCTCTAGGCAGCAGCAGTGTGGCATAGTGGTTAGCCTGTCAGACTAGGACCTGAGATACCAGGGTTCAAATCCCCACTCAGCCATCCTGAAGCTCACTGGGTGTGTCTTTGGGCCTCGCTGGCCTACCCTACCTCACAGGGCTGTTGTGATTAGTAAAAGGAGAAGGGGGAGAAGCATGCATGCCCCTTGAAGTCCTTGGAGGAAGGAGGAGGAATATGAATGCAATAAAAATAAAAATAAAATAAAATACCCCTGGGCTGCTCCAATCAAAAATTCTATACAGAATGGGAATGCAGAGGGGAATACATGAAGAAATATGGTGTTAAAGCAGAACTCTTAATAGGCAATTGTTAAGCCTGTAAGGACAAAAGAAGTAATTATAATCTAACAGTTTTCAAGTTATTCTATTTTGTTAAAGCAACTAGAAAAAAAATATGATGGGAAGATCTCACACAGGAAGCAGTGGGGAGGAGGGGAGGGTTAGGCTGAATTTGGGAAATAAAATAATATATGGGACAGCAAAGGATATAATAGATTCTTAGAGGATAGTAATATATTGTAACCAGAATAGAAGTTCAAAAGGCGAAGTAAATGTATTTTTAGTATTTTCATTATGGTAATAATAATGTTTTTAAAAAATTTTGAAAAGTTTTTATTGTTAAAATAATTCAGCATTAATACACACATATTGCAAACATACAAACATACATTTCATACAATCCTTAAAAATGTTCAAACATACCTACACTCAATCCCACAGATCATTCCTTTTCCCATCACCATCCACCACCCCTCACCCCACCTTTGTGTTAGACTTCCAATCTACTCAATTGCAATTTCTTTCCACTTCTATTACTTTCTTTCACACACCTTTAACCTAATTTCATGCTTCTTTTTCTATTACACCTTGTTATCCATCTTATTTAGTATTCCAGTATTTAAAACGGAACTTGTTTATTCTGATTTCTCAATATGGTTTTGCAAGTATCCTTTAAGCACCTTCCAGTCCCTTTTAGAAGGTGGAAGAATCTCAAAAGAGAAGATAGACAGGGACAATAATTATTATTTCTTATCGGTAGAAGGCAATGTGAATTTAGGCTTCTTCGTTTTGCTGTCTGTATAATTTTCTAAAGTCAGTAAAAAACGAAACAAAACAAAACCCTCGATCAATCATCTCCCCACCTGCCTCGCCTGCGTCTCCGGATTCCCCCAAACGCGCATTTCGAAAGCTTCCCGGCAAAAGCGCTACCAAATCCATTCTTATGAATACTTCTGACGGTGACGTCAGAGCCGGCCCAGCCAACCCGCAGCCGCGCCGGCCCTCCCACGCCCCGCTTGGAATCCAGCGGCGGCCAATCAGGAGAGCGGAGGCGAAAGATGAATGGCCGCGTTCTGAATGGCGGCGTGGGATTCATTCGCGCTCACCGTGCGGGGAGGAACCGCGCGGCTTGATTGGCTCCCTGGCTCGAGCGGTGGGCGGAGTCTGGGCCGGGCCACGTGGGTATTATGAGTTCAGCTGTTCAGGAGGAGGTTAAAAAAAGGGACAATCCGGCCGGTCCGTGGCAGGTTGCGGAGATGGAGAAGCTGCGGGAGCTGCGTGTGGGCTTCATCGGGGCGGGGCGCATGGCCGGCGCTGTGGCCCAGGCGATCCTGCTGGCAGGTAAGGGCAAGTAGGAGAGGCAAGGTGTGTTGTGGGGGGAGGGGAATCTCCTGCATGCGCAAAATCCTAGAAAAAGCCCAAATCAGCAGGGGGCTGGGATCTTAAAAACCCCTTGTAGGAAAAAGGAACGCCATCGGATTGCAAACGAGGCTTGCTTTTGAGTAAACCTGCTGTAAGTGATGAGGGGTCCAGAGGCCAAAGGTGGCGGATCTGTTGTTGCGCGGTGCAAAGGGCGTAGGTTGGAAGACAAACTAAATATGATTTCTGGTTAGAATATTTGCAGGGCGCTCGGCTAGGTGGCCCCGCGGCTGGGGGGACTTTTCCAAATCTCCAGTTCTGTGAGGCTGGGAAAGACTCACCCCCTGGCTGAACTGTCTTTGGGTAAGGCAGCCGCTATATCTGTTGGGAAGAGGCATTGCAACAGCAGGTGCCTTGTTTTGAGAAGATGGGTAGGCAAACTAAGGCCCCGGGGCCGGATCCGGCCCAATCGCCTTCTCAGTCTGGCCCGGCGAGGGTCCGGGAATCAGCATGTTTTTACATGAGTAGAATGTGTCCTTTTATTTAAAATGCATCTCTGGGTCATTTGTGGAGCATAGGAATTTATTCATTCTCCCCCCAAAAAATATAGTCCAGCCCCCCCCCCCCCAAGGTCTGAGGGACAGTGAACTGGCACCCTGCTGAAAAAGTCTGCTGACCCCTGGGCTAGAAGATGGTGAAGTATCTGCTGCCAAGCTAGTTCAGCTGTGCTGCAACTTTGGTTTTGCAGATGGTCCTGAACTAGAATTTCCATCAGCCCCAGCCAGCATAGCCAAAAGCCAGGAGTGATGAGAATTATAGTTCCACGACGCCAGGTGGGCCAAAGGTTCCCCACACCCAAGTCAGATAATGTTGCATTAGATGGGTGAAATATTATTATTAATAATAATAATATATTATACCCCGCCCATCTGGCCAGGCCTCCCCAGCCACTCTGGGCGGCTTCCTACAGAATATTAAAAACACAATAAAACATCAAACATTAAAAGCTTCCCTAAACAGTCTAAAAAATCTCACAATGTACAGATTCATAAGTCTGTGTGCTACAGGACTTCTGTTTTTGCATGGAATTGAGTATTCAGAGCTTAGCCCAGCTGCAGCTTAATAGCATTGGTAGCAAGCTCATTTAATTTTACAGCACAGTGTAAGCCTACGTACGCTTAAGTTCCATCAAGTCTAATGGGGCTTACTCTGAGAAAGTGCTACAGGATTGCAAGTAGATTAGGACTTAAAAGCAAAAGGTAAAAATATAGCTAAACTGACTCTAAAATACCAAAAGCCCATTACAGATACGGGTTCAGAGGAGGGTTTTTTTCTAGAAGGGGTAAGTGGAGTCCCCCACACCCTTAGGCCAAACTTTGTCCTGTGAAATACCTCCAAGTGGAAGAATTTTTCCAAGGCCTTCAGACATGACAAAACTTGAGTAACAACCACCACCTCCATGTGTATTAAGCAATACAGAATTGTGTGCTTTATAAACAGTAGTTCAGTAACATCTTTCAGTTATCTAGTTCTGGGCTGCAAAATAGGTGGGGCTTACTTCAGAGTAAGTGTATTGCAAATTGTGTCCCAGAATGGGAGGTGGGGGAAAGTTTTGTAACCGAGTGTAACTGAGCTTTTTATTGCTTTACATCCATCGTGGAAAATTACTCCGGCTCATGGAAAGATACTCATCTGTCTTTGATGATTCCCTTCCTTGTTCCTTGTAGCACATAACACCCCGTGCACAAACCCCCAACTGAATCCTGTCCCATTAAAGTGCCAAATTGCCTAGAAAGTTGTGCAGGGGAAACTTGGCTAACAGCATGCTGGTTGCACAGTCAAGATGATAAGCAGGACATCTAATTGCACATGGAAAAGGACCAGCAGCTGGTAGAGCAAGGCAGAAACATGGTCTTGAAAGGCATTATGTGCCAGGAGAGGTTTCCAAAATTTCCAAACATACTCCATGGACAGTCCCATTTAGAGTTTGTTTACGATACGATACAATACAATACTATGATCTTTATTGTCATTGTCGCATACAGAGCAACGAAATTGAAAAATCTACATAAGACATTCAAAACCCAACAAGCCTGCTATCCCAGCTATCCCAACCTGGTTAGCCCCTAAAAACTCTGATACTCCATTTTAAAATACAATATACAGTACTCCCATACAGACTCATTAAAGGTAAAGGGACCCCTGACCATCAGGTCCAGTCATGGTCGACTCTGGGGTTGCAGCCCTCATCTCGCTTTATTGGCCGAGGGAGCCGGCGTACAGCTTCCAGGTCATGTGGCCAGCATGATAGATAAACTTTATTCGCATTAGCCAATGGCCATAGCAACATAAAACAAGCAATATATACAATTAGTCATGTGGCCAGCATGACTAAGCAGCTTCTGGTGAACCAGAGCAGCACACGGAAACGCCATTTACCTTCCCGCCAGAGCGGTACCTATTTATCTACTTGCACTCTGACATGCTTTCAAACTGCTAGGTTGGCAGGAGCAGGGACCGAGCAACGGGAGCTCACCCCATAGCTGGGATTCGAACTGCCAACCTTCTGATCGGCAAGTCCTAGGCTCTGTGGTTTAACCCACAGCGCCACCCGCATCCCTTTACAGACTCCTTACACTGCGTTTAAATCCAAAATCGCATTTGGGTAGAAACTGTTTCTCAGGCGGCTAGTCCTAGTGTTTATAACCCTGTACCTTCTTCAAGAAGGCAGAAGCTGAAAGAGATCATTTCCGGGGTGCATTTACTGTAATCTCATGACCCCTATCTACATGTCATAAATGCATGGGTCACCGTGGCTGGGTCTGACCACTCCAGGAGCCTTCCACAATTGGTTGCTGCAGCAAGGCACTCCTGACCACAGCTGCCGCCTGACCAACAGGGGCAGAGCTGTGTGCAGGAACACACCAAAACGGCAAGCCCCATCTTTCAGGGGGAGTGTAACCCTATCACTGGGCTTGTTCATCCCCTGGCGAGAACACACCTGCCTTGTGCAGTCTGAGTTTCAGCTTGTTCATCTGCATCCAGTCCAGGGCCTTCTCAGTAGTAGCACCCATCCTGTGGAACGCCCTCCCTTCAGATGTGTAGGAAATAAGCAGCTATCTTATCTTTAAAAGACATCTGAAGGCAGCCCTGTTTAGGGAAGTTTTTAATATTTAATGCTGTATTGTTTTTAACACTCAATTGGGAGCCGCCCAGAGTGGCTGGGGAAACTCAGCCAGATGGGCGGGGTATAAATAATAAATTATTATTATTATTATTATTATTATTATTATTATTATTTATTAATTCATGTGGTGGTTCAGGACCTCTACAGCTTCCCTGGACTGAGATGGGAAGGAGATCCAGAGCTGTGTGGCATCTGCCTATTGGTGACTGTGAACTCCAAAACTCTAGATTCTCTTTCTGTGTGGGTTTCATGTCGATGTTGGGTAGGTAGAGGGCAAGGTGGAAGTTTTGGGGGGACACCCGAAAACAAAAGTGCCGAGCAGGGGCTGCCCCTCGGAACTACCTTCTGGAATCTGCCCTCCAGGAAAAGCCGGAGTCTCTTTATTACGGCACCCAGAAACCCCATCCCAGGAAGGACAGCAGGGCCGATGGCACCGAAAGTGGCTCAGGACGCCATCGGAAAGAACAGGGACGTTCTGCCCGGATCCAGCGTCCAGCATCAATCATCCGCCAGGGCGACCGAGGCAGTTTCAGTCCCCAAACCAGGTTGGAAACCAGACTAAAATGACTGAAGATAATCTCCCACTCCCAGGAAGTCCTGGAGTAGGATCATCACCACACACCCATGCATCTTGTTCAAAAACGGAAAGTTGGAGACCAGACGGTAAATGCTGATATTCTTAGGGGTCTGGAGAGTTCCTTTAGCAAAGGATGAACTACTACAGTGTTTTAGTTAGCTAGCATAGTGTGGACACACTTTCACAGATACATTAATCCTCACCATCTAAGCCAGGGAAGCAGGGTTTGGAATAATAATAATAATAAAAAATTATATGCTGTCCATTTGACTGGATTGCCAGCCACTCTGGGTAGCTCCCAACAAATTATGAAACCACAGCAAAACATTAAAAACTTCCCCAAACAGGGCTGCCTCCAGATGTCTTCTATATGTTGTTGGGCTCCCAACTCCTTTCCATTCCAATGGTTAGGGAAGATGGCAAGTAGAGTCTTGCACACCTGGAAGGCAACGGGTTGTGCATCCCCTGCCCTGAACCACTTGCAGCCCAAATTCCTTGAGATTGCAGAAGGGAAATCCTCTAAGGGTGTTTCCCTTTTTCCCAAAGAGGTGAAGATGTCAGTTGTGCCCTCTGGAATCTGCTCATGGTCAAAACTTTCCTTTATCAATAGTGGGGAACGAATGTTTTTCCAGAGAGTTTTGTGAGCTACAGATGAGTCCATTCTGACTATTACTTAGATCTGATGAAGTTGAACTTGTTGCCTTGCCCTTTTTTTTTTTGCAAGACAGCTTGCAAAAGCAGAGTGGTCTTTCTTCTGCTGGGCTCGTGTTTGGGCAAAGCATAAGGTGCTGTACATTCAGCCAAGCTTTCTTTCTCCCCATCTCTCGCAGGAGAAGTCCAGGCAGTGAATATCTTTGCCAGTGCTCCATCCAACAGGAACCTGGACAAGTTCCAGGTAAGTGAAAGCCAAATGTCAACAGGACCTGAATCAAAAGGGCCGTGAAATGCTAAAGGCCATCCATTCAGTGGCAGCCACTAACTTGGATGGCTTGAAAAGGGGAATTCATTCTAACAAAGGAGGAATGGCTTTTAAAAGTAATGGACTATGTTGAAATGGCAAACTGACAGCAATATTAAGAGATTGAAATGATGGAATTCTTATAGAAGGAGGGAAGCCCTTTTTGGACTATTTGGAAAAGCACTATAGTCAAATGAAATCATGGGCAGGCTTGAGATAGGAGCAGCGGAAGTAAAATGACAAAATAAATGTATTAGAGGGATTTCTGTAATAGACAAGTGTTTGATCTATAATGCAGTAGACGTCAATACATGAAATGACGTTGCTATTTAATTTGAAGTCAGTTTGCAAAAATTGGAAAATTCAATAAAAGTTACATTAAAAAAAAAAAGAGCAATTCAGATCTGTTGATCCATGGGAAAATTAAGCACTGGGAAATGTTCTGCCCCACATCACTGAGTGTCTAAACACCAGTTAGCCAGAGTACATGAGTGGGGGAGCTGTGTGCACTGTTGGACTCGTCGCAGTTGTGGCTTTCCTAGAGCCATGTGCTCAACATAGGCCTATGGTCTGATCCACCTGCAGGGCATGAAGTTCTCATGTTCTTACCTTGTGATCTCTCTTTTGAATAAAGACCTTTGAGTGCAAGACGACGCACTCTAACCTGGAGATTCTGGAGAACTGCACCATCGTATTCCTGGCTACCAAGCCCCATGTGCTCCCCACGGTTCTGCGAGAGATCGCATCTGCGGTCACCAAAAAACACGTCGTTGTCTCCATGGCAGCTGGAGTCACACTGCAGGCCTTAGAAGAGGTGAGTTCTTGGAGGAGCAAGCCCACGGGCCCATCCCCATAGGCACAGCCAGCATGGTGAAGTAGGGCGTTAGTGAACCTTGCAGCCCAATCATCACTGTACTCTCCATTGAATTTGCTTTGGGCTGGAACTTGATTGTAAAAGTTTAGGGAAGCTTTTAATGCTTAACAGACCACTGTATTTTAATTTTTTGTTGGAAGCTGCCCAGAGTGGCTGGGGAAACCCAGCCAGATGGGCGGGGTATAAATAATAAATTATTACTATTATTATTATTATTGCTGCCGCCACCTGGTATGTGCAGGTGAGGCTGCAGCTCACTGGAACATCTCAGGTTTTGCACACAATCATGTCAAATCCTTGGCACTTGCAGTTTAAACAGAATCTCTGTTAGCAGAGAAGGCCAGTGCTAGTCCTACTCAGAATAGACCCACTGAAATGAAGGCGCATGACTAACCTGGGCCCATTATTTACTTTATTTAGTTGTAATCTGCACTTTCATAAAAAATAAATAAATATTGAGGCGGTTTGCAACTTGTAAGGGAAAAAATCCATCAAAAAACATAAGAGAATACATGTTGGTTAAAAAGGAAATTCATACTGCAAAGGATTGTCTACTTAATTTCAATGGGTTCGCTCAGAGTAAAACTTGGTCGGGCACAACCCTTAGATCAGTGGTTCCCAAAGTGGGCGGTACTGCCCCCCCGGGAGGGTATTGGGATTACTTGCGGGGGGTGCTAAGAGGCAAGGGGTGGCAGGGGGAAATGACTATCAGGCTTTGAAAGCTGGCATCGCTGGACTAAGTTCATCTGTTTCGTTCAATTAATTAAACCAAACAGTTTTAATTGGATTTTGAATAAATGGCAATTATGGTTTTCAGTTTTAGAGAGCTCAGTCGGTAGAGCATGAGGCTCTTAATCTCAGGGTTGTGGATTCGAGCCCCACGTTGGGCAAAATATTCCTGCATTGCAGGGGGCTGGACTAGAAGACCCTCGTGGTCCCTCCCAGCCCTACAATTCTATGCTTCTGTGATTATCTTGTTGGGTCACGCTGGCTGCTGTTCTGAATAATGTTTTTAATAGGAGAGGGAGCACTGGGGGTGAGTTTATGGAACCAAGGAGGTGGTGGCCCGAAAACATTTGGAAACCACTGCCTTAAATTCCCCATAACTTCTAGGTGGTAATCATATTATCCACTCAGTTTAAACAACATCTCATTAAACAACCTGTTCCGAATGCAAGGAATCCCTGCAGAATGTTGCAACTTAAGCTCAATCCTTGTGGCTAAATGTTAGGCAAAGCATCCCTGCTTGCAACACTAAATGCACATCCCCTCTTCTTCTTTTCTGGGGTTCCACAGCTGCTTCCGACTGGGACCAAAGTGCTGCGGATCATGCCCAACCTTCCCTGTGTGGTCCAGTCGGGTGCCATCGTTCTGGCTCGGGGCACCTGCGCTGAGGAAGAGGATGTGGCCCTGCTGAAGAGGCTGCTGTCTCACAGCGGGCTGTGTGAAGAGGGCCCCGAATCCTACATCGACATCCACACGGGGCTGAGCGGCAGCGGCGTTGCCTATGTGAGCTGCCTTTTCTGTTGGGTCCGCAAGTGGCCTCTTAAATAGTAGGCATGGCATTGGGCTTAAACACATATTCTGCAGTTCTCGTCTTGGCCTTTCTACGTTTGGGGTCCCCTATTGTGCATGGCTGCCCACTGGACCTTCAGCCGTTGCTGGAGTACAGCTCCCCATCATCTTATTGCTTTGGCATGGCAGTGGGGAAGATGAAAGTTGGAGTCCAACATCATATTCAAATTAGCCAAGCACAAGTGAGCTTCAAGTCAATTCATGTGTTAGTTTAAACCACGAGGACACTGTCTAGCAACCTAGACAACACTTGCTTATAATCTTTGCTTTGTCTAAGTTAACTCTACCCCCAAAAGCAGAGGCATTTTGTTTACTTTTCTCTACCCGCTTGTTGAGACCAAGATGCCTGCTACTTTTGCTCTCTCATCTCCTCATGCCGCAAATAGTTCCTGCATGAATAAAGCCTTTGAACTCCAGAAAGTGATTATTGTAATCTAATTGGACGGTCTGGTAATGGTTTCCTCTTCTTTATTCTCTTCCCATCGCCACAGGCATACATGTTTGCTGAAGCATTGGCGGAGGGAGCTGTAAAGATGGGGATGCCGGGGGCTATGGCCCAGAAGATTGCTGCTCAGACCCTCTTGGTAAGGGGCTGTGATTCTTGCCAACCTCCTCCGTCCCTCCACCATCCCATCCCTCCATAATCTCCCTTGGTAACCTCTAGGTTTAAATGATTGTAATGTGTTATATGTAGGGATGCCTCTCAAGACAGTTCGGAAACTTCAGCTGGTGCAGAATTCAGCAGCCAGGCTGCTCACTGGGGCAAGATGGTTTGCAGCCCAACTGCAAGGGCTGCCAATTACTGTAGGTTATGGGCCCAGTTCAAAGTGCTGGTTAAACCGCTCAGGGTCGCAATACCTCAAGAACCGCCTCTCTATAGGAACCAACCCAGACCCTGCAATCATCCTGCAACACAGGGATCTTTTGCCTAACCTAGATCTCAAACCCATAACCCTGGGATTAAGAGCCACATGCTCTACAGACTGAGCTAAGGGTCTATAATTCTTTCCTCGAAGCTTGAATTTCTTCTGGATTCTTTTTAACTTGATGTTTCATTGTTGTAAACTGCTTTGAGATTTGCTATTTAAAATACAGTGGTACCTCTGGTTGCGAATGGGATACGTTCCGGAGGCCCGTTCGCAACATGAAAAGAACGCAACTCGCAGCGGTGCATCTGTGCACACGCAGGTTGTGATTCGCTGCTTCTGCGCATGCGCGCGATGTCATTTTGCACGTCTGTGCATGCGCGAGCGGCGAAACCCGGAAGTAACCCTTTCCGGTACTTCTGGGTTGCTGTGGGATGTAACCTGAAAGAACGTAACATGAAGCGGACGTAACATGAGGTATGATTGTATAAAGCAGTATAGAAATGAAAATAACGTTAATAATAATTTATTATTTTTTCCCCAGCCACTCTGAGCGGCTTCCAACAAAACTCTATTGCAGGGGGGACCGACCCAGAGCCTAGACCTTCCATTGTGGTGACCATAACCTAGGTTTAAGGTGCCATTTGACAATTAGATTATATATCTGAGTTTCTAACACTGTGACTGAGCGGTGATCTGAACTTTGGTTCCTTGCGTGGAAAACCAATGCGCCATCCACTCCCCACCCCTACCCCCAATCGTCGAATCTGAAACTGTATTTGTTGTCTTTTCTTCCAGGGAGCAGGAAGAATGATCCTGGAAACAGGAGAGCACCCAGCGGTTCTGAGAAGTGCTGTTTGCACCCCCGGGGGAACAACCATCCACGCCTTGCATGAGCTGGAGAAGGGGTCTCTACGCTCCACTGTCATGAACGCTGTCGAGGCAGCCACCTGCCGCGCTCAGACATTGGGCAAGCGATAGGAAGGGGTGGGCATGTGGTGGCCTTGGCGATGGAGGCCCCCGCATCTTATGCGTGGGATCAGCATAGAGAACCACCTGGAAGAATTCTGGGGCAGATGGCCTGGAGCTGTTGCACATGTGAACTTCACAATGGCAGTCTGCTTTTTCTTTGGAAGATTGACACTTATGGGATTTTCTCCCCCCTCCCGCCCCCGCCGCATGACTCAACAGCAAGGGAAGAATCCACACCAGTGACAATCATCCTCTCTCTCCGAGCCCTCAATATTATTAAACACACCCAACTCTAGGCTTCCTATCGACATGTTAGCTTCTCTTGTGTCCTTATTATGTACCAAAGTTACCTGAGCATACAAGCACTAGCAGAAACGAGCCTTTTGCACTGTAAAAGGTAAAGGTGAAGGACCCCTGACAGTTAAGTCAAGTTGCGAATGACTCTGGGGTTGCGCTGCTCATCTCACTTTACTGGCCGAGGGAGCTGATGTTTGTCCGCAGACAGTTTTTCCAGGTCATGTGGCCAGCATGACGAAGCCGCTTCTGGCAAAACCAGAGCAGCGCACGGAAACGCTGTTTACCTTCCCGCCGGAGTGGTACCTATTTATCTACTTGCACTTTGACATGCTTTCGAACTGCTAGGTTGGCAGGAGCAGGGACCGAGCAACGGGAGCTCACCCCGTCGCAGGGATTCGAACCTCCAGCCTTCTGATCGGCATGCCCTAGGCTCAGTGGTTTAGACCACAGCGCCACCCGCGTCCCTGTTTTCACACTGTACCTCGCTTTAAAACAGCGGTTCTCAACCTGTGGGTCCCCAGATGTTGTCAGACTACAACTCCCATCATCCCTGAGCTCTGGCCTTGCTAGCTAGGGGTGATGGGAGTTGTAGTTCAACATCATCTGGGGACCCACAGGTTGAGAAAAGCTGCTTTAAAAGAAGCTGCACTTCCGGTTCAGAGGATGGTGTTGATGGAAGTAGCAAAGGAACACATCTGGCCGAGTAAACTTCAATTGCAGACAAACCAAAGGCTGGCTGGTTAAATAAGAACGTAAGGAGAGGCTGCTGGAACATTCCAGCGGCCCATGTAGTCCAGCATTCCGTTCTCTCAGTGGCCAACCAAATTCCTCTATTGGGAAGCCTGTAAGCAGGATCCGAGCACAAAGAGCCCTCTCCCTTCCTGTGGCTTCCAGCAAACTGGGATTCAGAATCATCTCTGCCTCCCAATTGTGGAGGCAGAGCAGAGCCCTTGTGGCTCACAGCAATCGGTAGTGCACTGAAGCTTAGGAGCATAGAAGCTGCATTACGGTATTTTTCGCTCCATAAGACACACTTTTTTCCTCCTAAAAAGTATGGGGAAATGTCTGTGCGTCTTATGGAACGAATGAGTGGTTGATCGCTGGCTCCCCTTCTGCCCCCTTGCCCAGGCCTCCATTGTTGAATGTTCTGCAGACGGAGGCTGTTTGTTTCCCCAGCGACATGTGACTTGTTGATTAGATTATCTGTCTGGAAACTGTAGAAATGGCTCCCTTTCCTTTCCTATCCTAAAGAAGCTGCAGAACTGTGAGTTGAACCCCATAAAAACAGGATTTTCCCCCTTTGCAAGTAAGCTCGACAACTTTGAGCTGATCCTTTAAAAAAGCGGCTTTTCCCCTTTGCAAAAGAACCTGCACAACTGTGAGCTGATCCTCTAAAAACTAGGTGCGTCTTATGGTCAGATGCATCTTATGGAGCGAAAAATACGGTATATTGAATCAATATTTATGCTTCCAAAGCAGCACCATTTCAGAGTTCTTTCCCACCTCTTCCTGGGATTGGCTGGGAATGGGGACTGAGACTTTCTAAATGTGCTCTGCCACTGAGCTAGAGCTGGCCTACGCGGGTCTAACGCTGCACAGGGGACCAAAATTGTACATTGCTCACACAGTGCAAGGGAGACGGGACTTTTCCTTTCGTAGGTTCCAATCGGGCCCAGGCAAGTGTGCTTCATTCAAAGATTGTGCGTGCGCCACTGGGGTGCCACTGTCTTACTGGAGCCAGGGTGCAAAGGGACAGGCATAAATCCATTACATTAAAACAACTGGATCCCACCGCTGATCTCTTATCACAGAACTGGGAAAACAATACAGTCATACCTCGTGTTGCGTTTGCTTCAGGTTGAGCGTTTTCAGGTTGTGTCCTGCGGCAACCCAGAAGTACCGGAAAGGGTTACTTCCGGGTTTCGTCGCTCACGCATGCGCAGACACTCAAAATGATGTCACACACATGCGCAGAAGTGGTGAATTGTGACCCACAGACACGGGTTGCGTTCTGCTCAGGTTGTGAACTGGGCTCTGGAACGGATCCCGTTTGCAACCAGAGGCTCCACTGTAGATTGAATAAAAGGCTTCTATTTTCCACTAACTGCTGTACAGTGGTACCTCGGGTTAAGAACTTAATTCGTTCTGGAGGTCTGCTCTTAACCTGAAGCACCACTTTAGCTAATGGGGCCTCCCTCTGCCACCGCGCGATTTCTGTTCTTATCCTGAAGTAAAGTTCTTAACCCGAGGTACTATTTCTGGGTTAGTAGAGTCTGTAACCTGAAGCGTATGTAACCCGAGGTACCACTGTACTCTGAAATGGAAAAGAGTCTGCTTCTTGAGGAACACATTAAGCATGTTCAGGAATCATCTTGGGGTTTTTTCAGTTCTGTAATAGGACAGCATTAACCCCAAAAAAGCTCCAAAAACACACACAAACAGTGAAAATTCAAGTCTCTGAAGTCCAATTCAAGTCTGTTCACAAGTTGAGAGTCCAGTAGCTGTACCATTTCACTTTATTAAATCAATTCTTTGGCTGGTAGGCAAGGTGGGTCTCTTATTTCCAAAGCATCCAAGTAACTCCGAACCCATGGAGGGTTAGCACCTCATCTCTCTGTACGTCACTCAAAGCTTCCTGGGCATCTCACCAGTCCTGATCCAGTGTGCTTCTTGGAAAAGCATGGTTTTATTTTTAAAAAGAGATTCAGCAAGAAACTCAGGAGGAAATATGGAGGGGAATAGCAAGCAGCCCTTTCAACAAGTGTGATAAGCTTACAAAAAAAGGTGGTTGGGTGAGGGGAGTTACCAAATAGTCCGTTCTGACGCTGCGGATGGCATAAAATTACAGAGTACTATACTCCTGCCTAGGCGCTCTTCCCATTGCACAGCTCTGCTCCTTTCATACATAACTTTTTAGGTAACATTTGAATTCTAGAGCCCTCTCTTGTACTTCTGCGCATTCCCTTTTCTATTCAAGTATGCTTGAATACATGGCCAGCTTACACCTCAATCTTTTGTTTGACACTTGAAAACCACTGCAAACTCCCCACCCCTTTTTCAGGGAGCATCCCTCCCCCCAAAGCTCTTTGAACTTGCAACGAGATTGTCTCCACCTTGGGACCACTTTTTCAACCTGTCTGCTGGACAGGACAAGTCTTTAATTTTACCCTGTGTAGAGTGTGTTCGAAAGGAAACCTCTGCCTCCATGCATAAATTCTAAGTAAGAAGGAAGTCCATGTGGTTCCACCACAGGGAACAGGCAAGAATTGCACCCTGAGCAAACGGTTTAGGGAGCAGAGGTACCCCTCCTGCCTCTCTGCTGTAATAGCCACTTTTTTCAACCCCCAGAACTTGGGGAGTCAAGCCCCTTTAACAGCCTCACCCCAATGCTCATAGGGAGGGGGAAGGAACTCTCCTGTTCTGCCCTGATTGTGCCGTATTTGCACCTCCCAGTGGACACACAGCACCATCCCCTATTGCTGCATAAAGAGTAAACACTTCCACCAGATATGTAGGTGAGTGCGATAATCTGGTTAGCTGTTTTGCTCTGAGCCGCCTTGCCATGAGTCGGGTTCAGCTGCCTTCTGCAGCCTTTGCGCCATGCTGATGAAGGACCGGAGCTGGACCACCTTCAGCGTCCCAACTTCCTGGGGATCCTGGCTCTCCAGCCAGCGCAAGGCCTTCTGCAGGCCTTGTATTGCTTCCCGGGCAGTGGGTGGCGGAGTATCTCCCATTCCATCACTCCCGCCACCTCCACCATCTCTTGTCCCAACAGTTTCTTCCTCCTCGCCTTCCCCTTCCTCTGTGTCCGGAATGACATCATCTAAGTGGAGCCAATCGGCCACTTCCTCTGGAGCCACGCGCTTGCAGGTAAGGGCAGCAAGGTGTACGAGGTCAGCAAAGTCCAGGTTGTCCACACCTGCAGAGGCCTCTCCCGACTCCTCCTCTTCCCCTCTGGAGTGGGGCTCAAAGGCCGCACGCAGGCCAAGCAGCCAACATTTCTCAATGGATCCAGCCGGGATGAGATCCCAAGACAGGCCAGCTAGGCAGAGCATATCTTCCAGGAGAAAAGAGCGGCCAAAGTCCAGCTCTCCACCAGGTTTTTCGGACTCCCCCACGGCTGCTCCTCTCGCTAGGCACGCCACGGCCAAGCGCAACAACTCCCGCTTGTACAGCAGCTTGAATGCCGACACGACGCCCTGTTCCAGCGGTGGCAAAATCCGGCCTCTGCCTCCCAAAGACCCTCCTGCCGCCTTGGAAAGGAAGAGCGCTCGGATAGACCCGTCCGAAGTTTGAAGTTGGGGTGACTCCTCAGGGTGCGCAGAGGAGCAGCTGAGCAGAAGGACAGCTTTCTGCGGGAGGCAGCTGTGTCGCAAAAAGCGCTTCACGCTAGGCACGAAATCGTCGAAGAACCAAATCCGCAGCAGGGAGCGGTCCAGCCGGGCCCGGGGGCTGTAGCGGTAGCAAGCCGGGAGCGTCTCCCTCTTGTGGCACCGGAGGCAAGGAGGGTCCCGCAGGCCTCCCACCACCAGCGGCTTCAGCTTATGGGAGCCAGTTAGATTTGCGGCGAGCAAGACCGTGACCCCGTCTCCCGCCCACGATGGGAGAGACTGCGACAGTGGGGCCTGGCCAGGCAGCAACTTCCAATAAAGCCCGGTGATGTTAGCGTTGTAGATTTGGTCGTCGCTGTAGCCGCCTTCATCTGGTGGCGCAGCAGCCGTGGGAGGCCGGGTATGGTTGGAGAAGGCCGAGCAGGGGGAAGCGGCGTCCGCTTCGGCTTGGAGGGCAGGTGTGTCGCCCGCCGCACCTAAGCCGCCCCCCTCGCGTTGGCTGGAAATGCCGTGCCGCTTCTGCCACCGCCAGAACCACCCGTGGCTGGCCTTGAAGGTGCAGTCGGGCCCGTAGATCTGCCGGGCAAAGGCTTCGGCCTGGGCTTGGATGGCCGGTCCGGAGAGCGGCACGCCGTGCTGGCGCAAGGCGAGGAACCACGTGTAGACGGCGCGGTCGATCTCCTCCTCGTTGGCCAGGCGCATCTTCTTGCGGTGCGTGCCCACCTCGCCCCCTAACTGGTCCAGGAACCAGCGCAGTTTGCTCTCGTCCTTCAGCCAGCCGCGGAGGGTGCCGCCGGGCACCCCGAAATCCCGGCACACCGAAGCCTGCCGCTCGCCCCTCTTCACGCGCTCGATGGCCTGCAGCTTGTCCTTGATGGAGTAGGCCCGGCGGAAAGCCATCTTGGACGCTGGCAGCGGGGAAGATGGGGCGGCACGGGGGGCCCGCCTCGCAAGGTCGTCGTCAGGCTTGCCACAGGGCCGGTGCGAGGAGCCTGCAGGCTCACCTGACGCTGGTGGCTGTTTCATGGGGGAGGCCTGGTCCCCCCCAGGGCTGCCTGGGGCCCCGATCCCTTCCACTGCAGGGAGGAGGGCACCTTGCCCCCCTGCCATGACGGGCTCCTTTCAAAGCCCCCCTGAGGAAGTGCGCCAAACAAGCGAGAGGGAGGCTTATTGTGGGGGGGGGGAGCGCGGGAAAAGCGGGGCGCGTTATATCCGGGGAGAGCTGAAAAGCGAGGGAGGGGCGGGAGGGGCGGAGCGGCCGCCTTTGTCTTCTCTGCCTCTCTCGCCTTCCGATAGGGCAGGCCGGCCGAGAAGGCGCATGCGCCGCGGGACAGCTCCCTTTCCGTCCCCCCACCCTTTTCTCTCCATGGAATCTTCCTCTCCTCTGCTGCTCTCCCCCATGTTTGGCGGTCTGTTGGACTCTCTCATGCTCTCTTTTGGATCGTTCCAACCCGTCGAATCCGGGGGGGGAGATAGTCCAGTGAAAGAAACTGGGATTTCTGCCTTCTGAAATCCGCAAGTCTGTTTCACCGGATATGTTGCCTTAAAAAAACGTAACAAAAATAATCTTTCTGAAAAAGAAGCTAAAAGTTTAGCCTCACGCTGCCGTCATCCTGTTTTGCCTTTTCACTCCCCCCCACCCACTTTCACCGGACCGAGCTATTCCATTGACGACCCCTCTAGTAGGGGGTGGAAGAAAAAGAAAAGAAAACGGATTAACTTCACCTGCACATTGTTGACCGTTAGTAAGATTATTAACCCCCCTCCCAAAAAAAACCATTCACGACTCCATTTGCTCCGCGTCTCCCCAACTTCCACCTTTTTCTCTGCTTGCACCCATTCCCTCCCCCCCTATTTCCAAGCGGGGATGGCGCGTTCCGAGCAGCCGCGTTCCCAGAACCCCCCGCGCGGCGCGTGCCTTCTCTCTTTCCTCAGGCGGAGACCGCGCGGAGCGGAGCAGCTGCTGGTTCTTCCTCTCGGGTTCCCCCCCCCCCAAAAAAATACCGTTTCCCTCCTCTCACCTAACGGTTATTGCGTGAGTAGAGACCATTTCTTCTCACGGGGGGGGGGGAGGTGAGAAGGGGTTGCTAGGCGACGCTTTACCGGCAAAAAAGAGGGGGGGCCCTGATACTTCAAAAATGGGCTTGAGCAGAAACCGTCCCCCCCCACGTCCCATCATGCACCGCGGGGGCCTGACTTTGGACCGCCAAAACGGGGGGGGGGAAGGAGAAGGGCGCCCCTTGCAGATGGAATGGGAACCCAAAGGGCCATCTAGTCTGACCCCCTTTGCTTCAGGGTTTTTGTGTTATTTTCCTGGGTTTTTTTAAAAAAAATATTTTATTAAGGGTTTTCTTGTTTTACAGAAGTAAGTGAAATGCCTCGTATTTTTTCCCCCCCATGTAACATTTTTACAAATCCGTTTCATTTGTTGAGGCATTAGGGGGAGAAGAAAAAAAGGAAAAAAGAAAGGGGGTGGAGAGAGGGAAGATGGATGGGGGTGGGGTCGGGTGGCGTTCCTGGTTTTATTGTGATTTTTTTTTCTTACTCCCACCCCCCACATGTATGGAAGCAGGAGGCGGGTTAGGAAAGAGCCCCTTTTATAGGTAGAATTGTAGAATCGGGAGGAGATCCCTAGGGATCATCTGGTCCACTTCCTTTGCCTTCCTCTTCCTTTCTTTCCTGGCTAGAAAATTATTGTTGTTATTCCTTTCTTGCTTTATATCCCACCCTTTTTCTCCTCCTCCCCCCCCAGACAAGGTGTCAAGGCAGCTTACACAAATTAAGACAGCACGGATAGCATTCAAAAAGCTAAAGTAAAAAAAGCGAAAGGTGGTTGCATAAAAGTAATTGAACTCAAATGGAACTGAAATAGTGGCGTATTTATTAATCTGGCTGTGTTTGTAGAACAATATTTAAACACCTCTAAGTGGGGTACACAAAAATGCTGCCATTTGCACCCCCCTTCCTGTGTTTCCCCTCTGTCTGTTTTAGATTGTAAGCCCTTTTAGGGCAGGGACCTGTCTAACTTGTTTGTAAGGCACCATACGCATAGATGTTGCTATAAAAAAACTATAGTAATATGTGGCAAAGTGAAAAATTCAACTTTAAGAAGAGGGGTGCTGGGTTATTTATGAATTTTTTTTACTCCACTTTTTCTCTCTGAGGAACTTGGGGTGCTCTTCCACTCATCCCAGTCTTACCTTTCCCATTGATGTGGTCGTGAGTTGGGTTGTAATTGGCCCAGAGAATAAATCTGAGAGGTTGCTGATCCAAATCTTGACTATGATTCAACATTGTAGGCTGCCTTAGGCAAATGATTGTCTCTTGGCCTTAAGTTGGGATGATAACTGGTCTCTTCTATAGCATTGCTGTAGCACATTGGTTATAGTGTCTAGGGAGACTTGGGTTCAAATTCTCACACAGCTGTGGATCTCATTGGCCGATCTTGTTGCGTGAGTCACCATCTCTCATCCTTGCCTACCTCATGGGACTGCTGTCTGGATGAAATAAGAGGAAGGAGAGCCATGAACGCTGCTTTGAGCTTCTTGGAGGAAGGGCAGGATATTAATGTAATGTTTGTGAAGTCCTTTCAGTTCTTCAAAGTGCTAGGTAAACGCCAAGTTGCCGGGGTGTGCAATTGGCCATTTTGGCTGCTAGCATTTAAAGCTGGTTTTTGCCATTCTAAATCAGGCTGCTATGCTATTCTGACTGACCACCTGACTGCCTCTCTTATGCTGACCTATCTTATGGGTTCGGAAGAACTGCTTTGCTGAATCATACCCAAAGGCTGCTTATTCTGGCATTTTTGCCTCAGACAGTGGCCTTATGGATGCTTTTGAAATGCTTCCAAGCGAGGCATGATCACTTCCTTTTGTGTCATCGTTTGGTAGTTGGAGGTGAAATTGGTAGTTTCAGGCATAGTCTTCTGTTTTTGCCATGGTAGTCCTGTCTTCCATGAACTTGAATAATTCCTGAGGTTGTTTCCAAGCAGCTGTGAGCCAATGCAACCTTCCTCCAGGAAATATATAAAGCTGTACTTCAAGAAGTTTGTGGATGCATATACAAAAAACTGCATTTTCTCACTAGGTGGTCTCTTGCCACATATGTGATCCTTTCTACTCGCAAGTGAACTGTTTGTGATGGAGTCCGAGGCGTTCTCAAGAGGAAACTTTATTTCACACAGTGCTCTCTGCATATCTCTGCCACCCAAGGATTGAATTCTTTCACCAACCTTCTCTAGCCCAGCTTCTTCATACAGCTAAAGAAATGTGTCTGCATTTACTTCTTAATAATAAATGTGAGGGATTGTTTCTGGTTTCTGGTTTGTTACTGCCCCGTCTTAGAACCATGACTGGCTACAACATCTGCTGTAGCTATAAAGCACTGCAGCATTCCTGAGTATATCTGCCTGTGACAGTTCTATCTTTGCATTTCCTGCATTCTAACCACTGTTCCATTTTTAATTCAATGTTGTTAACTACTGTATGCTATCTTAACTGCTTGTGGATCATACATATTTTTTTTCTGCCCTGCATTAAATGTTTGCTGTTGGATTTCCCTTTTCTTTTTATAGCAGCATTTCCTCTGTCCTTGTTCTTCTCTCCCCCCCCCCCCCCCCACTTTTGAGTTTTTATTTTAGGTGACCCTTTAAACAGAATACTGGACTAGATGGGCCTTTGGCCTAATCCAACAGGGCTTTTTTTTAAGGTTCCTACCCTTACTGTTGTGTTGAGGGTTCTGGTTCAGAAAACGGACAGGCATCTCTAACCTGACACTGTGACAGAATACCTTTAACTAGGATTGGGAAAAACACAAGTGCCTTAAGACCTGGTGACATATTTTCTCAAATGTTTTTCCTCCCCATCAGAACCAAGGTTGTTGTTGTTGTTTAGTCGTTTAGTCGTGTCCGACTCTTCGTGACCCCATGGACCAGAGCACGCCAGGCACTCTTGTCTTCTACTGCCTCCCGCAGTTTGGTCATTATTTTTTAAGCTAAGGTGCAAATCTTTACTTGAGGATTTTGCAGTTCCACCACCCTCGGAAGATCGGAGCAGAGAGGTTGGTCCGGACCAGGGCATTCTCTGCAGTAGCCCCTAAGTTGTGGAAATCCTTCCCTACAGATATGTGTGTGTGTAGCACCTTCCTTATACATCTAACAGTCTTTGACACCTGAGAAGTGTGCTTTCAGGATCCACACTATTCCTGCAATAGTAATTAGTTTAAACTGTTTTAATACTGATTTTTCAGCATCTGTAACTTCCGCTGGGACCTTGCTGGTGAAGGGCAGGTAATAGAGTTAAATAATAATAGTCATAATACATTTTTCTTTTCATTATGAGGCCTTCTGAGGGATTCTCTATTATGGTAGCCTCCTGCCATAGAGGGCGAAGCTTTCATGTTACATACAGGGGAGAGAGCTACCCTTTGGGAGTGGAGCTGGTTTTTTAAGAGTCAAACCCTTTTTTGCTGCGTTGTGTTTCAGATATTTCCACTTCTGCACAGTGCCATAAACAGCTACTACTTATCTTGTAGGATTGTGCTGTGATGGTGGGTTTGAATCTCTTGGTGGCTTTACTCTTTGGCTAGTACGATTCTGGAAACAAAGCCATCTTAACCTTTCTGTTTTCTGTCTTTCTTTCTTAATGCTATCCTAGGAACTAAAAAAGTAAGTACTTGCTCACAATATTCTTGCTCCTTTGTTTGCTTGACTTACTCGAATGAAAAGTGATGCCCAGTAAGGTAGATCTACTAGGCTTGGCTTTTAAAGTATTTAATAGCAATTGTGGCATTAAGTATTTATATTGTACTTGTGTCTTACATTTTGATGCTGAGGCTTTTGTGGAGGAGTGGATAGCATCTTATTTCAACAAAAACAGCAGGAATGTAAAATTACTACTGTCTTCCACCATCTACAGCCTCCTAATGGAAAATACGTCTTCTGCTGCTGATAATCTGAGGTGTATTGCCTTTTAGACAATTGTATATTGGTTTTAGATTCTACCCAGCTCTTTTACAAAAGCTTGGTAGCAACTACTGAAAAAATAAGTGATTAACAGGATACCACATTAAAACCTATTTAAAATAAATCTACATTAGCTTTACTATGGCTGTTGAAAGCCAGCCCAACCAAGAAAGCTTTTTCAGGCTGCCAGAAGGTATTCATGCTTGACATATCTCTATTGTGATTTCCACAACTGTGTAGTGACTGCTGATTAACCTCGCAATATATATAATTACCGCTCATTCTAGGCGACATGTACAGTACAGTTCTGGAGGCATTCCTATCACAACCGGTAGGATCAGAGGAGAGGGTAAGGCCCACGCTATTAAACTTTTATAACCATAATCTTAGCATGTCTCAAACAAAAAAATAATAGTAATTATATTAAACTTAAAATATGCATTTAAATAACCCCACCTACTGTAAAATATTGCCTCCTTTTTGAAACAGCAGTTTCACTCACTGGTTTAAAGCAATTGGCTCTAATTCTGCTAATCCCAGAATAAGATGGAACATTTAGGGGGAACACCATGTAAGCACCCTTTCTTTTTAAGGATTTGGGTTTTCAAACAAATTGTCTATGCAGTTCATGTAGAAAAATCATGCCCATGTCTCAAAAGGGTGTATCCCTTTTGAGATAATCCAAGTCATAACTGAAATAATTTCACAAATATATTTACTGCTGCTGAATCCTTTTAGCTAACAGCTTCTCTCATAACATTTTCCAAAGTGATAGCCCCAATATTTAGCATTTTGTAAGTCACCTGATTTTGGCCTTAGGGTGGAAGGGTCACTGCTTCTGTTATGTGCTCTTTGACACTTCAAGCAACTGGAGAATAATAAAATTAAACTCCTCTCCCCTCCTCCCCCCCTTATTCACTGTTCCTTCTCAAAATATGGCTCTTTTCTCCAAATTTAATACAAGTAATTTGTGGCTGTGGAAGAATCCTATCTATCCCTTGTGTCTTTGTCAGCCTTTTGTTAAAATCCTTGTTTTTTCCCTTCTCCAGCTCTTTCCCCTGACCCAAAACTGTAGCTTACTCTTTTACGCTGTTGGATGCTGCTTCTATTTCTAGGGGAAGCTTCAATATTCCAAATTCTCCCCAAATCCCTTATCCCTTGCACTTAGTTAATGGCTATATCAAAAGGTCGTGGAAGAGTTACCACGGATGCAAGCACTGTTCCCACTTTGCTCCTCCCGTAATACAAACTGGAACAGCAAACCACAATTTCTGGCTTAGCATGGTGTCCGGATCAGGGATCATTGTTTATTTCACTCCCCCCCCCCCCCAATAAAAAAACCTGCTATGTGAATCCTAAGATGTGCGCTTTTCTTGTCCATGGCTTGTTTGAGCGACACAAACCACAATCCCTGGTTTGGACATAATGCTAAGCAAGGGGTCATGGTCTCCCCTGCTTGTACTAAGGGAGCAACAAAATGGAAACTATCTCCACCTTGACAATAAACCATTAACTATGGTTTACGCTGATGTGGAATGCAGCCAGGGTTTCATACAGCTTCTGCCATGTATGGGACAACTGGCTAATTCCCTTTTTATGCAACGTTAAAAATACATTAAAACTAGGATTCTGAGGTTATTGTAAATATGGGACCTACTTTGTGCGATGTGCTGGAAATGTGCAGTGTACCTGTTTCAACATTCATTAAATGCACTGGGAGGCCATGTGCAAGGAGAGGCAAGAGGTTTACTCCCATCAGTCACTACTTTTCATCCCCTGAGATGGCATTGTGATGTCATTGCCGTTCACTAGTCACAATGCCCTAGAGATTTTACACAAAGGAGACTCCCTTGACTAAGTCCATACAGCTCCCAGCTTTTCAACATCTTGATATGAACTTGTTTTCAATGGGGTCAGGGCTGGACTTTTAAGAAGTAAAATTTTCCATTTTTTTTAGAACGAGCATTCCATTTCAAGTCACCAATAGTAAGTAGGGAAATTTAAAAAATGCTTTTCAAGAAATAGAAAGCTCATTTTTAAAATAATCTTGTTTTTGGGGGTGTCCAGTGCTGATGTGTCTTTCAAGTTAATTCACTTATACAAGAATTACACATTCACAAAATTGTTCACAGTGATAGACCCAATATTTAATACTGTACCAAGAGCATAGATTTTAAACCACATGGTAAATTTCAAAAGTTTGGATTTCATTAATAGCATAAATATGGGCACAAATCACACCAATCACAGCTTTGAACCAAACTAAACCTCAGTAGGGCTTTTATGAGATGTAGATTGGATTATGACCATCAGCTGCACACTATGATATTCGAAATTTGAGGTCAGTTATTCCCTTTGGACTTGTTGGACAGTTGCTACTGAGTCATTTGTTCATATTCTGACATCCTCTTGCAAAAGGAGTATGGAGTCCTAAACAGTGCTCATTTACATTTTAATAACTGATGCTACTTGGATATATAGCAATGTGACTGATAACTTTGGTTTAGATAATAAGTTTTATCATTTGAGCCTCATGAATAAAAGATCATCCACAATGCGTATGTTGTTCCCAGCCTACAAATGAACAGTGAAATTGATTTGCTAATTTTGAGAGACTTGGCCAACATCTGTTGATCTGCTAGATAGTCTGTGAACTTTGAAGAGCCGTTTGTTGGCTCTGGGAGGGCTAATATTGCCTAACCCACAAATTCCAATCCAAAATATGGCAATTACTTGATCTACTTTGCCTCTGCCATTGTGTGTGATGATGTCCTCTGTGGTGGTACCTCGGTTTTTGAACGTAATCCATTCTGGAAGACTGTTCAACTTCCGAAACATTCAAAAACTGAAGCATGAATTTCTGGAAGCATTTACATCTGGAAAACTCAATACGGAAGCCGCGTGGCATATTTGGCTTCTGAAAAGCGTTTGAAAACCGAAGCAGTTAATTCTGGGTTTTTGGCGTTCGAAAGCTGAAACGTTTGACTTCCGAGACGTTAAAAAACTGAGGTACCACTGTATATTCCAGTGAACACGATGTGCACTGGAAGACAGAGGGTGCAAACCAGATCGTTTCATTGCTCTTACTGGTTCTTGTCTGCATCCCAAGATACAGAACTAAATTTATGCTGCATCAAATAAATCTACTTTTTGCCCCATTGTGTAACAACAAAACAATTTTGGCATATGAAATGTAGTTTGGGGAGACAGAGCCTTCTAGAGCAGCTTATTTTGAGCAGCTTTGAAAATTGAGTAATTCAAGCTGTGAATAGAGCACAAAACTCTTGCGCACTCAAAACGCCATTGGGTTATATCCGGCTGTGTTTTACTCAGGAGTCAACTAACTGAAATCAATTGATCCAAGCCAGTCATGTCCGTTAATTTCAGTGGATCAACTCTTGAGTATGACTAGCATTGGATTTTAACTAGGGCTCTGCATATATGTAGGTAGTAGAACCTGAGGTCTTGAAATGAATAGAACCTAACTGCATGCCATTAGTATGTCTTAGGTTTTTTCCCCTTGCAACTATATTGCTGTGCTTGTTTCTTAATGCTGCCTCCCCGTTTGGAAGATGAGGACAAGGAAGCTGCTTTATCCAGCGGAAAAAGTCTGGGTGGACAAGCACAAGTATGACGAGGCAGAGAGGCTCCACTATGAGAGGGAAGCAACCTTAGCAGCTTCCGCTGCCGGGGCCTGTCAAGAGGTGGTGGCGGTGAACGGCTTCTGCCATGAGGAGGACCCTGTGGAAGAAGAGGTGAAGGGAAACCTGTGGAGGGCAGGAAGCAGGAAGAAGCAAAAGAAAAGGAAGTGCTCCCCCAAACGCAAGCCTTTAGACCCCAAAGTGGACTTTGTCCTGGCCGGGTTACTGGCTGACCGTGTCTGGTTTGACAAACCTCTCTTTGACCGGGCGGAAACAGCTTACAGGAAGAAGCTTGCCGAAATGTTGTTGCAGGAGGCTTCTGAGGGGCTCCCGGCCGCTGAGCAGTCTGCGCTGGTGCCCTGGTCAGAGGCAGAGGCAGAGGTCTTCCAAGGTGATACGAGGCCACAGAGAAACCTGGCTGCCTTGCACTGTGCCCATGGTAGCCTGATGGCCTGCCACCACATCATCCATGATGTTTGGGTTAACAAGTTCAACTTTGACGACGCTGAGAAGCTGTTTGTCGAAAAATCCCAGTTGGTGGCTCTACCACAGACCCTGGACCTCTCATCCACGCCATTGCACAGCAGTAGTGGACTAACACCAGATGAAGGCTATGTGACTGCACTGCCTACTCCTTCAACACCAGCCCAGCCTGCGGATGTCATTGTGGATACCGGTGCGTCCCCAAATCTGCCTGATACTTTGATCCAGCCGGTGAACGGCAAGCCTCAGGTGTCGAGTTTGCAGGCGCTGATCTCGGAGGTGTGGCTGGAAAAGCCTATCTACGATGACGCAGAGAGATGCTTTTACACAAACATGTTTGACGGGCACCCTCCGGGAAAGGTGAGGTTGCAGGAGTGTGGGCGCCCAGAGTCTTCCAAGAGGAGCCGGAAGGACAAAAAGGGCCGTAGCACAGGGAAGCAGGCAGCAGCAGGCAAGAGGGGCAACAACAACATCTCTGCAACGGCACCTCCAGATTCTGCACTCTCACCAGCCACTTGGTATTTCATGCACAAGGACAGCGAGTCTGCGTGGCTCAGCAAACCCACCTACGACAGTGCTGAGGCGCAGTACTACATCTCCAAAGCCTCAAAGCTGGCAAGCAAGCAGGAGAGCGCCGGAATGCCCGAAACGATGTTAGCAAAGCCATCGCAGCCAGCTGCTCTCGCTTCAAGCGCACCAGAGTCTCATGCTAAGTAGGAAACGCTTGTTCTGGGGTAGCATTCCCAAACCTAATGGGCCAAGATAGTGTGGAAAAGCTTCTGTATGTAAAACATTGAAATGTGTTGTGTCCCACTGTAGAAAGATGTAAGCAAGCCATAATAGGTTAGAAGGAGGAAGGGAATGGTTTTATGATTTGTCCTCCTCAATTGCTGGTAGTGCTGCTCTGTACTATTTAAGCTTATAAATTATTCCCATTACTTTTGCAGAGCCTGTTAACTTGTTCAGGGGAGGCATCTGAAATAGGATTTACTATCTCTGTGTTATTATTACTTTTAGGGGATTAGTACCCTGCTCCTCATGCAAAAACCTTCCAACTGACATGCATCAGAAGAGCAATTTGCTTGATTATATATATATGTAGAGCATTAAGACGTTCTGCATAATTTTATATACACAGGTCACATCTATTTTTCATGTGCCTAATTTGTGGGAGCTTTTGCTTTTGTCAGATATGGAAAAGCTTTTTTAAAAATATGACTTTCCCAGATACTGTATCTGACCCTTTCTGGCTGTCTCAAACCCTGGCCGTATTAAGCTGGAACTATACCCTAAAGTGCTTCTTAGCAAAGAATTGTTGTCACTTGAAGGTACAGTGGTGCCTCGCAAGACGAAATTAATCCGTTCCGCGAGAGTCTTCGTCTAGCGGTTTTTTCGTCTTGCAAAGCAAGCCCATTGACGGATTAGCGCTATTAGCGGTTTAGCGGCTATTAAAGGCTTAAAGGCTTAGGGGATTAGCTGCTAAAAGGCTATTAAAGGCTATTAAAGGCTTAGCAGATTAGATAAAGGGGGGGAAAAGCGAAAAAAATCTCAAGACTCGCAAGGTATTTTCGTCTTGCGAAGCAAGCCCATAGGGGAATTCGTCCTGCGAAGCAACTTCAAAACGGAAAACCCTTTCGTCTAGCGGTTTTTCCGTCTTGCGAGGCATTCGTCTTGCGGGGCACCACTGTATGCTGAGTGGTGACTATGGCTTTGGTGGTTTTGGACTGATCTGGAAAGGTTTGGAACATTTATGTGAATGGAATGAACCAAACAGATACCTCTGAAAGGTGCTTCTTTTTGTTGGCTCTGCGTTTCCCTGCAGTTTGTTTCCTGTCAGGTTCTCCCCTTTCCCTCTTCACTTAAAATCTTCTATCCTTTGATCCTTTTCTGTGTCACCCTGCCCAATAGCAACCATGTAGTCTCTCCTGCCATGCAGTGAACCTCCCTTAGTTTTGAATTCCACTGCCACATGCAAAATTCTCACCTCTGTTTATGAAAGCCCCTATTTCCCATCTATGTTATGCTTCTCTTTTGGCCAGTTTACCAAACCACTGTGTACTAGAAGGAAGGCCTCCACAAAAGGGATGGGATGTTTTGCTCTTTAGTAAACTTTGCCCTGGTGCTTGGCTTTGCATTATTTTAAGCAGGTCTATGCTGTGTCCATTGGTGGACGTTGGTTAATGTGGCTTCATAACACTCCCTCTTTTTTTGCCCATAAGAGTTGAAGTGCTACTAAAATCATTTACCTAGAATCATTTTGGTGGCTTATTCAGGTGTCCATAGAGCTGGTGTCATAGCTACCCTCCTGTCTGGGCAAAGGAACTCTCCTAGCCCTCCTAGAAAGGCAATGTCAGGAAAAGGTTGTTTGAACATGAGCATATTGAGAAAAAATATTCTTAGCTGTTGGTTGGACTGTGTGGATTTTCACGTGTCTTGTCTCAGGGTAGTTGAACTGGTTTTTTTAAAGAATGCTTGCTTATCTTGCAATGTCAAAAGGACTGAACAGGCAACCAAGTGACAGAGCAGTAGGTTCCTAATTGGTCCCATTTACACAAGCCTTCCCATCTCGGGTAGGGAAGATCAGTGGGATGTGGCCCAGTGGGATGGAAGAGGGAGATGATGTTTGACTAAGCTGGCCCTAACCGTTGACCTGAAATATTTCTAGGTATTTATTTAGTCTCCCCCTCTTTTCAGAAATATGGCTGCCAGCTTCCTCATGCATGAAAAGATCTGGTTTGACAAGTTCAAATACGATGATGCTGAGAAGAGATACTATGAACAGAAGAACGGTCCAGCTGCTAGCCCCTCCTGCCACCAGGTAAGAGGCAAATACTGTCCAGGGGAAACAGGCAGCTTGCATGGCACAATCCTTCTGGAGCAGGTAGCAATATGGTGGGGGCTCTCTTCATACCTCTATGAAGTCATTTCCATTAACAATCTCACCACCTACTGAACACCAGATGAGCTTTGCTAGCCTTTGCCTAGCCTCCTGCTAATCAGATGTCTGTGGGAAGCCACCTCCTGCTAGTTCCTGACCACCACCAAGTAACTGATATATTGCTTGGTACCTGTAGGAGCTATGAAACAATATCCTATGTAGAGTACCTCTCACATTATTCTTGGAGCACCAGACGTCTTAAAATTCTCTTCCTGCCTATCATCTCCTTGTCAAGTACTGGGCTTTTGCCTTTGGTTGCAGAACAATCGCCCTGCTCCCCCCCCCCCCACTCTATGGTAAAAGGGAATCCAAAACATGTTATTTCCCAATGGGATGCACTGCTTTGAGAGGGCAAGTTCTCCTTTCCCTGGTGCGTTTCCAGGGAAGAAGAGCTCCTCAGCTACTGTACAGGTGCTGTAGTTTGAGTACTACAAGAGGTAGTGATTGCCAAGCAGGTAATTTCCAGCTTAGCTCCATTCCACATTCATTACCCCTTGCCCCTCGAGCCTTGCATTCTTTGCACTTCTAAATGTTTGTCCTTGAGAGTGCTGGCTAGGGTAGAACAATGTGCATTAAAATAAACTTTTGAGCTATTTGAAAAGGAAAATGAAGCCATATTAGCTGCATTCGGGTGCAGTGCCAAAGTATGACTTAACTATATGAGGCCTCACCATGGTGAGGTTTGGTCTCGCATGTTCTCCTTCTCTTCCCACTTCCTTTATGTGCAAGGGGAGAAAACTTTACTCTTCCAGTTGTGCTTTGTGACAAAGCACAATTCTCTCCTTCCCCCGCGCCCAAATATATGCAACTGGCTTTTCCAAATGGTGTCAAACCAGGATCTGATCGTGGTTTGATGATCCTAATTTAACCATCTGTAGTTTGCTACAAAGAGAAAACGAATGCTTCAGATTTCCTCTTTTGTAGGTGAAGGGCTGGAAAGGCCTGTTATGACACATTCCCATATTGCTAAACCAGGGAGGGGGGACATTTTTGGTCTGGTGGCCCAGATCTACAATTCTCTTTTGTGCACCCAGACTAAACAGGACTGAACACTCCGCACATCAGCTGGTGAGAGGGGAATGGAATCCTGCTGTGCCTGTCTGCCCCATACCTGATGTCACATAGGATGTTTGGTGTGGGGCAGGTGAGTGTGATTGCAGGAAAATGATCTTGCAGGCCAAATGGGGAGGCCTGGTGGTCTAGATTTGGCCTGTGGGCCAGAGGTTTCCCACTCCCGTGCTAAACCATGCTTTAGTGTTCCATCTGAATGCAGCCACTGACGGATTTAAGCTGTTTCCCAATAATCCAGGTTACACTGAAAGGACAGAGTAGGAACAGCCTTGCCTCCTTGGCATTGAATGATGGAGATGAGAGGCAGGATTCAGTAGTGTTGATAAGGTTTTCTAGGCTGCAAGAAAACAGCTGTATAGCAGGGAGCAAAGCTTTGTGACTGAACAGGTTCCATAGAGGTTGCTGTTGACTCTGTTATAGAAGATGGCTTGTAAGGAAGGGAGAAAGTGCAGGAAATTCTTACATGTTCTTTCTTACGAATGTTTGCCGGCTGTTATGAACAGCATTTGTTGGACACCCGCATACTCCCCTCTTCCTCACAACCTGCAACTTCTTTTATCTGTGGCAGCTCATCTAAAACCCACTGTGTCTGTACATGCAAGACATTTCCCCTCTCTTTTCTTGCCAGTTTATATAGGCCCCTCCCTAAGGGTAATAGAAAAGTTTATATAGACCCCTCCTTAAGGGTAATAGAGTGGAAGTCTCCAGATTAGACCAAAACGAAATTAAAGTTCTGACTCGGCAGCAGCACAAAGACTTGTAGCGGTGTCAACTGAATTTCTGCAAATTTGTCCAGGTTAAGGTGGAAACCCTTAATGTAGTGGCTGGGCCACAAATATGTAAAAATGCAAAACTGAAAGATGGTTGAAATCTGCAGGGCTTTTTTAAAATAATTGCCTGGATGGTAGATGCTGTACCTGTTCAGCTACAGTTGTGCTGCCTTCAGTAGTTACACGATTGTAGGAATTAGAAATGCTCACCTGTGAGCAATTGTGCACATGGTACAAGCTCTCATAGGGGCAGGCTGTGAGTGAAGCAGAGGGCTCTCTTTTCTCTGGTAAGCAGGAGATCAAGTGAAGTTTGCCTCATATCCAGAAGCATCAGCTTCTAAGTATTCAGTCTCCCAGGGCTTATTCTCCAAGCTGCTTTGTTAGTTAGTAAGGAACTTGAAGCAAATGAGACTGACATTCATTAGGGCAATGAAATTGATAAGCGTCTTCTTTACATCTTGAGAGCATGACAGTGTGATGGCCTATACTTGTCTAATAAAGATTTGGCGAAGTAAGTAGAGAACATGACAGTTTAGAAGGATGGCTCTTGCCAGGAAGGATTAGATTGGTGCTTTCCAGGGCCCTGTTTTCTTTTGGGGGTTTTTTAACACATCAGGGGCTGCCTGGCAGTGTATGCCACAAGAGAGACTGAAGTGTGCCTTCAGTATTCACCATTCCAAACACGGATTCTTTGACGCAGCTTGCACTATCACTAGTCACAGGGGAATCCTAGAACACCCAACATTGGCCAGAAAGTTCTTTCCCATCCCTGAACCCTAACTGAATGGACAGAAAACAGCATAGACTTGGCTGTCCCACAGTTCTAAAGAACTGGTTGAGAAACTGCACATCTTCCTGCCTTGCAAATAACTTGACAGTTATTTGATTCTGTTTTTTTGGGTATAAGACTGAAGTGTGTGTCCATTTCTTTTTGTTTAAACCTGTGCCACAGGTGTCAAAGGTTTGGGAAAACGCTCATGTAGGATCTGATGCATACTAATCTCAGCTTAGTTTGTGTGGAGGGCTTCAGATGCATGGCCTAGGCAGCGTGATTGCCACCATTAGAACAGCACAGCTTTCATGATTTAACAGCAGTTGTTATGCCAGAAGATACAGTCTAGATTAAAGTTAAACCCATCATCAGGTCAGCATGAGGAAACTTATGTTCAAGGCTGTGATGTGTAGATTGGAATACCCCACACAGAATTTGGTATCCTGAAAAAATTCACCTAAAAAGTTTCAAGTCACAATGGTTGAGAGGTGCTTGCTAACACATGACCTGGAGAAAACCTCAGATGAGAGGGGATCTGGTTTGCCAGCAGCTGTGGCATCAGTGCTTGGCCCAACTCTGCCCCCCATCTCATGGCTTCCTTTTCATGTTATACATCTAGCCCAGGTATGCTTGCCATCTCCACCATGTTTCCAATTCTGTCAGCATCATTCTTGATGTGGTTGGGGAGATGCCAGGTTTTTTGAAAGCCTGGCGCTTAAGAGCAGAATCTTGTTCAAAACCAAGTATATTCAAATTTCATAATCTAGGCCAGCGTTTCTCAAACTTGGGTCTCCAGCAGTTGTTGGACTACAACTCCCATCAACCCTGACCACTGGTCCTGCAAGCTAGGGATCATGGGAGTTGTAGCTCAACAACTGCTGGAGACCCAAGTTTGAGAAACACTGATCTAGACCAAAGAATGCAAGTCTCAGTTCAGGATATGCGACTGCCCTGCCTTTGATGTAAGAAATTTATTGTGTCTATAAACCCACTCTATTTGCATAGGGTGGGTAGCAGCAGTATAAAAAAGCACTTTTGTCAATTCAAAGTCTGCATGTGCACTTTCTGTGGGGAATAGGGTCACTGACCCAGATACTGACTTGGGTATGGCTGTGTCATGAATAGCTACACCCGCTTCTCTGATGCAAAAGTTGGTGGGAAGTTGGAGCGTCCCGGTGGCTTCTGCCTGAATCCTATCCTGCAGCTATTCCAGAAGACAGTCTGGCTATATAGCTGCTGACAACATAGTTGTTTCATTCCGTGGATGGATTTTTACGCTCACTAATTTTTTTCAATGGCTGACTGCTCTCGTACACAGTAAAAACACTTTCCCTTCTTTCATGTGATCCACCCTCAGTAATTTCGCCTGTATCTGTTTGTGCCTTTTAAAAAAGAACAAAAAAACCAAACAAAAAACCAAACACTTGGTTCTTTCTGCACTGTTTGCAGGAGAACGGAGCCAGCACGATCCTACGCGACATTGCCAGAGCCAGGGAGAATATCCAGAAGTCGCTGGCCGGAGTGAGTACCTGGGCGCTCTCTCACCAGCTGGCTAACTGCATTCATTTTTCCTAGCTATGGCATATCTCACAGATATAACTCCCCCTGCTCCTACTGTGACTGATTCCCCCCCCCCCCGAGCCTGTGCGTGTGTCGCTTTTCTTACCATAAGTCAGAGGGGATGGATGAGGTGGAATGAGCTCTGTCATATCATAGCATCCTATTTGTGACATAATCCTGCTTGCTCTAGCCAGACTGCATCTGCAGACTAACCCAAAGTGGAATTGCGGTGTGGCATTCCATCAGCTCATAATTCAGAACCAGAGCATGCGCTTGGCAGCAGTCATAGGTTTTGCTAGGTTGCCATTTCAGACGGCAGGTTGCAGCCTTGAATGCAGCCTTGTGATATGTGCTCGTATGTCAGTTCTACTCTAGCTTCTTGACATACATTGGTGGTTGGGAGCTTATAACTTGGGGGGTAATTCAAGCATGCATCCCCCCCCCCATCTGATCTGGCAAAATAAATTGCATGCAACTTCCTCTGTTTCTGTTCTTTGCGGGCTTAGCAATTGCTTAGCTTCACACTAACGTAGCACTTCAGGGACAGCAGTTGACCTGTCAGCAGGGGCATTTGTGAGCTGAACAGTGAATTTCTTGATCCAGTTTCCGTTAAGATATATACAGAGAGATTGCATTTGCACATTCTGCCTCCGGTGAGCTGGTTTGGCTGTGAATTTTAACTCTGAATGCTGCTGCAGTAGCTTAGCCTGGGTTCACCTAAACAAAGGCAGTTGACTTTCTTTAGCAATCACATTGCTGTTCCTCCTGAGGAGCTTGGAGTCATTTGCACAGGTTCCCAGGCTCTCCAAATTCCTTAGCTTCAGCAATAGAACTGGATCGTATGCAGTTTGGTTCAGGAACACAAACTTCAATTTGATGTTTAGTGGGCATGTCCTCTATAGTTTCCCATAAAGAGAATCTTGTTCAGTAAAGCAGGCAAACAATATCCCAGATTCTTCCCCAAGTGATTTTTTTTTAAAGAAAGTAGCCCTCACCCACATTCTTAGATTCATGCAAAGTAAAGCCCCCATTTCAGCTCCTGAGTGAGAACAGGAGTTGTTTTTAGGAGCGGCTGTTGAACTGAAGTAACAGTCCGTGTTAACTGTGACCTCGGCTATGGAGCATAGCTAGAGTGCATAGTGTAGATTTACAGTTTCCAGAAAATTTGAAGCCATAGTGGGAGGCAGAACTGTAGTTCTGCCCCCTCCCCCTGGAAATTTTTGTGCAAAATAATGTATTGCATATTAAACCAAAATTACTTTGCTGCTTTAAGTACATAAAATGCATCATCTATAACTCAGCATAAGAGTTTGCCCCCCAGATTTCCAATCTTTGTTGGGAAAATGAAAAAAGCCCTCATAGGTGGACAGCAAAAAGCTCCTCTTTCCCTTTGTATATATATTTTTCTGAGCCTCGTTGACTCTAGCGCTTCTTAATGCTGCCCTCTGCTGACATTAGGATATGTCTTCTGTTTTTAGCTTGTGTATCTTAAAAAAGATTAGATTTTTCTGAAGAAGCCAGAAAATCTTATTTGCAGGAGAGGGCATATAGTAAAGCAGTCGTCGGTAGCCCTGTGTGGCATGCGTCTGCTTTCTATTAGCCACAGCAAATTGAGAAAATGAAGCTGTACTGCCTGGGGCTGATGGAAGTTGTAGTCCAAAATAAGCGAATAGCTTCAGGTTAAGAGAGGCTGCAGCAGAGGAGTGAGCTGAAGTGACTCATGAGTGTTAGATGTGAAGCAGAAGAATGTGGGGTTTGGGGTGCTGCGAGAAGATCATTCACTTTCAAGAACACACCTTGGAGACTTACAAAAAAGACAAAAGAAATTTGCCTCATCTTCTTGCATTTAGCCGGGAACTTTCATTCATTTGCATGGCTTCCTTTTGAAAACAAAAGGGCATTTTTCTTGCTTGATTTCATGCTTGCATTAATCTTGGGTGTGTTAATTTGAGCCAGTGAAGGGTTTTATTTATTGACTGAATTTGCATCCTGCCCTTCCTGCCGAAGGAGCCCAGGGCAGTTTTGACTTTGAATTATGCCTGGATGGCTCTGGATAACACTTGGTTGCTTGGCAAGTAGACGTGCGGCATAAGCAGAATAAAAAAGCCATTTGCGTCAAGACGCAGCACCTCTTTCCATTTTGCATTTGCATGGTCTCTCTGTTTCAAATAACGGCTATTTTTTGCTTTGTTCTGTTCAGCTGCAGCACTTCTTATTTTCTGCATGTGTGGCGTATTAAATGGGTACGTGTCTTAAGTTGATGAACAGGTAGGGGTCCCTCACAGTGGGTTTGATTTGACACTCTTTGACGTCACATGGCTGAAGCAGAGAAGAGAGAACAAAACGTGACTCCCTTGGGCAGGCATAGGCAAACTCGGCCCTACAGATGTTTTGGGACTACAATTCCCATCATCCCTGACCGCTGGTCCTGTTAGCTAGGGATCATGGGAGTTGTAGTCCCAAAACATCTGGTGGGCCGGGTTTGCCTATGCCTGCCCTTGGGCATCTTCTTGCCTGTTTCCATGCCTCTTAAATTCAGCCCCAAACTACCGTATTTTTTGCACCATAACACTCACTTTTTTCCTCCTAGAAAGTAAGGGGAAATGTCTGTGCGTGTTATGGAGCGAATGCCTGCGGGTGGCGGGGGGGATCTGCTGCAGTCGTGAGCAGAGGATCCATGGTTCCCCTTCCTTCCCTCCTCCGTGGTTACAAAGCATGGATCCACATGGATTTTTGCATTGGGCTACTCCAAACTCACTGTCAGATCACATGTCTGTGGCCACAGCATGAACCACAAAAATCATATATCCACTATTTTGTTTAGAATATTTTTTTTTCTTGTTTTTCTCCTCTAAAAACTACGTGCATGTTATGGTCTGGTGCGTGTTATAGAGCGAAAAATACGGTATGTGTACTGGATTCAGTACTCTTAAAACTTGGATAGTAAGACAGCCTTGTATTTAACAACTTGCCTGGTGCGTATAGCGGGTTAGGAGTCCCACACAGGTGAGTGAGTAAGCTGGTGCAGAAGGAATGGATCTCTCCATTCTGCTTGGTTTCCATGCCAACTGCAGAAAACGAAGTGGAACTCTCCCCCTTCTCTCTGTCTTCCCTCCACTGGCTTGTTTGGGAGGGAGCAGTATTTATTCTCTCTCTCTTCCCCCCCCCCTCTTTCGCCCTCTAACCATCTTCTATTTCTACAGTGATTCACTGCAGCCAGCATGGAGACACAAATTGCTAGCCCCTTAGGCTAATAAAAAAAGGTTCAGGCTAGTTCAGGCTGATTTTTATTTGCAATATTTTACTCTGTCTCATCATTGCATAGTGAAACCAGGGCAGGCAATAGTCAAAATGTAAAATTCTAAAACAGTTTCCAGTTACAAAGTTAGGAAGCAGGAACAAACAATTCCTGCTTTCAATTTCCAGTTACAAAGTTAGGAAGCAGGAACAAACAAACAAAGAATTCGAGACCAGGGAGAAGGGTCGATGGAAGAAGACTGGAAAAAATTTAAAATATATCTTCAAAAATATTGTAATATAAAAGACTGTTAGAAAGATGTTGGAAAAAGAAAATTAGGTCATTTTGGTAGATATGATATAAAGGATTAAGCAAAAATGAGTTGATGAAATTGATGAAACAGAGGATGTTTAACTATATTATTTTAAATTAAAATACATAAATGAAAATAAGGTTAGAAGGACTTGCTGGAAATACGATCTGAACTAGAATACAAAATTGGGAGGTGAGAGGAGGTCATGGAAATAAGTAAAGGGAAAAGGTTATGTAAAGGTTTAATCTGTTTTTGTTCTATTTTAACTCAATGCATTTTTATATCTTTTGTTTTGTTTTCTTTTTTACTCTATTTTATTGTTCACTTTTTTCTTGTTACCTTTTGCTTTGTTATGGTTAAATTTTTCTTTGTATTTTGTATTTTTTTTTCTTTCTCTTTTTGTAATTTTAAACTTGGAATAAATATCATTTAAAAAAAAAAACAAAGTTAGGCAGCAGCCTGTGGGTCCCCAGATGATGTTGGACTACAACTCCCATCATCCCTGAGCTCTGGCCTTGCTAGCTAGGGGTGATGGGAGTTGTAGTTCAACAACATCTGGGGACCCACAGGTTGAGAAAGGTTGGATAAACAGTCTTGTCCAGGCACCAGAGGAGTCCCATAAAAGCCTGCTGGCAAGTATGTGTGTTAATCTGGCGGTGAAAGATCTTCAGTAGATCATTTCAGCCCTAATCCCTGGCCTTAACCCGGGCTGAAGTGGGTCAAGATAACTGGTCTAGGCAGTGCTATTTTTCTGGGAAAAAAGGTGCCAGAACTCACCATGAACACCTCCCTCATTCTCTTAGAATGGCAATGACGCCCACCGGAGAGATGCTGGAACTAAGCGAGTTCCGGCTGGAAAAAAAGCCCTGGGTCTAGGAGATAGATAACTTTGGTCTTAATTGCATTTGGTAGAATTCAAGATCTGAAACAATTAGTCATTCCTGCTTTAAAAAAAATCATTTGGTAATTGTAGGTCCTTTAGCTCATTAAAAGCTTTTAAAGCTGTGGGGTTCCTTTTAAAGCATTTGTTTGGAAGATTTATAGACCACTAAATATTTGACAATTTTAAAAAGGATTTCCCATCCTGTTTCTTTTGCATTTCCTTGTTAAAAACTTGGAATGGCAGCTTGAACTAAGCTCTATTGTAGGCTTTGGAAGCCAGGCCACTACCAAATGCGGAGGGCACCAGATTGACCAAGGCTGCTCTGTTAAAATTGCCCGGATCAGTACTGTCAGCTTCTTCAGGGGAAGAGAAAGGGATTTGTGGTGGTGGTTTGTGAGCACAGCGTAAGAGTTTTGTGGGTGTGTTTTTCTTTGTTATGCATTTGATTTCTCTGGCTGCTGTAACACTCCTATTTTTAAAGCAATTTGCCATTCCTCCCCTGCTTATTAAAGGGAAGGACTGATTATCCTGATGGGCTTCCAGAACTTGTTTTTCCACAACTTGTTCTCTGAATTGATTTAATTGTGTTGTCTCAAACGTTCCAGCTACAGGACAGCAAGCTTCCTAAGTGGGTTTTTTAGAGGAATAAACAAATTATGGTGACTTGGGCCTAGTGCTAAGTGTAACATGAACTCATTTTGATTAGGAGGGTCGGTTACAGCATGTTTAAAAATAAAAAAATAACCAGGCTACAAATGGAGCTGATGATCAATTTATTTTAATAATTCAAGGAATGGCAGATACAAAATGCAGAGCTATGACAGTACTAAGAGATGGAGAGGCAAGTTGCAAGGCAAAACTGGATAAAAAAAAACCTGCAACAGAACCACAAATAAAAATTTAATGCCGAAAAGAGAGGACATTTTCATTTGGGAAATAGAAAGCTGCCATATATCAAGTCAGAACATTGTTCCATCCTGACAGCACTCTCCAGGATTTCAGTTGGAGACATTCCCAGTCCTATCGAGTTGTGGGAGGTTGAACCTGGAACCTTCTGCATTCATTTTTTTTAAAAAAATAATATTTATTAATAATTTCAGAATTACAGAAAAAAGAAAAAAACAACACTACAATACAAAAAAAAAGAGAGAAACGCAAAACATAAAAACCAATACAGCAAAAAAAAAAGGAGGGGGGAAAAAGACACAAATCCCAAATTGCATATCTATAATTTCCATTTGCTTGTTTCATTGACCTCCTCACACCTCCCTTTTTGTATTCTAGTTTAATTAATTGTTTCAGCAAATTCTTTCCATCTTTCTCAATTTTTGTTAAAAAATTTATCTTAACAATTTAACCTAATAATTAACTCAACAAATCCTTTCCATCTTTCCCCATATTCTGTTATTCAAATTACCTTAATTTATTTAACCTTATCTTACCCCAAAATACCTTAAAGCTTAAATCTTAGTTTTCAAATATACATAGCTCCTGATATCATTTCTGCTAGAGTCATATAGTTTCATTCCAACATTTTCCCTAATATTCATTAAGCTAATTCTAAATAAAAAGTTTTCTTTATAAATTTTCTTCCAATCATCATCCAGCGTCTCTTCTTCCTGGTCTCGGGTCGTGTCAGTCCTTACTGTCCATTCCATCTAGTCCATCAACCTGGAAGCCTTATGTCCGAGGCCCTTAAGTCTCTTCCATGTCCCTTCTGCAGTTCTTCTTCTTCTTCTTGTTTATACTTGCCCTTTTCCTTGTCTTTTGTTGGTCTCTTTCTTAATTTCTTTCCTTTCTCATTGAGGAGTAGGTCTCTGGGGGATTCCAACCCAAAATTGTCTCCATCTCCCTTCATCCAGCCCGCCCATTCCCCACAGTCCCACTCTCCACAGTCCTCGATATAATCCAAAAAGTATTTAAAATCATATTTCAAGGTCTCTCCAAGGTTAGGAACCTCCTCAGCTCCAAACTCCCCCGGCCCACTCCAACTTCAATCTTCAATATCAGCGGCTTATGCTCCTGTAGGGCCTCGGGTCTCTCCATTTGTATTATTTGAGGTGCAGCCGCATCCTCCTGGACCCTTCTGCATTCAAAGCAGGTATTCTACCACTGACCTTTGGCCCTTCACCATTGTCATAATATGCAACATCAGACGAAGGTAGGAGGAGTTGTGGCATACATGGAGATGGTGCCAGTGGTGCAAAATTTAAGAATCATTCTAGGAATCTATGGTATAAACAGGTTGTGAAAACAGTCACTCGCAAATGTGACTACATGCTGCTCACCTCAGACTCCAAATCACGTATGAATAAGTTATACAGCATCATTCCCCATAAATAACCTCTGGGGATTTCCCCATCACCATTCCTCCCTTCATCACAAGAATTCTCCACCTACTTCCACTTTCAGTTTCTGGACTAGTTCTCTTACCTCCTGGCTGAGGTTACCTAGTGACATTTAATGAGGGACTTAAAATGTATATGGATTGTTTTCACGTGTTTGTGTCTGAAATAATCCTGGCTGTTCCGCTAAGCCTAATGGCATTCCAGTTGCCGTGTCTATGGCTAAATTGCAAGTTGCCTTAACTGTTTAACACAGAACTTTCTCTGCTAAGCTATTTCTGCCATTTCCATGTCGGGACAAGTTGACAGTGTGAGCAGCTTATTTTGGGCTGGAATGGTAGGATTTGCTATCTCTGGTTAGGCAAACAAGACCAGTTCTGTGCCCTGACCCTAGTTGAAAAGAACAGAACTTTGAAGCTTAAACTCATTTTTAAAAATGCGCCCCAGGTTACTGTCTTACTCTCAGAATATTGATTTTACTTAACTTTTCTTACCTAGGCATGTTTTCCTGCATATGGGTTTGACTGCTCTGCTTAGCTGCCCACATCTGCATGAGTGGCCAGAGTAAACCGTGTATTTTTTTTTTACCATAAAATACTCTTGCCCTTTCCAGCTCAAGACAGTTTTGCAAAACCCCCACGAAGCCCCTCCAGCACGTCGCAAGAAGCAGTCAGGTCGCGCGACTGTAAGTCGCTTTTGGGGGTGGGGGGGAGCACAACAACCTGTTTGTTTGTCTGCCAGGGTCAGCCCTTGCTCCTGCGTAAGGCCCTTCCTCTGCCTCTTCCCCATTCTGTCATCGTGCTGCTTTGCAAAATCAGTGCCCTTTAATGGTCTAGTTATACATAGTTTTGCTTGTGGAAAATATCCACACAGTTATGTTCAGTAATCCTTCAGGAATGGCTTCTCAAGTAGGGAAAGAAACCTATATTCTAATTTTTAAATTAAATCTACCGGTAGTTTTTAAAAACATCTATACTACTTAAGCAGCAGAATAACTGAAAATAGTATTCCCTAGCCCACCTTTCTAGAACCCTTAGCTATAAGCTGCCATAGTTGTGATTAGATCCCAGTCATAAGATTCTCTGGTGCAAGGAACTAGCTGAAGCTCTCACAAGAGGCTTGTACAAACCCCCTATGATTTCTGATGCTTGTCTGTTGCTTATTCGATGTTCCAGTTTGCTTTTGAAACTCCCCGTTTCAAACACAGTTTTCCTTGCAGAGTGGAGGACTGCTGTTTAGGACAGGAAAGTGCCTTGAGTCCTTTTAGGCTCACGGCGCCTTGGATCCTGGCCAAGTTCTCTTGAGAAGAACTGGAGCCATCTCCCCCAGTCTTGTTAAAAAAATAAAACTGGTCTCCCATCCCTGAGTAGGATAGGTATTCACATTATTTGCCTTGCATGATGGTGTGATCTTAAGAACAGAATACTGATCATGTTTGGCCGGGTTACCTCCCCCTTAAAAAGAGGTGCATGCCATACACATATCCCCCCTTTTGAGCCATTCATACACATGCCATGCAAATATTATCGTACTTAAGATATTAGGAGGTACCGCATAGCAGGGACTATTTGACAGCTATGTTTTGTTTTGAATTACCTAAAAGCCCCACAGGAGCACATATTCAGGAGTTGAAGAACTGTGTACACCACAGTTTCCATCATGGGGCTCAGGCCGTGTGCTATTTGTCTTGCACCTTCTGTGTGAAAAAGCTTGTCCCTGTTGCTCTCTTCACAGCTTCCCCCATCCATTTCTCTCCTGTCACTATGGCTCTGTTATGATAGAGCATCTCTCTTGTCTGATGTGTCGGCAACCGACGGCCTCACCCTTCTCCATACTGTCTGTCTCTTTTTCAGAGTGTGAGCAGCACCTCTGCAGCAGGACCGGCTGGGGACCAAAGTGAGCTGGTCACCAGGATCGCGACCCTGGAGGCAGAGAATCAAAACCTTCGTTGTGGTGAGTGGCGAAACCAGATTATGACTTGCAACTGACGTGCCAGTAAAATCTTCACATTCTCTTGTTCAGAAGGAGGAGTCTGTGTGTTTTGACTTCTGTCAGCATTCTGCTGATGCTAATACAGTAACTGGCAGGAAGGAAAGCAAAGTGCTCCATGCTGTCAATTTTGATCCCATTCATTCAGTGTTCTCTATCCCTTCTCCCATTCTCTAGTGGTTACAGACCTTCAGCTTGCCATTTCCAGACTTGAGAACCGCCTGAGTCTTCTGGAAAAATCATCTACCTCTCATCACCCTTCACCGCCACCACCAACACAGGTAAAACCATTTCTAAAGGAACATGCCATCGTGTATTTCATCCAGTTGTGGACAGGAACACTATGGGGATTTGGGGGAGTGGCGGCAGTGGGGTTGGGGAAACCTCTGCAGGGTGTTTTTATTTAAGCCCCATGGAGAAGTACATAGTCTCAACCAGACCTTTGTGTGCTAGAAAGGTGGAACAAGTTCCTTATCTGTGGGGTAACGTCATTTGTTTGTTTTTGGAGAGCTTTGTTGCAGGAGGAAATTGGCAATGGTGGGCATTTCATTTTCAGCTGTTAACATCCTTCTCATTAAGGAGTGCCAGGGTTTCCCAGAAAATGTGTTTTACTTTTAAAACTATTCCCTTAATCTGTGTGTGGAAGTGACTAAGTAAAAACTTTCATTTTAAGTGCACTGGCCTGGGCTGTGATAAGTTACTGTCCACATTAGAAGATCCCTGCTGAGTTATCCCAAAGACCCATTTCGTTCAGCAACCTGTTCTCATGGTTGCCAGCCAGGTGCCCATGGGAAACACCCCCACAGGATCAGAGCACAACAGCACTCTGGGGTGGAAAGCCCAAATGACAGCCCTCTCCCCATAATTGTCACGAATCACAATCCATTTTGGTGTTTCTACGCATCTTCATACGTTTCCGAGCACAATTCAAAGTGCTGGTGCTGACCTTTAAAGCCCTAAATGGCCTCGGTCCAGTATATCTGAAGGAACATCTCCACCCCCATTGTTCTGCCCGGACACTGAGGTCCAGCGCCGAGGGCCTTCTGGCGGTTCCCTCACTGCAAGAAGCCAAGTTACAGGGAACCAGGCAGAGGGTCTTCTCAGTAGTGGCACCTGCCCTGTGGAACGCCCTCCCACCAGATGTCAAAGAGAAAAACAACTACCTGACTTTTAGAAGACATCTGAAGGCAGCCCTGTTTAGGAAAGTTTTTAATGTTTAACAGACCACTGTATTTTAATACTTTGTTGGAAGCCGCCCAGGGTGGCTGGGGAAGCCCTGCCAGATGGGCGGGGTATAAATAATAATTTATTATTATTATTATTATTATTATTTCCTTTCATTTCAATGGGGCTCCCTCAGGGTAACATGATGGATTGTGCCCCATGGGTCAAATTTGTGCTTGCTTATTGGCTGGCACCAAAAACTCACCCTCTCGCACCTCTCCCCTTCTTTTGCCTGTGACCAGAGTTCCTCTGCTCCTAGCGATTACCTCCCCTCCCTTTTGGCATTTGCTTTTCGCTTTCCCTTGATGCAAGATTTATTTTGGTGTCTCCTTGAAGCATGTTACTCCCATGAAGAAGGTGGAACCGCTGACCCATTTATCAAGGAAAGTTGAGCTGCCTTCTGCTTCGTCTACAAGGAAAGCAGAGTCCGCCGCGGCAGCGGCTGCAGATGAGGACGATGACGACATCGACCTGTTTGGTAGTGACGAGGAGGAGGAAGACCAGGAAGCTGCCAGAGTTCGGGAAGAGCGGCTCAAGCAGTACGCAGAGAAGAAGTCCAAGAAACCTGGCCTGATTGCCAAGTCTTCCATCCTCTTGGATGTCAAGCCAGTAAGCTCCTTTTTTTACCCTTTTCCAGTGAGTCAGTGTCATGGGGATAACTTCAGGTGCTCCACTCAACTGGTAAAGTGTATCTTGTGTGAATTGGGTGTTCATAAAGAACTCTCCACCTTAGCCCTGAAGCTCTGAGTGTGTCGTCTCTGCCCTTCTCTGTCTCTCACCCTGTCTCTGCAGTCGTCTGGGGTGCTGGAACAAATATGAGGAGAGCTATGAGCATTCCTTGTTCTCAGCACTTGATTGTAGATGCAGAGCTGAGTGTCCTGAAGTTTGGGCGAAAAAAATGCGGAACTCTCAAGACTGATGAAGCGCTGCCTTGGAGTACTAGGCCATGGTTAATGGGCGTTGCTTAATAGGGTTCCTAGTGTTTGCTGGTTTGGGCTTCTTGCCTAACTCCAAATTTGGCATCCCCTTAGACTTTTCGGACAAACTAAAAACGCCTGGCTTTGTATCAGATTCAGGGCACTTAGCTCACAAAATGCTTAATACCAAGCATAGGATGAATACGTAGCAAAAACTTAGTGCAGCAGTAATTGGGTTCTCAACTCTCTTTTGTCTTTCTGTGTAATGCTTAGAACCCGTGTCATGGGTATGTCAGATACTCAAATACAAAAATAGAGGAACCGCTAGACAGAAACATGCTGATATGAGGGAGTTTGTGTGTTGTAGTGGTTTCACCTTCAAATCCCAGTCACAAAACTTGTTACGGCTTTGGGCTAGTCTCCATCTTTTGAGCTAACCAAACTCACAAGAAGGCAGGTGAGGATGAGAAGCGCGGGGCAAGATTGCCCTGTTTGCTGCCCTAAGATCCTTGGAGAAAAAGCAGGATCAAAATAGCACCCGGCATTTTTACAACCCGTTCCATCTGTTTTAGCATCAGGGTACCTCCACAAGGCGGAGTTGCATTCTACACAAGAAGTAATCTTGCTGTAGCATAACATATTGAAATGGCAACTATCTAATAATTTTTGCACTGCAAACCTCCCAAGTGAACCTTGCAGCCCAGTCATCACTGTACTCTCCATTGAATTTGCTTTGGGCTGGAACTTGATTGTACAATCTCTGTTGTTCATGGCAGACACTTGATTGGTGCATGTTTAAGGAAAGGTTTGGGGGTATGTTACATTTGGCAAAAAAGAGCTCTGTGGAGTAGCTTGAAGACAGGTGAAAGGGAAGATCTAAAGTTTCATAAAATTGCTAACTGGATTTTATTTCTCACCAATGCTGGTAAGCTAATCTACAGTTGTGTATGACTTCTCCATTTCACATATTTACTTTTGGATAATCTCTGGGAAGTCTTTTATTCCTGCAAGCAACCTTGCACTGCCTTGTGTCAACTGTACTCCCTTGGCTCCTGCATTTTCCTTACTGATTGTGTTGCTAACTCCCATTGCCCCCTCTCCTTTCCCTCCTTCAGTGGGACGATGAGACAGACATGGCCAAGATGGAGGAATGTGTCAGATCTGTTCAGATGGATGGTCTGGTTTGGGGAGCCTCCAAACTGGTCCCAGTGGGTTATGGCATCAATAAACTCCAGATCCAGTGTGTGGTGGAAGATGACAAAGTTGGGACAGATATACTGGAGGAGGAGATCACCAAGTTTGAAGATTACGTAAGTTCCCACAGAGGACTATTTCTCTGGCCCAGTTGCCCAGCCCACGGTGATGTAATTCTTCACTGTAGAGATGGATGGCCATCTGTCATGGATGCTTTAGCTGGGATTCCTGCATTACAGGGGGGTTGGACTAGATGAGCCCTTGGGGTCCCTTCCAATTCTGTGATTCTGTGTCCAAGTTGTGCAAGACTCTTAACAAGATCATATTGACCATATTGGAGCTGATCCAAAACAATAGGGAAGAGGTGGAATTTCATGAACATTCCAAGCTATTTTGGGGGGAGAGGGCTTTTGCTTTTTTTTTCCCCCAGGGAAAAAAACCCCTGTGGGTTTTTAACCTTAACCTTAAAACGCTGATGCAAAGCGTTTGACTGAGGCCTAGTGTAGTCACATTAGTAGAACTTGTACAAAACTTCTCACAGAAATTAGATAGACAGACAGGCAGACAGATTCTTTGGATTTGGATTTGATATCCCGCTTTATCACTACCCTAAGGAGTCTCAAAGCGGCTCACAATCTCTTTTCCCTTCCTCCCCCACAACAAACACTCTGAGGTGAGTGGGGCTGAGAGACTTCAAAGAAGTGTGACTAGCCCAAGGTCACCCAGCAGCTGCATGTGGAGGAGCGGGGAAGCGAACCTGGTTCACCAGATTACGAGTCCACCGCTCTGAACCACGACACCACTCTGGCTCTCATTCTGTGTAGCTGCTTATGTACCAGAATGCGATCTGCATAGGTCACTGAAGCTGAGTCCCTCTTAAACCAGCAGCTGTGCTTGAGAGTCCCATTATGTTTCCAAACCTTCAACACACATCACACCTTCTTAATTATCTTAATTATCATGAGGGTTAGGGTTTTCAAACGATCAGATTGCAGAGTCTGTGGTTTGCACACACAGCCCCTTCGCTTAGGCCAGTCTTGGGATTTATTTTTTTTGGCCTGAGAGTGCAAAAACTCTTCTCACTTCGTTTTTCTCCCTTATGTCTTCCAGGTGCAGAGTGTTGACATAGCTGCTTTCAACAAGATCTAACGGCAAACCTTTACACTTTCTAGAGCTAATAAAAGGTCAAGAGTTGGAGAGCAGTGCTGTGTGAGGGCATCTTTCTTTTCTGTTGTAGGAGTTGCTGCTGATCAGAGGGCCTTTTTCAGCTCTCCTCCTCCAGGGTGCCTCTCTTGTTTTGGAGGTGGTTGAACTTAAATGTGCACTGCCTGGAGAGAAAGGCGCTGGTCCTGTTACGTTTCTTGTGCAAATAAAGTTCATTTCAGATGACCCTGTACTGAAGATGTTCCTGCGGCATTGTCCGTGCACGCCTCCCCGGCCACATGGACAATAGCTGGGTAACGTAGGGGTAGTTTGCATTCTCTTGTTATAGAGGACACAGTTCTTTTGCTTCCGGATATAATGGAAATTTGCGGATTTAGTGTGTGCGAGTGCAACCACACACACACACAAAATCAAATGCACAGAATAGGATGGGAGGTACCTGACAGCAGTTGTACATGTGAAAAGGATTTTGGAAATGGTAATAAGTTGCATGCTGAACATAAGTCTGCAGTTTGTGACTGCAAAAAATATATATAGTTCCAGGCTCTGCATTTTAAGAGGGATATAGACAAATTGGAGCCATTTCTCAGGGGTTGCTATGACAGTGGTCAGTGGGAGGGAAAATGAATCGTAGAAGAAGGTTGAAGGAAGTGTTATCTAATATTAATGGGAAAGGTTCAAGCCTTAGGTCAGGCATAGGCAAACTTGGCCCTCCAGATGTTTTGGGACTACAACTCCCATCATCCCTGACCACTGGTCCTGTTAGCTAGGGATGGTGGGAGTTGTAGTCCCAAAACATCTGGAGGGCGAGTTTGCCTATGCCTGCCTTAGGTATAAACATCGGTTAGTTCTTGAGCGAGAAGGAACATAAGTGCAAGGAGACAGATTGTCCAGAAGGGGGAGATCCTCCGTATGAGGTTAACAGTTGCACAAAATCCTCCTTGGGGTGGAGTTGAAACTGGAAAGGGACTGTTGGTCTGCACGTCAAGGCAGCTCCCATGCTTTTCTACTGATTGGGAGAAGTTGGCTTGGGCTGTAGGTCCAGTTTACATGTCAGGCTAACTTACATGTCTGCACAACCTGCCCAAGTGGGGATGAGCAAAGTAACCCCACCGACCTCTTCTAATGCAGGCTGCAATGTCTTGGTTTCACAGTCCTGGCTGCTTAAACCAGGTATAATGGACATCTTCAGATATCTAAAGGGCTGTCATATGGAGGGTGGAGCAATCTTGTTTTCACCTGCTGCAGAAGGTAGGCCTCAATCCAGTGGATTAAGTTACAAGAAAGGAGATTCCAACCCAACTCTAGGGCAGAACTTTCTGACAGTAAGAGCAGTTTGACAGCGGAACAGATTCTCATGAGAGGGGTTGGACTCTCCTCCTCTGGACGTTTTCAAGCAGAGGTTGGATAGACATCTGTCATGAATTCTTTAATTGAGATTCCTGTATTGCAGGGGGTTGGACTAAATGACACCCCCCCCAGGTCCCTTCCAACTCTATGTTTCTGTGACTTCGAAGAACTCTGAGCAGTTTCAAAACAAGCCAGCTTCAAACCAGGGGAGGGCACCATGTTATGGAATCTGCCCCATACCCCTACCCTAAATTTCATGTTGCAATAGGCTAGTTTGCATTAAGCCATTGTGTGCTCTGCTGCCTTATTGGGGTATTGGAGGGGTAAGCTCGCTCTTGTAAGGACTAAGCATGCATCCAAGGGAACGGGGGCAATTGGCAGGCCCCCAGCTGGCTCCAGCCCACCGGCCAGTGTGCCAGGCGAACTCCGGTCCTTGGTGCAGCATAAATCTGCGACACAGGCTTTAGAAGACGCTGCATGCTATTCAGCAGAGAGAACGCTGCGCAGACAGAAGTGGCACGAGAGGCTGTGTGAGCATATTTACAAGCAGGTTTATCCAGCGTAGATCAGGACAAAAGGAAACATGTCTGATCTCCTTTGTGTCCAAAGCAAACAGCATAAGCAAAAGCTATACACACAACGGAAGTTCCCAGCAAGCTGTGCTGGAATGTAAACAGACATGTGACATGCAACAATTCCACATGCCTGTTCCTTAAGTTGGAATGGAATTCTAAACAAGGACATGGCCCATTTCTGCACAGAACTTGTCTCATCAGCACACTTCGGGATGGGCATTGCATGGGATCAGATATGTGGTGCATTAATGTCTGCAGAGTCAGCTCTACATGAATAGATTAATGGTGTCTGGGAACCAAGGAAGCAGCTGGCATCTGCTTATATATCCCATCAACAAATCCTTCTGGGGTTGCTGTAGAGAAGCTTCTCAACAGCCTTTGCTTTGAAACCTTCCAAGCTGCTGCTGTGTTTGGTCCGGTGAGACCTTACTGAACAGGGGCTGTAAGGCCAGACAGGTTTTGCGTGTTCTTAAGATGGTAATAATCCTACTAATGAAACAGCTACGACTAAGCCTGATAACTAGCAAGAAGGTGAAATTCCATCTTTGCTTTGAAATCGGAGAGGAGGAATTAAGAATGGGAACATTCGGTAATTTCCACGGGCCACGTTGCATCCCCTTAATTAAGCAAACGCACCTCAACGTGAGCAAAGAAGCAGGTGCAATGCTCACACCTCTGTATAGTTAAGGAAATCACACTCTCTTAGCTCTGAATGCTGCACCTCCTGGGCTCTTAACACAGGTTGGCCCTGTTTCTGTAGCCCACTTAGGATACTAGAATCTCTCTCAGCCTTGGGGTGAGAGATTTCTCCATGTCCTCTTGCTAGCATTGGTCAAAATGTAATGTAGTCATTGGATTATTTTTTAAAGCCAGGTGACAGCAGCCACGAAATTAAAAGACGCCTGCTTCTTGGGAGAAAAGCAATGACAAACCTAGACAGCATCTTAAAAAGCAGAGACATCACCTTGCCAACAAAGGTCCGTATAGTAAAAGCTCTGGTTTTCCCAGTAGTGATGTATGGAAGTGAGAGCTGGACCATAAAGGAGGCTGATCGCCGAAGAATGGATGCTTTTGAATTGTGGTGCTGGAGGAGACTCTTGAGAGTCCCATGGACTGCAAGAAGATCAAACCTCTCCATTCTGAAGGAAATCAGCCCTGAGTGCTCACTGGAAGGACAGATCCTGAAGCTGAGGCTCCAATACTTTGGCCACCTCATGAGAAGAGAAGACTCCCTGGGAAAGACCCTGATGTTGGGAAAGATGGAGGGCACAAGGAGAAGGGGACGACAGAGGACGAGATGGTTGGACAGTGTTCTCGAAGCTACCAGCGTGAGTTTGACCAAACTGTGGGAGGCAGTGGAAGACAGAAGTGCCTGGCGTGCTCTGGTCCATGGGGTCACGAAGAGTCGGACACAACTAAACGACTAAACAACAACACAAGTTTCTTATGGGATCATGAAATTGTTAATGGAGCTTTGATTCTTAATGCTTTGGTGTTGGGGTGTTCAAACAGGAGGGACTGCTTTAGTTCTCTATTTTTTTCCTTTTTTTTTTAAATGATATTTATTCCAAGTTTAAAATTACAAAAAGGAAAAAGAAAAACAATACAAAATACAAAGGAAAATTTAACCATAACAAAGCGGGAAATGACAAGAAAAAAGTGAACAATAAAATAGAATAAAAAAAAAGACGAAACAAAAAATATAAAAATGCATTGAGTTAGAATAGAACAAAAACAGATTAAACCTTTACATAACCTTTTCCCTTTACTTATTTCCATGACCTCCTCTCACCTCCCAATTTTGTATTCTAGTTCAGATCGTATTTCCAGCAAATCCTTCTAACCTTATTTTCATTTACGTATTTTAATTTAAAATAATGTAATTAAACATCCTCTGTTTCATCAATTTCATCAACTCATTTTTGCTTAATCCTTTATATCATATCTACCAAAACGACCTAATTTTCTTTTTCCAACATCTTTCTAACAGTCTTTTATATTACAATATTTTTGAAGATATATTTTGAATTTTTTCCAATCTTCTTCCATCGACCCTTCTCCCTGGTCTCGAATTCTGCCAGTCATCTCAGCCAGTTCCATGTAGTCCATCACTTTCATCTGCCATTCTTCTCGGGTGGGTAATTCTTGTGTCTTCCAGTACTTTCCGATGAGTATTCTTGCTGCTGTTGTAGCATACATAAAAAAAGTTCTATCCTCCCTTCGCACCAATTGGCCGACCATGCCCAGAAGAAAGGCCTCTGGTTTCTTCAGGAAGGTATATTTAAATACCTTTTCAATTCATTATATATCATTTCCCAGAAAGCCTTAATCCTTGGGCATGTCCACCAAAGGTGAAAAAAATGTACCCTCAGTCTCTTTACATTTCCAACATTTACTATCTGGCAAATGATAAATTTTTGCTAGCTTGACTGGGGTTAAGTACCACCTGTAAATCATTTTCATTATATTTTCTCTTAAGGCATTACAAGCCGTAAACTTCATACCTGTGGTCCATAACTGTTCCCAGTCAGCAAACATAATATTATGTCCAAAGTCTTGTGCCCATTTAATCATAACAGAGGGACTGCTTTAGTTCTCACACTGCTTTCCACTTGTAATAAATGGCTGCTGTTAAATTCTATGGTTAAAAAAAAAATAATCAGCGGTGGAGAGGAAATTTGTGGGCAGTACGCAATCATGGTTGGATTGCATCCTGCTGTTCAAAGGTAAAAGTCACCTCATTGGCCCAACCATCACTGATCAATGCCTGAGCATCTGCTGTGCCTACAAGAGATCTTTGGTTTGGTCCCTGGCATCTCCAGGTAGCAGAGATGGGAAGAACTTCCTGCCTGAAATTCTGGAAAGCCACAGCTGGTCAGTGCACACAATACACTGATGGACCCCGGGGTCTGGTTCAATATAAGCTTTCCCTGTTTCTATATGTGAACTCCGTGCTTCGCAGAGCACATAGTTAAGCTACAGATTCACTTCTGCAAGATGTGATGGCCATTAACTTGGATGGCTTTAAAGGAGAACTGGACAAATACAAGGAGATGTAAGTCTATCGGCAGGTACAGTGGTACCTCGGGTTACGGACGCTTCAGGTTACAGACTCCGCTAACCCAGAAATAGTACCTCGGGTTAAGAACTTTGCTTCAGGATGAGAACAGAAATTGTGTGGCGGCGGCGCAGCAGCAGCAGGAGGCCCCATTAGTTAAAGTGGTACCTCAGGTTAAGAACAGTTTCAGGTGAAGAACAGACCTCCAGAATGAATTAAGTTTCTTAACCTGAGGTACCACCTGAGGTTGATCTTGAGTACATAAGACTCTCAACAGTCTCCTCCAGCACCAGAATTCAAAAGCATGTAGGAACCCTATATATAGAAAGGAGCAAACCAGTGATATTTTAGGGAGCAGGCGGGGCCCATGACTTACATCATTGGCGCCTACACAACACAAAACACTGTTGCTGTATGTAGGTTTTATTCTATTTGTTTTTTATCTTATCTTTTGGAAATGTACATCTAGTGTTTTTTCCCGGGTTTTTTGGGGGGTTGCAAGGGAGTGGGGCCCTAAGTTATAGCTTGCTTAGCTTATGCGTAAATCCGGCACTGGGTGGGGTGGCTGATGGTTCGTGGTCCTCCTCCTCTGTGGACCCGCAAGGGGATGGAGAGGGCACGCCATGCACCGCGATCCCTTCCCGAGTCTGGCGTGCGCGCTCCAGCCGCTTGCCCTCAGCCTACATCTCCCAGGCGCCTTAGGGGGGAGGCGGCGCCTGCCCTCCTGCCGCCCCGCCCAGGGCTGCCCCCTTGGCACGTGGGGGAACAGGGCGCCGCCGCGGGACTCCGGAGCCTGGTGTCCTCGGCGCGCCTTCGAGGGCGCACAGGGCGCAGCAGCGGGCGCGTCTGGGTGCCATGGGCGAGCCGGGTCCCCCCGGCGCGGAGGCGCCTCCGCCGTGGCGCCGCGGGTCTCTGGCGCTGCTCACCGACCTGTACCAGTTCACCATGGCGTACGGCTACTGGCGGAGCGGGCGGCACCGCGAGGCGGCCGCCTTCGAGCTCTTCTTCCGCCGATGCCCCTTCCAGGGCGCCTTCGCGCTCAGCGCAGGCCTTGCCGAGTGCCTCGCCTACCTGCGCGCCTTCCGATTCTCCCCGGCAGGTGAGCGCGGGGTGGAGGGGGGCGCACAGACTTTGCAAGGGTGCAGGGGGCGCGGGTCTGCTTCCCAGGGAAGCACTCTGCACGTGGCCAGAGGCTCCGCGCTCCAGGCAGCCGCGCAGCTGAACTGATCGATGGGGGGAGGCGGGGAAGAAATAATAATAATATAATAATAATAATAATTTATTATTTATACCCCGCCCATCTGGCTGGGTTTTCCCAGCCACTCTGGGCAGCTTCCAACAGAATACCGTCATACCTCAGGATGAATACGCTTCAGCTTCAGTATTTTCGGGTTGCGGAGCACGGCTAGCCGGAAGTAACGGAGCGCGTTACTTCCGGGTTTCGCTGCTCACGCATGCGCAGACGCTCAAAATGGCATCACACGCATGTGCAGAAGCGGCAAAACGCATCATGCGCAGTCGCGTCTTACGTTCGCATCCAGAGGTACCACTGTATTAAAATACAATAGTCTATTAAACATTAAAAGCTTCCCTAAACAGGGCTGCCTTCAGATGTCTTCTAAAAGTCTGGTAGTTGTTGTTCTCTTTGTCAGCTGGTGGGAGGGAGTTCCACAGGGCGGGTGCCACCACCGAGAAGGCCCTCTGCCTGGTTCCCTGTAACTTGGCTTCTCACAGTGAGGGAACCGCCAGAAGGCTCTCGGAGCTGGACCTCAGTGTTCAGGCAGAACGATTGAGGTGGAGACGCTCCTTCAGGTATACAGGATCGAGGCTGTTTAGGGCTTTCAAGGTCAGCACCAACACTTTGAATTGTGCTCGGAAACGTACTGGGAGCCAATGTAGGTCTTTCAAGACCGGTGTTATATGGTCTCAGCAGCCGCTCCCAGTCACCAGTCTAGCTGCTGCATTCTGGATTAGTTGTAGTTTCTGGATCACCTTCAAAGGTAGCCCCACGTGGAGCGCATTGTAGCTTTTCCAGGGCTGAGGTCAGTCGCATCGGGCCGGTTGTGGAAGCTGATGGGGTGTGATAGTCGGAATAAATGTCTTCACATATGCATGCTCAGGTATGCCTGTACCTGTGACCTTGCAAGCCGTCAAAAATAGGCGGCCGTGTCCAACTGAGTTGGAGGAGACCCGTTGGAATGAATGGACTTAAGTTAGGCATATAGCGATCATAATTGTTAGCATTATAGATTAAATTCGTATACTGCCCTTCATGCGCAGCTCACAGGGCAGTTTGCAACACAATGCAAAAGAGAATTCAGAATGCACAATAAAGCAAAACAACAACACCTCACCCTTCCCACAAGCACATTTAAAAGGGCATAGGACGTGGGTGGCGCTGTGGGTTAAACCACAGAGCCTAGGACTTGCCGATCAGAAGGTCGGCGGTTCGAATCCCTGCAACGGGGTGAGCTCCCGTTGCTCGGTCCCTGCTCCTGCCAACCTAGCAGTTCGAAAGCACGAAGTGCAAGTAGATAAATAGGTACTGCTCCGGCAGGAAGGTAAATGGTGTTTCCATGCGCTGCTCTGGTTCGCCAGAAGCGGCTTAGTCATGCTGGCCACATGACCCGGAAGCTGTACGCTGGCTCCCTCGGCCAGTAAAGCGAGATGAGCGCCGCAACCCCAGAGTCGGCCACGACTGGACTTAACTGTCAGGGGTCCCTTTACCTTTAGGTGAAGGTATTTATTTAGTGCCTGGTGCACGATGGGCAGTCCCTGCCCTGAGGAAGATACAATCTAAAATTTGACTCGAGAAAAATGACAGAGGAATTGGGGAGGGGGAAGTGGAAGTGGAGGGAGGACATAAGAGCCTGCAGGATCAGGCCAATGGCCCATCCAATCCAGCATTCTGCTCTCATAGTGGCCAACCAGATGCCGTTATGGGAAACCCGCAAATAGATTTTCAGAACAAGAGGAAAATTCATTTCCTGTGGTTTCCAGCAACTCAGAATCATTGCTGCTTCCCACTGTGGAAGCAGAGCATGTGACCTCTGTGGCCCTGATCCCCCGCGTTTTCCTCTCCAGCTCTTTTTCAAGTGTGGCCTGACATTTTCCCATTTGTCAGACGACAGACCATGTGCTAAGTGAAACATTTACTTCGCCAGAGTGTAAGGCATTTCCCTGGGCTTTGCAGATATTTCCTGATGTCGCTGGGTTTCCCGAGGCCTTCTGGCACCTTTCCCTGCTAACCTTTGATCAGCAGGGGAGAAAGAACCTGCTCCCTGTAAGTTTCCATAACTTGGAACTGGGAATGGAGGCGGCAGGGGAGAATAGACGGGAAGAGGCTGTGCTTGACTGAAATTTGGGCGTGGGAGACAGGAATGAGTCCAGCTACGCAGCGAAGGCTGTTTGTGTGTGTACACAATTACGCCTTTACCTCCTGTGACACCTAACCAATTCTCTGTCTCTGTCACAGCCTTGTGGAACGAGTTAAAATCCTGATAATCCATTCATCTAAAAACACCAGAAAATTATCTCTCTTTGAAAGTGGTATCTCAGACTTTGCTTACAGACTTAGTCCAGTATCAGTTCAACAGAATATTCTGTGTATTACAATGGTACCTTGGGTTAAGAACTTAATTTGTTCTGGAGGTCTGTTCTTAACCTGAAACTGTTCTTAACCTGAAGCACCATTTTAGCTAATGGCGCCTCCTGCTGCCACCGCACCGCCGGAGCTCAATTTCTGTTCTCATCCTGAAGCAAAGTTCTTAAACTTTCTGGGTTAGCGGAGTCTGTAACCTGAAGTGTATGTAACCCGAGGTACCACTTTATCTTAAACAGATTTTCTCCCCCAACCAACCATACTCATTTATTATATGCTTTATATATCTTTTCTGTTTGTTTGTGGTCCTTCCTGCCAGCCAGCCAGCCAGGCATCAAACAAACCTCTTCATATTTTTGTTTTTAATATTTGATGTTTTATTATGTTTTTATGTGTGTGGGAAACAAACAACTCAGAGTGGCTGGGGCAACCCAGACCGATTGGGTGGGTATATGTAATAAAATAATGAAATTGTTGTTGTTCAATCATAGAATCTTAGAGTTGGAAGGGACCCACGGGGTCATCTAGTCCAACCCCCTGCAATGCACCCCCTGCACGGATGATGTTTCACCAGTGACTCTGTCATGGCAAGTTCTTGTTCTGAAGGCAGCCCTGTTTAGGGAAGCTTTTAGTGTTTGATGCATTAGTGTATTTTAATAGTTTGTTGAAAGCCGCCCAGAGTGGCTGGGGAAGCCCAGCCAGATGGGCAGGGCATAAATTATTATTATTATTATTATTATTATTATTATTATTACTATTACTACTACTACTACTACTTGTTCACACCTTGTAGCCTGATGCCGGAGTCCCCGTTGTCATCCTGTGGCTCTAGAGCAGGGGTCAGCAAACTTTTCTACCATCGGGCCGGCTCACTGTTATTGTTGCTATTATTATTATTATTACTACTACATTTTATTTATACCCCGCCCTCCCCAGCTAAGACCGGGCTCAGGGCAGCTAACACCAGTATGAAACAATTGATTGAAATACAACTTAAAAACAAGATTAAAATACAACATTAAAATGCAGCCTTATTTCAATAGGAACTCAAATCAAAAACTTTTTTTTGGGGGGGTGAAAATGTCAAGTCTTCACCAGGGCCAGCTGTCCAGACTGGTCCTATGTGGGCCAGAAAAAAGCCAGGGAAGTCCCCAAATAGGAGTTCCATCACAGAAGGAGAAAGGAAAGAGGGGAAGGGGATCAAGTTGATTCCAAGCCAAAGGCCAGGTGGAACAACTCTGTCTTACAGGCCCTGCAGAAAGAAATCAGATCCTGCAGGGCCCTGGTCTCATGAGACAGAACGTTCCACCAGGCCGGGGCCAGTGCTGAAAAGGCCCTGCCTCTGGTTGAGGCTAATCTGACTTCCTTAGGGCCCGGGACCTCTAGGGTGTTTCTATTTATGGACCTTAAGGTCCTCCGCGGGGCAGACACACGGGACAGGTGGTCCCGTAGGTACGAGAGTCCTCTAAGGAAGAGAGGGAGGGACAGGTGGGATACATGCCCATGTGGCTCCTCCACGTTACACGGAGACGTCTTCCTGGTTCGTAAGAACATCAAAAGGGCCTGCTGAGTCAGGTCAGCGGCCCGTCTAGTCCAGCATCCTGTTCTCACAGTGGCCTGTAGGAAGCCTGCAAGTGGTACCCAAGCTCACGAGCATCTCTCCCCTCCTGCGGTTTCCAGCAACAGGTATTCAGAAGCATCACTACCTCCAAATGTGGAGGTAGAGCGTAGCCATCCTGGCTAAGCAGCCATCCATAGCCATCTCCTCCATGAATTTTTCCAGTCCTCTTTTCAAGCCATGCACCGTATTTTTCACCCCATAAGATGCACCTGACTATAAGACGCACCTAGTTTTTAGAGGAGGAAAGGGGGAAAGCCCTGTTTTTTGGGGGGATCAGCTCGCAGTTGTGCAGCTTCTTTTGCAAAGGGGAAAAGCCCCCTTTTTGAGGATCAGCTCAAAGTTGTTGAGCTTACTGTAGCCTTATTGGAGTTCACCGATTGGGTCTGCGTTGCTCTGGGACAGGAGGAAGGAAGTCAAAATGACACCGAGGTTGGTTCAAAGAAAGAGTTTATTCTGCTCTCCGGATAGCAGAAGTCACCTGCGTGGTGAGTCCACAGCAAGTACAAAGAAATGAGAAATTTCATGCAGTATATATATCCTCCAGGCACCCTCTCACTCCTCCCCTAGGAGCCCAACCACGTCAGCCTACGTACGCAGGTTGACATCACATATGTTCCTGCTCTGGTACTCTCAACCATAAAAGGATCTTCCTTCCTGTACTTCTGACCATAAAAGGATCTTCCTCTTCCTACTCTTATCTGGGACAAGGTCACCATCTCCGGGAACACGCTTTTGCCGTTTTCCCCAGACATCGGTCTTGCGCGTATTTTGTGGCCAGCACATAAGATAAAGTTCTGGCGTGTTTTCTTTGTTCCCCTAGAGAGCCAAGGCCATCCCTTGCCGTGAGTGATAAAGGAGAGAGCTTGTTTATGTTTTTGCTCAACAGCTCAAGTTTTACGCATTTAAAAGTGCTCTCTTTTGAAAGAACAAAAAGGAGGGGGGTTGAGTCAGTTTTAAACTTACTACACAGAAACCCATTCCTTCATTACTTTGCAAAAGGAAAAAGTTCTGCAGCTTCTTTAGGAAAGGAAAGGGAGCCGTTTCTACAGCTTCCAGACAGATAATCTAATCAGCCAGTCACACGTTGCTGGGGAAGCAAACAGTCTGCAGAACTTTCAACAATGGAGGCCTGGGCAAGGGGGCAGGGCCAGAAATGGAGCCACATACATTTCCCCTTACTTTTTAGGAGGAAAAAAGTGTGTCTTATGGAGCGACAAATACGGTAGGTTGCTGGCCCTCCCTGCCTCCTGTGGCAGGGAGTTCCGCAGTTTAACTCTGTGCTGCAAGCAGTGCTTTCTTCTGCCTGCCCTGATTCCCCCGAATCTTCATCACTGCTCGCAGCTTCACACTGTGATTCAGCTGGGATTTGTCCTTCTGCCGTTTGCATCACATCCCCTTTGTGGTTTGGGCTGTTGTTGACTGGACGTTGTTAACAAAGCCCAGGGCCAAGGATGAGTAGAAATAATGAGGCTGAGTTTTGCAAACAGAACAGGTAAAAAAAACAATGAAGGCCTGGTAAACGGAGACCTTCTGAAAGTATTTAGGGTGTGTGTGTTACTGTGGTTTTTTTGTGCGTCTGAGAGCACTCGTCCCCATGGTTTTAGGTATTATAATTTTTTATTAAATTTCTAAAATTTCACAATTTGACTTCAAATCAAATAATTACATTGCTGAGATCATTTAATGTGTCAATACGAACGGGAGTTGTTAATATTGCAGCTGCTGTATAAGGGATTGTTATAATTGAAATTACGTAATAAGATTTTGGAATGCAGGAATAAAGTAAATCATCAAACCATCAATACTAGCACGTGGGGGCCCAGCTAAATTTTATAATTTGGCCTCTGAATGATTGGCATTAGTAATTGTATTATAATCTGACATTGTTATAATGAGGCTATTATTGGATCATTGTAATTGAAAACTAATAACAATAACAACTTTGCTTTGTAAACTGACTTCTGACCCACACCTCCAGGTTCATATATCAGACTCTTATCTATTACAGAAATCTCTCTAATACAATTCATCATTTTTCTCCCTCTGCTCCCATCTCTAATGCTGCCCGCGATTTCATTTCACTATAATGCTTTTCCAAACAGGTCAAGAAGGACTTCCAGAACACTTGCCCCATGTATATGTGCTTGTTCACTTTGCTGCTCTTTGCTGTAACAGAATCTCGGAAGAGAATTAGCAAGAGGTCCATAATGCAAAAATACGATGTACAAATCAGCTAAAAGTGTTCCTCCACAACAGTCAATTCAAAAAGAGAAACATTGGAGCCTTTCCTTCCCAACCAAAAGGCAAACACCAAAACCATCACCTCTAAAAACTCAACCATATCAACACCCACATGCCTAAGAGATAGGAACACCTTCGCCCATTGAAAAGCTAGCAATTTATATACCGTATTTTTCGCTCCATTGGACGCACCCGACCATAGGACGCATCTAGTTTTTAGAGGAGGAAAACAAGGAAAAAATATTCTGAATCAAATGTTGTATAAACTACTGTATTTAATAAACAACCGGTATATCAGAATCACATTACAGCCATGTAAAGTGAACAGCAGTCAACAATGGCATTAAGAACCATCATCACTGTCATTAACAAATGAAGAGAGATTTTAAGGTTTGAGTACTCTTCTAGTCTTCTGGGAACCCCAAGAACTCATCACTGCTAAAGTCAGAATTTATGAAGCTCAGTTGCTCACAGTCACTGACATCACTTTCTTCGCTATCTTCATGTAAAATACCATCTTCATATCCATCCAAAGCATTGCTAATGCCACATTTTCCCCTCTCAATCCTCTTCCTCCCCTCTCTCAGCGAACAGCCTGCCAGCTGCTCACAAACATTCCCTTTACTTGAATTACAGTCAAGAAACAGCCAAGCAGAGCTTCTCAGCGGCAGGCTTGGGAGGCTTTCCTTTTCCCCACTTTTTTCTCCACCCCCCCCCCCCCAGCAGAACAGTCCCCTTTTCCAGCCTCCTCCTCTCCATCCCTTTCACCCAAACTCCTCAGGTGATGTCTACAATTTCTCCCCTTCACTGCTCCCTCTCCTTTGCCCTCTACCATGACTCTCCACTCACGGCAACCTATGGTACCTCATCTCCCTTCACCCAGCTTCTTGGTCCCCCTCCTCTCCGTCTTCTTCCTCCCCTCTCTCAGTGAACAGCCTGCCCACTGCTCCAGACCTTGAGGGGAAGGGCAGGCTGTTGGCAGAGCAGCACCCCCCCCCCCATTCAGCAGCCCAGGAGTGCGGGGCATGGGCGCACAGCCCTCCCGTTCCTCCAAAGCTTCCTGGGGCTGCAAGGGGAAGCTGAGGCTGCCGGCAGATGAGCGCGGCTCCACCACCACTACCAAAGACCAGTCCAAGAGTGTGCCTCACTCCGGCAATTTGGCTCCAGGGACCACACATTCGCTCCATAGGACGCACAGACATTTCCCCTTACTTTTTAAGAGTAAAAAAGTGCGTCCAATGGTGCGAAAAATACGGTACATTCGTACCTTGGAAATTGAGCGGAATCCATTCTGGAAGTCCATTCGACTTCCAAAACGTTCGGAAACCAAAGCGCGGCTTCTGATTGGCTGTCGGAAGCTCCAATCGGAAGCCCTGACGGACGTTCGCCTTCCAAAAATAGTTCGCAAACCGAAGCAGTCACTTCCGGGTTTGCGGCATTGGGGAGCCAAAACCCTTGAGAACTAGGCTGTTTGAAAACCAAGGTACGACTGTGCGGGTTTCTGGAGGTGTGACAGGATTGGGCAAGGAGGTCCTAACCTGCATCCTAACTCTGTTCAGCTCAGTCAAATGCTACCTGGAGAAAAAAGTAGCGTCAGTGGATCTCTTATTTTAAAGGCTCAGGTTTGTCACCCCTCTGATAGGCTTGGACCAGCTCCTTGCTCCTGATCAGGGTTTGGATCTGGCGTGAGTTTTCTCCAGCTTCTGTTGCATAGAGTTGCTGCCTTAAAGCGACTGATTTCGTGATGCTCAATATAAAAATCTGCTTCTGCTAACACCATTTTAAAGAAAATAGCAGCTGGGAAAGCCGAAAGGGTGCTTAGTTTTGGTTTTTTAAAAACGCTTCCAGCTTTTCTGGGCATCGTGCCTTTTCCTTCAAACTGCCCCTTGGAAACTTCCCCTGTCGCTCACTGTTTCTTGGTGTGCATCCTTCCTTTCCAGACATCGAGTATCTCGAATCTGTCCTTCCTGCTACTACGGAGAAAGCTTTCTTTGATTACCTGCGCACGGTGGACGCGTCCGAAGTTTCCGTCTCCTCCGCTCCAGAGGGATCCGTTGTCTTCTCCCGGGTAGGTGTTTCCAAAGAGTAGTTTCTGCCTGCGAGATGCTGATCGGACAGAGGCGTTTGGGGCCGTACATTGAGAACCTCTCGCATCGCGCACACAAACACACAAAGGCATCTTCAGACCTGATAGGAAATGCATGTTTGCACATCTGGTGGGTGGGACCAATCGTCTTTGCTGAATTTGTCTATTTTAGTCAGCTTGTGGTGGTTATTGTAATCCATGTGCTAATTGTTCTTGTTTGCATTCGTATTTCAGAACATCTTTTCTAATTGATTTGTGTTGCTTTAAATAGTGGTGGTTTTTAAAATATATTTTTATAACGTTGCAAATTGCCTAGCTATATTATTATTATTTATTACATTTATTTGCCACCTTTTCCTTCAAGGATTTCAAGATTCTCCCCCACCTCCCATTTACTCCTCACAACAAGCCTGTGAGGTAGGCTAGTCTGAGAGGCAGTGATTGACTCCAAGGTGAGCTTCATAGCTAGATTTGTCTCCCAGGTCCTAGTCTGACACTCTAAGCATTCTGGCTTTCTTTGAGCTTACGAGGGATTATATATCAATTAATATTTTTTGTTCTCAAAGCATGAGTCTGACCAAACTGCAGGAGGCAGTGGAAGACAGGAGTGCCTGGCCTGCTCTGGTCCATGGGGTCACGAAGAGTCGGACACGACTAAACAACTCAACAACAACAAATATTTTTTGCTGCAAAGTCGGGGGGGAGGGAGGGAAAGCACCATGTTTTTCGCCCCATAAGACGCACATGACCGTAAGGCGCACCTAATTTTTAGAGGGGAAATGCAAGGAAAAAAAATATTCTTTAAAGGGAGCTCTGAGCAGAGCTTGTATGCACCCCAGGCTCTGCTCAGCGTTCCCTTAAAAAAATTTTTTTCTTGCATTCCCCCTCTAAAATCCAGTCAGTCCCTTCTCTCTCCTCGGGGAAAAGCCCCCAAGAGCCGCGTGGAGCGTGTGTGTGGCTCTTGGGGGCTTTCCCCGCCTGCCTCCTGCCTGCATTCGCTCCATAAGATGCACACACAATTTCCCCTTACTTTTTAGGAGGGAAAAAGTGTGTCTTATGGAGCGAAAAATACGGTATGCATTTCTGCCCTTTGTAACCTAAGTACTTTTAACAAAAGGTGCTTCCTTTTAAAACTTCACCTGAAGGAGCCTTCAGATGCAGAAGAGGCAGGCCTGTAGGGGGTGATGCATGGAGTGCTCTAAAACCGTAGCAAAAAATGACAGGTCCTGATTGGTTGCAAAGGAGTCCGTGGTACAGGTGTGTTTCTGAATTCCTTCCTGCAGGTGCCGGTGCTGCAGGTGAAGGGTCCCTTGCTGGTGATACAGCTTCTAGAGACCACCTTGCTGTGTTTGGTGAACTACGCCAGGTGAGGATGTGAGCGAGGGGCCGGAGGACCGCTTTTCTTTTGGCCTCTGTGTTTTGGTTAACATTGACGGCAGGATCATGTTAGAATTCCCGCTCCATGATTGCAGTCACGGGATTGTTGACTTTCACATGACAGTACAGTGGTACCTCGGGTCACATTCGCTTCAGGTTACATTCGCTTCAGGTTACAGACTCCGCTAACCCAGAAATAGTACCTCGGGTTAAGAACTCTGCTTCAGGATGAGAACAGAAATCGTGCTCCGGCGGCGCGGCAGCAGCAGGAGGCCCCATTAGCTAAAGTGGTGCTTCAGGTTAAGAACAGTTTCAGGTTAAGAACGGACCTCCAGAACGAATTAAGTACTTAACCCGAGGTACCACTATATGTTTTGACTCCACAGCATGGGAAGTGACGGAGACAGGATGTTTGTGTTACTGTGTTCCGTGAAGTGGGACTATTGTCCTTTGTTCTTTGTCTTTGCTGTCTGATGAGAAAGAGGAAGGAGCTAAAGCAGAATGCTCCGAGTGTGTTATATGTAAATAAAGTAGATTAGCCAAAATGCTGAGCTGCTGAGGTCTGTTACGCACAATGCGCAAACTCTGCGGATCCCAAAGTGTTCTGATGTCGGTTGGCATCAGTCGCTGTGATGTTCGGGCAGAAGAAAGCTTTTGAAGCTCCCGAACGAAAGACCAGGAGGAAGGGAACATGCCAGTCGGGCGTGTGTCTCTGCTAAGACCCTACTCGAGTGTAGGCCGAACTCCTGACAGATCTGTCGTGCTGAGACTATAATTGGTGCACATTGCCCCTGTGGACTTTGGACTTGGGGATATGGGGTGGCCGGGAAATTATCCTAGAGGCTGCTTGGCAGGTTGCCAGATTCCTACACGGAAGTCGCTTCCCACAAGCGGAAGACAAAGGAGCCCTTTGGAGCAGAAGGGGAAACGCTCGATGCTTCTGCACATTTAAAAAATTGCTGTGTTTGCAGCACCGTTGTGAATTCTGTGTGTGGGTTTGCAACCGGTGAAGCAGGCTTCCATTAGGCCTGGGGGGCAGTGCATTTTCCAAAGGACTGGAGATGTCATAAAGGTAAAGGGACCCCTGACCGTTAGGTCTAGTCATGGCCGACTCTGGGGTTGTGGTGCTCATCTCACTTTACTGGCCGAGGGAGCCGGTGTACAGCTTCCGGGTCATGTGGCCAGCATGACTAAGCCGCTTCTGGCGAACCAGAGCAGCGCACGGAAACGCCGTTTACCTTCCCGCCGGAGTGGTATCTATTTATCTACTTGCACTTTGACGTGCTTTCGAACTGCTAGGTTGGCAGGAGCAGGGACTGAGCAACGGGAGCTCACCCCGTCGCGGGGATTCGAACCGCCAACCTTCTGATCGGCAAGTCCTAGGCTCTGTGGTTTAACCCACAGCACCACCCGCGTCCCCGGAGATGTCATAATTGGACGCAAATGTCTATCTAGAGATGCATGGAGGATTTTGTGGGACTGTGTGGAGAACAGGGAGGGCGCATTCAAACATTAGTCCATCCGAACTTTAGGAAAACAGTTTTTCTGGATCGAACACACAGCCCAGCCGTGCTTTCCCTCTTGGAGGTTTTCCCCCTTTCACCTGGTGTCCCTCAGCCATGCAGATGTTATTGGACTCCAGGACCCATCACTTCCAGCCAGTGGGGCCAGAGGGTCAGGGATGATGGGGGTCGTGTTCTGGCAGGCATCCAGGAGAGCACCAAGTTGGGGAGTCCTGCTCTCTAGCCCAGCCTTTCTCAACCTGTGGGACCCCAGATGATGTTGCACTACAACTCCCATCACCCCTAGCTAGCAAGGCCAGAGCTCAGGGATGATGGGAGTTGTAGTCCAACAACATCTGGGGGCTCGCAGGTTGAGAACCGCTGCAGACGCTCTTTCTAATGTGCACTTCCATCCAAGAGCAAAGAAGGAATTGTTCCAGTAAAAATCCCAGCAGTGCATTAAGGAAACCCTCTGCTGTGTTGGAAGGCAATAAAAGGATCGGTTAATATTCAACCTGAATTTTCCTCCTTGCAGCCTCGTCGCTACGAATGCTGCCCGATTCCGGCTCATAGCAGGCCCGGACAAGAAACTCATGGAGATGGGGCTGCGTCGTGCGCAGGGACCGGACGGGGGCCTCTCTGCATCCAAGTATTCGTACGTTGGGGGTAGGTTCTGACTCGTGACTCGCCCTTCGCTGGCCACTAGGCGGCACCACCTGCCTTGCCCTTGCTGCTGTCACCAGAGACTTCCTTTTGGGGTTTGGTCTCTGCCCATACCGACACCACGAGGATCCAAAGAGCTCGTAAGCTAGGTTTGGGAAACACCTGGGGACTTCTGGGTGTTGCTGGACTCCAGCTCCCATCAGCTGCAACTTAGGTGGCCAGTGGTCAAGGATGATGGGATTTGTAGTCCGGAAATGTCAGAAAGGCCGCAGGGTCTCCATCTCTACTGTAATGGAAGGAGTGAAGCTTGGAGATTTGAGGTGGAGACCTCTAGCAGAACAGGACAGCCTGGTTGGGTTTGGTTATGGGGTCTGATGGATTCGGGGCAGGGTTCATTGCAGAAGCCCTTGAGCTGAGCAGAAAACAGCCTGGTCCCCTTAGTTTTAGCTGCTCTTCCTGAGATTTTAATCCTCCCCCCTTTAAACCCTGAAAATAACAGCACTCATTCACAGTTACTGTCACAATTAGGGTTTTTTTGTTTTCCCTTTGTTTTGTGCATCTTGCTGACTTTTTGCAGATATATTCTCAAAATTTTATATGTCTGTATTAAATAAGCAACCCTGAAAAAGGAGGCCCAAACCCCAAAGCCTTCAAGCCATACCTCAAGACTCGGCAGCTGCACCTCTTATGAAGAAGACTTTTCCTTCCCAAATGCATCCTTCCTATTTTCTCCTATCATGGGTGAAAACAGTACACTGCGATCTCAGTCAACTTTTGTGATTTCAGCTAAGAGAGAGATAGTAGTAGTAGTACTACTAGTAGTAGTAATAATAATAATAATAATAATAATAATAATAATAATTTATTATTTATACCCCGTCCATCTGGCAGAGTTTCCCCAGCCTCTCTGGGCGGCTTCCAACAAAGTATTAAAATACAGTGGTCTGTTAAACATTAAAAGCTTCCCCAAACAGGGCTGCCTTCAGAGGTCTTCTAAAAGTTTGGTAGTTTTTTATTTCCTTGACATCTGCTGGGAGGGCGTTCCACAGGGAGGGCGCCACTACCGAGAAGGCCCTCTGCCTGGTTCCCTGTAACCTCACTTCTCGTAGGTATTGGCGGCCGCTCACCAGTCACCAGTCTAGCTGCCGCATTCTGGATTAGTTGTAGTTTCCGGGTCACCTTCAAAGGCAGCCCCACGTCGAGCGCATTGCAGTAGTCCAAGCGGGAGATAACCAGAGCATGCACCACTCTGGTGAGACAGTCTGCGGACAGGGAGGGTCTCATCCTGCGTACCAGATGGAGCTGGTAGACAGCCACCCTGGACACAGAATTGACCTGCGCCTCCATGGACAGCTGTGAGTCCAGAATGACTCCCAGGCTGCGCACCTGGTCCTTCAGGAGCACAGTGACCGCATTCAGGACCAGGGAGTCCCCCACACGCATGATAGCCATGCTTACCCATGGAGGCTCACTTCCGATTTGGTTCCTGCTGAAGGCCTGGTGGAAATGGGTCCTGGGAACCATGCAACCTCCCCCCAAACCTGACACGAGTCCCTTCTCTTCCAGGGTTCGATTTTACCAGCAACGTCCTGGCCGGGAAGCTCTATGGGATTCCAGTGCGGGGAACTGTAGCGCATTCTTACATCTTGTCCTTCACCTCGCTGGCTGAGGTGAACCCGCGGGTTAGTATTTGGGGGGGGGACGGGACAGGTTGCAGAGGCATGTAGAATGTTTTAATTTTAGCCTTTCCTTTTTTTTGCAATTTTATTTATTTATTAACATTCTTATGTTACATCGGTAAGAATATCACATTACAATACAACGCTTATTATCATATAATTTTCAACATGTATACAAATTTTATATACAAAGTTTATATACCTAAAGATAAAAAAAAAGGAAGAGGGGAAAAAACAAGGACAAAAAACTATTCCAAAGTCCTATCTGTACCAACACTTTGGACTTCCTGTCTATCCCGTTGTATATCCCTTTTTTACAATTGAATGTACTCTTATTATTGTATATTTCTTTACATTTTGTCCTAATACATTCCTATATCAATATGTACCCCTGGTCTTATTTCTCAACTCATCTTTTTAGCCTTTCCTTATTGTTGAGTTTATCTTCTCGAAAGAGTTGCTTCTCCTGCTTTTGCTTCTCAATCTACCGTTTGCTCCTCTTCGTAAACCTGGGGCTTTTGCTTTTTTAAAAACAATCGAGCGGTGCGTAAGTTTTACGGAATAAATGCACCAATGAGATCGCTGGGTGGTCAGTCCAGAATCCCAAGATGGCGACCAGGCCTGGATTCTGATAGCTCCTCTGTTCCTCTATGCAGACCCTGATCCCACGACACGGAAAGGAGCCTGTGGATTTTCTGTCCTTAGTGGAGACATGGCTGAGTCGGGTTTGCCAACTGCTCCAAACGCCGCTGGAGACGGTGAACCGTGGGGAGCTGGCTGCCTTCATCTCCTACGCCATCACCTTCCCACAAAACTTCCAGGGTCTTTTGGACACCTTCTGCGTGATGAAGTAAGCGCTGCGCTCCAAACTTAAATTCGTTATTCTTTACTGCATTCACACCCCACCTTGATTCTACAAGGTCTCTTGCCTCCCTCCTCGTTTTATCGCCACAACAACCCTGTGAGGTAGGTCAGGCTCAGAGGCAGGGACTGAGCCCCAAAGCCACACACAGTGAGCTTTGTGGCCGGGTGGGGATTCGAACCCTGGTCTCTTCTCAGATCTGGCACTCTAACCACTGTACCGCACTGTTCTGAGGCCAAGTGCTTACGATCTGAGGTTACATTGGTCTTTGCTTTGTTGTTGTTGTTTAGTCGTTTAGTCATGTCCAACTCTCCGTGACCCCATGGACCAGAGCACGCCAGGTACTTCTGTCTTCCACTGCCTCCCACAGTTTGGTCAAACTCATGCTGGTAGCTTCGAGAACACTGTCCAACCGTCACGTCCTCTGTCATCCCCTTTGGAATGGAGAGGTTTGATCTTCTTGCAGTCCATGGGACTCTCAAGAGTCTCCTCCAGCACCATAATTCAAAAGCATCAATTCTTTGGCGATCAGCCTTCTTTATGGTCCAGCTCCCTATGAACTTATATTTATACAATACAGGGATCAGTCTAATTCTGCCAAGATGTTTCCTTTTTATTCCATAGTTTTCTAAATATTCTTTAAAAATTCCCCAATCCTTATACAGTGGTACCTCGGGTTACATACACTTCAGGTTACACACTCGGCTAACCCAGAAATAATGCTTCAGGTTAAGAACTTTGCTTCAGGATAAGAACAGAAATCGTGCTTTTGCGGCGCAGCAGCAGGAGGCCCCATTAGCTAAAGTGGTGCTTCAGGTTAAGAACAGTTTCAGGTTAAGAATGGACCTCCGGAACGAATTAAGTACTTAACCCGAGGTACCACTGTAGACTTTTTGTTTTGGTTGGCCTCTTATGCTTCCTGTCGCTTTTGCTAGCTGCAGATATTCTACCATTAGGATCTGCCAATCTTCCATCTGCCTTACGGTTTCTTGCAACCCCTTCCCTGCCCACAGGAGCGGCATCCCGAACTTCTGTGCCGTCGCCCTGGCGCTGAACGAGTTGGGCTACCGAGTCATTGGCGTCCGCCTGGACAGCGGGGACCTGGCCAAGCAGTCGGTGGAGATACGGCGAGTGTTTCGCACCTGCAGCAAGCAGTGAGTGTGCAGCTGTTTCCCCTCGCGTCCCCCCCAGATTTGACCTTTCCAGGCAGAGATGTTACTGCAGAGCTGATGGCTGCGGATCAAGGCCTGATTCCTTTTCCTTTTTTTAATTTGCATTTTATTTATTTGTTAACGTTCTTATATTACATCGGTAAACGTTGTCATATTACATTAAGGGACTTACTATAATTTCCAACATGTATACAAAAATTATATACAAATTTTATATACCTAGAAAGAAAATGAAACCAAAAAAGAACAAAGAGAAAAAACAAAAACAATTCCCCCCCAAAATCATATACATACCAACATACTAGACTTTCCCGTTGTATATTCCTTTTTTACAAATGAATGTACTCTTATTATTGTATATTTCTTTACACATTATCAAATACATTCCTATATCAATATGTGCTCTTAGTCTTATTTCTCAACTCAGTCTCACTCAAACGTCAATCAAATGCTAGCATAGATAGCGAACCTTTATATATTTTTGAGCATATGTTTTATATCTATCCCACTTTTCCATAAATCTTTGTTTTGAATTGCCTCTCAGGGTATTTGTTAACTGCGCCATTTCAGCAAATTCTTGTACAGTGGTGCCTCGCAAGACGAAATTAATCCGTTCCGCGAGAGTCTTCGTCTAGCGGTTTTTTCGTCTTGCGAAGCAAGCCCATTGACGGATTAGCGCTATTAGCGGTTTAGCGGCTATTAAAGGCTTAAAGGCTTAGGGATTAGCTGCTAAAAGGCTATTAAAGGCTATTAAAGGCTTAGCAGATTAGATAAAGGGGGAAAAGCGAAAAAAATCTCAAGACTCGTAAGATATTTTCGTCTTGCGAAGCAAGCCCATAGGGGAATTCGTCCTGCGAAGCAACTTCAAAACGGAAAACCCTTTCGTCTAGCGGTTTTTCCGTCTTGCGAGGCATTCGTCTTGCGGGGCACCACTGTAGCTTGTAATGCCAGTTTGTTATTGTCGGGGCCTCTTGTTCCTTCCACCCCTTTGCCACCAAAGTTCGAGCTGTGGCCATTGCATATAAGAATACCTCCCTAAAGGGATCAAGGCCTGATTCCAGCCAAACTCAGGTCCATCTCTAGATTTCTTTTGCTTCTCCTGTGTCTCGCCAGAGTGGTGCATGCTCTGGTTATCTCCCGCTTGGACTACTGCAATGTGCTCTACGTGGGGCTACCTTTGAAAGTGACCCGGAAACTAAAACTAATCCAGAATGTGGCAGCTAAACTGGTGACTGGGAGTGGCCGCCGAGACCACATAACACCGGTCCTGAAAGACCTTCATTGGCTCCCAGGACGTTTCTGAGCACAATTCAAAGTGTTGGTGCTGACCTTGAAAGCCCTAAATGGCCTCGGTCCAGTATACCTGAAGGAGCATCTCCACCCCCATCGTTCTGCCCGGACACTAAGGTCCAGCGCTGAGGGCCTTCTGGCAGTTCCCTCGCTGCGAGAAGCCAAGTTACAGGGAACCAGGCAGAGGGCCATCTCAGTAGTGGCACCCGCCCTGTGGAACGCCGTTCCAGCAGATGTCAAAGAGAAAGATAACTACCAAACTTTTAGAAGACCTCTGAAGGCAGCCCTGTTTAGGGAAGCTTTTAATGTTTAATAGGTTATTGTATTTTAGTGTTTTGTTGGAAGCCGCCCAGAGTGGCTGGGGAAACCCAGTCAGACGGGCGGGGTGTAAATAATAAATTATTATTATTATTATTATTACTATTATTATTATTCCTCAGCGGCCTGTTTCACTGCCAATGCTTAGGCGAGGCGTAGAGAACCTCAGGCCTTCACTTCAAATGCAGCCCTCCTAGAATCATAGAATCATAGAGTTGGAAGAGACCACAAGGGCCATCGAGTCCAACCCCCTGCCAAGCAGGAAACACCATCAGAGCACTCCTGACATATGGTTGTCAAGCCTCTGCTTAAAGACCTCCAAAGAAGGAGACTCCACCACACTCCTTGGCAGCAAATTCCACTGTCGAACAGCTCTTACTGTCAGGAAGTTCTTCCTAATGTTTAGGTGGAATCTTCTTTCTTGTAGTCTGGATCCATTGCTCCGTGTCCGTTTCTCTGGAGCAGCAGAAAACAACCTTTCTCCCTCCTCTATGTGACATCCTTTTATATATTTGAACATGGCTATCATATCACCCCTTAACCTCCTCTTCTCCAGGCTAAACATGCCCAGCTCCCTTAGCCGTTCCTCATAAGGCATCGTTTCCAGGCTATAATGGTATGGGGTTGCTCGTGCGTAAGTTGCCGCGTCTCCTGGCTATGTTGCCTTGTTAAACCTTTCTGTCTGGACAGCCCTTCAATTCGTGGCTGCCTCAGTCGCTAGCAGAATCCGTCAGTGGGCGTTTCTTAAACCTTTTCCAACATAAAAGTTGTTTGACACCCAGTCTCCTCCTACTTTCTCTGCGCGGAAGTCTTCTGCGCAGGGAGGGCGTGGGTAGCAGAGGACCAGTGCTCTCCCCGCTGGTGTCCGGTGAAGAGTGTGGGAGCCCTCTCGCCGATTCCCCCATCTGCCCCTCCTTATTCCTGGTGTTGCACTGAATTGCTTCCCCATCTGCTGAGCTGCCTCTCTCCCTGCTGGGCCCTTCTCCAGCATCATTAGAGAGCCTCCCCTCCACCTCTAGCTCCGATGTCAGTTCCCTGACACAGGCCTTTGACCATTTTGGTTGCCCTCCTCTGGACCCGTTCCAGTTTGTCAGTGTCCTTCTTGAACTGTGGTGCCCAGAACTGGACACAGTACTCCAGGTGAGGTCTGACCAGAGCAGAATACAGTGGCACTATTACTTCCCTTGATCTAGATGCTATACTCCTATTGATGCACCCCTCCTCTCTCCCTTTCCCTCTGGGCCCTTGGGAGAAGGGCCACAGCTCAGTGGTGAAGCATCAACTTTCTTGCATATGGTCTCAGGTTCAATTCCTGGCATCTCCACGTCTTCTTTAGCGATCACTCGTTGCTGATTAAGATTGTCTTCCATAAACACGGTTTTAACAATGAGTCCTTATGTGACTGTGGAGGCCAATCCTGGATCCACACGTCCTTCCACAGTGGGGACATTGGTTTTCAGGCCAGAGTTGACCACGGTGTGGATTTGCCAAGTGTGCCTTCTTAGCGTGTTTCTCCTTTGCATCCTGAGTTCGAGTGTCTTCAAAACCCATGACAACTTTGGTAAAGGCTGTTCTCCAACTGGAGCACTCACAGGCCAGTGTTTTCCAGTGGTCGGTGTTATATTACATTTTTTTAGATTTATAATCATCATAATAATATAATTTATTATTTATATCCCGCCCATCTGTCTGGGTTTCCCCAGCCACTCTAGGCGGCTTCCAACAAATTATTAAAATACAGTGGTCTGTTAAACATTAAAAGCTTCCCTGAACAGGGCTGCCTTCAGAGGTCTTCTAAAAGTCTGGTAGTTGTTTTTCTCTTTGACATCTGGTGGGAGGGTATTCCACAGGGTGGGTGCCACCACCGAGAAGGCCCTCTGCCTGGTTCCCTGTAACTTGGCTTCTCGCAGTGAGGGAACCGCCAGAAGGTCCTCGGCTCTGGACCTTTGCCTTGACACAGTCTTTAAACCTCTTTTGTTGACTACCAGCAATACGCTTTCCATTTTTAAGTTCGCAATAGGGTAGTTGCTTTGGAAGACGATCATCAGGCACAACATGACCAGTCCAACGAAGTTGATGATGAAGAATCATCGCTTCAACAGTTAGCAGGGCTGGGAAGACCCCGCTCTGAAACCCTGGATTGTGGCTGCCAGTCCGTGTGGACGATACTGAGCTAGATCTCAGAATCTGACGTAGAAGGAAGCTGAATGTCAGAAGGTTCAGCACAGATACACGAAACAATTTCTTTTCACAGCACATAGTTGAACTGTGGAACTCCCCGCCACAGGAAGCAGTGATGGCCACCATCTTGGGATGGGTTTAGTAGAGGATTAGGCAAATTCTTGGAGAAGAGGGCTATCGAGGGCTGCTAGCCAGGATGGCTATTCTCTGTCTCCATAGCGGGAGGCAGCCATGCTTCTGAATCCCAGTTGCTGGAAACCATAGGCAGGGAGAGCTCAGGTCTTGTGTTCGAATCCTGCTTGCGGGTTTCCCACAGGTATCTGCTTGGCCCTGTGAGAACAGGATGTTGGACTAGACGGGTTCCCTTTGGCCTGATCCAGCAGCCTCTTGTGATCAGGGTGGATTTGATTTACCGTATTTTTTGCTTTATAAGACTCACTTTTTCCCTCCTAAAAAGCAAGGGGAAATGTGTGTGCGTCTTATGGAGCGAATGCAAGCTGCGCAGCTATCCCAGAATCCAGAACAGCAAGAGGGATTGCTGCTTTCGTTGCGCAGCGATCCCTTTTGCTGTCTGGCTTCTGAGATTCAGAATATTTTTTTTCTTGTTTTCCTTCTCCAAAAACTAGGTGCGTCTTATGGTCTGGTGCATCTTATAGAGCGAAAAATATGGTAAATCAAATCCATTTAAATCACCCATTTAAATCACTAGTCAGTAAGACTTAATTTAAATCACTAGTCAGTAAGACTTGATTTTAATCTTTTTTTTTTTTAACAGAAAGACTCATTCTTGCTAGTATAATCTTAATATTTACAACCAGATGAAGGTTTCGTTTTTGGAATAATAAATTTTCAGAGTAGTTTTTACACTTATATCGAAAATTGCTGATTTGGTTATACTATAAGAAATACATAGGCAGATAATTATGAAATTATTGTGAGGTTTAATAAATTAACTGTTTATATTTGGACAACTTTTCTGCTGTACTTTATTGGAAGGAGAAAAACAATCATTTCCTTAATAACAATTTAAACAATTTATTTAACTAAAACAATTAACATTATAGCATATGTATCCATGTTTGTTAACTGATGTGGTTAAACTTTTTTAAAAAAAAACCTCAGTCTGAGTTTTAGCACACATGAAAAACTTAAAACAAATCCGTATTTCCTGATGAATAGCCTTTGGACTCTAATGTAACTTAAATAGAAAATCTTAAGAAATATTTTTCCTCCTAAAGCATTTTATTTTAAAAATCCAATTTAAATAAAAAATCCGATTTAAATTTTAAAAATTGGGTTGTTGTTTTTTAAAAAAAATATTTGATTTTTATCCACCCTGCTTGTGATTTCCTTACACTTCTTTTTCGCTTGTCTTGCCATTCAGCTTTCAGGTCCCCTGGTTTGCAGCAGTCCCCATCGCCGTGAGCAACGACGTCAGCGAAGAGAACCTCCGGGAGCTCTCTCAGGAGGTGAGGACATGCTTGGTCTTGCTCAAGTTCGGTGCGTGGGAAGGGGAGACTCTCTGAGTCTCAGCGAGCAAATAATTGCAGCAGGTAATAGCAATAATTACCCGCGGCAGCATAGCTCAAATTATTCGGTGCTCCAAGGAAGCCCTGTAAAAGTTTGGCCCGGCCAGGTAAAGAAAAGAGATCACAGACATTCAGTATTATTAATTTAATAATCATTTATTATTTATACCCCACCCATCTAACTGGGTTTCCCCAGCCACCCTGGGCGGCTTCCAACAAAAAATTAAAAGTACAATAAAGCATTAAAAACTTCCCTTAACTGGGCTGCCTTCAGATGTCTTCTAAAAGTCAGATAGTTGTTTATTTCCTTGACATTTGATGGGAGGGCGTTCCACAGGGCGGGTGCCACCACCAAGAAGGCCCTCGGCGCTGGACCTCAGTGTCCAGGCAGAATGATGGGGGTGGAGACGCTCCTTTAGGTATTCTGGGCTGAGGTATACTGGACACTATCAGTAACTTAGATATTCCAGGTCCCCTAGCCTATCGGAATGTTATTGGGAATATTATAATACTTGTCTCCTGCCCATCTGACTGTGTTCCCCCAGCCACTCTGCATGCCTTCCAGCAAAATATAAAAACACAGTCAGATGTAAGTCTTCTCCCTTTGGCTTCACTGTCTTGGAAATTGGGGTGGGTAGTTGGGGGAAAGTTACTGATTTCCAACAACAACAACAATAATAATTCATTATTTATACCCCATCCATCTGGCTGGGTTTCCCCAGCCACTCTGGGCGGCTTTCAACAGAACATTAAAAACAGAATAAAACTTCAAACATTAAAAACTTCCCTAAACAGGGCTGGCTTCAGATGTCTTCTGAATATCAGATAGTTGTTTATTTCCTTGACTTCTGATGGGAGAGCATTCCACAGGGCAGGCGCCACCACCAAGAAGGCCCTCTGCCTGGTTCCCTGTAGCTTTGTTTCTCACAGTGAGGGAACGGCCAGAAGGCCCTAGGAACCGGACCTCCGTGTCCGGGTTGAACAATGGAGGTGGAGATGCTCCTCCAGGTCTACTGGGCCGAGGCCGTTTAGGGCTTTCAAGGTCAGCACCAACACTTTGCATTGTGCTCGGAAATGTACTGGGAGCCAGTGTAGGTCTATCAGGACCGGGGTTATGTGGTCTCAGCGGCCGCTCCCAGTCACAAGTCTAGTTGTCGTATTCTGGATTAGTTGTAGTTTCCGGGTCACCGTCAAAGGTAGCCCCACATAGAGCGCATTGCAGTAGTAGCTATCGTGGTCCTTTCTGGGTCATCCCTCAGCCGGCAAGACGAAGATTGCCATTTTTCTGAGTCGTGCAGGGTGATACAGCGGTTTCACCCTCAAAAGTCTAGCGATTAAGTAGATTCCCCATGCAAGACTTTGAAGATGGTTCTTCGCTTGCAGGATAAATGTAAAGGTAAAGTGATCCCTGACCATTAGGTCCAGTCGTGACCGACTCTGGGGTTGCGGCGCTCATCTCACTTGAGTGGCCGAGGGAGCCGGCGTCCAGCTTCCGGATCATGTGGCCAGCATGACTGAGCCGCTTCTGGCGAACCAGAGCAGCACACGGAAACGCCGTTTACCTTCCCGCCGGAGCGGTACCTATTTATCTACTTGCACTTTGACGTGCTTTTGAACTGCTAGGTTGGCAGGACGCTTGCAGGGTGGCAGCTATTAAAAGCAGCATCCTGCATGTATACTGAGTCCAGTGGAATGCGTTTCTCTCCCTTGAGCCCAGGAGAGGGTCTTCTTGCTGCCAAAACTCCTTTCTCGCAGTGTGTAAACTGTCGGTCCACAGTTCTATCTGTCCGCACAAACTCCAGTGGGCACGACGTGTCCACACTCAGCAAAACAACACCATCAGCTTGATTGTAAACCACAAGCAAACCTCAGAGCGGTAAAATGAATCATTTACCAATGAGAAAAACTGAAAATAATGTAAGGCTGTAATGGTTCTAGGGGTTGCTCGTGCGTAAGCCGGTGTAAACACCTGGCTGGATTGCCTGAGTGAACCTTTTCTGTCCGGACAGCCACTCACCCATGGCTGTCTCAATCGCTGGCAGAATCCGTCAGTGGGCGTTTCTTAAACTTCTTCCAGCAAAGAAGCTCTTTGACGCCTAGTCTCCTCCTACTCTCTCTGCGCAAAAGCCTTCTGCACAAGGAGAGCGTGGGCAACGGAGGACCCCTACTCTCCCCGCTGGTCCCCGGCAAGGAGTCATGGGACCGCCTCGCCGCTTCCCCCATCTGCCCCCCTTCTCCACTGGTGCTACGCTGATTCTCTTCCCCAGAAGATGGGCTGCTTCTCCCAATCCCTGGACGCTCTCTGGAATCCCTCTGGATCTTGCTCTCTCCCTCCGGCACTGATGGCAGTTCCCTGACAAAGGCTTTTGAAAAGTTAAAATAGCGATAGTCTGAAAAAAGATTAAAACACATACCAGCTTTCTAAACAGCATGTTGCTTTACAGTGTTTCGCGAGCTCCTCTGTGATTCTTTTTATAATATAAAGTGGTCTAACACATAAATAAATATGATTTTCCCCGTATTGCAGATGATTGGGGGAAGGCTGAGGTTGAGATGGTTTTATTTATTTGTTTCTTCATTCCATTGGCTTCTGAGCCATCTTTCAAAACCTAATTATTTTTCCAAAGTAGCAATTATGACTTGGCCAAGTAGGCTGAGAGCTGAGGGCCTCTGGTCTATTTAGAGCAAGCTGTTCTAATTTTTACTCTGCCAGCTCTTTTTCATGGCAGGAGAAGGCGTTGAAACTGACCTCCTTTGGAGTTTCTGAGAGTTTCGGCATGTTCCCGAGGCGGCTGGCTGCTGTGTGGGACGCAGAGAAGCGCCTGCGATGCCCATTAGCCGAGGGCGGACAACTCAATTGTTCTCTTTTGCTGTGTCCTCTTGCCAGGGGAATGAAATAGACATGATTGGCGTGGGCACTCACCTGGTGACGTGCACGCTTCAGCCGTCCCTGGGCTGCGTCTACAAGGTAAGCCAGTTCTTCCACAGAGACGCGCTTGCAGGGCCAGAATCTCTTGGGCTCTGCGGTTCAGGTCAAATCTATCCTCTAATGATTAACAGAGGGGGAAAGAGAGTAACCTTTATGAGCCTGCTAGTGTGATGTTGTTGTTGTTGTTATTTAGTCATGTCCGACTCTTCGTGACCCCCTGGACCAGAGCACGCCAGGCACTCCTGTCTTCCACTGCCTCCCGCAGTTTGGTCAGACTCATGCTGGTAGCTTCGAGAACACTGTCCAACCATCTCGTCCTCTGTCGTCCCCTTCTCCTTGTGCCCTCCATCTTTCCCAACATCAGGGTCTTTTCCAGGGAGTCTTCTCTTCTCATGAGGTGGCCAAAGTATTGGAGCCTCAGCTTCACGATCTGTCCTTCCAGTGAGCACTCAGGGCTGACTTCCTTCAGAATGGAGAGGTTTGGTCTTCTTGCAGTCCATGGGACTCTCAAGAGTCTCCTCCAGCACCAGAATTCAAAAGCGTCAATTCTTCGGCGATCAGCATTCTTTATGGTAGCTTTTCAGAAACGGGGATGCATTGGGAGACAGAATTTTGTAAATGTATAAGCCAGCTTTTGGCAAGCTGGGGCCTTCCAGGTGTTTTGGACTACAACTCCCATCAGCCACAGCCAGCATGACTGGCTGTGGCTGATGGGAGTTGTAGTCCAAAGGTTGCCAAAGGCCAATAAAAGCATTATCTATTATCTACTAGCAGTTGAGGTATTAAAGGAGGACTTGGGCTGGGTCTCTCTCTGAGAGCCAGTGTGGTGTAGTGGTTAAGAGCAATAGACTTGTAATCTGGGGAACCGGGTTCGTGTCTCCGCTCCTCCACATGCATCTGCTGGGTGACCTTGGGCCAGTCCCACTTCTCTGAAGTCTCTCAGCCCCACTCATCCCATAGAGTGTTTGTTGTGGGGAGGAAGGGAAAGGAGAATGTTAGCCGCTTTGAGACTCCTTCAGGTAGTGATAAAGCAGGATATCAAATCCAAACTCCTCCTCCTCTTCTTCTTCTTCTGTCTCTCTCTCTCTCTCTCTCTCACTATGCAGCACCCAGATGTTGTATAGAAGCTCTACCTTTCTAAACCACTAGCAAAAGCTTCCTGCACATTTTTAAATCTTGAGGACTAGAAGATTGCTTCTTCTTCCTTTAACGAAGGCAAAACTTTTCACATTTCAGCAGCCTGCATTTCCTTCCTAATCTCACCCTGTGCACCATAAGAGCACCTTGGGTGCAAAAAAAGAATTTTTACTGCCACATTAAAGGTAAAGGGACCCCTGACCATTAGGTCCATTCATGGCCGACTCTGGGGTTGCGGCGCTCATCTCGCTTTATTGGCCGAGGGAGCCAGCGTACAGCTTCCGGGTCATGTGGCCAGCATGACTAAGCCGCTTCTGGCGAACCAGAGCAGCGCACGGAAACGCCGTTTACCTTCCCACTGGAGCGGTACCTATTTATCTACTTGCACTTTGACATGTTTTCGAACTGCTAGGTTGGCAGGAGCAGGGACCGAGCAACGGGAGCTCACCCCGTCGCGCGGATTCAAACCGCCGACCTTCTGATCGGCAAGCCCTAGGCTCTGTGGTTTAACCCACAGCGCCACCCGCATCCCTTAATGCCACATTAATGATATCCAAATATAGACTATTCCGGGAGCCTTGGGTTCTATATAATACCTCTTCCTCCCCACCCACCAAATTTACCTGCCTGCCTGTCACCTCTCTCTGCTCCGTAATTCCCACCATCAGCATCGGATCGCTTTAAAGCTCCAGAAACTGCAAAGAACAACAAGTAGATTTGATTCCTTGAAAGAGATTCCGCCTGAGCACCGTATGTAATAGGGCGGCCCACATACTCCCGTGTTGCATTTGCCTGCCTGCCTGCCCCTGTCCTGTCTCCCCATCCTTCCCTCCATCAGGAATACCATTATCCTAAACAAAAACCAGGTTGCTTCCATGAACAACTGCCTGTCTCTCCGTCCGTAGCTGGTGGAGGTGAATGGTTCCCCGAGACTGAAGGTGACGGAAGACAAAGAGAAGACAACCTTACCTGGAAGCAAGCGAGTCTACAGGCTCTGGGATGCTGCAGGTGAGATTCTGGGGACTGATTTTCGAACATAGGAAAAAGGAGGTGCCTTCTGTTCTAAGAGTCCATTGCTCTCTGTATAATAATAACAATAATAATTTTATTTATACCCCGCCCTTCCCGGTTCAAAAACCAGGCTCAGGGCAGCTAAAAACAAATTTAAAACACTTAATTGTAAAAGCAGCATAAAATACAGTATAAAAACCTGAATAACAATAAAATTCAAAATTCAGAAATCAATTAGATAATCCCCAGGGCTTGCTCGCTGAATTGGTCCTACTTGAGCCAACGAGGAGGCCAGGGGAGAATTAGCTGTGGGGTCTCAGAGCGGGTAATCTTCATAAAAGGGGAGGGAGAGGGAAGAGAAGGGAAATAAAAGATCATGCTGAATTCAAATTAAAGGCCAGGCGGAATAGCTCTCTCTTACAGGCCCGACGGAAGGAGGTGGTAACACCAAAGAGGTGTTAGGCCCAGAGGTCTAAGAGAAGTCCTCAGGTCAAGAGGGCAAATAGTTCTCCATCAATGTCCCTTCCTCAAGTATTTTTGCTTGGCTGGAAATCAAAGAATCGTAGAATTGAGTTGGAAGGGACCCGAGGGTCATCTAGCCCAACCCCGTGCTGTGTAGGAATCTCAGCTAAACATCCATGACAGATGGCCATCCAACCTCTGCTTAAAAAAACCTTATGAGGAACGGTTGAGGGATTTGGGTATGTTTATCCTGGAGAAGAGGAGACTGAGAGGAGATGGGATAGGCCTTCTTCAGCTATCCAAAAGGATGCCACATGGAGGATGGAACAAGCTTGTTTTCTCCTGCTTGAAAGGTAGGATTCGAATCCATGAGTTCAGGTAACAAGAAAGGAGATTCCGACTAAACATTCGGAAGAACTTTCTGGGGCTAAGAGCCGTTCAGCTGTGGACTTGGGGGACCATCTGCCAGGGATTCTCCAGCTGTGATTCCTCTATTGCTGGGGTTGGACTAGCCAGAGTGGCACATGCTCTAGTTATCTCCCACTTGGACTGCTGCAGTACGCTCTACGTGGGGCTACCTTTGTTTTTTAAAAAAATAATATTTATTATTTTTCCAAAAACTTAAACACTAAAAAGACAATACAATACAACACATCAAATTAACAAAACAAAACAAAAACAATAAAATAAATCAAACAATTTCATTATCCCATCTTTCATTCACTTATTTCCAATGACCTCCTCACACCTCCCTTTTTGTATTCCACTTCTGTTAATTATTTCAGCAATTCCTTTCCATCTTCCTCTGTTTTCTATCCTATAATTATCTTAACTCATTCTAACCTTATTTTTTCCTTTAATGCTCTGTTAACCTATCTGTACTTAATTCCTTATAACATTTCTACTAAAGCCATATAACTTCATTCCAACATTTTTCTAACATTCATTAATTTTACAGTATTTCTGTAGATAGTCTTTAAATTTTTTCCAATCTTCTTCCACCGACTCTTCTCCCTGGTCTCGGATTCTGCCAGTCATTTCCGCCAGTTCCATATAGTCCATCAACTTCATCTGCCATTCTTCCCGGGTGGGTAAATCTTGTGTCTTCCAATATACATGGGGCTACCTTTGAAGGTGACCCGGAAACTACACCTAATCCAGAATGCGGCAGCTAGACTGGGGACTGGGAGCGGCTGCTGAGACCACACAACACCGGTCTTGACGGACCTACATTGGCTCCCAGTACGTTTCAATTCAAAGTGTGGATGCTGACCTTTAAAGCCCTAAATGGCCTCAGTCCAGTATACCTGAAGGAGCATCTCCACCCCCATCGTTTTCCCCGGACACTCAGGTCCAGCGCTGAGGGCCTTCTGGCAGCTCCCTCCCTGTGAGAAGCCAAGTTACAGGGAACCAGGCAGAGGGCCTTCTCAGTAGCGGCACCCGCCCTGTGGAACGCCCTCCCACCAGATGTCAAAGAGAAAAATAATTACCAAACGTTTAGAAGACATCTGATGGCAGCCCTGTTTAGGGAAGCTTTTAATGTTTAATAGGTTATTGTATTTTAGTGTTCTGTTGGAAGCTGCCCAGAGTGGCTGGGGAAACCCAGCCAGATGGGCGGGGTATAAATAAATTATTATTGTTATTATTATTATTATTGATAACCCTTGGGGGTTCCTTCCAACTCTACAATTCTGTGGTTCTATACCTGGCCTTTCACTGTCATTACTCTCTTTTGGTCACGATCATGCCCTTCTTTTGCTTGCAGGCTTCCCATGCATGGATCTCATGACTTTGGAAAAGGAACCTCCTCCAAGGGCTGGGCAGGAGGTGGACTTCTGGCTGGTGGGAACGACCCAGGAAGCTGGAAAAGTGACTCCTTCAGCAGTCGAAATGCTGAACCGCGTCTACCTCAAAGATGGGCAGGTGGGGAGGAAGACCCCTGTGGTCTTCTCTTTGCAAGACTTCATGTGGGCCGATGTTGCTTTGCATTTAGGGCTTGCCTCTGAAGACGGTTTGGAAACTTCAGCTGGTGCAGAATTCAGCGGCCAGGTAGCTCATCGGAGCAAGATAGTTTAAGCATATTACACCATTGCACTGGCTGCCAGTTAGTTTCCTGGCCCAATTCAAAGTGCTGGTCTTGACCTGTAAAGCCTTAAACGGCTCAGGACCGCAATACCTCAAGGACCGCCTCTTTCCATAATAACCTACCCGGACCCTGAGATCATCTTCTGAGACCCTCCTTTGTGTGCCTCCTCCTCGAGAGGTCCAGAGGATGGCAACACGAGAACGGGGCCTTCTCTGCAGTGGCTCCCCGTTTGTGGAATGCTCTCCCCAGAGAAGTTCACCTGGCGCCTTCATTATACACCTTTAGGCGCCAGGCATAAACGTTGATATGTTGTCCTTTTAAATTTGTTTTTTTGTGGGGGGCGGGCTATTGGGTGGCTGTTTTTATTTTTATTATGTCTTTTGTGGTTTTATACTTGGATTTTTCTCTGTGAACCGCACTGAGACCCCCGGGTATAGGACGGTATAGAAATTCAATAAATAACAATAATAATTTATGTCAGCCTGCAGCATAGAGCCTTGTGCCCTCTGGCCAGGGTGGGGTCAGAGCCCAAATGAGAGAGAAGTAAAATATTTCAGGGCTCGTTGAAGATCCCAGTTCTCATTTGGGTGGTCAGTTTGGGTGCAGAGAGTTGGAAGAAGAAAGCAGTTTCTCTGTTTGTCAGCCATTGTTGTGCCACGTGACTAAGCCGGGCAGAACAGCTGTTATTCGGGGATGCTTAAAATATTAAAAAAATTGCTGTGTCTTTTACCCTGAAAGGCACCTTCCTGTCTTCCTAAGCAGGGTTAAGTGTCATGCATCCATTGCAATGCTAAATAAACCTCCCGATTGACTGATGATTGCATTATTGACTATCAGGATATTGGATAAGGTAAACGTAAAGGGACCCCTGACCATTAGGTCCAGTCGTGACCAACTCTGGGGTTGCGGCGCTCATCTCGCTTTATTGGCCAAGGGAGCCGGCGTACAGCTTCCGGGTCATGTGGCCAGCATGACTGAGCCGCTTCTGGCGAACCAGAGCAGCGCACGGAAACGCTGTTTACCTTCCCGCCGGAGCGGTACCTATTTATCTACTTGCACTTTGATGTGCTTTCGAACTGCTAGGTTGGCAGGAGCAGGGACCGAGCAATGGGAGCTCACCCCGTTGCGGTGATTCGAACCACTGACCTTCTGATCGGCAAGTCCTAGGCTCTGTGGTTTAACCCACAGTGCCACCCGCGTCCCATCAGGATATTGGGTATTGAACCCCAGTAGAAAGAAAGGAGATTGTAACTAAAAATCAGGAAGAACTTTCTGGCAGTACGAGCTGTTGGACTCTCCTTCTCTGGAGGTTTTTAAGCAGAGGTTGGATGGTCATCGGTCTGGGATGCTTTTGCTAAGATTCCTACATTTCAGGGGGTTGGACTAGATGACCCTTGGGGTCCCTTCCAACTCTACAATTCTGTGATTCTCTCTCCCCAGCACCATATTGTTCTTTGCCTCAGGCAGCCAAGATGTCTTGGGATCGTCTCTGGTCGGAAGACAGTTCCCAGCTCCTGAATTAGATGGGATTTTGGTCTGCTCTTAGGATTTTATTCCCGATTCTAGAACATTTTGAAATGCTTTCTTTCTGCCTTTCCCACGCCGAAGGTCTGCCAGCCACTCCCCAGCCTTGTGGAGATCAGGGGCCATGCGCAGGCCTCGCTGAACAAACTCAACCCTGCGCACAAGAGACTGAAGGACGCGGAGACCTACAAGGTACAAACGGGCCTAACAATGCCGATTCAGAATTTCTTAATGTGGATGATGATGATGATGATGATAATAATAATAATAATTTATTATTTATACCCCGCCCATCTGGTTGAGTTTCCCCAGCCACTCTGGGCGGCTCCCAATCGAGTGTTAAAACAGCATTAAATATTAAAAGCTTCCCTAAACAGGGCTGCCTTCAGATGTCTTTTAAAGATAAAATAGCTGCTTATTTCCTTCACATCTGCTGCGAAGGTGGGAAGGGATCGAACCCACCCCAGTGCAGATTCTGGGCCCTCCTGCTGAGCCGAAGCACTCCTTCCCTGCCTGGATAGCTCAGCTGGTTAGAGTGTGGTGTTGAGAATGCCAAGGTTGCAGGTTTGAATCCCCATATAGGACGGCTGCATATTCCTGCATTGCAAGGAGGTTTGCCTAGATCATGGGTAGGCAAACTAAGGCCTGGGGGCCGGATCAGGCCCAATTGCCTTCTCAGTCCGGCCCACAGACGGTCCAGGAATCGGCATGTTTTACATGAGTGGAGTGTGTCCTTTTATTTAAAATGAATCTCTGGGTTATTTGCGGGGCCTGCCTGGCGTTTTTACATGAGTTGAATGTGTTCTCTTATTTAAAATGCCTCTCTGGGTTATTTGTGGGGCATAGGAATTCGTTCATTTCCCCCCCCCCCCCAAAAAAATATATAGTTCCCTTCCATCTCCTACAATTCTGTGATCTATGATCCTTCTTTCTCAACTTCTCCTGCTCTCAGGTGGCTGTGACAGAAAAGCTCCACCGGCTTCTCCTCGATCTCCAGAGAGGCAGCCAGTGACCCGCAAAGCCTTTTCCCGTGCCCAGGAGTGGGGGGCGGTGGCAGCACCCCCTCTGTGCCGTGCCTTGGATCCTGCTCCCAGCCACCACCACTGCCTCATCACCTACGGAGGCAGCACCTTTCCTGTGCCTTAAGAACTGAAATTGCCCCTTTGCACTCAAAGGATCTGTCTAGGAATGTATTGCACACTGCCAGTGTGGGAATTGGGGGGGGGGGCTGGGACCAAACCTCATGAATGGAGAGCTTGAGGAGCACCTGTAGGGCAGGTTTCGGCAGGTAGAATTCAGTTCAGGGAGCTTGCAGGCTGGTTGCTATTTTCCAGTGGATTCAAATCACCTGCTGGCAGATTCGGGTTGCACAAGTTGGTTGGGAAGCCTTACACAGCAAACTCCACCCCCCCGGCAAAAAAAAGACTGGACTTTTTGCAATAGTAGAGATCCACGTGGGTGGTGCTGTGGGTTAAACCACAGAGCCTAGGACTTGCCGATCAGAAGGTCGGCGGTTCGAATCCCCGCGATGGGGTGAGCTCCCGTTGCTCGGTCCCTGCTCCTGCCAACGTAGCAGTTCGAAAGCACATCAAAGTGCAAGTAGATCAATAGGTACCGCTCCGGCGGGAAGGTAAACAGCGTTTCCGTGCGCTGCTCTGGTTCGCCAGAAGCGGCTCAGTCATGCTGGCCACATGACCCGGAAGCTGTACGCCGGCTCCCTCGGCCAATAAAGCGAGATGAGCATCGCAACCCCAGAGTCGGCCACGACTGGACCTAACGGTCAGGGGTCCCTTTACCTTTTACTGAGAAAGTTGTGGGGCAACGCTTGCTTTGCCTCCAGGTCACCCACGAACAAATGAGGAGGGATGCTTATTCAGTAGCCAACGTTGCCTCGTCTTACCTGCAAACAAATCAGGATGAATTCTCCATAAAGCAGGGTTGCCCTGGAAGCACCCAAAAGACAACAGCATGTGCAGGTAAAGTGATATTTGCCTTGAAACTGGAGCAGGGAAACAAGAGGCAAAATAGTGGTCCAGGAAAATAGGGGCATGGGCTTTCCAGTGAGGATTTTCCCCACTGGGTTGGCGAACCCGAGCCCCCCTCTCAATATTCAGCATTCTGGGGGGGGGGGAGGAGAACAGGTCGGAACTGCAACAAAATGTTGCAGTTTATCCCCCCCTGCCCCCGGTGCAGTATCCTCCCAGGTACTACAAGCTGCAAGGGTCTCAGTTCGCTCCGCACCACCCCCCAGCTGTCAGAGCTGGAGTCAAGACGCAGGTCAGCAAGAAAGGAAGCAAATCTGATGCCAGTGAAATTAACTCTTTATTCAATGGAAGGAGATGCAACTCTGCCTAGTGGTCTCAGCAAACCTTCCCAGGTGGCCCTGCCCCCTGGAGCAGTTGTCCCTGTCTTCCATCTTCCACCCTCTCTAAGCCTCCTCCCTCTCCCAGATGTTTCCCAAGCAGCCTCAAACTTTGTTTCTGCACCTCTGGTCTCTGTTCTGCCCTCCGCATTGTTCTGTGCCTTCTTGGAGACCAGGGGGGAAAGGGAGGGAGACTCCCTGGATTTTTCTGCCATCTCTTGACCCCCCTACTCTGCTTCAGCCTTGGAGTCTGAACTGCTCTCTGTCACAGGCTCTCCTGGTTCACTAAACCCAGTCGCCCCCCGGCATTCATCATCTCTGGCCTCTCCTGTGTCTCGCCACCAATGCCCTGGCTCTCAGCCTTCCTCCTCTAGGGTTTCCCTTGGGGGGGGGGGTTTCCCCAACAGGTTCTTCCCACCACTCCTCTGCCTCCAGCCAGTCCCTGACACCTGAATTGAATTTTATTATTATGGTCATAGACCAGTTCCGGCTCACTTACAATATCAGGAAAATCATAAAACACAAGAGGAATACATTGAATTGCAGTTGGGTAAACCAGAAACCATACAGATATAGCGGCAGTTAAAAATATATATTAAATCTTGATCACTAAAATATAACCTAAAATTGTCATTTAAAACCTTAATCATTTTGGTAGTACAGCTTGTTCCCTAAGTTTTACGGCAGTCGCACAGAATTTGGCCACCCTGAGCGTGATCTCTAGATCCTTGTCTTCTACCAGGAGTTTTAGACTTTGAAGTTTGGACCCGTTTGGAGATTTTTGTATAACGGGAGTGATAAATACCGAGCGTATACGCCCGTAGAAACGGCAGCGTAACAAGACATGAGAGACAGTTTCTACCTCCATCAAGCCGCAGGGGCAAACTCGTTCCACGTACGGTTTACCCTCGAATCTGCCCTGCAATCTGTCCCTGACATCCGTTTTCCTTTTCCAATGGACATTTGACATTCTGTGGCACCTGCTGAACATGCTCGGTCCTTATCGGGCTGGGTTTATGTGTTTGTGCCCCCTTGCCCACCAACGTACTACTGCAAATCTTGCATTAAGATACACCCTTCTTGTTCCTCGCGGGTCCTGTTTTGGCTCCATTGCCGCCGCCGCCACCAACCACGCGAGTTTGGTGACAGGTCGGCTGCGATTCTAAACAGGAGCATCCAAACAGGACTAACCTGTTGTGGCATAGACAGATTTAACAGTGCCTTGAATGTTCGCAATCCTGGCTTTTATACCTGTATGAAACCATACCGGACCGCATGTACGCTCCTCTTAATTTTAGCGTGTGGCTTAACAATCAAACTGCACCATAGTCTTTAGGGGAAACGGCACCGCTTTCAAATAAATGCATATAAATTTCTGTACGCAAGAGAAATAAATTGTGCGATCCTTATTCTAGACGTGTGTGCGTCTGTCTGTCCGTTGCAATATGGGTTTGGAATATATGGTTTTTGCTATGGATTAGGTTCTGCCCTGGCAAAATGGAGAAATAACAGATTTGCACCCACAGCTGTTGGGGAAACCGTTAAGTCAAGTTAGGGGTGGGGAAGCTTTGACGCTCCAAATGTTGCCGAACTACAACTCCCATCATCCCCAGCAAGCATTGCAAGCGACCAGAGACGGGAGTTCAGAAATATCTAGGGGCCCAAAGGTTCCCCGCAAACCGATTTAAGTATCTTTGCTGGCTCTTTACCATGGCACTGAAATGCGAGTTTCAAAATGCCCTGAGAAACCTGCCATCTTTTGCGCGCTTGCTTTTGGAAGCAGCGTTGGGGCGACTGGTTTGATCTGCGACGTTTCAAAACTTTGTTCTGCCTTTCACCCACCATTTGCAAATAAAGGCATCGCCTTTTCCAAAAACCAGCAGGGCTACTTCAACATCAAAAGACGTGCGACCGCATTCCAAAGAACAAGCCGTTCTTTGCAAACGGTACTTGGAATGAATGAGTTTGGCGGAATGACGCTTGCGTTGCGTACCTTCCCCCAAAGGAATATGGCACGCATGGTTCTCCTCCTCCCCATTTTGTCCTCCCCCAGATGTGAAGTCGGCTAGGCCCAGAATTAGTGGCTGTCTCAAGGTCACCTAAGTGGACTTCACTGGATGTGAACCCCGGTCTCCCAGGTCTCCTGAACATCACCTGAAAGCAGTTCCCACAATTGCTGGGTGAACCGGATTAAGTTCCATTTTGGGGAGTGGAATCGGGTGAGAGCACCTTGATGGGCAGGTTCAGTGCACACAGTTGATACCTGCGCCAAGCAGGACTGAACCAGGTGGGCTGCCAGATGATCGACAGGTGGATGGTCCCACTCACCTGTCAAAGTTGGGGGGGGGGGGAGATAAAGATCCGGCCCACCAAGGCAGGGGCCTCTCCAAGTTGAGATTCCAGCATGCTAGGCAGAAATTGTACCCCTGGGCTACGCTAGCAGGCTTGTCCATCCTATTCCTTTATGGGGCTGGAGACTTTTGATCCCAAATAACCCAGTAACAGCCACACAAGCAGATACACCCCTCCCCTGCCCCTGGGATTCATTCTGAAATCTTTAAAAAGTGGCCCTCTTTCAACTCCAGCCAGCTTTTTCAAGCTTTTAATGCAATTCCCCCCCTAGAATAAAATGAAAAACACCAAACGAGAAACCAGATAGAAGTCTAATTTATTGAAACAAGCCAACAAACACGCCAATAAATGCTCAACTCTCTGGGTTCACATTTTTCAAAAGCGTCGGCAAGCAGGAATAAAGGTTTCAAAAGTCAACATGCAACAACGGTTGCCAGAAGGCCCTCCAGATCATCTTTTCCTTGTACTTCTGTGTAGTTACTTTTCACCAACAAGCACAACTAACAACGCACTTGAACAAAAGCAGAACAGCTCCTTAAACAGAGACCCCAGAGAGGCGCAAAGCACTTTCACAGCATCCCCGCAGGGAAGTGCCGAACTGTCGGGCAACTTTTTCAGACGGCAGCTCCTTTCTCCGGGCTGGAAGAACGCGATTTGGATTTGGATTTCTCCTCCTTCTCCTTCTCCTTCTCCTCCTTCTCCGCCGGCGGCAGGCTCTCTTTCGCCGTCCCGGCGTCGGAAGCCTTGAGGATGGTGATGGGGATGGTCCTCTCCCCGACGGACTTGGGGACCAGGCGCGGCGCCTCGATGCTGAGACACCCCAACTCGGAGGAGAAGTTGCAAGCCAGCGCCTCGATGTTGGCGTCTCCGGGCAGCAAGACCTCCTTGCGCACCTCGCGGAACTCGTGCGAGACGCAGCCGTCCGTCCCCTCGGTTTTCTTGTCGTGCTTGGCGCTCACCGTCAGCTTCCTGCCTTCCACCTTCACCGACAGCTCCTCGGGCTCGAAGCCGGTCACGTCCAGGGAGTACAGGTAGTCGCTGGTGCCGTCGTCGTCGTCCTCGTCGTCGTCCAGGCAGCGCCTGTCGAGTTTCCTGCCGCGGCTCCTTCGCCGTCGGCCTTCGCGCCGCGTGGCCAGGCACGGGTACGCGTCCACCAGCACCACGCGCATCTTCTCCATCTCCTCCAAGTGGTTCTGCATGTCCACCACCAGCTGGTCCAGGAGGCTCCGAGGGGGCATACCCACCGGCACGTACTGGACGCAGGAGTCCCGGCCCGACGTGCGTGCCAAGGCGCGCCGGGGGCGGCAGTCCCGGGAGAAGCTCGCCATGCGCGGCCGTCGAGCGAACCTCGTGCCAAAGCGGCTCCCTCGCTTCGCCTGCCCGCCCCGACGGGACTCTCCCCGGGCTTTTGGCGCCTTCTCGACGGGGGGAGGAGCCCAGGCAGCTGCCAGCCGCGGCCCGGAGCGAGGAGGTGGGAGAAGCGCGGCGGCTTGGCTGCCCGCGCTCTCCTTGCAAAACGGGCGCGCTCGCCGTCGGGTCTGCAGCGCCTGAGCTTTGCGCGCTGTCCTGCACCCTCGCTTTGCAAGCGGCGGTGCTGCTATTGTGTAGCCAAAGTTAAGCCCCTTTAGGTCCCGTGCCCCGTTTAAGTGTTTGGGACTTCGAAGCGGGCGCCTCAACTTTGGCAGCACGCTTGTCCGTGATGCCCCCTTCTGCAAATAAAAGCAGCCGTTTTCAAGGGGGCTAGACGTGGGTGCAAGTAAAGTGCATACAGTATAGACAACCGGCCTGCTCGCCCAAGCAATTGTTGCAAACAATAAATGCAACATCACTTTTTAAAATATAAGTTGTGCTGACATTGGTATTTTGCAAAAAGCATTTCCCCCCGCCCCCTGCAATAACGTGAGAGAAGGCTCCAAAAGTTGTGCTCCGGGAGCTTTTCCTTACAGCTGCATTGAAGGAAAGTATTTGCATTTTTTAAAAAAATGAACTGCGTACACGATTTTGCTATGCATGTCCATTTGCCGTTATCTTCAGGAGAGCAGGAGGCAGGCAGAAATGATTGGGATTATATCTGCAGGCAACACATTTAGTATTCCTGGAAACACTTGGGTTTCCCCCCACGAAACGTGGCTTTGTAGCAGTAACTGTGGGTGATGTTGCTTCCTTTCCTTTTAGCGTTGTGTACTTATTTGCCACTTTTCCACACTAAAGAGTGCCCAAAGCACCTCACAACAGATATTAGGGGTGCGATGAAGCCTGGAGACTAAGTGGAGAGCGTTGGAGATGCTTGTACATGCAGCTGTAGACTGCAAATTATGAAACTCAAGGAAGGCTACTCTCCTTGCTGTGTATTCGTGGAGGTTGGATTTTATATTATTTTTTGCAAAAATCAATCCTAGTCTTCGTTTAGGATTTCGGTAGAACGACCCTGTTACTCAGAAGGAAGTCCCATTAAGGAGTGAATTTGACATGCATTTTAACAGGCGACACTGTCTTACAAAATCCTTATTTTTCAAACTCGTGACTTTATTTATATTTTAGGGGGAAACAGATTAACTTGCCTTTTCACCCCCGATTTTGTTGGTAATTTTAACGTATACTTTAAGTGGCATATAAACCCTGTTTGCAAAGTAAATAAGTGTGTGATAAGGATTGCAGCCCATAGAAGGACATGAATTTGATCCTGTCAGAGAAACTTGTTCCTACGTCCATTTTTCCCACCCGAGGGCAAAGCCTCATTAGGCTACAGGAGGCCTATGCTCAGAAAGGGAAAGACCTCTTGCAATTGACCCTGAAATTATGTTGGATATTTTGGACGCATGTTGGGGGGGGGGAAGGGGTGTCCTAAATTTTTAGCCAAGAGCTGAATATCTAGTTTCTAAGGTGTTAAAATATACATGCTGTCCATGGCCCTGCCTATTCAAATATTTATGAGGCCGCAAGAGACCCCACCATGTGCAAAAGCACCGTTTTATTTCCAGTTAAAAGCAGAAACTGCCCACAAAACTTCCATCATATGATCAAGTAGCCCTTTTGGATGGGCTCATTCTCTCGGGCATTTGCTTGTTATCTGGCAAGAGGAAATAATAATAATAATAATTTATTTATATCCCACCCTCCCCTGCCGAAGTTGGGCTCCGAGCAGCTAACAGTAGTAAAAATAACAAAATTTACATAAAATCACAATCAATTAATTGAAATACATTGAAATAGGCTATAGCACTGCTTCTTAAACTTTTAATCGGCCACACATGCAGAATAAAAAATTGTGTGCGCCGCTCCAGTTTTTTTCTTGATGAGAAATGCACTGGAAAACAGAAAGAAACAACAACTATCAGTGCTTGGTTTACAAGATAGAACGCAACTACTTTATAATACGATTGTGGGACATCCAAAAAGCATGCAAACAACCAGCAGAAAATTAAAAGAAGGAATGCTCTCCAGGTGAGGGCAGGAATAGCCAGGAGCTTTTGGGAGAGGCCGGCGGCCGATGAATATGTGTTGGAAGTTTCTGGATGGTGTTTCTATCTCTTGGCACATATTTGTGAGTCAAGGTCATCTTGCCAGCGCCAGGAACAGCAGAAGAGGAAGGCTCCAGAAATGTCTGGAAGGCCACTGCAGAGGATAAAAGGAGGCGCTGCAGCTTGTCAGAGACAGACGCTGGAGTGGAAAGAGACACTGCAGGCACCCGGAGCCCAGAGAGAGAGTCGAAAGAGACACTGCAGGCACCCGGAGCCCAGAGAGAGAGAAACAGACCGTCCTGTTGAGCTATGCTAAGCTTCTCGAGATCCGGAGGGTTGCAGCACGGGGGTTATCCTGGGTCCAGCCTCATCTCCCCACAGCTTTACAGCAGAGATCCAAGAAGCGGCTACAGGTGGCTGGAGGTTCCGCAGAACCTCTCTGCGCAGCCCCAGGTGGATGAGATGGGGAGGCCGAGGGTCTTGCATGCAGGTAGCTATCCCCAGAACCTCTTTGCGCAGCCCCAGGTGGATGAGATGGGGAGGCCGAGGGTCTTGCCTGCAGCTAGCTATCCCCACGTCTCCTGGGCAGCCCCAGGCCAGGAAGGGCAGGGCAGCCCAAGCCTTGTCCCCAAAGTCAGCTTCCAGGAGAACAATATCACGTACCAGCTCTGCCTGGACATGTCTGGGTTTTTGGCGGACGAGCTGACCGTGAAGATGGACGGGAGGAAGCTGACGGTGTCCGGGAAGCACAAGAAGAAGACCAGGTCGGAAGACGACCTCGTTTTCCACGATCACAGAGAGGTCCTCAGAGAAGTTCTCCTGCCGGAAGATGCCGATCTCGACGCCGTGACCTGCACCTTGACCCACGATGGCAAACTCTGCTTCCAGGTCCCACGCAAGGCCCCGACTGCTCCCAAGGTGACAAACATCCCTGTCACCAGGGCCCCCCAGGGGGGAGAAGGGCAGGAGAAGGCTGCTCCGGACGAGGTTGACCAAGGAGGAAGTGGAGATGGGGAGGCGAGAAATACCAGGGACAAGGATGACCAAGAAGGAAGTGAAGATGAGTAGGCATATCCAGGGCAGAAGTGAGGGAGGGCGGACAGTGCAAAGCATGGGGCTTCAAAGGACATGGCGATTCCAGCTGTTCCATCTGCAAGCTTTGGGGCTTGGGAACTTTGCTGCCATCCTGTTCCCTGGGCTTCATCTCCCATGTAGGTCATCTCTTTTGGGGTACCTTTTATACATCCCACAAGTCATGGGTGGTTGTTTATCGCGCAGTTCCATTATGATTGCCGTTTCCTTAATATTGTACTTTGGAGAACCCATCAGGAAATAAACTTGCATTGTTTCCCCCTTGAAAGTATTTGTTTGTCTTCACTTGGGTCATTTTCAGCGTTCCTGGACGTGTGGGTGCTGGACTAAGAATTGGCAGTACACCAGATTGACTGCTTAGGGGGCCTGAAAGGATAGACCGTGGGGAGGGGAGGGAGAAGGAAGGGGGCACAGCTGCATTTCTCTTAAAATAGAAAGCCCTTTCCTAGTGTATCCCCCTTGCAAATTCTCAGCGTTTTATACATTATTATGAAGCCGTTAGTCCTTGCACCAGGGTGCATTCAGATAACTTAGGGTACTTCTAGACCGCCCCTATCTTTTGGGTGGCCTCTGCACATGCTCAGAGGTAATCAAATATTCATTGCGAGTGTTGAGATTCCAGGGCTGTGGAGTTCTGGAACAGAGGACAGATTCCTAAGTAAGTTGTGGATTCTGGTTTAATGTAAAGCACTGCATGAATTTTTCTCTCACTGGCCTTGATTCTGCTCGCATCCTGATTGCAGAGCTTGCAAAAGTACTTTAGCTGGAAGTGAGCTGCTTCTGTTGTCCCTTATTTTCACTCTGAATATGCTGGGAGTGTGAAGGAAACTGCCCCAGGGGAATTTTTGACAGGGTGTCCTGGCAGCCTATGGTGCAAAAGGCACTTGGCATTTCACAATTGCGTTTTATAGAGAAATTAACAATGATTAAGGAAAGCTGTTGGGAGGCTCTGGTGCCCCCAAGCGGCAGGTAGGGGGAAAGGAAAAAAACCACATTTTTTTGCTACCTGATTCTTTGCAGGGGGTGGTGACTTTTCTGCTGTTGGGTCATCTCATCAGCAACTTTGCTGGGGCCGTATGCCAATGGCAGGGAGGGCCGGAAGGAAATTGGGTGGAGCAGCGGACTTTGTTCTGTAGTCTATATTAGTGTCATGGAAAAGAAATGTTTCTGCGCATCACGACACGCAAACATCATCCGAGTATGCAAGAAGCGTTTTTTAAAACAAATAATGATAATAATTTTAAAAAATTATATCCCATCCATCTTGCTGGGTTTCCCCAGCCACTCTGGGTGGCTTATAACATACATAGAAACACAACAAAGCATCAAACATTAAAAAACAAAATATCCTATACAAGCAACAAACAAAGCAATAAATCAATAGAAACCAATAATAGCAACAATAATAAACAGTTTACAGTTATACCCAAGTTAATATTTATATATCGCCCTGTTGCAAAACATCAGGGAGCGTTCAGCAACACAGAAACATTTAAAAGCAACGCAAAGCATTAATTAAAGCAACTGGCTATTCAAGAAGGTTTTAAGCAATTTATGTTTAAATAAATAACATCATCCCAGTGGGAGGCAAAAGCACTTTGAGAAGGGCATGCCAGGAAGGGGCACGTATAGTAATAATAATTTTATTATTTATACCCCGCCCATCTGGCTGGGTTTCCCCAGTCTGGCAAAGGTAGCACCCCCTAGTTCCCCTATCCTTAGGTTGCCTGCTAAACAGCCTCAGCAAACTACAACTCCCAGAATCCTTGGCGGGGGAAAAGCGTAACCGCTGAAAGCGCCCGCATAACGCGGCCCAAACCTCCTGACGTGAAGGCTCACGCATGCGCGCAACGCGCTGGTGCCTGCGTGTGGGTTTATTTGCCCTGCCGCTACTGGAGTTTCCCCATTGGCCAAGCCCAGATTCCGTCTTGAACTTCCTCGTTCCGACTCCGACTCTTCTTTCTTGATTGGTCAAGCCCCGCTCCTTTGCCGCCCACCCCTTCATTCCGATTGGCGGTTGAGGCGGCCCTGGCTGCGGATTGACCTGCGGGCAAAGAGTGGGCGACGGCCTCCTGTGGACGCTCTGGCCGCCCCGCCCCCTGCGCTCTATGGCCTTTCCTCAGAGCGAAACGGGAACGGCTTCGGCGCCGGCTGGGCCCGTCGCCGAGCGGAGCGAGCGGGTGAGGGACCCGGCGGCGCCCCCGCCTTCCTCTCCCGCAGGGCTGCCGTTTCCCTGCCAGGTTTCCCCCGGCGAGGCTCCTCCCCGCCCCCCCCCGTTCCACCCTCACAACAGCCCTGCGAGGGAGGGCAGAGGCCGACAGGGCCTCAGGGGGCGGGGGGGGGGCTCCGCGGGGAGAGGGGCCTCCGCCGGACCGCCGAGCGCGGCCTTGGCCAACCTGGGGCCCGTCATGGGGCTGCACGGCGACTGGGAGCGGGGGGGAGTTGTAGCGCAACCTCGCTGGGGGCTGCCGGCTGGTGGGAGTTGTAGGGCCACCTCTAGGTGCTGGGGCTGGTGGGAGCTGTAGTCCAAACTCGCTGGGTGCTGCTGGCTGGTGGGAGTTGTAGGGCAACCTTGATGGGTGCTGCTGAGTGGTGGGAATTGTAGGTCACCTTTTGGGTGCTGGGGCTGGTGGGAGTTGTAGTCCAAGCTTGCTGGGTTCTGCTGACTGGTGGGAGTTGTAGGGCAACCCCTAGGTGCTGGGGCTGGTGGGAGTTGTAGGGCAACCTCTAGGTGATGGGGCTGGTGGGAGTTGTAGTCCAAGCTTGCTGGGTTCAGCTGACTGGTGGGAGTTGTAGTGCAACCTCAGTGGGTTCTGCTGGCTGGTGGGAGTTGTAGTCCAAACTCGCTGGGTGCTGCTGACTGGTGGGAACTGTAGGGCAACTTTTGGGTGCTGGGGCTGGTGGGAGTTGTAGGGCACCCCCTAGGTGCTGGGGCTGGTGGGAGTTGTAGTCCAAGCTTGCTGGGTTCTGCTGACTGGTGGGAGTTGTAGGGCACCCCCTAGGTGCTGGGGCTGGTGGGAGTTGTAGTCCAAGCTTGCTGGGTTCTGCTGACTGGTGGGAGTTGTAGGGCAACCTCTAGGTGCTGGGGCTGGTGGGAGTTGTAGTCCAAACTCGCTGGGTGCTGCCGGCTGGTGGGAGTTGTAGGGCAACCTTGATGGGTGCTGCTGAGTGGTGGGAATTGTAGGGCAACCTCTAGGTGATGGGGCTGGTGGGAGTTGTAGTCCAAGCTTGCTGGGTTCTGCTGACTGGTGGGAGTTGTAGGGCAACCCCTAGGTGCTGGGGCTGGTGGGAGTTGTAGTCCAAGCTTGCTGGGTTCTGCTGACTGGTGGAAGTTGTAGGGCAACCCCTAGGTGCTGGGGCTGGTGGGAGTTGTAGTCCAAGCTTGCTGGGTTCTGCTGACTGGTGGAAGTTGTAGGGCAACCCCTAGGTGCTGGGGCTGGTGGGAGTTGTAGTCCAAGCTTGCTGGGTTCTGCTGACTGGTGGGAATTGTAGGGCAACCCCTAGGTGCTGGGGCTGGTGGGAGTTGTAGTCCAAGCTTGCTGGGTTCTGCTGACTGGTGGGAGTTGTAGGGCAACCCCTAGGTGCTGGGGCTGGTGGGACTTGTAGTTCAAGTGCTCTGGGGGCTGGGGGAGGTATACTTGTCACTGATGACGTTTTGACTGCAGTATTGCTTATTGGGGTTTGTTGGTTGCTGCTAATTTCTTGCATCTGCCAGAGAATTCTCAACACTCCTGTTCTAAATAAATAAATGGTTGAGTTAAATGTTAAATATGATGGGGAGTCTTCCCACTTCCTTATTCTCATTGTCCAGGAATTACCTGCAAGCATTCCTAGATTATTTGTTTCTTCTATTCAATGACTAAAGTAGGTTTATTAAATTTCCCTATGACATTATTGTGTAATTTATTTTTAGGACTGAAGGAATGTGAAGATGAGTACTGTACCTATGTACCAGCCTTCCCATGCGGATAAGAACATGTATTACATCCTGACTGCAAACCACCCTTATGGCAGCAAATTTTTTCCTGCTGGGAGTATGTGTTACCTGAACGAACAGACCTACTTGCGGTGCATTAGATTGTCACCCACTCGCTTCTTGAGGGTTGTCATGGAGCAAGATGGATCCGTGGTCACTTTGGATGCTGAAATTCTGCAGCCTTTGCCTGACAAGATGGCTGATTATCTTTCAGCGATCAGCAACATTCATGAACGGTTGAACTGTTTTCTGGACAGGCATGTTCTGGATGCAGCCATGAATGCCAAACAGGGACAGCAAGTCTTTGTGGAACTAGACCATCAGACTTTCTCTGGTACCATCTGCTACATTGGGAAGGTTCATAGGAGCCCTTTACCATCTGGGCTCTGCCCAGTTTACTTTGGTGTAGAGCTGCAGGTGAGGCCATTTATGGAGGTTGTAATTGTCCTGAATTTTTACGGTCTGGTCTGTAATTAAAATTAGGCTTTGAATGCTTAAATAGGCTATATAAATACTTTCTCAGTAATCCATAAGAGAAAAGTACATTGCCTTGCATGTTAGGTCTGACTCTCTTGTTTTGAAGAGCGAAGTGCTTTGCTTAGTTCACATGAAAGAAGGAGAAGCATTAAATGCTTTCTTTGGGCCAGCCAGTTCAAAATGTCTCACACAAGCTTTTGAGATCCACAAAACCTTTCCTCAGGCTGCATGGTTTCAGAGAAGGAAAAAGACATTATTTTCTGGCTAAGGCATAATAACATGCTCATTTTAATCTGTTTCTTGCCAATCTCTTTTGGTTACCATGAAGGGAGTAAGATGGAATTAATGCAACCACATTAAACAGAAGTCACATGATGGAAGTTTTGAGTTAAACAGTACATGAAAAATGTGCTCCTTTGGGGCAATGGAAATGGAAAGCTAGAAGTAAATTTAGTAAGTTTTAATGGGGCGATTCCTGAATTTTATTCAGCTGCATGCTTCCTGTATGGTTTTAGGCTTTATGATACTACTACAGTGCAGTTTTTCTGAGGGATGGGAAGCTGTCCTGCTCCTCTGAAGGGTATACTTTGGTTCCTACATGATACTCACATACTTGTAGCAGAAATGGGCTATTCTCTTGTGTCCCCTTTGTTCATATCCTGAGCTGTTATAACATAACCTATCTGCTGCTTCTCCAGGGTGACGGTGAAGGCAAAGGCCACTGTGATGGTACCTACAATGGGACAGAATACTTCAAGTGTAAAAAGGACTGTGGCCTTTTCCTCCCATGTAACAAACTGCAGTTTGTATCAGCACCAGAGAAGGGCATGGCAAAGCAAGAGGGAAATCCGGACGCAGTTGGGGCATCTCCAGTGAAAGTGGGGGATACCATCGGCTTCTATTTGGATGATGCCTTCATGCGAGGGATAGCAATGGATGTATTCAAGGAGGAAAAGACCTGGATGGTTAAAGTGTGTCCGGTAAGAAAGTCATCACCATTCTGATTAAATCCTTCTGGAGGAGGCATTCATTGACACAGTAATGTCCTGAAAATAGAGAATGATGATGCCCCCATTTTGGAGTTGCGCCAAAAATAGCTAGGAAGGGAAATAATGCAACAGGTCTCCTCTGCCAGTTGAAACTGATAAATGCTTGCTTGTCCTTATCTGGGCAGATGGATAAAATGGCCGGGTCTGCACATAACACTAAGCCATGGGTTGCTATAATGTACTGTGATAATATTCTTTATTAGTTTTCAATTACAATCCAATAATAGCCTCATTATAACAATAACAATTTATAATACAGTTATTAATGCCAATCGTTCAAATGCCGAATTATATAATTTAGATAAGGTGGCCCCCTGCATGCTAGAATTGATGGCTTGATTATTTGCTTTATTTCTGTCTTCAAAATCTTATTAATTTCCATTACATTCCAGTCATAATAATAATCCCTTATATAACAACTGCAGTACAGTGGTACCTTGGGATGTGAATGGGATCCATTCCGGAGCTCCGTTTGCATCCTGAATAGAACGTAAGACGCAACAGCACGTTTGCGCATGCACAGGTCGCGTTTTGCCGCTTCTGCACATGCGCGTGACGCCACCCAAGATGCTCACCAAAGAAGCAGCTAGAAAACAATCTAAGCTTTGAAGAAACAAGCTGTGGTTGTCTGTGTGACAGCTTGTGGTTTGTTAAACAAACCATGGCTTGGTGTGAACGAAGCCAATGATATCCATGGTGCATATGTAGCTTAGTAGTAGCTCACATACTTTGTATGTAAAACTTCCAGGTACATCCTTAAATTTTCTACTTCATTTATTTCATAAATTAATACACTGCTTGATTGTTTAAAAAAACCAAAACTCAAAGCTGTTTACAGAGAGAATAAATCAATAAATTATCAGTAAGAAAATCCATAAAACAACTTTGTAAATCATTCAAAGCATAAAATCAAGAATAAGCTAAAAACAGATTAAAACATACACCCACATTCTATTTTGGTTTATAGGAGGAAGAAGGATCAGAAGATGTTTTTCGCGTTATCCCCATGGACTCTGTGGTTAAAGAGGAGCTGCTTTCCCCAGGTGACTCAGTAGTCTGTGGTAGCTTTGCTTCTCCATTTCTGGAGGACCAGAAATCTTCCTGGTTCTACTGTAGCATTGGGGTTGGAGTCTATAAAGCTGCTACTGAAAACAATAACATGCACACCAACCACCTTTGTAGTCTGCCTTTTTCATCAAATTATAAGACACATAGGGTATATTTTTCTGTGTAGCACTCCTCTTAAAACATTGAGGCACCAAGCATTCTTGAGTGCCTTGCTGAAGAATGCACGAAGGGAGAAGTGAAAATGAGAAGGCACTTTGTTGTTTGGAAGGAACCCAGGCCTTCTGATTGCCCTGCACCAACCAGGAAGATTTTCTGCTGAAGCAAAGGTGCATTTCAACACTGATGGGTAGAATGCAGAGGTAAACATACCTAGGCACCCCATTCCTTTAGTAGCAGAAAGTTAAGTGCATTGCAGAGTGTAAGTGAGGGTTAGCCTAACTTCCTAACCCAAATCAGGTCTTAGGTTGCTAAAGAGAATACTAAACAGCCAGACCAGCAAAATGGCTATGTCGCTCATAAATTCCTACTCTTCAGCTCCCACCCAGTGTCTTCAACAGCAAAGTAATAAAACGGCATCAAAATGTTAATTACAAAAGTCTGTCTGGCATAATACATATGTGTTGCCTTTCAGGCTTTGAAGTGGATGCTGATAGTGGGATCCAGGACCAGCCTAAGCGTAAGAGAAGTGAGAGTGCAGAGGATCTGGAAAGCAAGTCACCCTCCCTTGACGTGAACTCAGTGGTACGGATCAACCTGGACAAGGGGAACTCAGTCACGGGAACAATCTGTTGGATTGGCTGTCTGCCTGAAAATCGGCAGAAAATGGCTGGAGTTGAGCTGGTGAGAGTTCCATCCATGCATCCGTTCACTGTCTTTGACATCTCTAGCTTCTCCTTTGGCGATCCCTCGTAGCTGAGTAAGATTGTCTGCCATGAACAGGGTCTTAACAGTGAGTCCGTAAAGGACTGTGGAGGCCAATTCTGGATCCACATGTCCTTCGACAGTGAGGACATAGGTTTCTGGGTGGGAGTTGATCCTGGTGAGGGTTTGCCAAGCATTCCTTCCTCTTGGCACGTTTCTCCCTTGCGTCCTGAGTTCAAGTGTCTTCGAAGCCCATGACACCTTTGGTAAAGAATGTTCTCCAATTGGAGCACTTGCAAGCTGGTGTTCCCAGTTGTTGGTGTTTATACAACATTTTTTTAGATTCATGTTAGTGGGATCAAGAACTGTATCACAGAGTTGGGCTATGCAACGGGTAAATGGGCACGCAGTTGACAGGACTACTGGAAATGAAAGCCTGCTTCCCTCTCTAAGAAATGGGCTACTACCTTTGGGTAGGATACAGTTTGACTTACTTTCCGCTGTATAAAACAAGCCTGAAGGAAGCCCCCAACCCACTCACAGGTCCTTGTATGATCAGTGGAAACAGTTGGTCCTTGCAAGTTTTAACCAGTCAATTCCAACCTGATAATTGCCGCCTGCCCAGATTTTAAGGCATCTGAATTAATTTTAAAATGTATTTTAATTAATTGATGTCCGTTTTTATGCATATTGTGTTGTTTTTATGATGTTAGCCGCTCTGAGCTCGGCCTTGGCCGGGGAGGGCGGGATACAAATAAAATTTTATTATTATTATATTATTATTATTATTAGAGCCAAGAGTCTTGAGGTGGGTAACTTAATTGCGGCAGTTTGACTCTTAGTCTTTTCGGCAGCCTTTGGTACCACTGATTGAGAGGTGTTGGTAACTCAACTGCAGGGCCCAAGAGGGATTTGAGGAGTTCTTGTCTCTGATAGGAAGAACAGAGAGGATGGTCCTGGCACAGCTTCCCATGTGGAATCCCCCGGAATTCCCTCTTGTTCCTTTTCCTTGTCCGTGAGACTGCCAGGGGAGATTCTAACCAGGATGCTTGCCTGTCTGAGAGATTTCACCATCCCACACAGGATGAAGATAAGGGCGTTTCTGATGGTGAGTTGCAGGGGGTGCGCTACTTCACTTGCCCCCCAAAGCGTGGCCTCTTTGTGAGGCTGGAGTCGTGCCAGCCGGACATGCGCTTCCAGTCCATCAGCCACACTTCCCCGGAGTCCACAGAGCTGAGTAAGTTCCCTTCCTCCACTGAAGATACAACGCGGTGAGGATCAAGTGATCCATTTGCAGCTTTCGACCAGTTTCCCCCCGCTCTTTCTCTTGCCCTTCCCATCATGGTTTGTTGCATCACGTCTAAGCTAAAAGAAAAGAGGCATATTTTCAGGAGCAGAACGTTAGAGGTGTTTTTAGAAAGAGGAAGTATCCATCTGTTTCAGGTGGACTGGATGCTCCTGCTGTCCTAAGCAACTCGCCCCCTCTCAGGGATGATGTGGCCGTGAATGTCCTGGAAGGGCGGATGAAGGGGATACAGGGCCACTGCAATTCTTGCTACATGGACGCTGCACTTTTCAGGTAGGTGGGTCTGCTTGCTTCCTTTCCAAACCCCCATACAAGTGGGTCCCTTTAGGAAACCACGTTAGTTCCGTTTAGTTTATGGGAAATAGCCCCCTTTGTGCACCTTCAGGGACTGTGCTTAGATCCTGAATAATTGCGTTTCTCTTCTCATGGTTGAGGGTCTTTGTAGGGTATGTGAACTGCACTATCAAATTCAGCTTGATGGGAAAAATCTATTCTCTGAGGCTCATGCTGTTGCTTCGATTTCTCTCTGTCTCCATGTCAGTTTTTTGTTTTGTTTTAATCCACTACTCTGGAGTGTTGCTGCCAACCTAGCAAAGTTACCAAGTGCGTCCTCTCTCACCACAGCCTCTTCTCCTGCACCTCTGTGTTGGATTCCATGCTCTTCAAACCCTCCCTCCCACCTGATGGGCACGTTCAGAACATCCTCCGGGACAAGATAGTCAACCCTCTCAGACAGTGAGTAGCTAAAGGGGTGTCCTCCTGACCAACGGGAGCAGTCCACAACTCAGCTCTATTATTTGCCTCTTTGCCTATCTGCAATTTTTGCAGGTGCAGCTTTCAGTGTCACATGCTGAATTCTGCATCCTCGAAGCAGAGAGGTTCCCCTTCTATATAAAAACCAACAAAACCCTCCGCAAAGTTTCTAGTTCCCATAGCTCTGCAGTAAGCTTCAGAGCCTGGTGAAATCTAAGAAGCTTAACAGGATGGACTCAATGGATTTCAGAAGCTGCAACTTGGGTTTCTGTGGAGCTCCTTGTTTCTTCCCCCATTGTGAAGCAGAATGTTGTTGTTGTTTAGTTGTGTTCAACTCTTCATGACCCCCTGGACCAGAGCACGCCAGGCTCTCCTGTCTTCCACTGCCTCCCGCAGTTTGGTCAAACTCATGCTGGTCTCTTCGAGAACACTGTCCAACCATCTTGTCCTCTGTCATCCCCTTCTCCTTGTGCCCTCAGTCTTTCCCAACATCAGGGGATGCAGAATAAATGCTGAAGCAGAATAAATTCTGCAAAATAAACAAATCTATATTAATTTTATTTATTAATCAGCAGTGTCCCCTTGGCATTTGGGATTTTGGGGATGTGTCATGCATTCATGCAGACCACGCTTTAACGCTTTGTCAGTTTCTTGAAGAGATGACACGATTCCCTCCTCTTCTCAGGAAAGGATTTGTTGCTGCTAGCAATGTGATGGACCTTCGACACCAGTTGACTGAGAAGGGAGAATGTTCCAGCTTTGCCACTTCTGAGAAAGGTGATTAATTTCCCCCTCCCTTTGGGGTCTCATGCTCTGGTGCACTTTGATGTGCTACTAAGCTATTCCAGTATCAGATCCCTGCTCAGCCACAAACCTGACTGGTGGAAGAGACTGCAGTAGGTCACTGTCTCTCTCAGCCGGCCTAATCTACCTCATGGGTTTTTTGTCGGGGAGGGCAGGATAAAGATGGAACTGCTAGAAATCCTTAATTGGATTCTTTGCAAGACTACAATCAAACACCCCGGGTGGGCGTGGTCCTCCTTCCCTTTAAGCTTTTGACAAAAGTTAAAGAACTACCTGGCCAGTTTGGTATGGCATCATATGAGAGCTGGTATTTGCTGTGTCAAGCCAATACTCCTGGCCGTCATTGGCTGCGGGACAGTGGGGAGTCCTGTATCCTGCAATGACAATGCAATTCTGGGCTGCATCAATAGGAGTATAGCATCTAGATCAAGGGAAGTAATAGTGCCACTGTATTCTGCTCTGGTCAGACCTCACCTGGAGTACTGTGTCCAGTTCTGGGCACCACAGTTCAAGAAGGACACTGACAAACTGGAACGTGTCCAGAGGAGGGCAACCAAAATGGTCAAAGGCCTGGAAACGATGCCTTATGAGAAACGGCTAAGGGAGCTGGGCATGTTTAGCCTGGAGAAGAGGAGGTTAAGGGCTGATATGATAGCCATGTTCAAATATATAAAAGAGGAGGGAGAAAGGTTGTTTTCTGCTGCTCCAGAGAAGCGGACACGGAGCAATGGATCCAAACTACCAGAAAGAAGATTCCACCTAAACATTAGGAAGAACTTCCTGACAGTAAGAGCTGTTTGACAGTGGAATTTGCTGCCAAGGAGTGTGGTGGAGTCTCCTTCTTTGGAGGTCTTTAAGCAGAGGCTTGACAACCATATGTCAGGAGTGCTCTGATGGTGTTTCCTGCTTGGCAGGGGGTTGGACTCGATGGCCCTTGTGGTCTCTTCCAACTCTATGATTCTATGATTCTATGACAGAAGACACAAGTCCCCTGCTTTTTGGCTTCATTTTCTGTGTGTTCTTGCTCTGTTCTTAAGTGATGGAGGGGGCTAGTTACCTATACACCACCCCACCCGCGCCTGCTCTCCTTCGTTTCTTCTTCCACTGTCAGAGGTAGAAAGCCTCCGAATACCAGCTGCTGAAGAAGAAGGTGCTCTTGTTCTCGAATCCTAATTGCGGGCTTCCCGGAAGAGGCATCTGGTTGGCCACTGTGGGAACAGGACTCTGCACTGAATGGGCCACTGGCCTGACCCATCAGACTCTGTTTATGCTCTTATTTATACAAAAGATTTGCCTGTGTCTGACAACAGCTGGAGAAGAAGGGAGCAGCGTGTCTGATGTGGCGTTTACTTTGCCCTTTTAGACCCTGAGGAGTTTCTTAATCTCATCATGCATCACATCCTTGGGATAGAGCCGCTTCTGAAGCTGCAGTAAGTTTTCACCCTGAAGAGCTGAGAAATACGGGCTGCATGTTTCTGGGACTAGGAAGAAAGAATCACATTTCAAAGGATCTTATGCCTCAAAGGGAGTTGATGTGGGTGGCTAGTGACTTAAAGTGGTAAAGGGAAGCTGTCAAAATACCTCTCTGTGGTCAGGGGAGAAGTGGAGAAGGAGGAAAGGGGCAGTGCCTTAGGCCTGGTGGAGCAGGAGTGACTTGTGGCCCTTGAGATAATAATATAATAATAATAATAATAATTTATTATTTGTACCCCGCCCATCTGGCTGGGCTTCCCCAGCCACTCTGGGCGGCTTCCCCCCAAAAATATTAAAATACTCTAATACATCAAACATTAAAAGCTTCCCTGAACAGGGCTGCCTTCAGATGTCTTCTAAAAGTCTGGTAGTTGTTGTTCTCTTTGACATCTGGTGGGAGGGCGTTCCACAGGGAGGGCGCCACTACCGAGAAGGCCCTCGGAGCTGGACCTCAGCGTCCGGGCAGAACGATGGGGGTGGAGACGCTCCTTCAGGTATACAGGACCGAGGCCGTTTAGGGCTTTAAAGGTCAGCACCAAAACTTTGAATTGTGCTCGAAAACGTACTGGGAGCCAATGTAGGTCTTCTAAGACCGGTGTTATGTGGTCCCGGTGGCCGCTCCCAGTCACCAGTCTAGCTGCCGCCTAGATAGTCTAGACTATCTCCAGCCCCATCCAGCACTGCTAATTGTCATGGATTTGTAGTTCAGCAGCAACTGGATGACCCAAAGGTTAACCACCCCTGTGCCAGAGGAAAATTGCAGGGAGGGGCACCATTGCTAACTATTTTTATTTGGCTAGGGAATTAGTATTCAGCTCTACAAGTGTGTATTGATTTGAAGTCTAGAGAGCCTCAGGTGTTGATGGAGGCGAACCCAAGCTCTCCAGGTCTCCAGCTGACCTTACTCCAAAGGCGGTGTGTTAAGGGCAGGAGTTTGTATGCCTGCAGTGGCTCAAAATGGGGGAGCCTGGCTTCCACCCAGCCGCACCCCCTGCGCCCCATAGTGCTCCTCAGAGGGAATGGGGAGGAGCCTAAGAAATTCATTTTCCCATTGCACCGTTGAAACAGCTGCCGTTGCTCTAATAATTCCTTGTGTGGGGAGTGGGGTGCAGAATCTGGATAGCCGCAGAGGAGTCACCTGCCCATCGCTTTCAGGTCTGGAAGGCTCAAGGAGCAGGAGTGCTACTGCTACCAGATATTCATGGACAAGCAGGAGGACTTGGTAGTACCCAACGTGCAGCAGCTGGTAGAGCATTCCTTTCTCTCATCTGATCTCAAGCTGGTGGAGGTGAGTCATTGTGACCCTTTTGGTTGCCGCTTCTCTGTATTTTAACATTCTGACCCTACAGAGCATGACCTGAGCCTGTCCAGGAGGATATCTTGGTTAATGGTGTCAAAAGCTGCTGAGATATTGAGCTCGATCAACAGGGTCGCACTCCCCCTGTCTGTTTCATGGTCATCCATCAGAGTGACTAAGGCTGGTTCAGTTCTGAACCTGAACCCACATTGTAGGACATCTAGACCAGGGTTTCCCAAACTTGGGTCTCCAGCTTTTGTTGGACTAAACCTCCCATTATTCCTAACTGGCAGGACCAGTGGTCCGGGATGATGGGAGTTGTAGTCCAAAAACCACCCAAGTTTGGGAAACCCTGGTCTAGATAACTGGTCTCATCCAGGAATACCAGCAGTTGCCCCACCACCTTTGCCAAGAATTGTATTGAACTTTGAGCAGGCACAACTTTCCATGTAGAGGTGAGGAAAGCTGCCCTGCAGCGGTGCCCTCTTCTACACAGCTCTGAGATGCAGGAAACTGCTGGGCTTCCCACTGCAGATCAATTTGCTATGTGGCTATAAGCAGATAGACTGCCCTTCCCTGACCACCGGCCCATCCCAGATTCTGCATTGTGTGATTGCTTGGAAACTTCTGGCTGCAGAGCAAGTCCCGATGATGTGGCTTCCATTTCTCCCTCTGCCTAGATTCCCTCCTGCTTTATCCTCCAAATGCCCCGTTTTGGGAAGGAATACAAAATGTTCAGCAAAATCATCCCCTCCTTGGAGCTGGACATTACTGACCTGCTGCTGGATAGTAAGTTATGGGCATCCTACGGTAGGGGTGGGGATGTGGATGCAAACATATTCTAGTTCCCTTTACCTAGATTTGTCATCCACTTCCTTGGAGTGAAACGCTGCAATAGCACTGTGTGAGACTGATGGCAGTTCAGAGAATGGATTCATTGCTGTGGCCTCTATAACTGACCCAGGGTTCATCGGGAACGTCCTGGAATTAAACAGGGAGAGGTTCTCATGCCGGTCCATTCGTGAAGCTCCCTGGCAAATCCTTCTCCCTCAGCCTAACTTTCATCATTGGGCAGTTGTGATAATAAGTACAAGGAGCGTTCTTAAGCATTTTGTAGGTGGTTCAGCTGGTTTGTCAGGAAAGGTCCTGCTGTGCTTCTTTCTCCCTGAGCCTGATTCAGGACTAGAGGCTGCTATTAGCCAGGATATCTGTGTGATCTAAACAACAATATACCATTGTGGCTTGGAAGCTGGCCAGAGGAACCACACTAAAGATCGCTTAGCCATTTTCGGGCCCAATTCATTTCTCAGTGGAAAGTGCATCCTGTCCTGTAGGCAGGCTCTGAAAGGTTCAAGGTGTGATCTTTAGTCTCCCACTGTAGGTCCCAGGGAGTGCTTTGTGTGCGGAGCTGTGGCCACTCAGGAATGCTCAGCGTGCTTCAAAGACAAGATGTTTGCAGACACCGGATTGAAGCAGTACTGCGACTCTTGCTGCACTCAGGTACCCCCTTTTCATTTGTACCATAGTGGGAAGAAGTTTCACGTCTAAGGCCCCAGATTCATGCCTGCTCCTCTTGAGACTTCAGGAAAGGAGTGAAGCAGCCCTTTTCTGTAGAGGAACGCACTGATGGACTTGGTATACACCGGAGGGTGGTTAACCAACAGCCTGTGGGCCTTACTTGGCTCCCCAAAAGCATTCCAGTTGCCCCTGAGGGCCCTCTCCAAATTTGGTAGCAGTATTTATTTGTTTAAAATGTTTTCATAGAATCAGAAAACTTTAATCATTTTTCTTCCCTGTGAACATTCCCTTTGTCCTGTGGGTTCTGCAGGCATTTCTGAATGCCCTGGTTATGGTGGATGTGGGTTTTCTGAGAGCAAAAGGGACGCTAGGCCACAGTTCCTTGACCGGGGCTTGTGGACGTCCTTTCTTTAAAAGCACAGACCACCTGATGGCAACAGGAGCTCCATTCCACATGAGCCCTCACCCCCCCATTAGCTTTACTGTCTTGTGGCTGTTTGCAGGCTCACTCTCATTACCAGCGCAAAGCCCATCAGCTGACAAAACTGCACATCCCCGAGGAGTTCTGCAGGGTCAGCCGCCTGGGCAGCCTCCGGGTGCCTCGGGAGAAACTGGAGCTCTTTGCTGTTCTCTGCATTGAAACCAGTCACTATGTCTCCTTTGTGAAATACGGACCAGAGAAGGAGAATTGGATGTTTTTTGACAGCATGGCAGATAGGCATGGTAAGTTTGTGTGCTATTTTAACAGGTGCATGCATGCCTCCCCCCCGCAACCCAAAAAAGCCACAAATGCATTTAGGGTTGTTGTTTCGATGTTGGGGAAGGAAGGGGATTGGCTGATTTAATGCATTTGACTTGCAGGGGTCTGGGACTATGATTCCCATCTTCCCTGGCCATTGAACACGCTTGAGGCTAATGAGAGTTGTAGTTCAGCAACATCCGGAGGACCAAAGGTTCCCCACACCTTGTTTATAGCAAGGATGGGGAACCTGTGACCCTCCAAATATTGTTGGATGCCCCAGCTCCTATCAGCCTCAGCTAGTGGGGCAAATTGTTAGGGATGATGGGAGTTGGAGTCTAGCAACAGCTGGAGGCCCACAAGTTCCCTGTATCTGATTTAAAATGTCAAAATTGAGTAGCTACACAAAAGCAGTTCTGTGAGCATAGAACACAGTAGGAAGAGTTAGGTTTGGCATAATGTCACAGGGACAGCAAGTAAGTCACAGAGTTCGAAGCTGGAGTTAACTCTTTATTAGCAAAACATGATCTTCACAGACTTGGCTGAGTTTCAGGCCTAGTGAGCACAGCAGCTCATGCCCTGTAGGTCCTACTGCATGAAATCAATTGCCAAGACTAAACGTCCTCGCCTCCCCACAGGCCTCTTATGCCACCTCTCCAGGGTTTCTTCCAAGCAATCAGAGACTGCTCCTGCATGCAGCCTGCCTATGCTCCTCCTGTTTCATACCTCTCCTGGTTCTGGGGGCGGGGAGCTTGTTGCAGAAGGGTGGGGGAGAGACACCTGTGACTCAGCTCTGCCTCTTGGCCCCCCTCATCCCACTCACCTGCTTCTGCCTCCGATTCTGGACTCCTTTCTGTCACAGACTGTCCCTGGTCACTAAGCCCCGTTACCCTTTCAGCTTCTGACACCTCCTCCTCCCAGTCTTCTCCCTCTGACCACTCATCACCGTCCCATCACCGCTCCCCGGGCTCTGAGCCTTCTTCCCTTGGGGTTCCCCAGCTGGCTCCTCCCGCTATTCATCTGTGCCCAACCAGTCCATGACACAAATAATTCCTTGCTTCCTGAATCAACAAAGTGCTCCTCTTTCATTTCTTGAAGGGCAGTGATCTCTCACGAATGGTACACCCATCCCAGTTGTGTGCCTGTGCAGTTGCAGAGGTTGACCAGTCCTGGCTGCACAAGGCAGGGGGTTGTTCCAAATGCACCCAAGGGTCTCACCAAAGGACCCTCTCTTCTGTCGGAATCTCCGCTACGACCGAGCTGGAAAAGCTCATCCTCCGGTCGAGTCCTTCGGAATCTCTTCCGATGTGATTAACGACCTGAGCCTTTGATGAGGCTCCAAGCACGTTTCCTCATTACGCAAAGTATCCAGCATGCAGGGAAGGACAAGAAAATATGAGCTACATTGCTAGGTTTTATTTCTAACTACGAAGACGGAAAAGAAAAATACATGCTCTCTCTGTGAAAGCAGAGAGCAACTGAAACAAAGGAACAGGAAATCAGTAACATCACATCCGTCTCCTGTCTTCTGTGAGACTTCCAACAGCCTGGAATCTCTGGAATGCAAAACAGAGTCTTGTGACTCTAAGCACTGCACAGTGGCATAAACAGAAACTAACATCTTCCTCTCTTTCCCGCAGGTGATGAGGACGGCTTCAACATTCCCACTGTGACTCTGTGCCCAGAGGTTGCCAAGTACCTGGAGATGCCCGTAGCCACCCTGGCCATGCAGCAGCCCCGGGACATGGAAGGAGTAGCTAAGCGCCTCTTCTGCGATGCTTACATGTACATGTACCAAAGCAAGAAAATGGCACTCTATAAGTGAGCGGTGGGTTGCTTCTTGCAGTGGAACAGAGAGGAAGGGGCTCCGACGCTCTTCCACTGCGCTGTCTCTCATGCTGTTTACAGAATCGCCTCTGGAGAATGGAACCAGTGAAACTACTTTGCCTGGGGCAGGTGATTCAAACCTGCGAATCTGGGCTTGTCAGAAACGTGGGACTAGTATTGGTGGAGCAACCCCCCCTCCCAGTTCCCACACTCCTTTTGGTAAGGGCTACAACTCAGGAAAACACAGAAGCTCACGGCTGGGCTTGGACAAAGACACTCTGGCCTGTCTCAGGGTTTCACCTCAGCTGGGTTCCAAAAACCCAGTACTCTTATTCTGATCATTCCTTCCCCTTGGTGGGAGAGGTGGGAATTGAATGTCTCAGACAAGAAGCTCTTCCTGCAGTAAGTTCTGGGTTTGACCTGGAATCCCTAGGGAAGAGCAGACCGCCCCCCCTCTGCACACTTGGTTGTTGGTGCGGTCCTTTGCCATCTGTGGCAGCCCTGTGCGCATGACTTGCACTTTTAAATTTGTGTAATTTGTTTTAGATGGTAATTGAGGCTTCCTACTGAAGCGTCTCGATGACGTGTCTCAGGCAGGACAAGCACTTTGGATAAATACCTTTGGTTTTGGGAGAAAATGGCCCAAGCGTGTGGAGATGGCTCTCACGCCTTCTGCTTTTTCAGCCTTTACAACTTTCACAAGGAAGTGTGGCAGTCAGGGCTGTGGACTATATACACCCATCCAGAACAGCAGGTGCCCAGGCAGTCTGGTGACTCCTGGGGAATGGCCTGGCCTGCCTTACTGTGAATTCAACAGCACTGTTATTAAACCTCCTGCGTGAGCCGTCCTTGTAGAGCACTGCAGAGCTAAGAGAGTAAGCGGTTAAGTTTTGGTTCCTCCTGTTCAAGGACTCCTGCTTCCTTATGCCTTTGTTAGCCAGATTTCCCGTGATGGTTCCTAGAAACGTGATCCTTTGGACTTCCTCTTCCCCCTCTCAAATTCCGTGATGGTATCTTGACAGTTCATCTCCTGTGGGTTAGAATGACCCGCCCCCCCGCCCCACACTCTCCCCAACCCACCCCCAAGTTGACATATCTTCTTGGTTTCCATCTCTAAATAGTTTGGGTTTGGTGTTTCAGACATTCTCCCAAGTATTTTGAGCTACTGAAAGAAAAGAAAGAAATAATTCTCTTGCAGAAAAAGCACGGGGATTCTGTATTCTATGTGAATTTTACAGAACAGTTGGCATTTTCTGTCTACTAAAATGCGGTGCAATAAGATTTTGGGTAGGGAGAGGACTAAGTGCCTTACATGTTGACAGCGTCTGTGTGACCTGTCTAGCCCTTTTAAACGACTCTCCCTACATTGTATTTCTAAATCACCTCTGCTGAGATGTCCTGTTCTGCAGCCTGAAATTATAAAGTATTACAGCACTTTCCAGTAGGGCATTGCCTTGTTGGGGAAAGAAGCTTGTCTGACACAGAAATCCAAGAGGTTTTGGTGTCTGCTTGGGCTTCTACAAGCAGGAAATAAGATATTAGCAGGAAATAAATTTATCAAAGTTATTCGTGTTTACTTGGTCATAGCCGGGATTCACTTTGTAACAGCCCCTTCGCTTCATTGAGGCCTAGCTTGAGAGACCAGCTGCAGAGATTGTGCTTGCATTGTTTAATTCTTGGAATCTGTGTTGGCATTCTTCTTTCCTCTATTTCTAGAACTTATATCACCAGCTGTATCCAACTGCCCCCACCCTGCCTTAAAAAAATCTCAAAGTGGACATTTTTGTATCTAATGGTGTCGATCTCTTTGAAAAATACATCCTCCAATAGAGCCTTCTTTTCTGACTTGGCTGTGCTTGCTTTATTTCCCAAGAAATGTCTCATACACAAGAGTCACCAAGGAAAATGTTCCACAGCTGAATGTCTTGTGTGTTGCCCATGTTTCACAAATGCAACACAGGGATCAGGAAGCTGAGGCCCTCCTGCTGCTCCTAGCACCAGCCAGAATGCTAATAGGGATGATGGGAGTTGTAGTCCAACAATTCCTCGTTCCCCACCCTAGTTCTAAAAGATGTGGATGGGAGAAAACAGTGGCATGGAAGTTTATTTACACATACCCCAATTCCGCGTAGGGCTGAAAGCATAAGATTTGATGCTCATCCCTTGTGGGGATTTATCACCTCTTCAATCCTCATCAAAGGATCATTCCGGCAATTTGAGAAGGACCATCCCCAACAGGGTGTGTGGCTTTACGCATGTTTTGTGTGTCTGCGTTCCTTTCCCCACCCCTTTGCCACTGCCAAAATCGGTGGGCTGATGGGAGGGACAGAAAAATTGGCTCCTCAGCTGGTGGAAGGGGAGGCTAGTCACCTGTTTGTGCAAGAGAGAGAATGAGACAGATAAAACAAGCGATGGAGCCAATGACTGACTTGTGTCAGATGGTCACAAATTTGTAGGCTGAATGAGGCCAGGTGTTTTTGCCAGTGCAAGAATCCTGAGGCTTAGGCAGCTAAGTGGATGTTTGTGAAGTTGAAAGCACAACCGCACCCTTGACAGGAAGAGGAAAGAAGCCAGACAGGCAAAGCACTTTTCTGTATAAATACTGGCTAAATAGATTTTATTTTCATACAAAGGGTACATGGGTCCCTCCCCAGAGTGGCACTGGAAGGGACATCTCTTTGCAACAACAGTGCTGCTATATTTGCTGACTCTCTTGTGCTTGTTGTGCCCTCCCCTCTTGGTCGGGGCGAATCTCCCCACCCTGCGTAAGCAACCCTCCCACAAAAGAAGCTTCGAGTTGGGTTCTTCTAACTGGGAGGTGGATTCTGCCTGCACACTGAGATTGAGTAGTGCTCAGAAACTTCACCTGCTCCCTCAAGCCTTTTCCTCCATCGCCCCATGTGGTCTGCAGCCTGTCCGGCAACCGTGGTATTGAAGAGCTAGGAAGTCTCCAGGTTCAAAGGCATGGATGGTAGGTAAACTGGAACTCATGGCTCTGGCCAAGGCGAGGCTCGCTTGTGCCCTCCCTCGAGCCCCGTGTAAATTACAAAAGAGACAACCACTGATACTAGGTTTTGAAATTAGTCGGAAGAATCTGCTTTTGATGATGTGAACATGCAAAGGGTCAGTATCACAGTTAACCCAAATTCCCTTGACCGGCAGCTACTGCAGAGGCCCAGCCAGCCAGCTGCCCAAGTCATCTCCTTGCAAACTTATAGCACTGACCATTCTCTTTTGAGCCTCTTTCACTGCGCAAAAGGTTCCTACATTGCAGGGGGTTGAGCTATGATTCCATAGTCCATATGATTCTATGATTCCATAGGGGAAGTTACACACGAGTAGGAAGCACCACACCCTTGCTTTCAAGGCAGGGCTAGGCAAAGTCTGGTCCCCTGCAGGGGGCAGAACCTATTGCCTGCTTTGAGGCAACAGGGTTTTAAATGTGGTCGTTGTGGTACATCATCTCTCTCCCTGCCCCTCTCTGGCCAAAGTAAGTGAAGAAGGGAGTTAAAGCAATGCTATTCTGGTGGCCCGGATGAGAGAACACAAGCCTTTCCCTTCTGGATCAGGCCAAGGTCTCACCTAGCACAGCATCCTGTTCTCATAGTGGCCAAACAAACGAGCAGGATTCGATCACAAGAGCTCTCCCCCCTCCTGTGAGATCGCAGAAACTGGTCTTTGGAAGCATTTCTGGCTCTGACCGCAGAGGCAGACCAGAACCATCATGGCCAGCAGCCATCAATAGCCCTCCATGAATTTGCCTAATGCTCTTTTAAAGGACCTTCTGCCATAGCTCTGATCTGTGCCCATGGAAGGAAGGAGCCAGGATGGGGAGGAAGACGGAGCAAGCATTCCAGGCATGGAACCGCCGCCCTTCTCAACACCTGCAGGGTAAATCTGCAAGGTGAAGCCAAATTAAGTCTCTGGCTTGTTGCATTTCGCCTCCGGCCCTTTTCTAGCAGCCGAGATTTCCCCAGCATGTCAACGCTTATCCTTGCTTTGGAATGCATGTTCCGTTTTCTCTTTAAACAGCCAAAGTTAGAATCCTCAGCCTGCTTGTGACAAAATATTCTGGGGTGTGGCTTGTGCAGAGTTCCTCGCAGCTGCTTCTCTCTAGCTTTGGCATCCACTTATCTGAAGGAAGACAATTCTGCTCTTCTCTCTAAACTTTTTTTGCACCCCGCAGCTCCAGGCCCTATCAGTGCTTCGTGGTGGTCATTTCTGCATGGTCCTGCGAGGTCCTAAAATGCCCCCACCTCTCTACCAGACCCTTTTTAAAGAGCTCAGGACATCCCTCACACCACAGCAAAGGAATAGGCTGCAAAGATAGCTCAAACAGCAAGAGTTTGGCAGAATGCAGCTAGCCACCCCACCAATAAATCTGGTACTTGGGATCTTCCTGGTCTCTTCTTCGCTCTCCTTGCCAGCTTCTCACAGCCACCTTCACCTTCCCTCTTCCCTACAGGCCACAACTTTCCTGCACAAACATCACTGGGCGAGTGGGTTTGCAGGAGGACTCCCGCAGACATGTCCCACTCCTCTCAACCTGGTTTGGGCAGCAGCGATTTTCCTGTGGCTTCAGCCCTTTTCTCGCAAACTTAACTCTGCCAATTCGGACTTGTTTCTCTACCTGTACATTTGGTCTTTCTGCACAAAGCTTTCCATTTCTGCATACAGGCCAACTTTCCCCATCAACAAAACTTCACCAGAACCTCTCCTAAGACCATCTCATCACTCAAACAGGCCTCATAGTAGCAGCGGGAGCTTTCTGCCTTCCCATGAAGCCTGTGAGTTGGGAGCTGCCACTATAAGCCACAATGATTTGGGGGAGTCACTTGCTCGTGGGCTCAATTCCAGTGCGTGTAGACTTTTGGCAGAATTCCACCCCCCCAGCATCAGGCCCTGGGTTAGGCTTCTAAAATGGCCCAAATTCTGCAATCGGTAGGAAGGACACAGCTGTTGGGGTTTGCTTTATCGTTGTACGTGATTCTACTGCAGAATCCCTGGAATTCTTTCCCTGGGAAAGAAGGAAGAACTCACTAAGGTGAACGGTGACGCCTTGGCTTGCCGTCCTACTAAGGGACCAGGGGCAAGACATTGGACATCTCCTCTGAAACACAGATTCTCAAAATGCAAATGTTTATGGCAGAGCTTTCCAAACGGTGTGTTGCGACACGTTAGTGTGTCGGCAGCAGTGTGTAATGATAATAATAATTTTATTATTTATACCCCGCCCATCCGACCGGGTCTCCCCAGCCACTCTGGGCGGCTCCCAGCAGAGGACTAAAAAAAGGAATAAAACTTCAAACATTAAAAACTTCCCTAAACATAGGTATAGATGTCACAGGACTGCTCCCGGGGCTGGAAAGGGGTTAGTTTAGGCTTGCTGGTAAAAGTGAATTACTGTGTCGCAAAATGATGCATGTCTAAAACGTGTGCCACCGACGTGCAAAGTTTGGAAAGCTCTGGTTTCGTGACTCCTTCCGAGCAGAGGAAGGGAAGTTTTCAATTCGACCCACCACCAAAAATGTGGAGCGGTATTTTTACTATGATTTACTGATGTGCTCCATAGCTTCCCTCTCTCTCTGGCCAGTATGGATGTAAAAGAGACAGCTAGGGGTAGGGTGGGGGGTCTCCTACCACGTGCCTGTTCCTACCATGGCTTGCCCTGTGGTGTGCTAAGCCCCCAGTGAAAGAAATTACAGGAGTCTGCCGACAGCTGAAGTGAAAGTGGTGGCGAATCCAGATGTTCCTCCTCAAACAAATGACATTTCTTAGGGCTTGCTTCTCCCCACAACGCCTGCAGGCCCTTTCCCTACTTCCATTTGAAGACACTTAATAAGGCAGCCAAGCTATCAAGGCCAGATGGTGCAAAGCCACGATCACAGTCCCTGGGCCAACTCCCTTCCTGGTGTCTGAGATACAGCAGGACAGAGCCTACTCTCTGCAACAACAGGAAACACTGGGGGATATTCTCAACTGAAAGGCAGCGGGAGCAAGGGAACTTCCTCCCTTCCAGCAATAAATAAATAAATATACCACGGCTGCCGTATTCTGTGCTGTGCACGCTTAATGGGAATAAGCCCCCTCAAAATAAACGAGATCTATTCCGGATCAAACGTATGGAGAGCCTGCAGGATCAGGCCAACGGCCCATCTGGTCCAGCCATCCCGTTCTCACGGTGGCCAGCCAGATAGATGCCCCTTGTTTGAAACCTGCAAGCAGGATTCGAACGCAAGACCTGTACTCTCCCCTCTTGTGGCTTCCAGCAACCGGTACTCAGGAGACCACTGCCTCCGAGACAGAGTGCAGCCATCGTGACAGCGAGGTTTGCGGACAGAGAACTTTTGTGCTTAAGGATGGAGAGGCGCTCGCTCGCTGTGAGGCACATCTGTATTCACAGCAGACTCAATATGCCTCTCTGGGGAGGAAAGGGTGCATCTTGTTCCTGCCCCCACCAACTGATCCTCCCGCTCAGTAACCTTTGATGTCTAACTATCACCCCACGGGATCTATTTTTCACAGCTTCCCTTTGCAAGTCCTCTGCATCCAGCTGTAATTTCCTCTGCCCCGGATTCCTACTACTACAGCTTTTCGGCCTCTGCAGGTTTGCAATGTGCGGGGTTAGGTGTAGGAACTGTCCTGCAAGTGACACCAGAGACTTCTTCCAAGCTGCGACCATAAAGTGGCCAGGATTAAGCGGGGGGTGGGTGGAATGATTAAATTAAAAGTAATAAAAAGCCCAGCTCCGCCGCTACGGGTTAAAATTAAGCTCAAGCAAACTTTTCGACAAGGCCCACGTCCGACGTCCGTAATGGGGCCTGCGGGAACTTGGGGGGTCTCCATCCCCGCAGGCGGTCAGTCTGCTCGGATTCCTGCTTCCCATCACCCCTGGGGGGTGCTCTTGCTGTGGCCACTTCAGCCTCTGCCCCCAGTGCCAGGAAGCCAGCCAGCTGGGACTTGGGCAGCAGAGAACTGTCTAGGCAGTGGCTGGTGGGAAAGGCCATTTTGGGGCTTGGTGGGGAGAAGGAAGAGGCTGCCTCCAGGCCCCCCAGCGGCAGGGGCGAGCCAGGGACGCTGGCCTTGCTTCAGTTCCGCTTGTTGGCCAGCTGCCGGTCTCGCTTCTTCTTCTCCATCAACCTGCGTTGGGGAAAACAAAGAGAATGATAATGGGGACCTGCCAAAGCTAGATGGCTTTCAGGCAAAATTTCTACGATCTCTGCTGCAGGTACCCAACTCTGTCCCCAACTCCATACTTCTGTTAGAAGCTGGTGAATGCCCAATGTCAACTAAAGCGTGGTGGGCTGCCCTAAAACATTGGCTCAGGATTTCAGTGTTTGATCTAGGGAAGGGTTTGTACCAACACCTGACCAATGAGGAATTTGTCAGCAAATGGCAGAAAACCATGGCTAAAAAAGCCACCTCTATTGGTCTGTCACCCCCCCCAACTGTATTACCTGGGTTATGAAGGTGCCCAAAAGATATTAAAGCAAAAATTATGGGATAATACACACAGTGACTTGCGATCTCGATCACGCGCAGTCTGTAGTCCGCTGGCAGTAGGAGTACAATATGGGCATGTCTTTAAGTTAACATCTTACATTAAAAACCTGACAGTACCAAACTAGTGAAGGCTTTTCACCAAAGCCAGACTAAACGTCTTTCCTTCTGCAGTGTTGGATGGCAGGTGGGTTCCCTACCAGGACAGACTTTGCTCGTGTGCTCAAGACATCGATTCCATAAAACATATTTTGTTGCACTGTGCAAAATATGAGCAAGCCAGGGCTGAACTGATACTACCCTTGCTGGTACCTTTCCCGGGAAAATCAGAGGCTCACTATGTAAGGTTCCTATTGGAAGACTGGACAAACACTGGAACATTAGCAGTGGTGAAGTTTTTATCGGTGGTTGCAAGAACCAATGATCCCTATCTTTAAGTCTGAACAAAATGCTTGTTTAACCTGGAGGTAGGCTGTATGAATTGTGTATTGCTTTGTAACGATTTGTTGGGTCTCTGGACCGTAATAAAGATTGTTGTTGTTGTTGAGAATGATTGGCGTCTGAGTGGGCCTGGGAGCTTCTCCTCGAGAACTTTTTTTTAATCATAATTTTTATTGAGTTTTTACATATTTCATTTTAATTCAGTGCACAGATTCACAACATCTTATTTGCTTAAAGTGAGCTTTGACTTCCTTCTACTTCTCTTTCTGACATCCCTATAGCCTATAACATATCTTTCGCATTCCTATAATCACTTCTTTATCTTATAATCACCTTAAAAAATCACATTCTTATTTATAAATCAGCATCATAATTTCACATTACAAAACATTTCACATTAACGCTACAAACGTTTTTAAATGAATACAATTTTCTTTCAAGTAATAACTAAATTTGTTCCAGTCCTTTTGATATTTTTCTTCGGGACGATTCCTAATTCTCCTCGTCAGCTTCGCCAACTCCACAAATTCTACCATTTATAGTCTCCAATCTTTCAATGTAGGGATCTCTTGCTGCTTCCACCTTTCAGCCAAGAGGATTCTCGCTGCCGTTGTGGCATACATTAATAAATTTACATCTTTTTTATTAATTTCTTCATCAAATAGCCCTAACAGAAATGCCTCTGGTTTTTTACTAAAGTTATATTTTAGTATTTTTTTAATTCATTGTAAATAATGGCCAGGACTAGCCGCCTGAGAAACAGTTTCTACGCAAATGCAATTCTGGTTCTAAATGCAGCATAAGGGGTCTTTATAGTATAGTGTATTTTAAAATGGGGTTTTAAGAGTTTTTAGGGGTTTTTGAATGTTTTATGTAGTTTTGTTGTAGTAGTTTTATGTAGTTTTTATGTAGTTTTGTGGTAGTTTTATGTAGTTTTTCTGTAGTTTTATGTAATTTTTCAATTTCATTGTTCTACATGGGACAATGACAATAAAGATATCGTATATCGTATATTGTCCTAGAAGGCCTTAACCCTAGCACAGGACCACCACATGTGTAGGAAGTTCCCTTCCTTCATGTTGCATTTCCAGCAAAAAATTTCCTGGCACCTATACATTTTGGCCAGCTTTCTCCTCGAGAACTTAAAGAGAGCAGGCAGCATAGCGGTTACAGAGTGCCGGATTGGGACCCAGGAGTCCTGGGTTCAGATCTCCACAGGTCTCCGTGCTCTTGGGGCCAATCACCAACTCTCAGCTCAGGCTACATTGCAGGGTTGTAGGGCAGAGGGAGAACCTCGCAAGACTCCTCCGGAAGGGAGAGCCCAGTGGCGCCCACTCACTTCCTGTTGCGCACTTCCGTCAGCTCCATGAGGCGCTCCTGAGCCGCTCGCAGCTCGTCCAGCCGCTGCTGGTAGCGAGAGTCGCTGTTGTTGCTGTGCTCGAAGCCGGATACCTGGTTGGAGAGTTCGTTGGCGCGGTCGCGCAATTGCTGGATGGAGGAGTAGAGGTTCTCATCGTCTTCTTCCTGCAACACACAGAGGAACTGCTGTGGGTGGCAAAGCCCTGAGCCCCAGAGGGGGGCTACTGCCTTGCCTTGCAGCTTCCAAGGCACCAGCTTGCATTTATCGCAAGGGATTGGACTATTACACTGGGGGACAAAATTTTTGTTGCATTCACACCTGCAGTTGTTCTAACCTAATTTCGACGTGCTGATTTCATATCTGAAGTTGGTTTTGTTCTGTAAGCTCTAGGGGTTTTTTACAATTCATGTTTTTCACTTTTCACCATGATCTTTGTTTTTCACAATGCAAGAATTCAATATTTTATTAAACACATAGCCAAAGTAGTACAATATGAGCATAAATGTAAGTGACTTATATAGCACTGAACATGACATATATAGCATTGAAAATGACATGTATATCTATGTACAAATTGGAGGTATGTAAAAAAATGTATTCCCTTGGGATACACAGTATACTGGGGAACAATTTTTCCCCCTTTTTCTTTTGTGTGAGATTTTTCAACTGTTCTTATACAGTGGTGCCCCACAAGACGAATGCCTCGCAAGACGTAAAACTCGCTAGACGAAAGAGTTTTCCGTTTTTTGAGTCGTTCCGCAAGACGAATTTCCCTATGGGCTTGCTTCGCAAGACGAAACATCTTGCAAGTTCTTGCGAGTTTGTTTCCTTTTTCTTAAAGCCGCTAAGCCGTTAATAGCCGCTAAGCCGTTAATAGCCACTAAGCCGCTAATAGCCGTGCTTCGCAAGATGAAAAAACCACAAGACGAAGAGACTCACGGAACGGATTAATTTCGTCTTGCGAGGCACCACTGTATGTTCTTTCAATGCTGATTTCAAATCTGAAATCGATTTTCGTATACATGCTATAGTTATCATGCAATTTCCGACTTTTGCCGATATGTCGTATTTACACTGGGGATAGACACTGACATGTTGATCTGCCCTAACCACATGGTAATTATTGTTTTGCAAACTTAATTTTTCTTTATTTTTACAGTTTTGTAACCTAAATATTTGTATTTTTCATATCGGACTATGGCTTCTTCAAGTAGACAAAAATGTGTCTACTTGATTGCGGAAAACCTCAGAGCGGTTTACAAAAGATAAAACAGGTTTTAAAAAGTTATTTATGTATGCCACTACTGTGGCCCGTGTTCTGTTGGCTCAAAAATGGAAAACGAGTGAGGTCCCCACTAAAGAAGAATGGCAACCTAAACTGATGGAATATGCGCAGCTTGCGGACCTAACATATTCTATATGTTCTCTTGTTCTCTTATTCTATAACAAGAAGAGCATACATTTAAAGAAGATTGGAAAATGTTTACTGAATATATGGTGAGGGGAATTGTGTACACTTCAAAATGTCGGCAGCATTAAGATGAATCCAACAGTGTAAAAAAGTTTTGATGGATGTAATAATGGATTGCTGAATGGTTTAGTCTATGTAAAATATGCAGGGATTTGTGATATGCAAAATGAACCATGGAAAGAGAAGAAAGGAAGTCATGGACATTTTAAGGTTGTTTAAATGAACATTCTAAATTGTAAAACAGAAAATTTAATAAAAATCTTACACACAACCCACCCCCCAAAAGATAAAACAGTAAAGGAAAAATTATGACACTTCTTAAATGCATTTTAACTTGAAACCCTGAGAGAACCACAACCACATTTTCTCAGCAAACGCAGCTCCTTTCTCTAAGTATTTTGATGCTAAGGTCAAAGCCAAGAGGGTCCACGCAGAATTACAGACTCTTGCTTTTAACCATGGGCAACTCATTGCACCCCGGGGCCTTAGATGCCCATCTGCCAGTGGAGGGCGAAGCAGCCTATCAGATACCGCAAGCATCTTTCTTACCTTGGCATTGACAATTTCAATGTGGATCAGCAAGGAAGCGAGTTCCAGGTCCTCGCTGTAGCTGTTCTTGAGGGGCACCGACCTGTAACCTGCAGGCAGAGACCACAGTTGAACGCAAGCGAAAGCGGAGCAATAAATTGGGCACCAGCTGGTCTGCAGGCGCTGCCGGAAGGAGGCGTACAAGACACCTTCCAACCGTCTTGGGGACTTCTCTCTGGATTTGTGTAGAGTTTACTCCTTAGCCCAGAGTTTCCCAAACTTGGGTTGTCCAGCTGTTTTTGGACTACAACTCCCATCACCAGGATGGGCAGTCAGGGATGATGGGAATTGTAGTCCCAAAACGGTTGGAGGCCTAAGTTTGGGGAACCCTGCCTTAGCCTTTTCTTCTCGCATAACAACAACAGTAATAATAATACTGTTAATATAAAAATATCGACTGCCAAGGAAGGCCCACTGGGCCACTCCATCATTTCCACGGCACCCGCGGCCAGTGGGACGGGGGCAGAGAATAGAAACAGAAATCACAGGATATTCCAACATTGGAAGAATGGCGGAGTAAGATGGTGGAATACGCTGAGTTAGCAAAGCTGACGGGGAAGATCCAGAATCAGCATGACGAACTGTTTCAAAAGGACTGGAGCAAATTTATATAATATATGAAAGAATATTGTAAACAACTGAAAACGTTTGTAGCTTTGAGTTGAAATGTTTTGTAATGACAGCATAAGGAACTGATTTACATTTAACAAGGAGAAATATAAAAACAAAGAGAGAAGGTAAAAAAGTGGTTATAGAAATGCTAAGATTAAAGTAAATATATACGGAAGTCAGGAAGAGGGGAGGGAGGAGGTCGATGCTCTGGTGAGAGCGAGGTTTGAGTTTATTGATGTATGTGTGGATATTGTGATTACAAAAACTGAAAACGTAATAAAAATTATTATTTTATTTTTAAAAAAGGAGAATGAGCCCTGTTGGATCATGGGGGGAGAGAGCCATGAATCAGTGTGGGAAAGGAAGTGGTGTGTGTGTGTGTTTGTGTGTGTGGCAGAGATCCAGCCCATACCTGTTTTGAGGCCCTTGACAGGAAAGGTGGCTTGAGCCAAGAAGTTTGGGTCGCTGAACATGTCCTCCTCGTAGACCACAAAGCGCAGAAAGGCAAACTCGGGGTTGTTGATGTCAAAGACAAATTGCTTGAGGAGCCAAACCGCATTGAGGCCGTTGTCAGCTGCGAGCCGGGAGGAGAAAATTAAAATGAAACAAGGAGATTGGGAGGAAGCCCAGACCCCTGAATCCCACCTGGAGTCCTGTGTCCAATTCTGGGCAACACAATGTAAAGAGGATATCGACAAGCTGGAAGGTGTGCAGAGGAGGGCGGCCAAGATGATAGAGGGTCTAGAAACAGTTGAAGGAGCTGTGTATGTTTAGCCTGCAAAAGAGGAGACTGAGACGAGACATGGATAGCCATCTTCCAATATAGGATGGGATGTCATATGAAAAATGGAGCAAGCATGTTTTCTCCTGCTCCAGAGGGCAGGACTCAAACTCATGGCTTCAAGTTACAAGAAAGAAGATTCCGACTCAACATTAGGGAGAACTTTCTGATGGCAAGAGCCATTTGAGAGGGGAACAAACTCCCCTGGAAGGTAGCAGGCTTGGAGGTTTTTAACCTGAATTTGCTATAACCTTAAATGAATGGGTCGTTCAAACTGTCACAAACACAAATTGCTTACCCCACCTCTGGGAAACTAGGAACTATGCAAAGCCACAAGACTGTAGGAAATGACTCAGAAGATACACATGCTATGATCAGGTGGGAGGGGGCAAGCCCCCCCATCATGAGAGCAAACCAGCCAGGAGCTCTAGTTTTGCTTTGCGGGAAGAGAAAGGCCAGTAATCTGTTTGTCTTGTCTGTCTCTCAACCGCAGCTGAGGAGACAGGCCTTCTCACCTACGACATCCGTCTTGTTTTTGCTGTTGTCGAACTCGGAGCCACAGACCTCCACCTCCACAAAGGGGCAAACGATGCTGCGTCCGTTCTTGGGGAGGTGCCGAGCCCCCAGGATCTGTGGGGAGGAGAAGTGGGGCATTGAGCTAGGTGGAAAGGGTAAGATGTCAGAACATTAAGAGGGGCCTACTGGACCAGGCCAAAGGCCCAGCATCCTGTTCTCATGTTGGCCAACCTGAAACCCGAGAGCTGGATCCGAGTGCGAGAGCTGCACTCTCCCCTCCTGTGGTTTCCAGCTAGTGGCATTCGGAAGCAAATGCAAATGCTAATGCTATTGCTAATAATAATTTATTATTTATACCCTATCCATCTGGCTGGGTTTCCCCAGCCACTCTGGGCGGCTTCCAACAAAATATTAAAATACAGTAATGCATCGAACATTAAAAGCTTCCCTAAACAGGGCTGCCTTCAGATGTCTTCGAAAAGTCTGGTAGTTGTTGTTCTCTTTGACATCTGCTGGGAGGGTGTTCTACAGGGCGGGTGCCACCACTGAGAAGGCCCTCTGCCTGGTTCCCTGTAACTTGGCTTCACGCAGGGAGGGAACCGCCAGAAGGCCCTCAGCGCCGGATCTCAGTGTCCGGGCTGAATGATGGGGGTGGAGACGCTCCTTCAGGTATACTGGACCGAGGCCATTTAGGGCTTTCAGGGTCAGCACCAACACTTTGAATTGTGCTCGGAAACGTACTGGGAGCCAGTGTAGATCTTTCAGGACCGGTGTTATGTGGTCCCGGCTGCCGCTCCCAGTGACCAGTCTAGCTGCCGCATTCTGGATTAGTTGTAGTTTCCGAGTCACCTTCAAAGGTAGCCCTACGCAGAGCGCATTGCAGTAGTCCAAGCGGGAGATAACCAGAGCATGCACTACTCTGGCAAGACAGTCTGCGGGCAGGGAGGGTCTCATCCTGCGTACCAGGTGGAGCTGGGAGACAGCTGCCCTGGACGCAGAATTGACCTGCGCCTCCATGGACCGCTGTGAGTCCAAAATGACTCCCAGGCTGTGCACCTGGTCCTTCAGGGGCACAGTTACCCCATTCAGGACCAGGGAGTCCCCCACACCTGCCTGCCCCCTGTCCCCCAAAAACAGTGCATAGTAAAAGGAACGGCACAGTTTCCCCTGCCGAAAAGCACCGGATGGGAGCTGGAGCTGGGCCGCCCCAGTCTCCTCCTCCTCCTCCTCTTCCTCCTCCTCTTCCCACTTGCCTGCAGTTGAACGGTGATTGGCTCCACGTGCTTCAGGCTGCTCTTGTCGAAGGGGTCAAAGAGCTCGTCTCGCATGATGTCCGGCTGCAGCACGTATCCGCTGCGGCCCCCCAGCATGAAGAGCGACTGGTTCAGCTGCATAGGCTTGTCTAGAAGGAGAGGGAACAATTTAACCCCTGTGTTGCAAACAATAGTCAGTAGGCAGTGACTACAGTGGTACCTCTGGATACGAACGGGATCCGTTCCGTACGGGCATTTGTCCTGGAAGACAACGCTTTGTCCTTGATAATTTCCCTCCCCAAAAACTTATTTATTGAGTTTTTCACAATTATAACAAATAAAAGATAACAAAAAAGGAAAACAAAAAAAACCCAATAAAAAAACAATACAATACTAAAAAAAAAAACCTGAACCAAGACCACAACAATAAGAAAAAGTATTCTTAATCCCATATCCCTTAAAGATCCAATTTTGTTTACATTGTTGATTGACCTTCTGAATTTCATTGTATCTGCATGTAACAGCTTTCCAATATCATTCTTAGACAAAGTATTTCCAATTATTATCTATCTTATTCACTTTTCTTAGTGTTCTAGGTTCCATTTATTTCATTAAATCCCAGTTTATTCCTAGGCCTATTTGGTACTTTCAAGGGACTTCTAATTATTTACATTACAATATTTATTCAAATAGTCCTTAAATTTCTTCCAGTCTTCTTGATATTCCTCTTCTTTCTGGTGCTTGGCAATTGTTGTTTTTCTAAATGTCAATAAATCTTGCAATGAAAGGGAAAAGGAAAAAAGAGAGAGATCAGCCACTGATCGCAGCTGCTGTAAGGAAAGGGGGCTGACCTACCAGGGGTCTGGAAGTTGAGGGCCACCAGTTGGCTTCCACAGATCCACATGGGCAGTGGGTCATAGTTGGAGGAGTCTAGGCGCTGCCCCTTGGGGTAGATGCGACTTAGCTGCCGGCGGTTGTACTGAAGGAACTTCTTGCCCTTCCCACGGTTGGCATACTTCTCCGCCTTGGTCTCCGGGAAGGAAGACATGTCTCTGTAACAGGCTTTCTCCGTGCCAATCTCTAGAAAGAAAGAACAGATTCCCCCCGTCCAAGCGGGGTTTGGGAAACACTCTCTTTTGAAAGAAAACTACCGTATTTTTCGCCCTATAAGACGCACCAGACCATAAGATGCACCTAGCTTTTCGAAGAGGAAAACAAGAAAAAAATAATTCTGAATCCCAGGAGCCAGGACAGGAAGCAGGATCGCTGCACTGCGATCCCGCTGGCTGTCCTGGCTTATGGGATAGCCGCGCGCAGTCTCTCCTGGGCAGCGGGAGCCTTCATCCCCTGCCCAGGAGAGGCTGCACGTGGCTAATAATAATAATAATAATAATAATTTATTGTTTATATCCCGCCCATCTGGCTGGGTTTCCCCAGCCACTCTGGGCGGCTTCCAACAAAACACTAAAATACAATAACCTATTCAACATTAAAAGCTTCCCTAAACAGGGCTGCCTTCAGATGTCTTCTAAAAGTCTGGTAGTTATTTTTCTCTTTGACATCTGGTGGGAGGGCGTTCCACAGGGCAGGCACCACTACCGAGAAGGCCCTGGTTCCCTGTAACTTGGCTTCTCGCAGCAAGGGAACCGCCAGAAGGCCCTCGGCGCTGGACCTCAGAGTCCGGGCTGAATGATGGAAGTGGAGACGCTCCTTCAAGTATACTGGGCTGAGGCCGTTTAGGGCTTTAATGGTCAGCACCAACACTTTGAATTGTGCTTGGAAAAGTAGATGGGCAGATAGCCTGAATATTACCTTAGATTCCTCCCTCGAATGAATGAATGAATGAATGACCAGATATTGGGGAGTTTCAAGCCAATTTTGGGCACCTGTTGGACTCCTCTTGGCTCAAAGGCCAAGATGGTCTTGAGGGGCATCCCAGCACCAGGCAGGGAAGGAAGCAGGTACCCAGAGACAGGAGTTTGATGGGTCAAGAGATTCCCCCGGGGCCTGTCTGCCCCCTATTTGCACGTGGGACTGGATGGGAGATGGAGAGGACTCACTCTCTTCGTCAAAAGGCACCGGGCGGCAGTAAACGACCAGCTCGGAGAGCTCAAGGGCAATCTTCTTCCTCCGCTCCATGATCTTCCCCTCCTGCATCTGCACAGGATACACAAACGGCAGAAAAGGTCAGAAAAAACTCCACGGAGCATCTGTTCGTTTTGATCCATCCATATGAATAATTACCGTATTTTTCGTCCCATAGGACGCACCTACTTTTTTGGGGGGGAAATAAAGGAAAATTTTTTCCCCTTTATTCCCCCCCCCCCAAAATCAGGTCGGGGAACAGTGGGATGGCGGCGCTGCGCCTCCCCGCCGTCCCCCGAGCTTGTGGGGCTGGCCGATGTCTGCCCGGCGCGAGGGGTGCTCTGCTTCAGGGCGCCCCACGCCCCACGCGCCGGGCGGCAGGCTGCGGACACCTGCGCAAAGCACGGGGCGTGCTCCGGAGGGCGCCCCGTGCTCCGCGCTGCAGGCTGCCTCCGCAAGCGGTGCGCTGCCGGGGGGGCGTGTCCCCCGGTGCGCCAGGCTTGCGGACACCTGCGCGAAGAACGGGGCGTCCTCCGAAGGGCGCCCCGTGCTCCGCGCTGCAGGCTGCTGCCCGCAAGCCTTGCGTGCCCGGGGGGAGTTCCCCCGGGTGCGCAAGGCTTGCGGGTAGCTTCGTGGAGCCTGGAGAGCGAGAGGTGTCGGTGCGCACCAACGCCTCTCGCTCTCCAGGCTTCAGCGAAAGCCTGCATTCGCCCCATAGGACGCACACACATTTCCCCTTCATTTCTGGAGGGGGAAAAGTGCGTCCTATAGGGTGAAAAATACAGTGGTGCCCCGCAAGACGAATGCCTCGCAAGACGGAAAACCCGCTAGACGAAAGGGTTTTCCGTTTTGGAGGTGCTTCGCAAAACGAATTTCCTATGTGCTTGCTTCGCAAGACGAAAATGTCTTGCGAGTTCCTGCGGGGTTTTTTTCCTTTTCCCCCCCTTTTCCCCAAGCCGCTAAACCGCTTATCAGCTGATGGCTAAGCCGCTTATCAGCTGATCTTTAAGCCGCTTAACAGCTGATGCTAAGCCGCTTATCAGCTGATCTTTAAGCCGGCTAAGCCGCTAATACTGTACTGTAGCGCTAAGCCGCTAAACCTCTAATGGGCTTGCTTCGCAAGACGAAAAAACCCGCAAGACGAAGAGACTCGCGGAACGGATTCTTTTCGTCTTGCGAGGCACCACTGTACGGTACTTTCGTGAAATAGAGCGAGCCGGCTGACAACAGTACTGTACAACTGATCTATAATGTTTGGCGGAATTGGCACTGTTATAAATGTCGCAAAACACCCACTCCACATTTGTGGGGCAGCGCCCACACTTTGAAACCTGTTGATATCAGGCATGCACCTGCTAAAATTTGTTGTTGTTCACTGCAAAAAGTGGTATTACAGGGAACCAGGCAGAGGGCCTTCTTGGTGGTGGCACCTGCCCTGTGGAGCGCCCTCCCATCAGATGTCAAGGAAATAAACAACTATCTGACTTTTAGAAGACATCTGAAGGCAGCCCTGAATAGCGAAGTTCTTAACGTTTGTGGGTTTTGTGTTTTAATATTTTGTTGGAAGCCACCCAGAGTGGCTGGGGCAACCCAGTCAGATGGGCAGCATATTATTATTATTATTATTATTATTATTATTATTATTATCATGGCCCCAACACAAGACTCTGGGAACTGTTCACGCATTGCAATCATTTAGCCCTGATTAGGGAAGTTTTTAACGACTGATGTTTTACTGTATTTTTAACCTTCTGTTGGAAGCCACCAAGAGTGGCTGGGGAAACCCAGCCAGATGGGCGGGGTAGAAATAATAAATTATTATTATTATTATTATTATTATTATTGACTCTGGAAAGGTTTCTAGAGTGGCTTGTGGATCAGCAAAAACCAACCCCCCATCAGGCTTACAATGTCTTCAGGCTTTCAAAGCCATGGCACAAAAGGAAAAAGCGTTGGAGAGGGCAGAGGAAAACAAGTTCTTGGAAGACTCACCCTGGCATCTGCATTCTGCGTGGCCTCCCGGATCTTGGCCACCCAGTCGTTGAGCTCCTCCTGCGTGTCTGTCGCCACGTCCAGCGACTGGGATGGGTGGGTCATCTGCTGGGAATGGATGGTGAAGACAAATGGTTTGGAGCTCCTCCCGTCTTTGGAGATAACTACAAGGACATCAGAGGGGTTGGCTTTACTGGAAGAGGCTCTCAACGCAGGAATGCTCCGCGGAGGAGCACGCAGGGCAAGCGACAGTTCCTGCACTCCCGTTGCGGGGGGCTGGACCAGGTGGTCCCTTTCCAACTCTACAATTCCACGATTCTATGGAAGCCAGCCACTGAAGAAGATGCTGCCAGCATGGACAGGCTCTCTCTTCGTTGCCCCGATAAACCCCACAAACCCCACCACAATTTCCTGTAACATTCCTACCGAGGCTCCCCAGTCCCAGTTCAGTTTGACTGGTGCGCCTTCCAGTTTCCGAGCGAACGCAGCCAATTTGGCTTGCCGTTGAGATGGGCAAAGCCGGGCTCGTCCTGGGGAGATGGCGGAAGCCGAACAACCCAACCTGTAGGAATGATCGCTGGGTTGTGGAGCACACTCCACCCCCCTTAGACAAAGCCACAGCTTTCTGAACATCATGCCCTCTGTCTAACCTTTGCTCTCTTAGTGGTCTGTCTGTGACCTTTGTCTCTTTTGTCATACATTGTCCAAGGGGAAAATGGCACGGTGGAAACAGGTGCCAACATAACCTTGTACCACCCCACGGTCTCGGGATTGGAAGATGTGTAAAGCTCACAGTATCCAAAATGTATCTGACTGGTTTTGCATATTGTGCTAATAAAAAGAGCCTCAGCAGAGCTGGCCGGCAGCTTGCTTGTGCACAGCTCACCTGCATTATCAACTCCTGCCTCATGTACATAGCAGTCAACTTTTCCCTTTTCTTGCGAGGAATCCTATTCGGAATAAGGGAATTTCCCTTATAAAAAGGGAAACGTTGGCAGCTATGCTCATGTCCTTCACTTCACCAACCTCCACGTTTGCTCCAGGGTCTCCAAATGGCAGCTTCCAAGCGCAACTGGGAGGAGGGAACAGGTGTTTTGCCCTCATCTGCTCCTAGCAGATTAATTTCTCAAGCAATCCTTTTGCATGTTTAAATTCCCTTCACTAATAACCTCAGGGCCTTATTCCTTTGGCAAACTGCTTTGAGGTTTTCTAAAATCAAGTGGGAGGCAAATTTTATAAAATGCAGGTAAAAGGTAAAGGTAAAGGACCCCTGGGCAGTTAAAAGGTAAAGGTAAAGGGACCCCTGACCATTAGGTCCAGTTGTGGCCGACTTTGGGGTTGTGGCGCTCATCTTGCTTTATTGGCCGAGGGAGCCGGCGTACAGCTTCCGGGTCATGTGGCCAGCAGGACTAAGCCGCTTCTGGCGAACCAGAGCAGTGCACGGAAATGCTGTTTACCTTCCCGCCGGAGTGGTACCTATTTATCTACTTGCACTCTGATGTGCTTTTGAACTTCTAGGTTGGCAGGAGCAGGGACCGAGCAACGGGAGCTCACCCAGTTGCGGGGATTCAAACCACTGACCTTCTGATTGGCAAGTCCTAGGCTCTGGTTTAACCCACAGCGCCACCCGCATCCCCCTCCTGGATGATTACGTCCAGTCAAAGGCGACTCTGGGGTTGCGGTGCTCATCTGGCTTTCAGGCCGAGGGAGGAGGCGTTTGTCCACAGACAGCTTTCCGGGACATGTGGCTGTCAGGACTAAACCGCTTCTGGCACAACGGAACACCATGACAGAAACCAGAGGGCACAAAAACGCCGTTTACCTTCCTGCTGCAGCGGTACCTATTTATCTACTTGCGCTGGTGTGCTTTCGAACTGCTAGGTTGGCAGGAGTTGGGACAGAGCAACGGGAGCTCACCCTGTTGCGGGGATTCGAACCACCGACCTTCTGATCGGCAAGCCCAAGAGGATCAGTGGTTTAGACCACAGCGCCACCACAAACAAGCAGTGCTAGGATTCACGCCCAGGGAAGGTTGTATTCCAGGATACTGTCCTGTTTGGATTCAAACTCAGTCCCTCTCCCCCAAGGAGGGGGTGCATCGATAACCCCTCCTTTTTCCAGTCCCTGCTTCTTCAGACACTTACCTACATGGCAGGAAGGGACATCAACGAAACCTTTCAGGAAGTTGCCCAGAGGGCTGTTCTCCACAGACTGAACAAGAGAAAAAGAGAGAGGGGAGAAATCAGGATTTCATTTATTGTTCTTGTTTTTAAAGCTGTGCCGGTTAACCAACAAAAGACAGGGGGTCTGCGATACCTCGAGGTCTCAATCCCTACCTTTCTCTTGCTACGCTCCCCAGACACAAAAGTAACACATAAATGAACCACATTCATTTCACTTTTAACCACCCGTCCCCACAATCAATGGGCATTGTACAAACACGGGCTGCAGACCTCAATTGATCCATCAGTTCAATTGATCAGAGCTCTAGCTGCAGATTCTAGCAGCGTAATGGTGGATCAAGAAACTCATTAGCCTCGCATCTTAAACAGGGGGCTAGGAGCCGTTGATAAATCTCATACTCCACGAAATCAGCCGCAATTTTAAGGTGTGTCAGATTATCCCCGCTTTCAATTTCCCCAAATAAGGGGTGCTCAAAAGTTGCAACATGGCCAGGGATATTTTGGTTAAGTTTATGTAATTTAGTTTTGCTTGGTAAATAAAACATGTGTAAAATTGCCAAAACATATTTTTAAGACCCCCAGCTGAAGAAATTTGCAAAAATTAGGTTTCATCCCCTAAAATGGCACAATTTACCGTCACGTGGGATTCTCCCCATTCAAGTGGCCCCCCTCCCAGCAATGAGTTGCAGGCACGGCTGGGGTGCCCCCATATAGAACTCAAGTGGCTTCATTACACCGATCCTGGTCCAACTGCACTGGCTACCAATTAGTTTCTGGGCTCAATTCAAAGTGCTGGTTTTGACCTATAAAGCCTTGAACGGCTCAGGACTGAAATACCTCAAGGACCGCCTCTTCCCATATGAACCTACCCGGACCCTGAGACCATCTTCTGAGGCCCTCCTTCGTGTGCCTCCTCCTTGAGAGGTCCGGAGGGTGGCAACATGAAAACGGGGCCTTCTCTGCAGTGGCTCCCCATCTGTGGAATGCTCTCCCCAGGGAAGTTCGCCTGGCGCCTTCATTATACACTTTTAGGCGCCATGCAAAAAGTTCCTTTTTAACCAGGCCTTTGGTTGATCTGTTGGACATCCTATACACTTTTAAAATGTGGCTCTTTTGGGGTTTTTTTATTGGGTTATTGTTTTTGGTTTGATTTTATATGTTGTGGTCTTGTTTGTGAACAGCCCTGAGACCTCTCCGGGTATAGGGCGGTGTATAAACTGAATAAATAATAATAATAATAATAATAATAATAATAATCTTGGAGCGGGTCTGTAAAGGGGGCCGACACTGGGGATCTGGGTGTGCAGATGGGAACTGGGGGAGCTCAGGAGGAAGGAAGGAAGGGAGGGAGGGAGGGAGGGAGGGAGGGAGGAAGAAAGGAATGAAGGAAGGAAGGAAGGAAGGAAGGGAGGGAGAGAAGGAAGGAAGGAAGGGAGAGAAGGAGGAAGGAAGGAAGGAAGAAAAAAGAAAGAAAGAAAGAAAGAAAGAAAGAAAGAAAGAGAGGGAAGAAAGAAGGAAGGAAGGAAGGAAGGAAGGAAGGGAGGGAGGGAGGAAGAAAGGAATGAAGGAAGGAAGGAAGGAAGGAAGGGAGAGAAGGAAGGAAGGAAGGGAGAGAAGGAGGGAGGGAGGAAGGAAGGAAGGAAGGAAGGAAGAAAAAAGAAAGAAAGAAAGAAAGAAAGAAAGAAAGAAAGAAAGAAAGGAAGGAAGGAGGGAGGAAGGAAGGAAGGAAGGAAGGAAGGAAGGGAGAGAGGGAGGGAGGGAGGGAGGGAAGGAGGAAGGAAGGAACGAAGTAAGTAAGGAAGGAAGGGAGAGAAGGAGGAAGGAAGGAAGGAAGGAAGGAAGGAAGGAAGGAAGAAGGGAGGGAGGGAGGGAGGGAGGGAGGGAGGGAGGGAGGAAACAGAGGCGTCCCCCTGTCAGTACCAGTGGGAGGGCGTCAAAAATGGCAGCAGAGAAAGGGTTCACTCAGAGGGGTCCGAACTCACGGCTTCATCCTGCTCCGGCACAGAGGTGTTCATGATCTCCTCCACGTAGTTGGCGGGGAACCAGAGCTGCTTCTTGCCGCCGTAGTCTCCTCGCCACCTAGAGAGGGTAACAGGAACAAGGCAAGCAGACTGACTTGGGGGGCACTGGGGGGCCGGCACCGCATGCTATGGCGAGGGGAGAGCCGGGGAGATGATGGGGAAACAGAAAGAGAGCGGTTAAGAAAGACACCATCACACTCACACACACAGAGAGAGACACACCCGTCTTGTCAACACCATGCAGAAAAAGTGTGCCAGAAAAAGCAGGGGAGACAGGAAAGGGGAGATTTCTCTTTCCTTTCCTTGCCTCCTCTTACACGAGGTTGGAGGAGATTCCATGATGGGATCCGCCAGCCGGGAATGAGGGAGCGGCATAAAATCATAGAATTGTAGAGTTGGAAGGGACTTTGAGGGTCCTCAGCAAAAGTTCCAGCACTTCTTTTTCTAGAAAAAAAGCCCTGAACTCCAGGACTCACCATCCTCCATCTTGCTTGTCAACGTTGTGAATAATGGCTTGTTTGCAGAACGACAGTTCGTCTTCCCGCTGGGCTTTGTAGTCATACAAGGCCTTCACTGTGCACTAAGATGAAGACAAGAGAGGGATAAGGTGAAATAGTGAAATCAGTAGAATGGAAATTAAAAGAAACTTGACTGGATGTTAAATGACAATAGGAATTAAAATGTGGAATACAATCAAGGTAATTAATTGTATCTGTAAATGAACATAGACAAACAACGTGTATATACAGAAAGATTTATTTGTATATAGACACTGTACGGATAAAGTTGAAAGAAGAACAACAATATACAAAATCGATAAAGACGATGCAAAAAACTTAGAGACGACATAAAAAAGCCAGAAGAAGGAAGGAGGGAAATCAACTCCTAGGAGTAAATGTAAAGTAATGTGTGTATGTATAGTAAAGGTAAAGGTAAAGGGACCCCTGACCATTAGGTCCAATTGTGGCCGACTCTGGGGTTGCAGCGCTCGTCTCGCTTTACTGGCCGAGGGAGCCGGCATACAGCTTCCGGGTCATGTGGCCAGCAGGACTAAGCCGCTTCAGGCGAACCAGAGCAGCGCACGGAAACGCCGTTTACCTTCCCGCTGGAGCGGTACCTATTTATCTACTTGCACTTTTGACGTGCTTTCGAACTGCTAGGTTGGTAGGAGCAGGGACCAAGCAACTGGAGCTCACCCCATCGTCGCGAGGATTCGAAACGCCGACCTTCTGATCGGCAAGTCCTAGGCTCTGTGGTTTAACCCACAGCACCACCCGCATCCCTGTATGTATAGTATGTAATCATAAAATCAATAGAGATTATATTAAAAAAGAGAGATGCAGACAAGAGAGGTTATCGCCACATTTGTGCTAAAAGCAGCAGTCTCAAAATTAAGAGCAAACTGCAAACGAGCAAACAAACCTGTGCGGATTACATCCGCCCAATCCTTGTGTGTCCTGCCTTATTTATTTTACTTCCAGTGTTGGGGTTTTAAAATATATTGGAGTGCATCTTTTGCTAGGCTAATGGGAAATCTGGGCCAAGGGAAAGGATTCATAAAGGACGGACGAGGAATTGGGCAGTATCCAGAAGTCTCATTTCTCCCTTAACTGCTTGCAGTCCTATCCAGCGCTTATCTGGGATCAGGAGATTCAGCCCCCTGAAACTTTCTGTGGTCCAGACACAGTTTGCTAACATTGGCGATTTGATGTGGCAGGGAATGAATGGCAGAATTTGAGCCCTGGAGCAGAATCTCAAGCTTTCTTTGCGGAAAGCCTTGGCAATGCTTAGATTCCAGCTGATACCAGTGCTCGCCTTTCACTTGATCCTGGTGATCTAGAAACCACAAGGAAAACGGCAGCTGCAGGACACACCTTTTGTCCAAGGTTCGCACACAGCTTCCAGAATCACATGTTCTGGATTGTGTCTTAAATCACTGACAGTGCTGGAAATATGCATGTCTTAATTTCATAAGTAGATGGATCTTTACTGCGGTGGTTTTGGTTATGCCCTGTGACGGAAACACGGAAACTTAACTAATAACATAAATAGCAAGTAAAATGTTATATGTGTGCTTTAGACAAGGTTTTAGTTTTATGACTGCAGAGGAAAGCTTGCAAACATGTTGTTTGGAATTGGTGAGTTTCTCTCTGCCCACCCTCTAATTTGTCAGTCACAAATAATTTCGTGTTGCCCAAAGTATACTTTGTGATTGCCCTAATGCTTGTCCAATCCAGGATTATTATTCCACCGAGACCATGAGGACTAGAGAGTTGTGAGAATAAATACTCTGTGCCAACAGAAAAATCCAGATCAAAAGCTGCAAAAGCTGCTGAGAAATGTGTCTTCTCAGTTCAGGAAATACAGGGAACGGCTTTTTCATTTTAACTGATTTTACGTGCAGCCTCCGCCTGTGTTTCCCTAAATAATAATAATAATAATAATAATAATTTTATTTATACCCCCGCCCTCCCCAGCCAAGACCGGGCTCAGGGCGGCTAACACCAGGTATAAAAACAATTGATTAAAATACAACTTAAAAACAAGATTAAAGCACAACATTAAAATGCAGCCTCATTTCAGTAGAAGCTCAAATCAAAAACTTTTTGGGGGATGAAAACGTCAATTCTTCACCAAGGCCAACTATCCAGACTGGTTCTACGTGGGCCAGAAAAAAGCTAGGGAATTCCCCAAATTTGTTTATGGTTGTGAGAATGCAAAGGAGAGATATGGAGATATTCAGAATTAGAAACAAGCCAAGAGCAGAAAGCATCCCAAGGGCCTTTCATGCTCACTCACCCGGGCTGTGGGCATCTTGTTGGCTTCCACGTAGAAGTGAGGGGTCCGCACCTCGTACAGCGCTCCATAGTCCAACTCCTGCAGGGAAGAGGAGGGCCACTGTCACAGCCAGCACTGAATCACAGAATTGTGGAGTTGGAATAGGACCCAAACAGTTGTCTGGTCCAACTCCTCTCTGCTCCCGGCTGGCAGCTACCTTGGCTCCTCCCCTCCCATTGAGAAGTCACCAAAAGCCCCAGAAATTTCCATCAGGGCAGTCAGGCAGAAGGGAGCCTCTTTGCCTCTGAAGGCACCCGACGGCTGGGCATGGAGAACTTCTCCCGGGGCTGTCCTACCTGAGAAAACCCCAGTTGCTGCATGGAAGGAAAACTCAGGAAATTTGGCACACTCCCCCTCCTGCCCACCCTGAATATTCCCCGTGTTTTGGGGTGACAGCAGAAGAAAACAAGAGGGGCATGAAATAAAAAATTTAAGATTATATATATATTCATAAATGTACCAACCAAGCATGTACAGTGGCACCTCGGGTTAAATACGCTTCAGGTTACATACGCTTCAGGCTACAGACTCTGCTAACCCAGAAATAGTGCTTTAGGTTAAGAACTTTGCTTCAGGATAAGAAAAGAACAGAAATTGTGCTCCGGCGGCGTGACGGCAGCAGGAGGCCCCATTAGCTAAAGTGGTGCTTCAGGTTAAGAAGTTTCAGGTTAAGAACAAACCTCCGGAACGAATTAAGTACTTAACCCGAGGTACCACTGTACATGGATATATAAATCACGTGTCTGAAACCCCACAGAAAAAGTCCTGAAACCATTTTGTCCCTCCCAAATTGACCTCAAATATTTCTCTGCAAGGTTGAAGGAAAACGGAAAGGCCTCCCCATTGTCTTTTCGTTCACAAATCCTGTCTTAAGGGTATGTCTGTGTATAAATAGGGTGAGCCTGTGAACTGGTTCAGGAACTAAGTATTTATCATTACAAAAGACTGGCCAGGCTCCCCAGGCAATCCAATCAAGTGACCATTAACTGGTAACCTGCCAGACAGGAGATAAACAACGCACTCAGATTTCTGGTGTAGACCGCCTTTTCTGTGATGTAGGTATGATATATCTGGGGAGGGGGTGGTCTTGGACTACACCCCTTCTGTGATGTATGTATGATGATTCTGGGGGTGGTCTTGGACTCCAGGGCGGGCAATTTAAAATGTCTATATAAGGGCGGGCACACCTTTGTTCTGGGTCCTCCTCCTTTCTCCTGTCTGTGAGGGGAGCACCCTGTTGCAACAGTTTAATAAAGATCAGGCTTACGAGCTGCTCTGCTTCTCAATATTCTCTGGTTGGCCTCTGTTATTTTCTCCGACCGATGGAGAACCTACAAAGGACTCTATATGGCTCTTGTGTTCCCCATAAGGGAATAAGGGCAGATTTTTGTTTATCACAAGCAAATCTTCCCCGTGTGGAAATGCAAGACGCCCTTGGACCAGGCGACCATTGAGATCTGCTTATCCCCCAAAGGGCTCCATTAAGGGGATTTCCAGATCTTCTAAAGCACCTTTTGCCCCCCAACCGGGCGCCTTTCAGGTGTTTGAGACTACAACTCCCAAGGGCTGATGGGAGTTGTAGTCCAAAACACCTGAAGGGTGCCCAGTTGGGGGTGACAGCAGCCTTAGAGGTTGCCAGCCAGGGCAGCGCCCCCTCACCGCCGTGCCCATCTTCTCCAGCGTCTCCTCGTTGATCGGGTAGCGCAGCTTCATCTTGCGGTACAGCGGGTGCTTCTCGTAGTAGCTGACCAGGTCGAGGAGGCTCTCGAATTCCGCCGAGCTGCCCAGCATGAAAAGACGACCCTCCTGCTGGATCCGGCAGTGCTTGATCTTGCCTTCCGCCCTGCAGCCAGAGGAGCCCAGAAAAATAGAGATGTTGGGGTGGTTCCACAACCCACAAAAACTCAGGATGGGGAGCAGCAGGTTTCAAATGCAGAGGAATGCATGTGAGCATCAAAATACAGGTAAAAGGTAAAGGGACCCCTGACCATTAGGTCCAGTTGTGGCCGACTCTGGGGTTGCGGCGCTCATCTCGCTTTATTGGCTGAGGGAGCCGGCGTACAGCTTCCGGGTCATGTGGCCAGCATGACTAAGCCGCTTCTGGTGAACCAGAGCAGCGCACGGAAACGATGTTTACCTTCCCGCCAGAGCGGTACCTATTTATCTACTTGCACTTTGATGTGCTTTCGAACTGCTAGATGGGCAGGAGCAGGGACCGAACAAGGGGAGCTCACCCCATTGCGGGGATTCGAACCGCCGACCTTCTGATCGGCAAGTCCTAGGCTCTGTCCACAGCGCCACCCGCGTCCCTATCAAAATACAGAAAGGGGTTCTAAACAGTAGGAGGAGCTCAGCAGTCGGGCTCCGAATCTCTGCATGGGGTGCGTTTGGAGCAATTTCTGGCAACCGTCTGTCTGAAAAGGGGCAGTGCGGTATCACAGAATCAGATCCCAAGGATCATCTAGTCAATCTCGACAAGATCAGTGACTCGACAAGATCAGTGACTGGAGTGGGGATAAAAAGACTTCCTTTGGGGGGAGGGGATTTCCCCCCACAAACATTAGACACCCCACTTGGTTCTGCAGCATTCTTCGGACACTGCCCCTACATTTCCAGGCTGATCTTCATTCGCTGCTGACGTTTGTCTGTCTCGAGAGACAATGGAGTGCGCCTCCGGGGGGTGGGGGGTGAAGTCGAACCGCTGGAGAATCACAGCGCCTGCTGTGGCTGCAGAGGCCGGCAACTCGTAACTGTTGCTTCCTGCATTGTTTTTGCAGCGTTAGCAGCACGGAAGTGGCCTCCATGGGGTGCAAGCCTGGGCAGTGGGGATGGAGGTCCTAGGCTGCCCAGATGACAAGACCACCCCCCTCTTGGTCCAAAGGAAAGCAGAGCAAGATGTTTGGCATAATAATAATAATAATAATAATAATAATAATAATTTATTATTTATACAGGAGTTGCCGGAAGGAGGCATACAAGACGCCATCCCAAAAATAGATACTGTATTTTTCGCTCTATAAGACGCACCTAGTTTTTGGAAGAGGAAAACAAGAAAAAAAATATTCTGAATCCCAGAAGCCAGAACAGCAAGAGGGATCGCTGCGCAGAGAAAGCAGCAATCCCTCTTGCTGTTCTGGCTTCTGTGATAGCCGCGCAGCCTGCATTCACTCCATAAGATGCACACACATTTCCCCTTCCTTTTTAGGAGGGAAAAAGTGAGTCTTATAGAGCAAAAAAATACAGTATATGTCAATGAGTGAGTTTCCTCACTGGAAATAAACAGGTCGCTCTTTGCACCTTGTTAACAAAACCTGAGTTTACACGAGGGACAGAAGGGGCTCGTCCACCTGGGAAGCAGGCCCACCTAAGAGAGGGAAACCTCTGACCCTAAACCTCTGCTGCCTTGCGGCTATGCTCATTCGGGAGTAAACCCCGAAGAAAAATTCGTACCCGCTACCTTGCGGGACACCTTTGGGAGAAGAAAAAGCTGAAGAGTAAACGCAATCTGAATTAAAATATTTCATACCAAACTACAAAGGACTAACCCACTTGTTAAACAAACTCAGAGGTTGTTAAAAATAAATGAAGGGTCGACATCAAAAATGTTTACTGGGACTATTTGACTAATTAAGGAATGCAGTACAATACTGGCTCCCAGTACGTTTCCGAGCACAATTCAAAGTGTTGGTGCTGACCTTGAAAGCCCTAAACAGCCTTGGTCTATACCTGAAAGAGCGTCTCCACCCCCATCGTTCAGCCCAAACACTGAGGTCCAGCTCCGAGGGCCTTCTGGCGGTTCCCTCACTGCGAGAAGCGAAGTTACAGGGAACCAGGCAGAGGGCCTTCTCAGTAGTGGCACCCGCCCTGTGGAACGCCCTCCCAGCAGATGTCAAAGAGAAAAACTACTACCTGACTTTTAGAAGACATCTGAAGGCAGCCCTCTTTAGGGAAGCTTTTAATGTTTGATGCGTTACTGTATTTTAATATTGTGTTTGAAGCCGCCCAGAGTGGCTGGGGAAACCCAGCCAGATGGGCGGGGTATAAATAAATTATTATTATTATTATTAATCATCATCACTCCCTGAACTTCAGAGCATGGGAAGTCACTCAAAAGATATGTAATTTGGCATTGAGTATTCGGCTTTTTCGATTGTATGATCATTTGGAATGTTTTATAATGTGGTTTTATTGGATTGTTAAAATGGAAAATTTAATAAATATCACTTTTTTAAAAAAAGAGTAAACACAATCTTCAAAGCCAGGAGGTAATCAAGCTTATTTCACAGTACAGTATCCCTTTCCCCGACACTTTTTAGCCTCAGTAGCTCCCAGACCCAAAACATAACACCATGTACACATTGAGACACACATGCGCACACTTTCTCCTGCGGGTTTCTGGGCGTGTGTACCCCCCCTCGCTGCATCCGGGGGACGGAGGAGAGGCTCACCGGAAGGAGATGGCGTAGGAGTTTGGCTCGCCGCGTTTGCGCACCAGGAAGGCTCCATCCCGCGGGACCCTCATCAGCATGTGTTCCGCCTGCAGGCGGGTGAGGTTGGCATGGTACCACCTGGTAGGGACAGAAGACTCCATCAGTACAGCCTCTGTCAGGTGTGCACCTGATCGGTGGCTCTGGGAGCCAGGTGAAGCAAAGGGGCTGCGAGGCAGTCCTGACCTGGGTCCGCCCTTTGCTCCCCTTTCGGAACACCCCCAAATTTAAAAGGAGAGGTAACCCAAGTAAAGATTTTCACTCATTTTTAATTTTCTCACCGCTTTATCTTTTTCAGAAAATATTATTTTTTTTGGGGGGGGGGTCTGTAAGCCGAGATGCATGGAACGTGGCTATCACTACACCAGGGGTCAGCAAACTTTTTCAGCAGGGGGCCGGTACACTGTCCCTCAGACCTTGTGAGGGGCCAGACTATATTTTTTGGGAGGGAAATGAACAAATTCCTATGCCCCACAAATTACCCAGAGATGCATTTTAAATAAAAGGACACATTCTACTCATGTAAAAACACGCTGATTCCCAGACTGTCCGTGGGCCGGATTGAGAAGGCAATTGGGCTGGATCTGGCCCCCGGGTCTTAGTTTGCCAACCCATGCACTGCACAGTGGCGCACGAAATGCGCTCTGCACATGCTCGGAGGTACACAGGACTTATACCGACCATTGGCCCATCTAGCTCAGTTCTGCCAACACTGGTTGGCAGCAGCCCTCTAAAATCAGGCAGATGCCAGCAGGGACTGAACTTGCAGCCTTCTGCTCCCTGGCCCTGCGTCTACCTACAAAACCTTCACCCAACGCCCACAGCAAATTCTGCCCAACCCGGGCTGTTGACCCGTGTCTCCGAGGTTAGAGGAGAGGAAGAGGGAAGAAGGGATGAGGTTTCTCACTCCTTGCTCTCGTGGGCGTTGGGCTGGGGCACGGGGTCCGTCAGGCGCATCTCGAACTCGTTGCAGCGCAGGGGCACCTCGCGGTAGTGGCAGATGAGGCTGTAGAGGCTGTCGAAGACCAGGTTGTCCGTCAGGTAGAACTTTGTGGCGCCGGCTTCCTGCCGGGAGTGAATGCGGCAGTGCTGAACGCGGCCGGAACGCCTGCGGAAGGAAGGGTGAGAAGTTAAACTATGGAACTCTCTTCCACTGGATTCTTCATATGTGGCGGGATTGTCCGTTAGTTAACGAATTCTGGAAAAAGATTGGGATAGAAATATCGGGAATTGTGGGTAGGAAGGTGGAAATACCTAAATTAATGGTTCTTATTAGCCTGAGGAGCACAGAGTTAGAAACAAAAGAGGGATGTAAATGGGTAAAATTTATGGTAATTTCAGCCAGACAGGTTATAGCGAGTAATTGGGAAAATGCAGAAGAGCTAGGGGTGAATCAATGGAAGGAAAAACTGAAAAATATTATAATCTTATAATATCTAACTGATACATAAAATGAAAGGGTTTAAGGTCAGTGAGAAAGAGGAGGATTGGTTTGAGAAAATATTGAATTATTTGGGCAGGTTTGAACAATTTGGGGCAATTAAAATGTTAAAAGTTAAATAAATGTTGTGGAGGAAGGAGTGTTAAGGTATATAGAATTGTACATATGGTTGATTTGAATATGTTATTATTGATTATGTATACCCAATGTATCAGCCGCCTTGGGGGGGGGGGTTCACTGTTTGTGTTTTGGTTGTTGGTAAAAAAATAAACAAAATAGGATTCTTCATTCATTTTCTTTATTAAATTTGTTAGTCACTTTAGCTTGTCCTGGGCAACGCAAAACAACTTACAAACAAACAATCAATTTGCCTTCAGCTAATTAACAAACCTATGGCTTTTTAAACTGTGGGAGGGGGTGGTCATTGCGAGAGGCCAAGTTACAGGGAACCAGGCAGAGGGCCTTCTCAGTGGTGGCGCCCTTCTTGTGGAATGCCATCCCGTCAAGGAAATAAACAGCTACCTGACTTTTAGAAGACATCTGAAGGCAGCCCTGTCTAGGGAAGCTTTTAATATTTGATGTTTTATCATGTTTTTAATATTCTGCTGGGAGCTGCCCAGAGTGGCTTGGGAAAACCATCCAGATTTTTTTTGGGGGGGGCATAAATTAAAAATTATTATTGTTATTATTAGCCTTTCGTTTGGGTCATTCCTTTGCTTTTCTCACGATAATTTAAACTTTATTCAGCCAAATATACAAGTTTTGCTTCCAATTTGCACCTGTTCCAACATGTTGCACAATCCAGAAAACTGTTCTCTGGTTTTGCAGGGATGTGTTTTGTTTTCGCAGTTAAAAAGTCACTATCACATTTCAGAGGAGAAGGGAAGAAGTTAAGGATGGCTTGTTTAAAAAAATAATAATGGGGAGAGAGAAGGGTAGAAAGTGGAAACAAAAAGACCAGAACAGACCATTCCTTTTCAAGGTGTCTGGCCAGATTAAGCATCCTCACACCTTGACAGGGGTTGGGGTCGAGCTCTTCCTCGCGACACGACCTACCAGAAGGAGAGGGTGTAGTCGCCCACAAAGGTCTCGCTCTCCCGAACCAGGAAAGTGCCGTCTTTGCCGCCCGTCTCGGTGCAATACTCGTGGAGCAGCTTCTCTGCGATCTGCCGCCCATCGCGGCCCCCGCCCAGCTTGCCGTGGAACCATTTCTCACTGAAGTGCAGCTCATTGTTGTTAAACTCCTAAAAAGCCCAAAGGTGGCAGGAGAGGGGAAGGAAAGTCGAGGGAAAGCGGTGGGAGGGGGGAAAGAAAGAAAGAGGGGGTTCAGTGGCAAGGGGGTGGGAGAATGGGAAGCAAAAAGAAGCCACAGCATGTTTAATATCCTCATGTCTGTTTCAGACTTTGCTCATGTCCTTTTCAGACTTTTCTGAAGCATCTTCGGGGTGGGGGGGAAGGCACGCATATCAACAAACATTGGGGGGCGGGCAGGACATTTTGTGTCACCCGTATGAAACAGGAGCTGACTGTGACAGTCAGGATAAAAAACTAAGAAGAGCCCTTTGGTATAATAATAATAATACTAATAATATAATAATGATTTATTATTTATACCCCGCCCATCTGGCTGAGTTTTCCCAGCTACTCTGGGCAGCTTCCAACACAATATTAATGTACATTAATGCATCAAACATTAAAAGCTTCCCTAAACAGAGCTGCCTTCGTCTAAAAGTAAAATAGTTGTTTATTGCCTTCACGTCTGCTGGGAGGGCGTTCCACATGGCGGGTGCCACTACTGAGAAGGCCCTCTGCCTGGTTCCCTGTAGTTTCACTTCTTGCAGTGAGGGAACCGCCAGAAGGCCCTCAGCGCTGGACCTCAGTGTCCGGGCTGAACGATGGGGGTGGAGACGCTCCTTCTTCTTTTTCTTCTTCTTCTTATTATTACTCCGCCCATCTGGCTGCGTTGCCCCAAGCTCAGGCTCACTAGAACTCACGGGCAACGAAGCTCAACGCTGGAAGGCTCAGGGCATACAGAAATGCATAAACTGTGGAACTCCCTGCCACAGTTAAAATGGGAGCGCCCCCACTGCCTTCTTCCCAGCCAAGCGCCTCTGCAGCACTCCAGAAACGCACCTCTTTCTGCTCCGTCTCCTCCTCGTCCTCGTTGGACTGGTAGCGGGAGGTCTCTTCGGAGTAATAGATCTTGTTGCTGGTCAGAACAAAGTAGTGCGGGCTCCACGTCTGCTGAAAGGGAGGGGGAAAGAGTGTCAGAGCAACGGAAGGGGGTGGGACACAAGGCGAGGGACCCCCTGAGCTGCGGGAGAAAGCAAGAGCCTCACGTGGTCAATGGGGTCCTCGAGATAAAGGATGCCGTTCTTGATGGAGTTGCTGATGTCGTTCTCGGAGTAGCTGGCCAAGGAGACTTCCTCGTAGAGGTTCCCTTCGACCAGCTTCTTGTGCTGGAAGAAAATGACAGAATTACAGAATTGTAGAGTTGAAAGGGCACCCCGAGGGTCATCTAGTCCAACCCCTTGCAATGCAGGAATTTTATGCCCAAAGCGCTTGAACCCACAACCCTGAGATTAAGAATCTCATGTTCTACCAGCTGAATTATTACTAGACCGGCCTTCAGCAACCTGGTGCCTTCCAGACGATTTAGGGCTCCAGATGTTGGCTGGGGCTGAGCGCCGCTCTAGTCCGAAACATATGGAGGGCACCAGGTTGGCAAACACTGGCCTGGATATTCAAAAGGATGCCAGAGGCTCTACATCTCTTTTAAATCAGAACCAGTGAAGGCGGTGAAGGTCCTGTGTGAGTGTCTGGAGGCGGTTGGAGGATGGATGGCGGCTAACAGATTGAGGTTGAATCCTGACAAGACAGAAGTACTGTTTAGGGGAACAGGGGGCAGGCGGGTGTGGGGGATTACCTGGTCCTGAATGGGGCAACTGTGCCCCTGAAGGACCAGGTGCGCAGCCTGGGAGTCATTTTGGACTCACAGCTGTCCATGGAGGCGCAGGTTAATTCTGTGTCCAGGGCAGCTGTTTACCAGTTCCATCTGCAACGCAGGCTGAGACCCTATCTGCCCGCAGACTGTCTCGCCAGAGTGGCGCATGCTCTGGTTATCTCCTGCTTGGACTACTGCAATGCGCTCTACGTGGGGCTACCTTTGAAGGTGACCCGGAAACTGCAATTAATCCAGAATGCGGCCGCTAGACTGGTGATTGGGAGCGGCCGCTAGACTAGTGATTGGGAGCGGCCGATGGGACCACATAACACTGGTCCTGTGAGATCTGCATTGGCTCCCAGTACGTTTCAAAGCACAATTCAAAGTGTTGGTGCTGACCTTTAAAGCCCTATACAGCCCTATATGGCCTTGGTCCTGTATACCTGAAGGAGCGTCTCCACCCCCATCCTTCTGCCCAGACACTGAGGTCCAGCGCTGAAGGCCTTCTGGTGGTTCCCTCATTGCGAGAAGTGAGGTTACAGGGAACCAGACAGAGGTCGTTCTCGGTAGTGGGTGTTTTTACATGAGTAAAATGTGTCCTTTTATTCAAAATGCATCTCTGGGTTATTTGTGGGGCCTGCCTGGTGTTTTTACTTGAGTAGAACGTGTCCTTTTATTTAAAATGCATCTCTGGGTTATTTGTGGGGCATAGGAATTTGTTTCAATTTTTTTCTTCAAAATATAGTCTGGCTCCCCACTGAGGGACAGTGGACCGGCCCAAGGCTGAAAAAGTTTGCTGACCCCTGAACTAAGAGTTCAGCTCGGAGTAAAGGGCAGGTAAGAGTCCCGCTACCTTGATGAGGATCTTCTTCTTGAGCTGGGCAGGTGAGGGCAGCTGGTCTGCGTTGACGTCCACCGGTTTGGTAAGCAGCATGTCCCCAAAGACCTTCTTGAAGTGCGCGGCCATGTTCCTCTGCTGCACGATGCTGCAATGGTCCTCGATGGAGAGGATGACGGGGAACCTAGGCAAAAGGCAGGCAGCCTCACGCAGGTGAACCTCGAGACACCTGCAGCGGGCCATCATCGGCACGGCGCTGTCCCCGTACCTCGTGCTACACAGAGGGCGAGAGGACAGGCCCCTGCTCCAATCCGATAGCCTGAGGCAACATCAGGAGGTTTCACATGTTCACACACCATGCAATTGCTGCGATGGCACAGAGCAAGAGGAAAACACCTGTGTTTCTGAGACACCTGTATTGCTGAGTTTCCACACTCCAGCAGAAGCAACACAACGCAGGAAGCTTCTCTCGGGATACGCCTTTAGATCAGTGAAAAATACCCTCCCGGGTTTCATCACTGATTCCAGTTTTCCCAGAGATCCTGGGAAACAGCTTTGTACAAGCAAATTTTCCCTGAGTCATGGGTAGCAGGCACCAAACACCCCCCTCTTTTAGGAAAGAGAAGGCAGAGGAAAGGGCTGAGAGGAGGGGGAGAATCACTTACTCAGAGGTGGCGAAAGCGTGTTCCTTGATGGTGTGCAGAACGTCCAAGAATTTGATTTTGGAGGTGAGTGTATGGCCGTGGTAGATGATTGGCAGGTCGTCCGGACCATCCCAACAGTCCACTGCAGGTGGAGAAGATTTGGTACTGAATTAGTGATTAGATTAATTGCCCTTTTCATTAAGATGGAATTTCTTTTTCATCAAGCAGGAAGGTTTTATATATATTTGTCTTTAACACCGGTGCTTATTAAAAACTGCAAGTGCCCAGAGTCATCTGAAAAGAAGCTCCCCCCTTTCCGTGCTTCTTGCTGCAGAATTTTTATGGATACCAGCCTTCTTCAACCTGGTGCCTGCCAGAGGTTTTGGACTACAATTCTCATCACTGTAGTCCAAAATTTCTGGTGGGCACCGGGTTGGAGAAGGCTGGTTTATACTCAGATGCGGAACTTTATCAGTTAATTATTTGATTGACTTCCCAATTCACGCAATTCATTGGCCAGGATTTTTTCAATAAGGTAACAACCGTAATACTGATGTATAGATTGCCTGGCCCTTTGCTACAGGCACACACTCACACAAATGCACACACACACACACACACACACACACACACACACACGAAGGCATCTGTTTGTCTCTCTCCTTTTTTGAGGGGGGTGGCAAAGAGCAGAAAGGCACATCTGAATCCTGCTGGAATCTCTGCCCTTTAGTATCAGATATGAGAGAGTGAGCTGAGGTTAGCCAGTGCTTACAGAAAAGAACTCTGTGCATGCTCAGGAGAACTCTCACTTAACAGCCTAACTTCCTAGGCTGTAGCAGGTTTCAGTTTAATCCCAGTCTGCTTGCTTCTGAGCTACAAGATGGAAAGATAACACGGCACAAAAAGCCACAGACCAGGACTGGTTTGCAAAATCCCTCTTTGCCCACTGCCTGGAAAAGGAAGTGCTATGAGCCACTGGCCGAGATGTGCAAATTGTCTTGTTTCAATTGACTCTATGCAAGGCGCTCTGGGAGCCCATTTGGCCAAAACTGTTAGGATATAGTTCCGTTCCACCTTAAAAGGATCAGGCATGACTGTTGTGTGTCACATGCCTGTTTACTTCCAGCACAGTCTGCTGGGAACTTCTGTTTTGTATATTGCTTTTGCTTTATTGCTGTTTTGCTGGACATGAAGGGAAGCAGACATGTTTTCCTTTGTTCCTGCTGCTGAATAAAATGCTGTAAATAAAGCTTACACATGGCTCTGTCCGCCACTTCCGTTGTGGAGATTTATTCACTCTGCTAATTAGCGGGCTCGGTAGCTTCAGAAGGCAACTGAGGCTCGAGTCGCTGATTGATTGATGCTGTTCCGTGACCTGGAGATCGCCCGGCTGCCGGCCGGTGGCTGGAGCCAGCTGGGGGCCTGCCTGATGCCCCCGTCTCCCTGGCAGCATCCCAACAGAAACAAATGCTCCAAATAAATAACAATTTAAGAAGCTAAGAAGAGCCTGCAGGATCAGGCCATCGGCTTGTCGAGTCCAGCATCCTGTTCTTGCAGTGGCCAACCAGGTGCCCGCAATTGGAAACCCACAATCAGGATTCGAGCCCAAGAGCAACTGTCCCAGCTTGTGGTTTGCAGCAACTGGCACCCGGAAGCCAAGCTGGGGCAAGATCCCCAAAAGTCAGACTCACATTCTATGCAGCGGCACCCCATCCGGAGGCAGCGGGAGTAGGCTTCCAGAGAGGATTCGCTGGAGAACTGGTCCCCCGTGAGATACCTGTGAGAGGCAGAGACACCTAAGTAATAGATGCAATCCTGTAGGCTAAGCGGTAAAACCGTTTTAGGCGTTCATGGTGCCGAAGTAGTAGGTGAATAACAACGGACAGTGTTCCCGGATAATCTGACTGTTTCACCCATAGACTTATTATACTTCTGTGGACTTTCAAAGATTGACAGACGTGTATTCAATTAATTTCAAATATATTAGAGAATTTACAGGTGCACACATTTTGTTTTTGTTACCAAATCATGCATATTATGCAATAAGAATTACAGTGCTATCTAGTATACTGGTCTCTGTGTTGCTTGTATTGTTTTAAGTTTGCAACACAGGGGTTTGTTGTTCTGTATTGGTTCCCTGTAACCTCACTTCTCGCAGTGAGGGAACTGCCAGAAGGCCCTCAGAGCTGCACCTCAGTGTCCAGGCAGAACGATGGGGGTGGAGATGCTCCTTCAGGTATATTGGAAGATTGTGAAGCTCCTTGACATCTGACAGCAGGTGGGTGCCACCACCAAGAAGGCCCCTGCCTGGTTCACTTCTTGCAGTGAGGGAACTGCCAGAAGGCCCTCAGAGCTGGACCTCAGCGTCCGGGCAGAACGATGGGGTTGGAGACACTCCTTCGGGTATACTGGGCCAAGGCCATTTAGGGCTTTAAAGGTCAGCACCAACACTTTGAATTGTGCTTGGAAACGTACTGGGAGCCAGTGTAGGTCTTTCAAGACTGGTGTTATATCGTCCTGGCAGCTGCTCCCAGTCACCAGTCTAGCTGCCGCATTCTGGATTAGTTGCAGTTTCCGGGTCACCTTCAAAGGTAGCCCCACGTAGAGTGCATTGCGGTAGTCCAAGCGGGAGATAACTAGAGCATGCACCACTCTGGTGAGACTTTCTGCGGGCAGGGAGGGTCTCAGCCTGTGCAACAGATGGAGCTGGTAAACAGCTGCCCTGGACACACAATTGACCTGTGCCTCCATGGACAGCTGTGAGTCCAAAGATAAGAGAGGACATTCCGGCTAGACATCAGGATAAGAGATGTACAACTGTGAAGTGGACACCCTCAGAATGTGGACTCTCTTTTACCGGAGGTTTTTAAACAGAGGTTGGGTGGCCATCCATCAGAGATTTTTTAAAAGCTGTGATTCCTGCATTGCAGGGGGCTGGACTAGATTCCCCTTGGGGATCCTTGGAGCTCTCCAATTCTGTGATTCCATGGTTCCCTTGTAAGACACAGGGGCCCTGCCAGCTGTGCCATTGTAGCTGGGCCGGGGTTCAGAAGTTCTGGTGCTTCGACCCAGCAGCCTCGCTTCAGTACAACTGAGGCTGCCCCCTGAGCAAAGGACCCCACTGCCCAGAGATGCTCTTACGTGTTATGGGAAGACGAGATCCAGTACTGAGTCAAAGGGTAGTTCATTTCTTCCGGCACCACTCGGTCGAACCTGGAGTCCATGACCATGTTTTCTTTGGAGAACAGGAACGTCAGGAACTGCGGGGGAGAGAGAAACCAGTTAGAGGTCAGCTGGGGAATGGGTAAAGACTCTCAGAATTAGGTGAGCACCGCAGATGTGGTCTGGCTGGAGTCAGGTGCAGGGTCCTCATTTACATGAGTCCTTCTTTCCACTATTAATTAATTAATTGCTGCTCCGAATTAATGATAATGCTACTAATAATAAAGCGATAAAACACCAGACATTAAAAACTTCCCTAAAGAGGTTGTGAAATAAAAAATATAAGGTCTTATATATATATAAAATAAATGTTCATAAATGTACCAAGCAAACACGTACATGATGTGTCTGGGGGGTGGTCTTGGACTCCAGGGCGGGCAATTTAAAATGTCTATATAAGGGCGGACACACCTTGGTTCGGAGTCCTCCTCCTCCTGCGTGTGAAGGGGGCAGCCTGTTGCAGCAGTTCAATAGAGATCAGGCTTACTAGCTGCTTTGCTTCTCAATATTCTCTGGTTGGCCTCTGTTATTTTCTCTGACCGATGTAGAACCTGCAAAGGGCTCTTGTGTCCTCCATAAGGGCAGATTTTTGTTTACTACAGCTGCCTTCAGATGTCTTCTAAATGTCAGATAGTTGTTTATCTCTTTGACATCTGATAGGAGGGCGTTCCACAGGGCGGGCGCCACCACCGAGAAGGCCCTCTGCCTGGTTCCCTGTAACTTGGCTTCTCGCAATGAGGGAACCGCCAGAAGGCCCTCGGAGCTGGACCTCAGTGTCCGGGCTGAATGATGGGGGTGGAGACGCTCCTTCAGGTATACTGGACTGAGGCCGTTTAGGGCTTTAAAGGTCAGCACCAACACTTTGAATTGTGCTTGGAAACATACTGGGAGCCAATGCAGGTCTTTCAGGACCGGGGTTATGTGACTGGTGAACACATGAGTGAAATTTCAATTAGGCTGTTAAATTCCAAGAGTTGGCTCCTTCTGCTCAAAAGGGGAACTGCCTCCCACCAGAGGTTAAGGGGAGGGGAATGTTTGCCAAGTCTCCCTGCAGCCCCCTATGCCATCTTCCTCGTAGTCCCACAACCCTTTACAGGAGCACAGAGGGTTGCAAAGAGAAGAGCAGATCGGTTAAAGTTGTTGCTCCTTCCATGGGGTTCTCCTGTGAGCAGAGCTCAGCTCATGGAAGCTCGAGATCCAAGCTGCAATGCCTTGGAGTTAATTGGAAGACACTGAAGTGCGCTTTCTGTGGTTGCGTCCACAGAATGGAAGCTGGCAGGGCGTCCTCTATGGTGAGCTGACTTCTGGTGCCCCACAGGGTGAGGAGGGGAGGGGAGGGTGCCACCCACCTCGTCCAGCTGGAAGAAGGGCTCCGCCATGTCGCTGAAGGGATCCCGGAGGTAGTTGCACATGAACTCCCGGACTTTGGCAATGTCACTTGCCCACGGCTCCTAAAGGGAAAGGTAAGGAGGGGAGCGTTGTAAGTAAGAAGCTCCTCTTTCACGCCAAAAGGTCCGTAAGGAATTAACAAATGTTCAATAATGATTTTTGCGTGAAAGAGAAAATGAACTTGTAAAACCTGGATCTGAAGACTGAAAAATATACTAGTTTATAGAAGACAGAATGGTTGGCTGTTATTTGGCTGCAGGACAGAGAGACGGAAAAGACAGCCTTTTATCTTTATTTATCTTTATTTAATCCTTTTTTCTCTTCTCTCTCTTTCTCCTCTTTGGCCCCCCCCTCTCTTTAGTTATTTTTTCTCCTCCTTTCTGTTTTTGCTCTTTCTTAAATTAAGTAAGTAAGTAAGTAAATAATTTTTTATTTATACTCCACCCTTCCTGGTTCAGAAAACCGAGCTCAGGGCGGCTAACAACAAATTTAAAACACTTAATTGACACAACAAAAAACAGCATAAAATACAGTATAAAATGTGAATAACAATAAATTCAGAATTCAAAATCAATTTAGGGGGGAAATCCATCCAATAAACATTAGATGATCACCAGGACTAGCTGGCTGAATTAGTCCTGCTTTATTTTTTCTTTATTAGTAGCTGCTTTATTTCAGTATATTATAAAAAAGATACTTTGTAATGGGTATGTACTGTATTTCTGTACGTCTTTGAATAAATGTCAATAAAAGCTATAAAATATAATAAATAATAATTAAAAAGGTAAGTAAGAACTACATCAGAGCTCATCAGAGGGACAGGCAGACTCTGGGTTAAATCTCTCCAGGCTGAAAATGAATCCTGTGATTGCTTTAACTGGAGAAATCCAACCTTCATTGCAAGGCAACAGAGAGGACCCAACTGGTAGACCACAGCCTTCTCCACTGCAGCTCTTTTGGACTATATTTCCCTTCACGGCCTGGGACCCTCGTACCTACGGGACCGCCTCTCCCGGAATGCCCCGCAGAGGACCTCAAGGTCCATAAACAGCAACACCCTAGAGGTCCCAGGCCCTAAGGAAGTCAGATTAGTCTCAACCAGAGGCAGGGCCTTTTCAGCACTGGCCCCGGCCTGGTGGAACGCTCTGCCTCATGAGACCAGGGCCCTGCAGGATCTGATTTCTTTCCGCAGGGCCTGTAAGACAGAGTTGTTCCGCCTGGCCTTTGGCTTGGAATCAACTTGATTCCCTCCCTTTCTTTCCTTTTTCCTTTCTCCTTCCATGTTGGAACTCCTATTTGGGGACTTCCCTGGCTTTTTTCTGGCCCACGTAGGACCAGTCTAGATAGTTGGCCTTGGTGAAGACTTGACGTTTTCTTCCCCAAAAAGTTTTTGATTTGAGTTTCTACTGAAATGAGGCTGCATTTTAATGTTGTATTTTAATCTTGTTTTTAAGTTGTATTTTAATCAGTTGTTCTTATACCTGGGCCCAGCCGCCCTGAGCCCCAGTCTTGGCTGGGGAGGGCAGGGTATAAATTATTATTATTATTATTCCAGCCAGCAATCGCCATGATGTTAGCTGCTTTCACAGTGCAAGAGCACCAAGCGGTTGGTTGATTTACGGCCAGCTCTGAAAAGGTCTCCGATGTCCTACCTGCCGGCTGTCAGTTACCAAGGAAAGCTGGTTAATGCGTTACTTTCATGGGACAAGCGGATCTTTCTCTATCGTGCTACTCCAAGCAGGAGAGGCTCTCCCAAGCCCAACCTTCCTCCGCAGAATTAACTACCGTATTTTTCGCTCCATAAGAAGCACCTTTTTCTTCCTAAAAAGTAAGGGGAAATGTCTGTGCGTCTTATGGAGCGAATGCGTGGTCCCTGGAGCCGAATTGCCCAGGGGCGAAAAGCAGATCATGCTTTTTTTTTTTTTGAAAGAGGGAAGTGGGTGTTGAAACAAAGCCGCTGATCAGTAAGCAATTGGGGGGGGGGGAGATATTATTTATTATTTATTGGGGAGGGAGATATTATTGCTAGCAATAAAGGAGGATGCCTGGGAGGGGGGAGGTAAAGACAGCGAACTTGCAAGGAGAGGAGACAGGAAGACTAAAGCAATGAGGAGAGAAATTAGAAGAAAAGGAGGAGCAAAAAACTGCTCCAGCTAAGGAAAACAAGAGGGAAGGGGGTGTTGAAAGGAAGCAGCTGATTGATAAGCGATTGGAAGGGAGATAAGGGACGTTAGAGATAAAGGAGGCTGCCTGGGAGGGGGGAGGTAAAAGCCCATGGATCCTCAGGATTTTTGCATTGGGTCACCCCAAATTCACCATCAGATCACATAGCAGGTCCATGGCTACAGCCTGCACCAAAAACACACAAAAACACACACACACACTGCGTGGAGACACAGTGGCACAAAAACGTGGTTACAAATCACGGATCCACATGGATTCTCAGGATTTTTGCATTGGGCTACCCCAAACTCACCGTCAAATCACATGTCTGTGGCCACAGCATGAACCACAAAAATCATACACCCACTGTTTCATTCAGAATATTTTTTTTCTTGTTTCCCTCCTCTAAAAACTGGGTGCGTCTTATGGTCAGGTGCGTCTTATGGAACAAAAAATACGGTAGGCGCTCCTCTCTTTGCAAATACCTTCTGGTCATATTGCAGGAACTTCTGGAAGTCGTACAGTGTGATCTGGCAGAGTTCTGGCCGGTCCACGTTACTAGGGAAAGAGTCGAAGAGAGAAAGAGAGTGGCCACAAAAATCCACCTGGCGATGCCCCATAAACCCAGCCACACAAAAACCCATGCACAGGACATTTTGTGAAGTCTGAGCCTGTTCATAAGACGAGAAAATTAGAGCAGAGGGACCCAGGAATTAGCTGTCCAGGACATTATACCCAGTTCCTTTGGCCTACCTTTGAAACCCATGCATTTATCTTAGATGGCTTTCCAGAAAACTAGGCAAATCCCTTGAGGTTAGTTTACTCTTGGTCATATATATAACCTCCTTGTTGCAGAACCACTTTACCACCAAACACCGCTTACTGGGACTCACAAGGAGAGTGCTGCTGTTGCACTCATGTTTCTGGCTTAACTACTTTGGGAAAGTGGATCATGGGCTGGAAGGTTTTTTTTTTAAAAAAAATAATATTTATTAAAGTTTCCAATAAAAAAAGGACACATCAGTAAAAAAGAATTAAAAGTATAAAAGAAGAATACCCAATACAAAAATACACAATACACAGTACAAAAAACAAAAACAAAAAAAGAAAAAAGAAAACAGTTAAAAACAATTATCACCTTTTCATCGCCACTTTTAAATTTACTTATTTTCTGGACCTCCTCATACCTCCCTCTTTTGTATTCCAGTTCAATTTGTTTGTCCAGCAATTTCTTTCCCTCTTTTTTGATCCCAATCTTTAATCTTAATATAACATTAAATTTTAACCTATTAAAAACCAATTTTCCATTTCTTTTAACTTTTTTTTTTATCCTAATCCTTAATCTTGATCTATATATAACTTTAAAGCCTGTACAGCTAGAAGCCACTTAATTTCAATCCAACATCACTCTAACATTCTTTAATTTTGCAATGTTTCTGCAGATAATCTTTGAATTTCGTCCAATCTTCTTCCACCGACTCTTCTCCCTGGTCACGGATTCTACCAGTCATTTCCGCATGGGCTGGAAGGTTTTATCCCAATCTTGTGTTTCAAAGAATCTGTTATCACCTTTCCAGCTTCTTTCTAACAGCCTTCTCCAACCCGGTGCCCCCCAAAAGATTGGGGTGTTTTACAACTCCCACCAGCCCCAGGCAGCATGGATCTACGATGCTGTGTTTGATGGGAGTTGTAGTCCAGAAAATCCAGCGGGCACCAGGTTGGCAGCTCATCAAACCTGCCAACACCCTTCTTGACCTGTGCCACTTTTTTCGTTTCAACGAACACATGGAGACTCAGGCCAAGAGACAGGAAGTGAGCAATCCCAGCCTCAGGGAGGTTCCTACTTACCGTAAGGGAAAGGACAACTCCAGCTGCTCAATTATCTGAAACGTAAAGAAGCAACACGGCGATCAGCAATGCAATCAGGACATGGGCAAGGCTGCAAATGTTTTTTTCCCCCTTCAAATAATCTTTATTAGTTTTCCAGTTACATACTCCACATACACATAATGTGTTGCATTTTACATTTATGCTTGCTCCTAAGCACTGACTTCCCTCCTTCCTTCTTCTGGTTTTTTATATGACATATAATTTTAGCACATTATTTCCATCCATTTTGTATATTGTTATTCATTTTCCATATTTGTCCATAGTATATCCATAAACAAATAAATCCTCCTGTTTATACAATTCTTGATGTCTGTCTGCATTCACTTACAACTACTGTTAGTTATATTAATCTCCTTATACATTTTGCTTCTTGTGATTACCCATCACTTTTCTTAATCTTTCCCATTATGAGGTTTATTTCCAATTCTACTGGTTTCACTATTTCATCTTATCTTTCCTATATACGACACAAATTTTTCCCATTCTTTTTGAAGTGTTTCCTCGCCCTATTGTCTAATTTTCCCTGTTAATTTGGCTATTTCTGCATTTTCCATTACCTTCTGTTGCCATTCTTCTACGGTTGGTATTAAGGCTGCAAATGTTTATACGTTTTATTTTTTTGCCATTTCAAATTCAGACAATGCATAAAAGGAGGACAGGGCAGCAAACTTTAACCAGGACCGAGGACCAACGGTCGGTTAACGCTTTAAGGACAGATTTTTAAGCAGCACCCCAGTTAACGGCAAACCATTGCCGGAGGTGTGAAAGGGAGATGTTTTGGCCAAGTTTGGCGGAGAAAACGATACGCATACCAGCCGCATCTCTGAGGCTGAGGGTGCTATGAGGACTTTAGGGGGAAAGGATCCTTTCTTGTCATTTGGTCACTTAAGTGTCACCCCCTCAAGAGAGCAATGCCTGACTCTGCTGGACAAAGAGGACTGTGCTCTTTCGGCACTGGGAGGGCGTTCCAAAGGGCGGGTGCCACCACCGAGAAGGCCCTCTGCCTCTCCCGTCAGATGTCAAGGAAATAAACAACTAACTGACTTTTAGAAGACATCTGAAGGCAGCCCTGTTTAGGGAAGTTTTTAATGTTTAATGCTGTATTATGTTTTTAATATTTGGTTGGAAGCCTCCCAGAGTGGCTGGGGAAACCAGATGGGCAGGGGTATGTATGTATGTATAAATAAATAAATAAATAAATATCATTATTACATATCAATATTATTAAATATCAATATAAAGTACCTCCACTTACGTATCCCTCCGGTTACGTAAACTTCAGGATACGTAAGCAGCAAACCTGGAAGTATATTTTCGGGTTATTACCGCGCATGCATGCGCAGAAGCGGTCCCTCCGGTTGCGGAAACCTTGGGATCCAACTGGAGCTCCGGAACGGATCCTGTCCGCAACCGGAGGTACTACTGTCTTATTATTATTGTTGTTGTTGTTGTTGTTGTTATTCTCAGGCTGGCTTTCTAAAAAGTGTGAGGAAACCCTGCAACTATCACAAGAAAGGAACCACCCAAAAAAAGAACTTTTACTCTCTCTTTTTTTAAAGCTGGTCAATAAAAACTCTACAGCAGCTCAGCAGAACTCAAAACAGAGTGTTCCAAATGTCCTTACCGATTTCTGAGCATCAAACATCAGGTTTTTATAGAAGTGTGCAAAGTGGCTGAAGGTGATTTCATTCCGGACTTCGACCTCCTGCGTGGGCAGAAGACAAAAAGGGAAAGGGTTAATGAGGTTTGCTTTGACTGAGCATGGATCAGGCCCCCCACCCCCACCCCAGTGTCAGGTAATGTAATGCTGGAGCCTTTTATAATAATAATAATAATAATAATAATAATAATAATTTATTATTTATACCCCACCCATCTGGCTGGGCTTCCCCAGCCACTCTGGGCGGCTTCCAATAAAATAGTAAAATACCATAATACATCAAACATTAAAAGCTTCCTTAAACAGGGCTGCCTACAGATGTCTTCTAAAAGTCTGGTAGTTTTAGGTTGGCTAAATGCACAGAGTCAGCCCGGGAGGAGTGGGACCCTATGTTACTGGCCCCGATCCCAACACTGTGAGTGCTGCCCACCCTGCCTTCTCGGAAGACACATGCCCACTGCAATTACTTTTTACCAAAGTTTGTGTTCCCTTTTTGCTCTCCTTATTTAAACCAGACTTCCGTTTTCAGAAGGAAGTCGTATATTCTGCCTAAAAGCTTCCTCGACTCGGCTCATTAGGCATGCTGGCATCCTCCTGGGCTTTCCCGGTTCCAGCTGAGCTCCTGTCATTGTGGTTTGGAATAACCCCACCAGCCCTGACTTTCTCCGCCAGCTTCCTTTTTAGCAGATCCCCTCACTGATGAGAGCTTTCCTCTTCTGAGGTCAGAGCGAGAAGGAAAAACGAGGAGAGGGGTTTCCTTACCAGAAGCTTGTCCCGGAGGAATCTCATGTTAGGCACGCGGTAGTTGACCTGCGGCAACATGGCCTTCAGATCCTTGGGGGTGATGCTGAAATACAGAGACAGGAACATGGAGTCAGGGGTCTCCATTGCGTGTGACAGAGACACAGAGAACAAAGCCCCCCCCCTCTTTTCTGGACCGGCCAGGATCTACTCACCCTTGCACTACAGGCCGAAAATGGTACCCCCATTTAAAAAAAAAAAAAATATGATCAAGATTTAATATATATTTATAATTGCCGCTATATCTGAATTGTCTTTGTTATATCCAATTGCAATTCAATGTATTCCTGTTTTGTTTTATGATTTTGCTGATAATGTAAGTGAGCCGGAACTGGTCTGTGACCGTAATAATAAAATTCAATTCATATATATACCATACCTTTCAGTGTATATGACTGTTTTTTTACTCTAAAATAATCTGGGCTCGTCTTATATACAGATAGTATCTCCCCCCATTTTCTCAAATCGGAGTCCCCAAAAATAGGGGGCGTCTTATACATGGGGGCGTCTTATAGACGGAAAAATACAGTGTGTGTGTGTATAGCATAGACCTTAAGTTACTTTATCAATTGACTTCCCTTCCTCCCCTTCCATGGTTTCCATATTTACTCTTAAATGCTGCAATATATCGCCTATGCATTCAAATTAACCCATTTGTCTTAATAATTCACACTGTAGCTCATATTTCAAGTCCTGCTTGCATTTTCCTCTTGCTATAATAGTTCTCTAAATACTCAATAAAGGGTCTCTAGTCCTCAGGGTATTTTTCGCCATTTGGGTCTCTAAACTTTGCTGTCAATCTTGACAGTCCCACGTACGCCATCGTTTTCAAAAGCCAATCTTCTCTCGCTGGAACATCTCCTTCTTCCTATCTTTGGGCATACAACATTTGTGCTGCTGTCGTTGTATACATAAATAAGTTAACCATCTCTTTTGGAACATCATTATCTATAATTCCTAAAAGAAAAGCTTCGGGTTTTCTTGGGAATCATCAACTTAAACATCTCTTTAATCTCATTAATATATCATTTCCCAACATCCCTTAGCTTTTCCCTTTTTCTTTTGCAAGGCCACCACATAGGAAAGAATGTTCCTTCTATCATTTTGCACTTCCAACACATACTTGGCTTAGTTTTATACATTTTGGCTTAGTTGGAGATAAGTACCACTACTGGGTGGCCAGAGATTGCCGGAGTGCGGCTGGTCGATCGCGGGAGTTATAAAAATGATAGCCGTGTTTCTCCTGAGCGATCACGACACGCCTTGCCCCCGGCGCTATTTACCTCCACTGCCTCCTTCCCTGCTTTGAAAGCTAGTTCTCCCTTTGTCGACGTCCGATTGGGGAAAGGAGGGAGGGCTGCGGACTGGTTGGTGATCGATGTTATGCAATCATTACCCCCAAAAGCCCAATAACTTTGGTTATCATTCCCCACTAAAAAAGCTCAACATCTCTGGTCGACCCTTCCCAAAAAAAGATCAACAATTACGGGCAATGACAATGGGTAGATCACTGCCAGCTTCATTGTACTGGGAGTAGATCGCCAAAGAATTGATGCTTTTGAATTCTGGTGCTGGAGGAGACTCTTGAGAGTCCCATGGACTGCAAGAAGATCAAACCTCTCCATTCTGAAGGAAATCAGCCCTGAGTGCTCACTGGAAGGACAGATCCTGAAGCTGAGGCTCCAAGACTGTTGCCACCTTATGAGAAGAGAAGACTCCCTGGAAAAGACCCTGATGTTGGGAAAGATGGAGGGCACAAGGAGAAGGGGACGGCAGAGGACGAGATGGTTGGACAGTGTCCTTGAAGCTACCAGCATGAGTTGGACAAACTGCGGTAGGCAGTGGAAGACAGGAGTGTCGGGTGTGCTCTGGTCCAGGGGGTCACGAAGAGTCGGACATGACTAAACAACTAAACAACAACAACAACAGATCGCAGTCTCTGTAGAGTTGGACATGCTTGCACTGGGGTGACAGCCTGCCAGCAGCTGCTTTGTGGCTAGAGGGGAGGCCAAGGGGAGGCGCTGTGGCTGCCAGAGCACAGCTGCAAGGCTGGCAAGGGCCCACAGCTCAGAGACCACCTTAGCTGCGAGTTCCGGAAAACCTGCTCCCTAACTTGCTGGTCTTTTCCAACCTGGCCTGAGATGTCTTAGACTGACTCCAGCTACAAAAAGCTACCGTATTTTTCGCTCTATAAGACACACTTCCCCCTCCTAAAAAGTAAAGTGAAATGTGTGTGCATCTTATGGAGCGAATGCAGGCGGGAGGCTCTGCTCAGCGCTCCCTTTAAAGAGCCGCATGGAGTGTGTATGCGGCTCTTGGGGGGGTTTTCCCCGAGGAGGGAGAAGGGCTCCCCCAAAAGCTGCACACACGCTCCGCAAGCTCTTTAAAGGGAGCGCGGCTCTTGGGGGAGCTTTCATCCCGCTGCCCGGGAGAGGCTGTGCGTGGCTATCCCATAAGCCAGGAAAGCAAGTGGGATCGCTGCACAGCTATCCTGGCTTCTGGCTTAGCCACACGAAGCCTCTTGAGGGCAGGGGGAGCCTTCATCCCAGAAGCCGGAACAGCAAGAAGCTATGTTAGAAGCCAGATCCCTCTTGCTGTTCTGGCTTCTGGGATTCAGAATATTTTTTTTTCTTGTTTTCCTCCTCCAAAAACTAGGTGCGTCTTGTGGTCTGGTGCGTCTTATAGAGCGAAAAAATACGGTGAATCTGCTGAACACTGTTCTCATGCAAGTGTCAAGGGGGGCAGCATGAAGGGGATACTAAGTCTTGCAAAGCAAACCAGAGGCCTCCAGCACCAGGGAGCTGCTATTTAAGAAGCGGGAACGTGAGCCAGCCCTCAGCGTATGGCTGCCGCAGATTATTATTCCTTCTGGGGTGAGCACACCATCATTTTGGGGCTGCCCTCTCCCCAAAGATGCAGGTTCACAGTTTTGCACATAGTCTTGGATCCAGCTGCTCCTCTCTGTCCAACTGGTGACCCCAAGAGCTCCTTCTCCCCTCCCAGCCTCAGCGGACGTGCCGGCTGGGATCTCTCCTCGAGGCAAGTGATCTGGCCCCAAGTAATTCACACGCCAGCCTCTTAGTCACATCCAGGCTAGATTGCTTTTAAATGGCCTGAGACGAGGCTGGCTTGGGAGAGTGGCTTTATAGGAAATGATTCATAAATGGAAATAAATAAATTAGAACATAAATAAATGAGCAAGAGTTCTCAGATGTTGCAGCCACCGTGGAACGTGGCTGCCAAGGCTGTTAACAGTGGTCGGCCAGCGGACATGATGTCAATTTTGAAGCATGAGAAACGCAGGAAGCTCTCTGGGGCGAGTCAAACCGCTGGGGCTCTGTCTAGCCCTGCATTGTTCATGCTGACTGAGAGGGACTCTCCAGGGTCTTAAAGGTAAAGGGACACCTGACCATTAGGTCCAGTTGTGGCCGATTCTGGGGTTGCGGCGCTCATCTCGCTTTACTGGCTGAGGGAGCCAGCGTACAGCTCCGGGTCATGTGGCCAGCCTGACTAAGCCGCTTCTGGCGAACCAGAGCAGTGCCCGGAAACGCTGTTTACCTTCCCGCCGGAGTGGTACCTATTTATCTACTTGCACTTTGACGTGCTTTTGAACTGCTAGGTTGGCAGGAGCAGGGACTGAGCAACGGGAGCTCACCCCGTCGTGGGGATTTGAACCGCCGACCTTCTGATCGGCGAGCCCTAGGCTCTGTGGTTTAGACCTCAGCACCACCCGCGTCCCCTCTTCAGGGTCTTAGGGAAGGGGAAATTCCCAGCCCTTTCTGGAGATTGAATCTGGGGTGTTTTGCTAGCAAATCAGGTGTCTCTGAGGCCCAATTCAAAGCGCTGGGCTTGACTTCTGAATCCCTAAATGGCTTGGGTCCAGAGTACCAGACTGAATTCTCCCCCGTGAACCTACCCACCTGTACCTTATGATCTTCTTTCCCAGCACACAGAATTGTAAGCGCTATGGGTTAAACCACAGAGCCTTGGGCTTGCCGATCAGAAGGTCGGGGGTTTGAATCCCAGCAACGGGGTGAGCTCCCCGTCCTCTCCTCCTCCAGCACCAGAATTCAAAAGCATCCATTCTTTGGCGATCAGCCTTCTTGATGGTCCAGCTCTCACTTCCATACATCACTACTGGGAAAACCAGAGCTTTAACTATACGGACCTTTGTCGGCAAGGTGATGTCTCTGCTTTTTAAGATGCTGTCTAGGTTTGTCATCGCCTTTCTCCCAAGAAGCAGGCGTCTTTTAATTTCGTGACTGCTGTCACCATCTGCAGTGATCATGGAGCCCAAGAAAGAAAAATCTCTCACTGCCTCCATTTCTTCCCCTTCTATTTGCCAGGAGGTGATGGGCCATGATCTTCGTTTTTTGATGTTGAGCTTCAGACCATATTTTGCACTCTCCTCTTTCACCCTCATTAAAAGGTTTTGAATTTATTAACATTCATATATATATGAATGTTAATAAATAACTAAAATGAGGGGGGAAAAGGAAACCCACAAAGCAGTCCATCTCAAGGGGGATCACAGCCTTGCCCACCTTGGCTGCAATCCTATTAGGCATGGCACTCCCAGGGTCACATCGGGGCTGGAGCTCACCTGCTGCTCTCCATCTCGGGCGGCAGGTGGCAGCAGGGTGAAGCCTTGGCTCAGCTGCTCCCTCCCCATGACTCCACCTCTGCTAACTTAAACCAGCTGCTCTGTGCATTGCAGGCCAGGTTTGCTGGGTGCTGGTTTCCCAGGAAGAGGGCGGTTAAAGCCCTTCCTGGGTCCCTTCCTCTCCTCCAGCCTGCACAGGTAGCTTTGCAGGTGACAGGCCTGCGAGGGGAGAACGAAACAGGACTGCGGAAACGGCCAAAATGCTAAGACGGAGATGGTAGTACCCAGTCATGTTCCTTCCCCTCCAGGTGTGACGGATCCCTTGCGCAACTCTTGCGAGGCAGCGTGGCGTAATGGTTCGAGCGTCGGACTCGGACCTGGGAGAGCAGAGTTCGAATCCTCCACTCAGCCAGCCACGAAGCTTGGAGTCAGTCGCTGCCTCTGGGCCTAGTCTACTTCTCAGGGTCGTTGTAAGGGCTGTTGAGTTTTATCAGAGGGATTCCAGCCCGATCAGCCTGTTTACCTGATGCGTATTTAAGTCCAACATGGAATTTCATCATAAGTTGCGGATTAAAAATGGTTGCTGCAATCTCAATAGTTTGCTGGAAAGGCTTGTTCTGTGAAGGAACACTACCGATCTTAAAAAGTATGAAATAACACGAGATTAGGCGTATTTTGAAATCCAAATTGGATTAAACCGAGGTTGTTGCTTTTTAGTTTTCTTTTTTTAAAATGAATTCCACTGGGATTAAATTAAGCATTTGATTAATACAAGACCGAGGGGACTAAATGGATGCTTTGATAGAATAATCCAAGTGTAACTGCGACAGTTGCGCCTTGGACCAATCCCTCTGGGGTTAAAATGAGCTGATTGAAAGAATGCGAGCGGGATTAAAGCGAATTCAAAATTAACCCAGTGGGAAATAATAAGAAGGCTGAAAACACCATTCCTCACAAAATAATGCTTTAGAAGACATCTGAAGGCAGCCCTCTTTAGGGAAGCTTTTAATGTTTAACGGACCACTGTATTTTAATACTTTGTTGGGAGCCACCCAGAGTGGCTGGGGAAACTCAGCCAGATGGGTGGGGTATAAATAATAAATTATTATTAAAGGTAAAGGTAAAGGGACCCCTGACCATTAGGTCCAGTCGTGGCCGACTCTGGGGTTGTGGCGCTCATCTCGCTTTACTGGCCGAGGGAGCCGGCGTACAGCTTCCGGGTCATGTGGCCAGCATGACTACGCCACTTCTGGCGAACCAGAGCAGCGCACAGAAACGCCGTTTACCTTCCTCCCAGAGCGGTACCTATTTATCTACTTGCACTTTGACGTGCTTTCGAACTGCTAGGTTGGCAGGAGCAGGGACCGAGCAACAGGAGCTCACCCCGTCGCGGGGATTCGAACCGCTGACCTTCCGATCGGCAAGCCCTGGGCTCTGTGGTTTAACCCACAGCGCCACCTGCTTCCCTCCAAATTATTATTATTATTATTATTATTATTATTATTATTATTATTATGGATTGCAGCTGGTTCCTGAAGACGGCTAATGATAGCTCTGTGTGGCATATACAGCTGAGGGGAAAACAATTCCTTTGGTGCTCTGCTTTCTCCTTGCTGCGCTTCCACGCCCGTCTCTTCCTGCATGAACTCCCATCCTTTCCTCTTCGGCATCCTGTTTACAGATCGCTGGCATACAGGGAGGGCTGTCAGGCCAGAGCTCCCACCCCCTACCACGAAAAAAGCCTCGGGTGCTCGGCCTCTCTTGCTTTTCCTTAAAGAAGGCTGATCGCCGAAGAATGGATGCTTTTGAATTCTGGTGCTGGAGGAGACTCTGGAGAGTCCCATGGACTGCAAGAAGATCAAACCTCTCCATTCTGAAGGAAATCAGCCCTGAGTGCTCACTGGAAGGACAGATCCTGAAGCTGAGGCTCCAAGACTTTGGCCACCTCATGAGAAGAGAAGACTCCCTGGAAAAGACCCTGATGTTGGGAAAGATGGAGGGCACAAGGAGAAGGGGACGACAGAGGACGAGATGGTGGGACAGTGTTATCCAAGCTACCAGCATGAGTTTGACCAAACTGCCTAAACAACAACAATCATGCTTTATCAACTATGCAAAAAAAAGGTGCTTCTCATCAGAGGGAACCTCTCTTTGAATATATTATGATAATTTCACACCATAACCTTTATCAAATAATACCTTCTATTATGTTTACATCCCATAACTAAGTACAGCCGTTCGCTGCTGTGGACGCCAGTTTGCAAACTGGTTCCAGGACAAAAGGAGCGACGCAACCGCAGGTGCAAACTGGGCTGCGAAGGAAGCATTTGCGATCCTGCGATGGTGCAGGAAGGGAGAGGAGGCCCCGATTTGCGGCTCTTCTGGAGAGAACGGCGCTCCTCACTCACCTGCCTTCTCTCGACCTGTCCATCGAGTCAAACTGCTTCCTTAGCCACCTTTCGATGTGGAGCGGCGTCTGCGATCGCTGCGTGTCCGTCAGCAGCCAATTCAAGCCGGCCACCCAGAGGTTGACATCTTCTTCGCAAAAGGCTGGAAAAGAGAACGGCAGAGAACGAAGACGGAGGGGAGACCTTGCTGCCTGTACTTCGGCTCAAAGAAAAGGTCCAAACCGCAGCCTATTTCCCCATCGGGATCTGGCCAGGAACCGGGGCAGAGGCTCTGCTTGCTGCACAAAACATTTAACCCCTCCAGCTTTCAACGTAGTCGATGGACCCCTAGGGATGTGGGTGGTCTTCACGAAGTAGAAGACTCTGACAAGGAAGGTGGCAAGAGGGACTGGCACATGGGTAGGCAAACTAAGGCCCGGGGGCCGGATCTGGCCCAATCGCCTTCTAAATCTGGCCTGTGGACGGTCCGGGAATCAGAGTGTTTTACATGAGTAGAATGTGTCCTTTTATTTAAAATGCATCTCTGGGTTATTTGTGGGGCCTGCCTGGTGTTTTTACATGAGTAGAACGTGTGGTTTTATTTACGATATGATACGATAATCATTATTGTCATTCTCCCACACAGAACAACGAAATTGAAAAATCTACGGTACATAAGACATTCAAAACCCAACAAGCCTGCTGTCCCAGCTATCCCAGCCTGGTTAACCCCCTAAAACCTCTGATACCCCATAATTAAATACAATATACTCCCACAGAGACTACCTTACACTGCGTTTGAAACCAAAATCACATTTGGTAGAAACTGTTTCTCAGGCGGCTAGTCCTAGTCTTTATAACCCTGGATCTTCTTCCAGAAGGCAGAAGCTGAAAGAGATAATTTCCGGGGTGCTCACTATTCTGCGCTATCTCTGCAGCTTTCTTGTGACACCTGGAAGCGTAGATTTGATCCAAGGTGGGAAGAGTGCACCCAATTATTCTCTCTGCAGTCTTTACAACCCTGGACAGCTTCTCTGGGTTATTTGTGGGGCATAGGAATTCATTCATATATATTTTTTTCAAAATATAGTCCGGCCCCCCACAAGGTCTGAGGGACAGTGGACCGGCCCCCTGCTGAAAAAGTTTGCTGGCCCCAGAATTTAAGATAGAGAAAGGAACAAGACAGGGCTGCCCAATCTCCCCATTGCTTTTTATATCGGTCCTCGAGGTTTTGCTCAATATGATTAGAAAAGACCAATTGGTTAAAGGTATACAACTCGGAGCTAAACAGTACAAATTGAAAGCTTTTGCTGATGATTTAGTTTTGACAGTACAGGAGCCAGAAGCTAGCACAAAAAGGGTGCTACAATTAATACAAGAATTTGGTCAAGTAGCTGGTTTTAAATTAAACAAGATGAAAACCAAGGTATTAGAGAAAAATCTTACAGAGATAGAGAAGGAGAGGTTCCAGAAAGAGACAGGATTAACAATTGTTAACAAAGTGAAATATTTAGGGGTGAATATGACTGCTAAAAATGTGAATTTGTTTAAAGATAATTATGAAAAATGTTGGTCAGAGGTGAAGAAGGATCTAGAAATATGGTCGAAATTGAAGTTATCATTGCTTGGCCGAATTGCTGCGATAAAGATGAATGTACTGCCTAGAATGTTGTTTTTGTTTCAAACATTACAAATTGTGGACAAAATGGACTGTTTCAAGAGGTGGCAAAGAGACATTTCCAAATTTATCTGGCAGGGCAAAAACCTAGAATAAAATTTAAGATATTAACAGATGCGAAGGAAAGAGGGGATTTGCCCTGCCAGATCTTAAACTTTACTACGAATCAGCCGCTTTTGCTGGCTGAAAGATTGGCTACTTCTTGAAAATGTGGACATTTTGGATTTAGAAGGTTTTGATAACGTTTTTGGATGGCATGCATATCTATGGTATGATAAAGTTAAAGCGCATAAGGCCTTTAAGAACCATATTGTCAGGAAAGCATTGTTTAATGTTTGGGTGAGATACAAGGATTTGTTGGAAAGTAAAACACCAAGGTGGCTGTCACCAATGGAGGCAAAGGCATTGAAAAAAACTAATATGGAGACAAACTGGCCAAAATATTGTGAAATTTTAGAACAAGTTGGAGATAAACTAAAATTGCAGAGTTTCGATAAATTAAAAACTAAAGTTCGAGATTGGCTGCATTATTATCAAATAAGGGAGGTTTTTAACTTAGACAAAAAGATTGGTTTCCAGGAGGAAAAATCTAAACTGGAAACGGAATTGTTAGAACCTAAAACTAAAAATTTATCAAGAATGTATAATCTGCTGTTGAAATGGAATACACAGGATGAAATGGTTAAATCTGTTATGATTAAATGGGCGCAAGATGTTGGGCATAACATTATGTTTGCTGACTGGGAACGGTTATGGACCACAGGTATGAAATTTACGGCTTGCAATGCTTTAGAGAAAACATAATGAAAATGATTTACAGGTGGTACTTAACCCCAGTCAAGCTAGCAAAAATTTATCATTTGTCTGATAATAAATGTTGGAAATGTAAAGAAAACGAAGGTACTTTTTTCACCTTTGGTGGACGTGCCCAAATATCAAGGTATTCTGGGAAATGATATATAATGAATTAAAATAGGTATTGAAATATACTTTTCTAAAGAAACCAGAGGCCTTCCTCTTGGGCATGGTCGGCCAATTGGTGCGAAGGGAAGATAGAACTTTTTTCATGTATGCGACAGCAGCAGCAAGAATACTCATTGGAAAATACTGGAAGACACAAGAATTGCCTACTCGAGAAGAATGGCAGAGAAAAGTGATAGACTATATGGAACTGGCTGAGATGACCGGCAGAATTCGAGACCAAGAAGAAGGGTTCATAGAATCATAGAATCATAGAATCATAGAATCATAGAGTTGGAAGAGACCACAAGGGCCATCGAGTCCAACCCCCTGCCAAGCAGGAACACCATCAGAGCACTCCTGACATATGGTTGTCAAGCCTCTGCTTAAAGACCTCCAAAGAAGGAGACTCCACCACACTCCTTGGCAGCAAATTCCACTGTCGAACAGCTCTTACTGTCAGGAAGTTCTTCCTAATGTTTAGGTGGAATCTTCTTTCTTGTAGTTTGGATCCATTGCTCCGTGTCCGCTTCTCTGGAGCAGCAGAAAACAACCTTTCTCCCTCCTCTATGTGACATCCTTTTATATATTTGAACATGGCTATCATATCACCCCTTAACCTCCTCTTCTCCAGGCTAAACATGCCCAGCTCCCTTAGCCGTTCCTCATAAGGCATCGTTTCCAGGCATTTGACCATTTTGGTTGCCCTCCTCTGGACACGTTCCAGTTTTATGAAGTCAGCTTTCTTAAAGTCAAGAAATTGAGTCCTAGTATGCTTGGCTGCTCCTTTCCGCTGTATAGTAAACTTCAGAAGAGCATGATCACTTGCGCCTAATGATCCTTCCACTTCTACCCCACTAACCAGGTCATCAACATTGGTTAGGACCAGATCTAAAATGGCTGTTCCTCTTGTTGCTTCTCCCACTTTCTGGACAATGAAGTTGTCTGCAAGGCCAGTGAGGAATCTGTTTGACCTTATGCTCTTGGCTGAGTTTGACATCCAACAAATATCCGGGTAATTGAAGTCCCCCATTACTACTATCTCCCTTCCTTTTGCATGCTTGGCCATCTGTTCCAGGAAGGCATCATCTATGTCCTCCGTTTGGCTTGGGGATCTGTAGTAAACTCCCACAATGAGGTCACTGTTATTCTTCTCTCCCTTAATTTTGACCCAAATGCTCTCACTTTGGTTTTGAGGTTCTAAATCTTGGATCACTTCACAGGTATACACATCCCTGACATATAACGCCACTCCTCCTCCTTTCTTGTCTGGTCTGTTTCTCTGAAATAGATTGTATCCCCCCATTATTACATTCCAATCGTGGGACTTATCCCACCAGGTTTCAGTGATGCCTATTATGTCATATTTAGTTTGCTGTACCAAGAGCTCATCTTGTTTATTTCCCATGCTTTGCGCATTAGTGTACAGACATTGAAGTCCATTAATCATTCCCCCGTGACTCTTATTTAAGGATTTTTTCCTCCCACCACTAGGTCTGTGTGCTGTTTGCTCCATTTGGTCTATGACATTTGGATGATCATCTTCATCAATTGATAGACTCCTACCTTCAGGAGCACTGTCTCCCTCCCCCACATTAGTCAGTTTAAAGCCCTCCTGATGAGGTTTCTGAGATTTTTGGCAAAAACTTTTCTCCCAACCGTTGTGAGGTGCAGCCCATCGCTTGCCAGAAGTCCATCTTCAAGAAACTGCAGTCCGTGATCTAAGAATCCAAACCGTTCCTGTTTACACCATTTGCGAAGCCAGCTGTTCACTTCCACTATTTTCCCCTCTCTCCCTGGACCACGTCGTTCAACTGGGAGGACAGATGAGATAACAATTTGTGCATTTAATTGCTTCAATTTCCTGCCCAGAGCCTCGTAGTCTCTTTTGATCTTCTGGAGGCTATTGCTTGCAGTGTCATTGGTTCCCACATGAACCAAGAGGAAGGGGTATTTGTCAGTGGGTTTTATGATTCCTTGCAGTCGTTCAGTTACATCTTGGATCTTAGCCCCGGGAGACAGCACACTTCCCGAGACATCTTGTCAGGCCCATAGATCACTGCTTCTGTTCCCCTCAGTAGAGAATCCCCTATCACCACTACACGCCTCCTCTTAGGTTTGGTCGGGGTTCTTCCGTGAGCTGTCCGCTCCAAGGTCGCCTGCACATTCCCTGAGGACTGACTTTGCTGCTCGTCTTCATATACCTGATCGACTGTAATGAGGGAGAGATCCTCAAATGGAGTCTGCTCTTCGTCTTCCATGCTAGGGGAGAGGACCTCAAAGCGATTGTGTATTTCTAAACAATCAGAGCGAACCCTGGGCCTCCTACTTCTTTGAGTCACGTTTCTCCATATATCTGGCTCCTGTGTTGGTGAACTAGCGTCCTTCTCAGGGGAGTCCCCCGTCTCCTCCTTGGTGGAGACGGTGTGCTCTGTTGCTTCCAAGAACAGCTCCAAGGGTTGAACAGCTCCAACCCTTCCAAGGGTTGATGGAAGAAGATTGGAAAAAGTTTAAAACATATCTACAGAATTACTGTAACATAAAAGAATGTTAGAAAAGGTCGGAGAAGAAATATTAGACCGTATTGGCAGACAGAGTATAATGGAATTAAGTAAATATGAAGTGTAAAATAAAAGATAGAGGAGAATTAAATATTTTTGAATGTTAAAATGTTAAAATAAGCAAATGAAAAGAATGTTTGAAGGATTTGCTGGAGATACAATTTGAATTAGAATACAAAGCAGAGAAGTGAGAGGAAGTCACGGAAATAAGTAAATGGGAAAACGGCTCTAATGGTTTAATCTGAATTTTTCTTTTGTTATTTTTTATTGTGATTTTTTTGTCTTGTGTATTTTTTCTTGTATTGTGTGTTTATTGGTTTTTCTTGCTTTACTTTTTCTTTTTCTGTAATCTTAAAATTTGAATAAATATTATATAAAAAATAAAAAAAAAAGTTTGCTGACCCCTGGCAAATTCCCTGCAGCCCAGATTAACCCGTCTCTTTTTGCCTGGAGAAAAGTGTCTTGTTGGAACATTGCAGACAAGAGGAGATTGGGAGCCTGAAAACAGCTCTGGATGAGAGAGTGCCAAGACAAACATCTTCTCTTCCTTATGCTTTACTTGCATTTGTTTGTTTATTGGATTTATATTCTACCTTTTTCTACAAGGAGCTGGAGCACAAGATTCCCTCTTCCTCATTTAATCCCCACAAAAGCCCTGCAAGGTAAGATAGGCTGAGAGGCAGTGACTGGTCCCTAAAGTCACCCATGGCTGAGTGGGAATTCGAACCCTGGTCTCCCACGTCCTAGTCCGACACTCTCTAACCACTGCACCGCACTTCTGATATGTGCATTTATTTATTTAGTGCAAGTGTGCGTGTGTGAAATCTCTCTAGCTGAGATTCCTGCATGGCAGGGGGTTGGAAAAGATGAGCCTCACAGTCCCATCCGACTCGACAATTCTATGATTGCATGGTGCCGTTTCAGTGCTGGCTAAAAAAATCAGATATTTTCTCAAGCTTTTGCTGGCTGTTAACATCATTTGGGTGCATTTATTTATTTTAAATTATTTGGTTTTTCAAATTAAAATTTTACAGAGATATATCAATCATAAATCATAAAAACAAGATTGCGAGGAATCTCCTGGACCTCCATCTTCCCATTTGTGGGTATAATAATAATAATAATAATAATAATAATTTATTATTTATACCCCACCCATCTGGCTGGGCTTCCCCAGCCACTCTGGGCGGCTTCCAACAAAATATTAAAATACCGTAATACATCAAACATTAAAAGTTTCCCTAAACAGGGCTGCCTTCAGATTATTAATCATTCCCTCCTGCATTTTTTATGATAATCCAAACCCTTTACTTCTTCCATTGTGTCTAGAATTCACCCTTAAACTACAAGTGATATTCCAATCCTACTAATGATTTTAACTGTTTACAATAGTCTTCAAGATAAGTTATGTACAGTATTTTCCCCATTCCTTATTAAATTTTTTCGTCTTCCTGATTTCTTCCCGTCATTTTAGCCTTTTCGGCATCGTCCATCAACTTCATTTATTAATTTTATTATTGCCCCAGCCTATAGGCTGCTGTTTTGATATTTTGTGCGCATGATGTATTTGGGTAACTAGAAATCCCCCAGAATCTCTAGTCAGGCCTGGGGGCAAAGACTCCTGTCTGAAACCCTGGGGAGCAGCTGCCAGTCCGAGTAGACAATATTGACCTGGATGGACCCAATGGTCTGGGCTCAGGGTAAGGCAGCTTCCTCTGTTCCCACGTCCATTGCTATGCAACGCCTTGCACCGTTTCGGTGACACCCGATACAGAAGTTCCCCTTTAGGGAAACTGGAGCGTGGATTTGCACAAAGGGAAATAGGGATGTTTTCTGGTGGGAAAATTACAGGGAGAGTTGAATGCTGCCGTAAAAGCAGAGCGGAAGGCAGGTGCGCCACACCCCATAGGCGTCGCATTAGTCATACGATGCTTATTTGTCCTGGCCGGAGGCCAGAGGCAGACAAAACAGGCTGAGAACATCACCCTTTAGATTCCAGAAACAGCATCAAGCCAAGCAGAGAACAACTGGAGGGCCGGGTTTGGGGGTGCTATATGGTAATTTATGGACCTAATAGGTATCTAAAGCCTTGCACATGTTGCCATGCAACCAATCCCTGCATAATGTAGGCCCCCTATATATAGAAATGAGCAAACCAGTTATATTTCAGTGATATTTTAGGGAGCAGGCTAGCAGGCGGGGCCCATGATTTACATCCTAGGAGCCTACACAACGCAAAACACTGTTGCTGTATGTACGTTTTATTTTATATATTTTTTATCTTATATTCTGGAAATGTACATTCAGGTTTTTTCCCCTTTAAATTTTTTTTGGACCCCCAAGAGAGCGGGGCCCTAAGCCAGGGGTCAGCAAACTTTTTCAGCAGGGGGCCGGTTCACTGTCCCTCAGACCTTGTGGGGGGCAGGACTATATTTTTGGGGGGGAGGGGAGAACAAATTCCTATGCCCCACAAATAACCCAGAGGTGCATTTTAAATAAAAGGACACAATCTACTAATGTAAAAACACGCTGATTCCTGGACCGTCCACGGGCCGGATCCTGCTCCTGCGCCTTAGTTTGCATACCCATGCCCTAAGCTATAGCTTGCTTAGCTTATACAGTCGTATCTCGGGTTACAACCACTTCAAGGTTGTGTCTTTTTGGGTTACGGACCGCCAAAACCCGGAAGTACCGGAATGGGTTACTTCCGGGTTTCGGTGGCCGCACATGTGCAGAAGCGCTAAATTGTGCTTTGCGCATGCACAGAAGCACCGAATTGCAACCCGCACATGCGCAGACGCAGGTTGCGAACGCTGCAGGTTGCGAACGTGCATCCCGCACGGATCACGTTCGCAACCCGAGCGTCCACTGTACGTAAATCCAGCACTGGGTCAGTCCTGTTGCTGCTGTTCACTGGGATGTGCAGGCAGCAGCGAGGTAAGTACGGTGCCACAAAAACCACCAGGCGCATAGGATCAGCTCTGGCAAAGAGCAACAGGCTGGAGATCAGGCAAGGAGAACCCCTCCTCTCACCACAACTCCCGCTGCCATGCGTCCGTCGCTCCTGCGAGAAACTCAGGCGATTATCTCAGAGCGCAACCTAATTAGGAGAAAGTAATCTTCCATCTATGCTAATCCGAGCAAGGTGTAACCACAGACAGTCTCGGTTTGCTTAATAGAAAGTAGACGCTGCAAATGGAAACAGCTCGGTTTCCAAATCTCATTCTTTTGCTCGTCTATTAATGGCGACCCAGGGAGGGAGGGAACAGGTTGCAAGCGAATTTCCAGGTAAAAAGAGGCGGTCTCTGTTTGCGTATGCAGGCCAATGGAACAGGCAAGGGGTCAGAAAAGCACCTTCCTCCTCTCCTCCTCTCCCAGGCCTCGACTTTCTAGTCAATAAAATGGACTTGGTGTCTTTATAGAATCGTAGGCTTGGAAGGGACTGAAAAGGTGGCAAGAATCCCCTCCCTCCCTGGCAAGGGGTGTAAAGATTTGCCTCCCCTCTCCACAAACCTCCTCCCCATTGCGTCCCACTGACCAGCCAAGCTCAAGGTCTTCAGCCTGAAGTCAATTCCGTATAAGACAACGAAGCACAAAGCCGAATCCAGTTTCCGGGCATCTTCTGGGTATCGTTCAAAATCCCGGGAATTCTTCCCTGGACGGATCTCCTTAATTTCCCTAATGTCCACTGCAAGTTAAAGAGAGAGGGAGAGAAAGAGATGAACACGTCTCAATGTTTTTCCCAAAGACCTGGTAGGTTTAGGCTTGCTCAAAAACACCCACATCACCTGGCTGTTTCCAGATTCTCCCTTCTTTTCTTTTGAAATATTTTTTTGAAAATTAAATTCGGTATATAAAATAAGGTAAATAACAGTAACCCAGAGAGAAATCATTTCATAAGGTATTGCGATCACTATATGCATGATAGCAATCAGGTTCAGCAATGTGTGTAATAGATTTGATCCCCTCTTCTTCTGACACTGGGATTGCAACGACCACAGCCTGTGATTCATGCATTTCATCCTTGTTGACATCTGCATTAGATTAGAACTGATTTTATATGTGTGTGTTGTTGCCATTGTTCAAAATTATTATCATTTATATATAATTTTCAAACTTGCCTTTATATATGCAAATGCTTTAACTGTTTTTATATATGCAATTTTTTTCTCAGTAGGTTTTCATTGCATTGAGACACCTCATGGGAAGTGATTTGAAATTGTTTTAAATAGTTTTTAATGCTGTATTTTATATTGCTGTCACTTGCCCTGGGCTGTTCTGGTGAAGGTCAGGTTAATAAACAACAACAACAACAACAATCATCATAATAATATTCTGCACTAATTAACTTGAAGTTCCCACCTCCATCTCATTCCTTTCATATTAAGAGGCAATTTATAAGATTCCCAGGGTGGTATTTATGTGGAATGAATTAATCTAGATTATACGGACTCAATTAATCAACTTAACACTAACCCTCATGTTGTTTACAGCCAAGAGAGAACGTTGCATTTCTCACTGGAAGAGTTTCTTGGCCGAGGCTTCGAACCTTTCAATGCATCACAGGCAGAATTCAACAGGTGCAGCTCTCCCCCAGCGTAGAGATGAAGCAACGAAGGCGAGAAGGGAGGGAGGGATGTCCCTGTTGAATATCTGCACAGAGTCCGCCCCCGGGCTGCTTCGCATGCGTGCCAAGTACTTAGCAGTCGCCTCTCAGCCAAATGCGCGGACCGTCTCCCTCGAAACACGTAACCCGCCACGCAGGCCTTCAGTCTGGGAGTGAAACAGCCTTTGTTCCCGGGGCACCTCTCCTTTTCTCAAACCGCTTCCACATGGCCAGCCTCATGCAGGGACCGGTCGCCCTGGAAACGTCGGGATGCAGTCAAGAAACTCCAGGCCATCACCCATTTGCATTTCCCCGGGCCTGGGAATTTCTTTTACTCAAGAGAAATCTGGAGACGGAGGGGAAGTCAGGACAGTGGGCTGGGAATGAGAAGGGATGCCTAGACCGGGGAGCTCAGTAGGGTGTCCTCCTAATGACAGGGCCGGCTCTGTCGTTGGGCAGAGGGAGACAGCTGCCTTGGGTGTCAAAGGCTTACTTCTTCAAAGCATCCATTATTATTGCGATATTTTTACTCCCAGGGAGAGGATTTTGGGCCTTGAGTGACAAAATGGCTTGTTATGCCTGGGATACTGTCAGGTGCTGTTGGTAGTTGCTCGTGAGTAACCAGGCAGGACTCCAACCTGTCTTTTACAGGTTTTATTGGTGCAAACACATAGCTGTCAACCTTCCCTTTTTTTTGCAGGAAATTCCCTTATTCCAGCGCCGTTTCCCGCTGCTTCCCGCTGCTATCCCGGATTGTTAGATATTCCGTACAGTAGACTGTCCCCGGGATAGCTGAGGCTGCTGATCCCTTATTTTCAAATCTGAAAGTTGATAGCTATGTGCAAACTATTTACAGTGCAGAACCACAAAGTTCATGTCCGTCTCAGTCACTTGCAGAATCCGGGAGTGGCCCCTTCCGGTTTCTCCCCCAACATAAGAACTTCGGCACCCCAAGTCTCCTTCTCCCCTCCTTGCGTTTCACCCCTCTGTTCAAGCTGGGACGGAAGGGGCGTGTGTCCCTCCTGCCCAGCCCCGCGAGGTGAGGCGCTGGGACTCTCAGCAGCATCCTCAAGCCCTTTCCTCGCCTGGCTGGCCCCTTACCTCTCTTCTCCACTGGAGCTGTGGCTTTTCTCACCGCTGGAAGAGGAGCTGCTCCTCAGGAGTTTCGGAGGCTCTCTGTAGGAAACGAGGTTATAGCAAACTGCTGCCACTTGTCTTTGCTCACCCCACCCCACTGCCCTGCTCACAGATGTGAAGCATATTCCTACGTTATGAATGGTCCGCATCACCCTTAATCAAAAAGGACACAACAGGCCAATAGATATGCAGTTTCAGTTCTCAAAGCTCTTAACCCAGCTCAAGGTTGTCATCTGAACTATGCAACAGAACAACACCACCACAAACTGGCTTATAAGTATAAAACCAAATTCACTAGAATAATAGCTAGAATAGAGATAGACTTGTAACCATTCAAGCAACAAACATACTAAGGTGCCATGTGCAAAACAAAGCCTGGAGATACTGTAAACATGGAGTGGATAAATGTACAACTGTATCTTAACAAGTTACATGTGCAATAAACGTTGTACAGACTGGATAAACGAACCGTTCAACAAGTAGCATAAGTCCAGTCAGAGAGCGGCAACCCCGTACCACCACAATGGCAAGGATTCGCCACACTGGAGAATATGAAAAAGTTTTTCAAAGCTGTTTTTCAAAGATTGAACTGGATGAGATGTTCTTCAATGGGTCTTGAGTTGGAAACACAAAGCAATTGGGCAAAAGGAGACCTGTTCTCCGGATATATTACAGGTTTCGCTACACGCTTCATCAGTCCGAAAAGCTGCATGATACAAAATAGCACTCCAATTACAATGTGTGGTAAACCATAAATATCAGAAAGTATCAAAATGGGCACTAGACATTCTATTTGGGCCACCGTAACCTTGGTTTAGGGACGCGGGTGGCGCTGTGGGTTAAACCACAGAGTCTAGGACTTGCCAATCAGAAGGTCGGCGGTTCGAATCCCCGCAACGGGGTGAGCTCCCATTCCTCGGTCCCTGCTCCTGCCAACCTAGCAGTTCGAAAGCACACCAGTGCAAGTAGATAAATAGGTACCGCTCCGGCGGGAAGGTAAATGGCGTTTCCGTGCACTGCTCTGGTTCACCAGAAGCGGCTTAGTCATGCTGGCCACATGACCCAGAAGCTGTACGCCGGCTCCCTTGGCCAATAAAGCGAGATGAGCACCACAACCCCAGAGTCGGTCACGACTGGACCTAATGGTCAGGGGTCCCTTTACCTTGGTTTAAGGAGCCAATTGGTGCCAAGCTTATATATCTGACACTGATACAGTGCACCGTGACTTGGGAACAGCCCATCTTTTGACGTTCTGCCTTGGGTGGCAAAGTTGGCTTGATCTGGCCCTGCCTTGCGGAAGCGATGCCCGATGGCCCACAATCCCTCTGGCTGTCCCAGGCCCCTTGATACCCATCCATTAGCACCGGCCATTTTTAATAACAACTTTTAAAGAACCTGAAAAAAACAACCGTGCAGACTAAAACCTATAGCATGTTAACACCTGTGGCTCAGAGATCTGCACTGGCTGCCCATTTGCTACGAGGCCAACTTCAAGGTGTTACTATTAGCAGATAAAACAACTTAGCAACTTGGGACCTGCGAGATCGCCTTGCCCTAAATATGCCCGCCAGACGGCTTTGATCGGGAGAAGTGGTGCTGTTATGGGTGCCACACAATGCCCGTTCCACATCTGTAAGAACTCAATATTTCACTTTGGAACTCCCTGCCTATTGACACCAGACAGGTGACGTCACTGACCACTCCTTCTTTTAGGGTCTCTGTGTCTGGACACAAGGACTTCAGTTTACAGAAAGCTGCTGCGCTTTTAATACGTTATTAGTCTACTGCTGCTTTAACTTTTCGAAAGCCTTACATTACGGTTGTTATTTTTGCTTACTGATAATTTTATCGTTTTATCCTCTTTGTAAACCGTGTTGAGGAGGCTGTTGTTGTTGCTTCACAACAGGGGTGGGCAAGGTTCACCTTGCCTGGGCCAGTTCACTCCAGCGGAGATCCGTCTGTGGGCCGGATGGTGCACCAGCCCGTGATTTCTGGCATCTGCGTCTGTGCAAACGTGATTTCCGGCGCCGCAGAAGTGAGTCCCTGGTTTAGCACAATGCACAGGAACTCAGTTTGGGGGCGACTCGTGGGCCGGTTAAATGACCACCGTGGGCCGCTTGTGGCACATGGGCCTTCGGTTGCTGACCCCTGCTTTACAACACACATTTCATGGAACAAATAAACAAATTTGAACGCTGCCCTAGACTCTCCAGTCTAAAAGCCTGTCAAACTGTTCCGCATGCCGCAAACTCCATCCCAACTCGGCCCATCACAGTTTCCACCTACTGTAGACACCATTGTTCTGAGTATTTCTCAGAAAGTCAAGTCCTGAAACCAATGCCAGCAAACTACACCAAGGCTGGAGAGGATTTATTTTTGCAATTATGAAAATAGACCTTGGCTATTTTCATCGTAACTCTCCGGCCACCGCAAAGTAGCATTTCCTTCCTGCTTACAGCTTACCCCATCCTTGGCTTTCTCCTTCCTCGATGTTCCTCCTGAGAAAACCTCTCCTGCTAACGTGACGTCTCCTGCCAATCCCAGTTGTGAGGTGGTTCAGTTTTCCCCTCAGCGCCTGGCAGTTTTCAACAGACCTGCTCATCTGGAATGTCCCACCCCAAATTCATCACTGCTGCTGTCCTTTTTATTTCCCAGACCCCCCCCCCAATTTTTTTTTTACAAAAACCTGTATTCCTGTACATACACCACTATTCATGACAGTATACATCTGCGAAACCCTTTCTTATTAAGCATAAACCTTTGTGATCAGTGTTTGGGTTTTCTTGAGAAGTTGTAAACAAAATAAATCTCTGCCATTCGATTAATATTTTTAATGCAAAACCTATTAACTGTTCATGGATGCAACTCAGAGACATCACTGTTCAGACATCTCCAATAATCTGAATGCAACTTCTTGCCTCTTCACATCTTTAAATGACTTGCCTGTCGGCAAAAAGGACAGAAAATACCCCTGGCAATCTTTTGTAATTTTGGCACAAATTTGGCACACATAACTAGCAAGGATCCCCAGAGATGGCTTACAGAGAGAGAGATCTTACATCTCACGGTCGTACTAACAAGACGGAGCCTCTGATTTCTGGTCATTCTCTCAACATTTTCCTACTTTATGCACCAGTAATGATCAGCAAAGCATGCAAAAGTTGTTGCAGATCACCTTTTGAAATGGGCCTCTGTCTCTATTTCCATCTGTTTCCCCTTTTCTGCCTTATCTGTTCCCTGTCGGCGTCCCTTTTCCTATCTCCTCTGCGCATCCATGCCTGCTTCCGCCTGTTTCTCCCCACAAATAACCCCACAGAGGATATATTTTATGGGGCCAAATGACTCTGGCAAAAGTGTGTCGCCCTTGCCAAAAACCCCTATCTCCTGTTCTCTGGGAACAACGCAATCGGTACGGGCACTCTCTCGCTCACAAACAGAATATAAGAATGTAAGGAAAAAAGGAAGGAAAAGTTGGGATTTGTGCACAGGCAAAAACCTTCCCAAAAAACAAAAACAAAACAAACACCTTCCCAAAAACCAACAGGACCACATCAAGATGGACGGCAGTTTAAGAAGTTGGGGGGTAAAAAATGGTAAAGGGACCCCTGACTGTTAGGTCCAGTCGCGGACGACTCTGGGGTTGTGGCACTCATCTCGCTTTACTGGCCGAGAGAGCCGGCGTACAGCTTCTGGGTCATGTGGCCAGCATGACTAAGCCGTTTCTGGCGAACCAGAGCAGTGCATGGAAACGCCCGTTTACCTTCCCGCCGGAGCGGTACCTATTTATCTACTTGCACTTTGATGTGCTTTCCAACTGCTAGGTTGGCAGGAGCAGGGACCGAGGAATGGGAGCTCACCCCATCGCGGGGATTCGAACCGCTGACCTTCCGATCAGCAAGCCCTAGGCTCTGTGGTTTAGACCAGAGCGCAACCCGCATCCCCCTAAAAATAAGCCATGGGGTCAACAACTCCTGTCTTATTCCCTCCATCACATTTGGGAACATCACTGGAAGGCCACTTACGCCCCCAGGAACAAGGCTATTTCGTTTCCTCCCGTGTTATAAATAGGACCGAGTGTACTTTTGGGGATTTCCGGAGTCTGACACAAGTTTCCAGAAACCATCACACCCAGAGACCTGGGTCACGTTATGCAGCGATTGTTTCCAGCACTGCACCACAAGGGAGACTTTTGGCACACGGCTGTTTCAAACTCTGTATCCGTGTGGATCTTTGTACGTTTGCTCCCACAGCAGCTGGCTTAGGGGGTCTGCAGCAAATAATTCTCAACCATTTCAAAAATAAACCAATTCCATGGGGTTTATACAGTATACACATTTTGGGCAGGGGTAGCAGCCATGACACTTAAACCAACCTCAAACCTGTTTAAAAGAGAGGTGCCCTCATCCGCAAAGGAGACAGAGGGCAGCCTTTGGCCAAATTGACAAAGCCCAAAACTCTCGCCTTAACCTCCAGCCTGTTTGGTTTTCCTTCTCCTGCCTGACTGTCCTCCGCCTCAAGAGTAGTTTGATCTCATCGGTTCAAATTACAGCTGTCTGCCGACAAGGGGCCATTTAAACACAAAGCCTGCCCACCTTTCCAGCACGACTCTCATTACGCTCTTTGAAGCAGCCGCAGCCAGGGGGGTTATTATGGGGTGGTTTCCGGCTCTGCGGTCTTGGACTAGGAGACGGCTTGGAGGGGTGAGCTTTCTGCAGAGCCAGAGGTCTGTGGGCACCACCTTCTGGGGGCGACTTTGGACTCTCCCAGGTGCCCAGAAATTGACCACCCTCCCCCCCCAGCCCCACTAAAAAGGCACACACAAAAAAGGAGATTTCGACTAAACATCGGGAAGAACTTTCTGACGGAAAGAGTCCCTCGACAGCGGAACAGACTCCCTTGAGAGATGGTAGACCAGGCTTCCTCAACCTCTGGCCCTCCAGATGTTTTTGGCCTACAACTCCCATGATCCCTAGCTAGCAGGACCAGTGGTCAGGGATGACGGGAGTTGTAGTCCCAAAACATCTGGAGGGCCAAGGTTGAGGAAGCCTGTGGTAGACTCTCCTTCCTCGGAGGTTTTTAAGCAGCTCAGCAGAAGAGCATCTCTTTTGCATGCTCCCTGACTGAAACCCTGGAGAGGTGCCAGTCCGTGTAGACAATATTGATCTAGGTGGAACAATAGTCTGGCTCAAAATGAGGCAGTTTCCTATTTTCCACCATGTGTGCAAATGTATAGTCATTTCCTGTTATCAATAACAACTCCACCAAATCATAAATGTGACACTTTTCTTGTACCTATGCTTAAGCTTTACACAGGATTGTACCTCTCGGGTTTTGTGGCTATAGAAATGCAATGCCAACCAAAGATGGTATTTCATGCATCCATTCACAAAAGACCCATAACAATAACTTGGTTAATCTCTGAAGTATCACAAGACTCCTTGTTGTCTATGAGTACAGAAAGGGACGCCATGCGCTGTATCCAACAGTCATCACGCTCAGAGTAAACTCACTGAAACTGATGGGTATGACTAGCTTAGGCTCATTAAGTTCAATGGGTCTACTCTGAACGTGGCTATAGCCCTGAAAAACCAGTGAGGAAAATAACTGAAATTTAATTAGATTGTCTCTTGCACTCCTTCCCTGATCTTGCTAACTGGGACGTCGTCAAAGATTGCATAAATTCAGACGCAGATGTATGCCAAGCCTGTTTCCAAGTTTATGTTTTATGTCGCTGATGGGATTGTGTGTGCTCTTAAAAAAAAATTATAAGCTTCACTGAGCAATGCAAAAGCACTGGGTGGGCGGAGGATAAGTTTTCTAATTATGTAAATTGATGATCTCATTGCAGACATGTTTATTTCATCATGTATCAATGCATACAAGTCAGACAGTCTTCTCTGTTAAGCTAAACGCAGGCTTCTTGTAATTCCATTCTCTGGAATCTCGCCCTGTGAAAGAATTCTGACTTGTGCGACTTTAAAAACAACACACACACACACACACACACACAACCCTGCAGGATCTATTATATAATACAGAAAGTCTAATGTTGCCCTGAAAATATTGATTCCAAAACCTTGCAGCTAAGGACTAGGGTCCCTATACATTTGAAGCAGTATCATACCACTTTAAAACAGTCATGGCTTCCCCCAAGGAATTCTGGGAACTGTAGTTTGTTAAGGGTGCTGAGGCCCCTATTCCCCTCACAGAGCTATAATTCCCAGGGTTACCTGGGAAGAGGATTGACCGTTAAACCACTCTGGGAATTGTAGTTCTGTGACAGGGAATAGGGGTCTCCTAATAGCTCTCCACACCCGTAACAAACTACAGCTCCCAGAATTCTTTGGGGGGAGCTATGACTATTTAAAGCGGAATGATACCACATTAAATGTATAGCGCATATGTTCACCACGGTCGTTTTCAGCCAGCTGATGACCTTAAAAGTATTAATTTCACTAAGGTAGCCATCGCATTCCATCAAGGGCCGAGACTGCCTTCTTCCAATGGATGAAAATCATAATTTTGGCTGCAGTTAGAAGATCCATCACTAACTCCAAAATAACTTTCTTCAAAGCACCCTTCAAATATACTGGGGGGGGGACGGGACATGCAAGCGATTCTGATGTCTTTTCAAAATACTTTTCAACACTAATCCCCCAAATAATTTAACTTTATTCTAAATGTAAGAATTCAGGTTTGTATTCAGAATGAACTGCAATGCTTACGAATATTTTAACCAACATATTCTGCAAAGTGCATAACCATCTCTCCTCGCCAAACTGTTCAAAGCGAAATTTCAAATTGCGGAATGTGGAATTTTACACTTTGACATATTTTTTGTTGTTTAGTCGTTTAGTCATGTCCGACTCTTCGTGACCCCCTGGACCAGAGCACGCCAGGCACTCCTGTCTTCCACTGCCTCCCACAGTTTGGTCAAACTCATGCTGGTAGCTTCGAGAACACTGTCCCACCATCTAGTCCTCTGTCGTCCCCTTCACCTTGTGCCCTCCATCTTTCCCAACATCAGGGTCTTTTCCAGGGAGTCTTCTCTTCTCATGAGGTGGCCAAAGTCTTGGAGCCTCAGCTTCAGGATCTGTCCTTCCAGTGAGCACTCAGGGCTGATTTCCTTCAGAATGGAGAGGTTGGATCTTCTTGCAGTCCATGGGACTCTCCAGAGTCTCCTCCAGCACCAGAATTCAAAAGCATCAATTCTTCGGCGATCAGCCTTCTTTATGGTCCAGCTCTCACTTCCATACATCACTACTGGGAAAACCATAGCTTTAACTATACAGACCTTTGTTGGCAAGGTGATGTCTCTACTTTTTAAGATGCTGTCTTTGACATATTAGCAGTATAAAAAAGAGGGGGGGGGGAGTTCTATTCCTGGCAAAGGTGAAACCTTGCCTTCATTTGCAGCAGAAAGCTATATTCCTCAACACAGTAGAAACGCTCTTTATCTCTCAGTGAGCTTTCATGGGTGGGTAAAACAAGCATCAAAAGTTACAACCCCGTGGAAAGTTCTCCTGCGTGCAAATCTATCCTGCACAGCTGAGAACTCGTAGGTTGATGGATAGTCATTCCTGCATTGCAGGGGGGTTGAATTGGGTGACCCTTAGGTCAGAATCTCCTTTAACGCAAATGTCATCTCACTACAAATTAAGTTCTCCCAACCAAAGTCACTGAGAGGCCGCCACGCAGAGGCATTGGGGTGGGGACGACAACCAGAACGATGTCAGCAGACTTGAAGTTATTGTCCAGCACAAACAGGCAGGAAACTGGCCAGTTCCCGGGATTTCCAGCAACAAATTCCTTCTGCAGCTGGGCTCCGACAGATCGCAGCAGGTAGAGGGCAGGAAAGAGAATTAAGAGGCTGGCGGACCAGCTGGGAAGGGAGGGTGGGGAGAAACCACATACAGGGGTCACAGCTACTTGCCACCATCCGTGTGGGTCCACACAGGGCCTTGCAGAGCCAGGCAGAGGCCTGGGCCAGGTAGATAATGTACCCCATCTTTTTTGACCCTGGGGATAAAGGTAAAGGTAAAGGGACCCCTGACCATTAGGTCCAGTCGTGGCCGACTCTGGGGTTGCGACGCTCATCTCAGTGGATTTGTAACTGGCTGACTGACCGAACCCAAAGGGTGCTCATCAATGGTTCCTCTTCATCCTGGAGAAGAGTGACTAGTGGGGTGCCACAGGGTTCTGTCTTGGGCCCGGTCTTATTCAACATCTTTATCAACGACTTGGATGATGGACTCAAGGGCAATCCTGACCAAATTTGCAGATGACGCCAAACTGGGAGGGGTGGCTAACACCCCAGAGGACAGGATCACACTTCAAAACGACCTTGACAGATTAGAGAACTGGGCCAAAACAAACAAGATGAATTTTAACAGGGAGAAATGTAAAGTATTGCACTTGGGCAAAAAAAATGAGAGGAACAAATACAAGATGGGGAACACCTGGCTTGAGAGCAGTACATGTGAAAAGGATCTAGGAGTCTTGGTTGACCACAAACTTGACATGAGCCAACAGTGTGACGCGGCAGCTAAAAAAGCCAATGCAATTCTGGGCTGCATCAATAGGAGTATAGCATCTAGATCAAGGGAAGTAATAGTGCCACTGTATTCTGCTCTGGTCAGACCTCACCTGGAGTACTGTGTCCAGTTCTGGGCACCACAGTTCAAGAAGGACACTGACAAACTGGAACGTGTCCAGAGGAGGGCAACCAAAATGGTCAAAGGCCTGGAAACGATGCCTTATGAGGAACGGCTAAGGGAGTTGGGCATGTTTAGCCTGGAGAAGAGGAGGTTAAGGGGTGATATGATAGCCATGTTCAAATATATAAAAGGATGTCACATAGAGGAGGGAGAAAGGTTGTTTTCTGCTGCTCCAGAGAAGCGGACATGGAGCAATGGATCCAAACTACAAGAAAGAAGATTCCACCTAAACATTAGGAAGAACTTCCTGACAGTAAGAGCTGTTTGACAGTGGAATTTGCTGCCAAGGAGTGTGGTGGAGTCTCCTTCTTTGGAGGTCTTTAAGCAGAGGCTTGACAACCATATGTCAGGAGTGCTCTGATGGTGTTTCCTGCTTGGCAGGGGGTTGGACTCGATGGCCCTTGTGGTCTCTTCCAACTCTATGATTCTATGATTCTATGATCTCGCTTTACTGGCCAAGGGAGCCGGTTTACAGCTTCTGGGTCATGTGGCCGGCATGACTAAGCCACTTATGGCAAACCAGAGCAGCGCACGGAAACGCCCTTTACCTTCCTGCCAGAGAGGTACCTATTTATCTACTTGCACTATGATGTGCTTTCAAACTGCTAGGTTGGCAGGAGCAGGAACCGAGCAACGGGAGCTCACCCCATCGCGGGGATTCGAACCGCCGACCTTCTGATCGGCAAGTCCTAGGCTCTGTGGTTTAACCCACAGCACCGCCTGGGTCCCTGGGGATAAGTGAAGTCTTATAAATAAGTAAGTATATAACGTAATGTTTTTAATAATGTACAGCGGGGTGTCAAACTCAACTTCATCGGGGGCCGCATCAGCAGTTTGGTCACCCTCAAAGGGCTGGTTGTATCTGTAGGACTTTTTCAAAGTTATTTTTCCATAGGCACTGGTGTGTGTTGTCTTGAACCTATACACTATTTAATATACCTAATCCAGTACGATTTTAAATAAGAATAGAAGAAGAAATAATAATGATTTTTTAAAAAGATGACGAGATGGGCTTCCAGGCAGACTGGAGCTCCAACGGGGAGGAGACAGGAGCCTGTCCCAACAGAGCAGAGCAGAAGCAAATGTTGCCTCCCCCCGCCCTGCCGCCGCACTCAGGAGTCGGAGGATACGGAGCTGCAGTTTGGACAGCAGCAGTTTCTTCCTTGCAAGGGAGCCCCAGCGGCACTGCGGGCGCGGGTGGCCAGGATGTCCTGCTGGGGCCCCGAGCTGCTGCAGTTGCTCCTGGGAAGGGGGCTATCCGCCAAGTCCTCTGGCCCGGAGAAAGCCGATGTGTTGGCGTGGGGAGGGAGGCGGTGTTTCGTAGCCAGGCTCCCGCAGCCAAGTTGCTGGCAGGCTCCCACTTTGCTCCAGCTGCCCAGATGCTGGCGCGGTCCTCTTCGGGGTGGGAGGCGCCCCTGCTTTGTGGTGTGGCACACCGCCCGCCCGCCCGCCTCCCTCCACCCCACTCTGCGCAGCTGAACCGGCAGCAGCTTCGCCTCTCCCAGCCCAGCCGGGGCGCACCGCCCTGCAGCAGGACCTGCGCCGGGTCCCCGCTCTCCACTCGCCTCCGCCGTTCCCTTCCCCGCTTGCTGGCCCCGCTACTTACCCACCAGAGCGACCCCCAGCCAGCCCCTAGCCCCGCCGCCCGCGCCCATCTCCTTGCCAGCTGCAACGCCGCAGTGGCCTCTTCTTGCGGCCCGTGTGAGTGAGCGAGCGGCGTCCCAAGAGTGGCTCTCGCTCCCTGCCCTCGCTGCCAGCCTCCACGGCTCTCTCGGGCTCCAAAAGTTGCCACGCGCGACCCGCCCCCTCGAGCAGCCGCGCCTGGAAGGCTCTGAGGGGCGGAGGCAGCCGGCTCCGAGCTCGGCTTGGCGGGACCGCCTCCTCCGCAGCGAGTCCCGGACTGGACCGAGCGAGCAGAAAGCCTCTTTGCCCGGCCCGCGAGGCAGGCCAAAGTTGCGGGACCGGCCGGTAGGCAGCGCCCTGTCTGCAAGCAGGCAGGGAAGGCTGTTCGCGTGGGTCACTTTTTAGAAAGGCAGAAAGCCTCCGCCGGAGTGTGGACCCTAAAATCTGGGTCGGGACCAGTAAAAAGGACGAGAAGCTCACTTCCTCGCCCTTGATGCCACGGGCCACATGACGAGGTCTGGCGGGCCGGATTCGGCCCGCGGTCCTTGTGTTTGACACCCGTGATGTACAGTATTATAATTTTAAATACATTTTACAATAAATACGTTATTCATTTTAAAATGTATTCTACAATTTTTAATAGTTCAATAATGTATTTAAAAATCTATTTTTAAGTAGACAGCTTTGACTATTATTTATAATTAAATTATCATTATAATTAAAACTTCTCCATCTTCTTATTCTACTCTTAAAAAAGATGTATGCTTGCGAGAAAGCCGCTATTGCTCATAAGCCACTATTTCTTTAAAAAACATGGTTTCCACCAAATTTGATCCTCATTGAGCTATATGTACTCCTCGGGTGCAAGTAATATTCCTGGTCTAGTCAACGAAATTGTAAACAAATGGCCACATCTTCATAAATTTTTCATCATTTAAAAAAAAAAATTACCGTCCACAGCAACATCCACAGCAACATTTCTGGTGCTGTGGCTGTGCAGACCCTGCGCACTGACAGCGACACAGAAAGACCCCGGCACACTTCCTGGCGTCTCTGGTACAGCCAGGAAAGACTCCTGTCTGAAACTCTCAGAGCCGCTGCTTGTCGGAGCGGACGCTATCGTCTGCAAGGCGGATGAGGAGCCTGACTCAGCGCAAGGCAGCCTTTCCTGCCCTTGGATCGGGTGCGCTTTCATCTCGTCCCTTTTCTTTTTCCTTTTACAGTGGCACCTTGGTTCTCAAACTTAATCCGTTCCAGATGTCCATTCCAAAACCAAAGTGTTCCGAAACCAAGGCACGTTTTCCCATAGAAGGTAATGCAAAACAGATTAATCTGTACCAGACTTTTGAAAACAACCCCTAAAACAGCAATTGAACATGAATTTTACTATCTAACAAAACCGTTGATCCATAAAATGAAAACAATAAGCGATGAACCGCAGTCACACAATCAATCCGTCAGTAGCTGAACTGGGTTCCACACAGTCACAAAAATTTAAAAAAGAGCCGGAAAAACACAAAACGCAAAATAAATAGCAAAAACAGACAGACCTCAGCATAACACTCAAAATGGAAGTGTGGCACTCAAATCAAAAGCATTACACTTAAAGCGGAGCACGTTTGGCTTCTGAAAAAAGTTCGCAAACCGGAACACATACTTTCAGGTTTCTGGTGTTTGGGTTCCAAGTTGTTTGAGTACCAAGGCGTTTGAGAACTAAGGTACCACTGTATAATTCTTTAACGACTGGGTTTTAGTAATACAAAACAGCCCCCTCTTCCTCCTCCCACAGAGGAGTCATGGAATCATAGGGTCCCCCAAAGGTCATCCAGTCCACCCCCACCCCCCCGCAATGCTAAAGCACAGCTGACAGGCGGCCATCCAAGCTCTGCTGAGAAACCTCCAAGGAAGGAGAGGCCACCAATGTCAGGGAGTCCGTTCCACCACCAAACAGCGCTTAAGAAAACTAGAGACTGCCTTCCCAAGAAACCCACGAATCTGTCAGTTCAATCCATTAGGAAGTACAGTGGTGCCTCGCAAGACGAAATTAATTCGTTCCGCGAGTTTTGTCGTTTTGCGATTTTTTTCGTCTTGCGAAGCACGGTGTCGGGAAAGTTTTGGAAAAGCTTCAAAAATCACCAAAGTCTTTAAAAACCTCAAAAAAGGCTACCACACCGCGTTCTATGAGTTGCTCCTCGAAGTCAAGTCGCAACTGTATTAATGGTGTTAAGAAAAAGGAAACAAACTTGCAAGACGTTTCCGTCTTGCGAAGCAAGCCCATAGGGAAAATCGTCTTGCGAAGCAGCTCAAAAAACCCTTTCGTCTAGCGAGTTTTTTGTCTTGCGAGGCATTCGTCTTACGAGGTACCACTGTATTAAAATTCAAATCTATGGATTTCATAGCAGCCAGAAAGGTTTGCATTCTGCCGGGAGATGTCCCTGTATATCACCTTTGCTTGCTTAAAGAATGAAACGGTGCTAGTCTCCCGCTAAAGAGTATCCACGCTTTCTTCCTTTAGATGGAAGTCGACGGTTGTTAATTTTTCCACCAAAGTGACTCGTCAAGCTGTCTTATGCCAGTTAGCTAACATGGCTCCCTTTGGGTCCTCCCAGTGTTGAGCAACCAGCTACAAGAAGATGCCCAACAGGAGGTTTGAAACGACAATCTCCATTGCTCCATTTTAGCAATTTCTGCAAAGGCCAAAGTCCAAAACTTTTTCACAAGTCCTACGCATATGCCGGAACGACCCTGGTTCCTTAACGTTCTCTCCAATGTAGCCTCAGAGGAGATCTCTTCACCTGAAACAGTCCAACAGGGGCTACCTACCATTTTTGTCCCATTTTCCATGTTTGCCCTTCTCACAGCTGGACGTGCGTAGCCAAACACACCGGCAGCACAACCCGAGAGATGGCACTGCAGAGCTTGTGCCCAAAATATCTTGGGGCACAGCTGTTTTGGAAGACCTCTTTCTTAGGAAGAAAGACTCAAGAAAGTTGCATTGCTGTTGTTTTTTTGCTGGGTGGCGGCGAAGACCTCACAGCCCACAGGGAACATCCACCATGCTCAAACAATGGGGTTTTGCTGCTGCAAGAGATTGTTTATTTTTACATTTAAACCCCACTTTTTCTCCAAGAGCTCAAGGTGGCATGCTTTGATCTTGACTGCTTTCACAGACCTACACTCAGTAGTGATGTATGGAAGTGAGAGCTGGACCATAAAGAAGGCTGATCGCCGAAGAACTGATGCTTTTGAATTCTGGTGCTGGAGGAGACTCTGGAGAGTCCCATGGACTGCAAGAAGATCAAACCTCTCCATTCTGAAGGAAGTCAGCCCTGCGTGCTCACTGGAAGGACAGATCCTGAAGCTGAGGCTCCAAGACTTTGGCCACCTCATGAGAAGAGAAGACTCCCTGGAAAAGACCCTGATGTTGGGAAAGATGGAGGGCGCAAGGAGAAGGGGATGACAGAGGATGAGATGGTGGGACAGTGTTCTCAAAGCTACCAGCATGAGGGAGGCAGTGGAAGACAGGAGGGCCTGGCCTGCTCTGGTCCAGGGGGTCACGAAGAGTCAGACACGACTAAACGACTAAACAACAACAACTACACACTCCCTACAGGCATGCATAACAAAAACCCAGCTGTCTGGAAAAGCTATCATCCACCCACAACTCCAGTTTCAGCAAAGGAGGTTAAGGATATCAGGGGGCCACGATCCAGAAGGCCCTGGGCCTCCTGCTTGCCTTGGGGCAAAGGATCTCCCTTCCACGTTGGGGTCCATTTGACTGCCCTTTTAAAGAGGAAATCCCCGCCGGAGCCCAGAAGGGATTTGCCAGTCACGCAGCTAATCTTTGAATAGCCCTGTGCCCTCCCAGCACCCGAGGGGCTCGCAGCTGCCAAAAACCAACGGTTTATTTATCTAGCCACAAATAAAGTTCTCCTTTGTCCAACACGCAGGGCGCCGGCGGCCTCTGGGCAGGGCTGAGCCAATAGGCAAGGAAGGAGGCCGGGGAGAAAACATGAATGCAATTCAGACTCATTGGCCTTGCGGAGCAGATTAGCCAAGGAGAAGAGGAAGAAGAAGAAAAAGAATCAGCAATAGATGGGTGTTTTTGTTGCGCACTTGTTCAGGTCTGCACATGACGTTCTGGGAGAGTTAAAGGGTTATTATCACTGAAAAACACGGGTTGCTGTGTTTGATGCATAGCTGTCAACTTTCAGATTTGAAAATAAGGGATCAGCAGCCTCAAAAATAAGGGATCAGCAGCCTCACCTGTCCCGGGGACAGTCTACGGGATATCTAACAATCCGGGATAGCAGCGGGAAACGGCGCTGGAATAAGGGAATTTCCCACAAAAAAAGGGAAGGCTATGGTTTGATGCTTGGGAATCAGAAGACTGACTGGAAAAGGGAAACGTAAAAAAAGAAGAAACATGCAGGAATCACAGCTGGGTTAACACAATTCAAGGTGCTGTTGGCAATGGAGGTGTGCAGGAAAAATAGAGATAGATACGGAAGCCTTCCTTGAGCACAAACACAAGTCTGCTAATCTCCAGCTGATACCTACTAAGAGCAAATTTGTCCCCAGGCTGGCTTTTAACCAAAGGAGCTCTCTGTTCTCCAGTTCCCCTGACATATTTGCAGAGAGCCTGCGCTAAGAGAGGAATCTCACCCGGCCGCGAATGGCTGCAGAGCCGGACGAGACCACAAACCCCCTCCAAAGCACGCTTGCCCTGGGTTATTTATTATATTTCTGGCAGGATCACGCTCTCTCTATCCACCCCTTACTCACTCACAAGGAGCTGGGGCAGGAGAAAGTGGGACGTGGGGCCACTCTCAGCTCAGAGAGGATTTGGCAAAGGGACTCCCGGTGCAAAGAGCCTTAACGGGGAGTGAGTCACCCCACACCACCCCCCCGGCTGCAACAAGGGTGCTTCAGAGGCAGAGAGCACACACAGCCGCTTCCCTCGCGGATGTGGCGTCCGACCAGGCGCTGCAGAAGGGCACGACCCCAAAGCTTTTAGCAGTGTTGGAAGCAGCAAGCGGGAGCTTCCGTTCTGCATTAGGAGGGACCGCAGCGCAAGCTGCAAGGGGCCGGCAGAGATTGCTTTTCCTGGAACTCTGACCCTGGGCGTTTGGATGCCTGTGGCGGCAGCATCCCACCGCAACCACAGTGTTTCATCCCACACGGAAGCCACGCCATCGTCATGTCTCGGGAGGGGCAGGGGGAAGAGGGAAGAACCATAGAATCCTGGAATCGCAGAGTTGGAAAGGAACCCAAAGGTCATCTAGCCCAACCCCCAGGAAATGCAACTGAAGCACCCATGACAGGTGGCCATTAAAAAACCTCTCAGGCTTGCTTACCCTGAAGGCAGGCGCCTGAGAGTGATGGGGTCTGCAGGCACTGCTGAGGACTAACTGAATGAGGTTTCTCATTCGGAAAACACCAGCGTGAAAAAGGAAGCCAGCAGGTAGTTCCCTGTTTCCTGCAGGGCATCCTTGCCAGTTTAAAGCACAGGAGCGTCAGGCCAGAAAGGACTTGGCAACCTAGAGATCCTAACAACAACAACAGCAATTTATTATTATTATTATTATTATTATTATTATTATTATTACCCCATCCATCTGGCTGAGTTTCCCCAGCCACTCTGGGCAGCTCCCAATCGAGTGTTAAAACAATACTGCATTAAATATTAAAAACTTTCCTAAACAGGGCTGCCTTCAGATGTCTTTTAAAGATAAGATAGCTGCTTATTTCCTTCACATCTGGTGGGAGGGCGTTCCACAGGGCAGGCGCCACCACCGAGAAGGCCCTCTGTCTGGTTCCCTGTAACCTCACTTCTCACAGGGAGGGAACTGCCAGAAGGCCCTCAGAGCTGGACCTCAGTGTCCGGGCAGAACAATGGGGGTGGAGACGCTCCTTCAGGCAGACAGAACCGAGGCCGTTTAGGGCTTTAAAGGTCAGCACCAACAAAGATTAAAAATACATTAAAATGTCACACATTAAAAACTTCCCTGAACTAATTGCTTCTCTTTTTGTTTTACCACCAAGACCTGCAGTTTGGGAACTTCAGTTGCTGACCCCTGTCTATCCTTTAAGTAGGGATGCGGGTAGTGCTGTGGTCTAAACCACCAAACCTCTTGGGCTTGCCAATAGCAAAGTTGGTGGTTCGAACCCTTGCGTCGGGGTAAGCTCCTGTTGCTCTGTCCCAGCTTCTGTCAACCTAGCAGTTCGAAAGCACACCAGTGCAAGTAGATAAAGAGGTACCGCTGCGGCAGGAAGGTAAACGGCGTTTCCATGCCCTCTGGCTTCCATCACGGTGTTCTGTTGTGCCAGAAGTGGTTTAGTCCTGCTGGCCACATGACCCGGAAAGCTGTGTGGACAAACACCAGCTCCCTCGGCCTGAAAAGTGAGATGAGCGCCGCACCTTATCCTTTTAGTGGCAGGCCAGGGGAAGGAGATATCTGACTGGCTACAGAGCTCTTGAAATGGCACCATTAGGTCAAGGCAAGCTTTGCTTGCTGAAAGTTTTGAGTGACGTTTTGCTTGCCATCCCAGAATTTACAGTAGTGACCCCACTTACACACTGCAAGGAAGCATTTTCTGCTTTCCCTCTTCTTTTCAAACTCCTTTCAAATCCTGAGTACCACATCTGTAAAGTTTTTAAAAAATTCTCTACAAACTGAGCAGGTCACCTAGTCACAGTCTTCTTCCTACTAGTGTGAGCTGAATTGTGTCCTTATTTTAAGTTGCAGTCTTTATTTCTAAATTTGCACCTCTTTGTTGAAATTTAGCATATGTAAATGTTATGCAAACCTGTGCCCTCCCCCTTTCCTCCCACTTAAAGGCACAGGGTGGCTTTCCAGATTGCAATCTTTCCTAGCCACCCAGAACAACAGGTCAGCTGCACACTTTGGCAAAGGCCTTTGCGAGGAGAGCAGGATTTCCAAAAGGCATTTGTGGCTCTGCTCCGTTTTGCCTTCCCACCCACTCCTCGGCTGCAAGCCCCCCTTTTCAAACCAGGCCTTTCTGATCTGCATGTTTATGCCACGTAGATCAAGTAGATCACGTTCCCAAGAAGGGAGAGGGAGCCCACTTGCAAGGAAACAAATCTTTCACCGAAACGATCCCTCTCTTCCTTTATAGCACAGGGCCTCCACCCTGCACCCCACTTTGCCTTGCAGGAGTTTGACTCCTGGTAAGCCAAATGGGGTCCCCCCATATGGACTCCCCCAAACGGAGCCTCTGTTGCAAAGGGACAAGATTTGGCCTTGAAGAGTTTGCCTGCACCCTCCCCGCTTCCCTTCCCTCGCTCCCTCTCCGCCGGGGATTATATCAGTTCTCTGGGAAGTCCGATTTGCCGGTTGTCAGATTGATCTGACCTCCCTGTTGTAGGGCTGGTCCCCTCCCTGTTCCCCACTTGTATGGGGCAGCTTTTAATCCTCTCAACCGCACCAAAGCAAAGGTCAGCCCTGCCCTCCCTCTCTTGATGTGCCTCTTAGGCAGAGAAGCATGCTGTAAGGGGGAAAGGCAGAAGGATGCTTTAGTTATCTCCCGCTTGGACTGCTGCAATGCGCTCTACGTGGGGCTACCTTTGAAGGTGACCCGGAAACTGCAATTAATCCAGAATGCGGCAGCTAGACTGGTGACTGGGGGCGACCGCCGAGACCACATAACACCAGTCTTGAAAGACCTACATTGGCTCCCAGTACGTTTCCAGGCACAATTCAAAGTGTTGGTGAAGACCTTGAAAGCCGTAAATGGCCTCGGCCCAGTAGAGCTAAAGGAGTGTCTCCACCCCCATCATCCAGCCCAGACACTGAGGTCCAGCTCCGAGGGCCTTCTGACTGTTCCTTCACTGCAAGAAGTCAGGTTACAAGGAACCAGGCAGAGGGCCTTCTTGGTGGTGGCACCCGCCCTGTGGAATGCCCTCCCACCAGATGTCAAAGAAATAAACAACTTTCTGACTTTTAGAAGACATCTGAAGGCAGTCCTGTTTAGGGACGCTTTTAATATTTGATGAATTATTGTATTTTGGTATTTTGCTGGGAGCCACCCATAGTAGCTGAGGAAACCCAGCCAGATGGGTGGGGTATAAATAATAAATTATTATTATTATTATTATTATTATTATTATTAACTGCCTCCGACAGAGTCTGACCATTGGTCTGTCTAGCTCAGCTTTGCCCATGCCAGAGTAGCCAATAGGACGACAACTCCCATCATCCCTGACCATCGGTCATTTTGGCTGGGGTCCAATGGGGACTGTGGTCTGAAACATCTGGAGGGCAGCACATTGGCCACCCTCTCTGTGCACTGACCGGCAGCTGTTCTCCAGGGTTTCCACCTAGGGACATTCCTGGCCCGCCCTGGAGATGCTGTGGACTGCAGCTGGGACTTCTGTATGCAAAGCAGCTGCTCTAACACTGAGCTGCGGTCCTTGCCCTTGCTTCTATCCCTTCGCTTGCCAGTGAGCCTGCAGTCCCGTGTCCTGTTCTAGGGCAAGGATGCTGACAAGCTGGAAGGCGTGCAGAGGAGGGCAACCAAGATGACCAAGGCATAGCTGTCAACTTACAGATTTGAAAATAAGGGACCAGCAGCCTCGAAAATAAGAGATCAGCAGCCAAAATAAGGGATTTTCAGAGCACAGGTATGTTCAACTTCTGAGCCCCTCCGACCCAAGGGCAGAAAGCCCAGCCAGCAGCCAAAGCAAGCCTCAAGCGGTGGTTCCCACAGCGCACCAACCCGGCAAAGGGGATGCAGCAAGGGAAACCACCGTCACCTCTCCGCTGGGAAGCACTGAGCAAAGGTGAGTCCCCAGGCAACACGGCCAATTTGATCGGCACAAGGCATGCAAGCTCCACCCCCCAGTCGTTCTTAGACTCCTTATTGGGTGAGCAACGCAGCCAAGCAACACAGATGGAGCCTCCCTCCTCCCTGGCTGGCAGGGAGGAAGGGAGAGGAGCTGCTTCCTTTGAAACCCGGGAAATTTAAGGGACAGCAGCGGGACACGGTGCTGGGATAAGGGACTTTCCCGCCAAATAAGAGACAGTTGACAGCTATGGACCAAGGGTCTGGAAGGTTGGAGGAGCTGAGTATATTTAGTCTGGAAAAGAGGAGACTGAGAGAAGACAAGATAGCCATCTTCAAATATCTCAAGGGCTGTCACATGGAAGATGGAGCAAGCTTGTTTTCTCCTGCTCCGGAGGGCAGGATTCGAACCCATGGCTTCAAGCTCCAAGAAAGGCGATTCCGACTCAGCATCAGGAATAACTCAAATAATTCAATATCTTCTCAAAGCAATCCTCCTCTTTCTCACTGACCTCACTAACCTTGAGTAGGTTTGAACAATTTGGGGCAATTAAAATGTTAAAAGTTAAATAAGCCTTGTGGAAGGAGGTGTGTTAAGGTATATACAGTCATACCTCGGGATAAAAACGCTTCAGGTTGAATGCTTTCGGGTTGCGCTCCGCGGTGACCAGGAAGTGACAGAGCGCGTTACTTTCGGGTTTTGCCGCTCGCGCATGCACAGACGTTCAAAATGACGTCACGCGCATGCGCGGAAGTGGCGAAATGCAACCCGCGCACGCGCAGGCACGCTATTGCGTCTTATGTTCTGTTCAGGATGCGAATGGGGCTCCGGAACGGATCCCGTTCGCATCCCGAGTTACCACTGTAGAAGTGTACATATGGTTAATTTGAATATGTTATTATTGAATATTATTGAATATGTATGTTATTGAATATGTATATTATTGAATATTGTATACTCAATGTATCAGCCGCCTGGGGGGTTTCACTGTTTGTGTTTTGGTGTTTGGTAAAAAATAATATATATATTAAAAAAATAAATCAGGAATAACTTTCTGAGAGCAAGAGCTCTTTGATGGTGAAACAGACTCCCACGAGAGGCTGTGGCTTCTCCTGCCTTGGAGGTCTTTAACCAGAGGTTGGATGGTCATCTGTCATGGATGCTTTAGCTGAGATTCCAGGGTCCCTTCTGACTCTATTATTCTATGATTCAACCCCCTCCTCCATTAGCCCCGTGTCCTCAGTTTCTCTCCCCTCGCAGAGGCCACGCTGCCCTTCTGTGGCCCAACCTTGAGCCGTTAGGATGTTCTTGATCTCAACCAATGTCCTGGAAGTCAAGAGATGGGCAGGGTTTTCCCTTAAAGCTCATTCTAAGGAACTGGAGAGTCTGTTCTTTGATTTGTGGGAGATAAGGAAGCTGAGGAATTTTTGAGGCAGGAAAGCGAGAGCACATCTGCAAGTACAAAAGGAGGCATTAGGGCCAGACGTTGTGAGCAAAGCACAACATCCTGTGCTGGAACAGCACATCTGTGAGACATCCCAGTGTGTCCCCCAATTGGGGAGGGGGTCCACTACCTACTTTGCTTGGGTCTGCAAAGATATGGCTTAATATTGGATCAGGCCAATGGCCCACCTAGTCCGGCCTCCTGTTCCCACAGCTGGCCAACCAGATGCCAGGGGGAAGACTTTCAGTGAGACCTGGGTGGAAATTAACAGGAGACTCAGGTGATGAGCTGCAATGTCAGGGAGACCAAAACTGGGTAACTTGCAAATAAAGAGGAAGGTGTACAGAGATCAGATGATTTCATGGGTGGCGCTGTGGTCTAAACCACTGAGCCTCTTGGGCTTGCCGATCAGAAGGTCGGCGGTTCGAACCCCCGTGACGGGGTGAGCTCCCGTTGCTCTGTCCCAGATCCTGCCAACCTAGCAGTTCCAAAGCACACCAGTGCATGTAGATAAATAGGTACCGCTGCAGTGGGAAGGTAAACGGCGTTTCTGTGCACTCTGGTTTCTGTCACGTGTTCCATGCGCCAGAAGTGGTTTAGTCCTGCTGGCCACAGGACCTGGAAAGGCTGTCTGAATACAAACACCGGCTCCCTTGGCCTGAAAAGCGAGATGAGTGCTGGAACCCCATAGTTGCCTTTGACTGGACTTAACTGTCCAGGTATCCTTTGCCTTTATCCTCATGGGTCAGGTAAAGGAATCTTTCCAGAAAGATAATGGTGGATCCAGAAACTGTATGAAATAAAGGGGACTCATGAAATAAAGAGGAGCTGCTTGGCTACAGGTCTCCCCTGGTCCTAAACCGCTGAATAGAACCAGGTTGGCAAAAGGTGGTTTGTGCTGCCATTTTTTTAACTGTAGCACTGACTTTTTTATTTTCACACATTTTTTTTTGCTTTACATTTTTGTGGGGTATCATCGTCATCACCATTATTATTTCACTTGAATAATCACTTGCTACATATGGACCCTTGAAGTGTCTTACAAAATGTGAAGAGCACATTTAAGGAATATTTGAAAAAAATATGTTAATATTTAAATCTTAGAATAGCTTTGGAAGTGGATATAGGCTGTAGGGTTAGAAGATAGTGTGCTTTAAAATAGTATTATTTGTAAGTGATAAAATGTGAAGTTTTTTATGGTTAAAGTAAATGTGATTTTAAAAAAGATGGTTAGAAATTATGATATATGTAAACTGCTAAAGATGAAGTAAAATGAAAATCAGAAAGATGGGACTTGGGGAAGCCCAATGTTTAGAAAAATAAGGATAAGACAAGAATCTGTTTGTATTGTTTGTTTTTCTGTTTGTGTTCTTTATTTGTGTTATAAAATGAGTATTTTTTTTTAAAAAAAACAAAAACAAGATGTGAAGAGCACTGTCCTGACTCCCACCCAAATATGTCAAGAAAGGCTTTTACTTGTAAGAGAGAGGTCTTTACTGTGATGAGGCTGCATTTTAATATTTTAATGTTTCAATATTTTAATGTTGTATTTTAATCTTGTTTCTAAGTTGTATTCATTCAACTTGTTTTTATTATTGCTTGTTAGCCGCCCTGAGCCCGGCCTTGGCTGGGGAGGGCGGGGTATAAATAAAAATTATTATTATTATTATTATTATTATTATTTACTCAGGCTAGTAACGGTACAGTCTGGGCATGCTTAGGAATTGCGATTCAGGAGTTCTGGAGCGGGCAAGAAGTTCAGAACCGGACGGAAGCAATGAAGATGTCCCAATGAGTTTCCCTGTCTCTCACACCGGCTTTTACAGATGAGGTGGGACAAGAGTCTCTACCCTTGTGGGGATGCCAAGAGTGTGAGCAATGCTGTCTCCGGGTCGGGCGGGAGAGCTAGCATCCTTATTTCCCTTACAAAAGTGACTGAAGTCAGGATACAAAGGGGAGACAGCAGCTCCCAGGTTTCCCCATTCCCTAACCTTCCTTCTCCTGCGTCACAGCCTGCCCGATCTTGACAACACTGTGGGGCTCATGATAAGAATAAACACAAATGAACCGTATATCACAACAACCTACAAAACGGACCAGATAAAACAGCAGCAGAGACAGCAAAATCATCACAATCCATCAAATATCTGGGAGAACAGGTATTTTTACACCTGGTTCCCAAAAGCATGTTAGTGATGGCACCTAGACGGCCTCACTGAGGTGAGAGCATCAAAGGGAACGCCTGCGAAAGGGACTCAACTGTAGGGCCCAAGTAGATGCCAGCCAAAAAATGGTGCTTCAAAAATATTGGGGTCCTGAACCGCACAGGGATTTATTAGTAGAAACCAACACCTTGAACTGGGCTCAGATATGTACCAGCAGCCAGTGCAACTGTGCTAGGACTGGTCTTTATATAATCAGCTCCCCTGGAGCCCACCAGCAGTTGGTTGGCCACGTTCTGCACTAGCTGAAGTTCCCAAACAGTCTTCAAAGGCAGCCCCACATAAAGCCCACTGCAGTAGTCCAATCTTGGAGCTACCACAGTGTAGACTTCTGCAGCCAGGTCATCCCTGTCCAGATAGGGTCGTAACTGAGCCACCAGCCAATGCTGGTGGAAGGCGCTCTGGTCTCAAGCGACCGGGTGTGGCATCAGAAACAACAAGGCATACCTGGAGCTGACTAGGTGCCCGAGTTTTTATGTATAAAATTGCGTTACACAAACACACACTTGCACTCTGCTCCTTCTGGAGAAAGTCTACAAAACGAACAGCAGTGTCAGGATTTGGGCTGAATGGGGGAAACAATCATGGTTCCATCTCCCAATAAACTAAGGCAGCGGTTCTCAACCTATGGGTCCCCAGATGTTGTTGGACTACAACTCCCATCATCCCTGAGCTCTGGCCTTGCTAGTTAGTGGTGATGGGAGTTGTTGTTCAACAACATCTGGGGACCCACAGGTTGAGAAAGGCTGAACTAAGGCATCCACAGAAGCCAGAAGAAGCCAGAACATCTCCACTCAACCTACCATGGTCTTCATAATAACAGCTTCCAGAACAGCCTCACCTGTGTCATCAGATCCCACAAGGTTTGACTGACTCAACAACACTTCCCTGCCCATTGCCAGCGCCCTCACAACTCCCTGGTGTGCCAGCCCTGGTGGCCAGGTTTCCCCAAGGACACATGTGCAACATCGTAAGGATACATGGCTGCTAAGACTGGGGTTGCCAAGATCCTCCCAGGGTTAGAAATTCGCCAGGCGCATTTTGCACCTGGCTATGGGCCAGTTGCGACCAAGTGACGATGCCCAGGCACCAGGATGGCTCCTGACGTCTCCTCCATCTGGAGGTGCATGCCTGGGGGTCCTTGGACTGTTTTCACACACAAATACCACACCCTGCAGAATTCTACCCATTAAATATTTTATCTGCACAATCAGGAACCAAAGAGTCGTATTGAAAAAGCTGCCTGGCCCCAAATTAGCAACCAGGCATTCTGTTTTAACGACTGTAACCCTGGTTTAAGGAGGCAGTTGGCACCTAGCTAATCCATCTGAGTTTCTAACACTGTGTCCTCCACTCGCTAACCTGGGCCAGTGGGTCAGAGTGCGGCCCAGCGCAGAGCACTTTTGAGCAAACTCCACACTAGTTCCCTCTCGGCAAAGACCCATGGAGTCTTCTCCAGCATCTTGCACCAGACCTCACGTTCTCGGTCCACCCCACCTTCCCCCCCCCCACCCCAAACCATAGCGCCCCAAACCACGGCAGGCCCCCGGCCAACTCACCATCCCCTTCCACCTTCTCTGGGGTTCGGCTCCAGACAACCTGCCTGCTTTTCAAGCGGACTTGGAAGTTCCTCCGCTCGGGCCTCTGGGATTTCTTCTGGTAGAAGAGGGTGAGGACGGTCCCCGTCTCTAAGCGCTTGAGGACCCCGGACATGTCTCCTGCCCCTGCCGCCTCCGTCTCAGAGGGGTCCTCCAGGAAGCCATTGAGGAAACTGTTCAGTCTGGACAGAGACATCCTTCTCACTGCATGGCCTTTGGTGGCATGCAAAGCCCTCAAAGCCACAGCAAAATCCTCTCCCCCTTTTTCAGTGGAGGGGAGCTCAAGACGCTGCAAAAATCCCACTGAGATATATAATATTCCTTGCTGGCAACTGCATATATATTAGAAACCTCGTTCTATTTCTCTGTCTCTAAGCTGCGACGGGATCTCCTTCGATCCTGTGTCTCCTTCTGGAAGCTTCAAGGGATGGAAAACCAGATTTGGGGGGCTGAAAAGGGAGATGTCCCCCCGAAAGCTGATGGAAGAGGCTTCTCCAGCTGCGAGGTTCAAGCCCGGCTCAGAGCGATCCAGCCCAGCTGGGATTCTGGCCCAGAAAGGAATGGAGGTGGGGGAAATCTCGCCATAGCTTTGGGGCTGGAGAGGGGATGAGACTTTGGTGCCCGCTCTGGGCAGAAGCCCCGGGCAAGCCCCACCCGAGGTGGGCTTTGCAGGGATGGAGGAAGAGGGTGGCGCACCCAAGCAGGCAGCGCCCCTCCTGCCCCAGGGACCCGGGTGGCAGCCCCCGGCCACCCCATCCACTCACATCTGCCAAGGGTCTTCTGTGGGGTGCAGAGATTTTCTCAAAAACAAGCAGAATCCCCAGATCCCAAAGGCCAGGAGGCTCCTTTGCAAACGCTCCTCTGCCCCACACCCAGGAAGGGAAACGCGCTCGGGGAGCCTTGGCAGGGTGGTCTATGGGGTGGACCCCTTCTGGTCCCCTTTCTGGTCCTCTTCTCCTGCTTCCTTTCCTCGCTTCTCCTTCTCCTCCTCGCCTTATTTCTCCGCTGATTAATTGCAGCCTGCTGCTGAAATGGACGCCCAGAGGAAACTGCAATCGCACATGGCCGGAAAGAGACCAGAAAGGAATTTAGGAGGGGGGAAAAAAATAAATAAATCCTGGATCTTACAGAAAGCAAAATAGGAAAGTGCGGGTGGGGGGGGGGGGGAAGGGGCTGGAAAGGTGGAGGAGGGCGACACCTAGAGGCGGAAAGAGGGCATGGCAGGGGAGCGGAAGGGAGGGGTTGCGGTAACAGACCAAGGTGGGTCCAGATGCGCAGCCCAGATGTTTCGCACTACAAATCCCATCGGCCCCTGCGCCAGCTGATGGGACTTGTAGTCCAAACAGCTGGAGGACACTCGGTTGTCAAAAGGCCTCCCCAGAGAGAGAGGTGCCTGACTCTTCCTTTAAATTGTTGTTGTTGTTATTTATTTTAGTTGCCTTTTTCCGCTCCAAGTAAACGTCTTCTTTTCTTCTCCCAGGCTTTTACAAACATGCATTCTTAGAATTGTTTGGAAATGGTCCTGCTGCAATTGTTTTATAAAATTTCTAAAATTGTGCCTTATCGTTTTATCTTTGCGGGTCACCCAGAAGACTGTTACTGGGCAGCTAATCTTAAAAACCAGAATAATATCAATTTTTTAAAAAAATAAAATGGCAGAGGAGCAGAGAAGGTGCTCCTTCTGCACCTTTATTGATTACATAAAATTTGTACACTGTTTCATTGTAAAACAAAACAACAACAATGAACAAACCTGAAAATGGTTTACAAAAAAGATAAAGCAACTAAATTATCAATCAGAAAAATAAACAACAATAATTTAAGACTTTAGAAAATTTAAAATAACAGACTAAAATCAGATTAAATATTGAATCAACTTTCTAAACATCTGGGTTTTTGTTGTTTAGTCATTTAGTCATGTCCGACTCTTCGTGACCCCATGTCCCAGAGCACACCAGGCACTCCTGTCTTCCACTGCCTCCCGCAGTTTGGTCAAACTCATGCTGGTAGCTTCGAGAACACTGTCCAACCATCTCATCCTCTGTCGGCCCCTTCTCCTTGTGCCCTCCATCTTTCCCAACATCAGGGTCTTTTCCAGGAAGTCTTCTCTTCTCATGAGGTGGCCAAAGTCTTGGAGCCTCAGCTTCAGGATCTGTCCTTCCAGTGAGCACTCAGGGCTGATTTCCTTCAGAATGGATAGGTTTGATCTTCTTGCAGTCCATGGGACTCTCAAGAGTCTCCTCCAACACCATAATTCAAAAGCATCCATTCTTCGGAGATCAGCCTTCTTTATGGTCCAGCTCTCACTTCCATACATCACTACTGGGAAAACCAGAGCTTTAACTATATGGACCTTTGTTGGCAAGGTGATGTCTCTGCTTTTTAAGATGCTGTCTAGGTTTGTCATTGCTTTTCTCCCAAGAAGCAGGCGTTTTTTAATTTCGTCACTGTTGTCATCATCTGCAGTGATCATGGAGCCCAAGAAAGTAAAATCTCTCACTGCCTCCATTTCTTCCCCTTCTATTTGCCAGGAGGTGATGGGCGCAGTGGCCATGATCTTCGTTTTTTTGATGTTGAGCTTCAGACCATATTTTGCGCTCTCCTCTTTCACCCTCATTGAAAGGTTCTTTAATTCCTTCTCACTTTCTGCCATCAAGGTTGTGTCATCTGCATATCTGAGGTTGTTGATATTTCTTCCGGCAATCTTAATTCCAGCTCGTCTAAACAAAAATGTTTTTAGGAGGCATCGAAAAGAGCACTGTGAAGGGCCCTGCTTGATACCAATGGGCAGGGAGTTCCAAAGTTTAGGTGCTGCCACACTAAAAGATCAAGATGTGGAACGGGTATTGTGTGCCACCTGCAAGTGCCAGTTCCACCAATTGAAGCCAAATTATAGGTACATGCCAGCATACATGGTGGGAGTGTCTACAAACAGAACAATTTTGGAAGGAAGTTTTTAATTTTAGCCATTATGGCAAACTCCTGCATCCTGCACACACCCCCACCAAATCCACTCTCCTATACATTATATCATTTGTAGTTTCTGTTTATTGGTAAACAATATCCTTGCCACAGTGACTATACATGAAACTTTAACTGGGCCATTCATATAAATTAACAGCAGGACTGGGTCATACCAGATCCTATATCCAAAACTCTTTTCCAAGCTGGAGTGGCGAGGCAGAATCCAATGTGGACTGCCTTTTCGAATTGGAGGCTGCAGTAATGGGAAAATTTGGACCCTTTTGGACTTTAATGCTGTGAACTTCTCCATTGCAGGTTCAGGTTGAACAGTCATACCTCAGATTACAGATGCTTCAGGTTGCTTTTTTCGGGTTGCAGACCGCCAAAACCCGGAAGTACCGGAATGGGTTACTTCCAGGTTTTGGCGGTCATGCATGTGCAGAAGTGCTAAATTGTGCTTTGCGCATGCGCAGAAGCGCCGAATCGCAGCCCGCGCACGCGCAGACGTGCTGCTGCGGGTTGCGAATGTGCATCCTGCACGGATCACGTTCGCAACCCGAGCGTCCACTGTATATGTGTGTGAATAAAATTACAAAAACAACAAAAATATCCAACAGTGAACCATACTGTTATGGATTTGTAGCTGCCAAGACACCCATAATTCCTGGGTTTAGTAAGTGTTAGAGTTAAATCAAAGCTTGGAGAGATAAACTGGAAGTCGGACTCTTAAAAGCTGGACGGATGGGCCATTTGCAGGGAACAAAGACAAGGAGATAGGCTGTCAACAAAGCCAAACCAGAAAATGGGGTGGAGTCCCTTCCTGAGCCCTGAGATAATCAATCAAAAGGCAATGTCAGTGTTTCATTAGGACGACTTTTTAGGATTTCAGTTTTTGCCCGGTGTTTAAAGATCTACCATAATGGCGCCCAGTAAGCCTCCTTGGGGAGAGCATTCCACAAATGGGGAGCCACTGCAGAAAAGGCCCCGTTCTCGTGTTGCCGCCCTCCGGACCTCTCACGGAGGAAGCACATGAAGGGCCTCAGATGCTGATCGCAGGGGGCAGGGCACTTCCTCTGAGGAGAGGTGGCCCTTGAGGTATTGGGGTTCTGAGCATCTGCTTTGCAAGCGGTGTGTGTGTGTGTGTGTCTTGCAAGCAGGAGGTCTTACATCTGCCTTGCAATCCTCCCAGGCATCTCCATGTAGGGATGGGAGGGACTCCAGCCTGAAATCTTGGAGAGACGCTGCCAGTCAGTGTGGACAATATTGAACTATGTAATTAAAAAACCCCAAAACCAATATTTATATACTGCTCTCAGGCTGGATGGGTCCATGGTCTGAGTCTGTAGAAGGAAGCTTCCTATGTTCCTATAAGGCTTTGTGGGTCAAAAGAAGGATTTTGAATTGGTATGGAGGAGAGGTAGTCCTGGCAGCTGCGACTTTCCAGGCTGCGAAGGGGGGGGGGGAGGGAGGAGAGAGCAGTGTGCTCTCTTTGCTTTTTTTATTAGTTTTTCAACATATCATTTTCAACAATAATTAAACGTACTTTTACATCTTATACAGGTTTTTTTTACTTCCATCAATCACATCTGAAAATTTTCCAATTTATTCACTTAATTTACATTTCTTATTTTCACTATTACATTTAAATCTCATAACTAATATCTCTCTTCTTTCTCTTCTTTGCAATATTTCATATATTTCTCCTTACAAAACTTATTGTAGTCCTACTAGCGTAATTTGTTGATTACAGTTTCTCTTCACATAATTTGTATATTTCTTTCAATCTTCTGTAAATCTCTGGTCCTGCAGGTTTTGAATCCTTCCTGTCATTTTATCCAATTCCACGTAATCCATTAATTTTGTCTGCCATTCTTCTTTTGTCAGTATTTCTTCTTGCTTCCATTTCCGAGCCAACAATACTCTTGCTGCTATTGTTGCATATAAAAACAATTTTACATCCTGTCTATTAATAGCCTCACCTATAATGCCCAGTAAAAATGCTTCTGTTTTTTTTAGAAATGTATATTTCAACATCTTTTTCATCTCATTATATATCATTTCCCATAATTTTTTTACTTTCTTACATTCCCACCACATATGATAAAATGTCCCTTCTTTTTCTTTACATTTCCAACATTTATTATTTGTCTTATATATTTTGGTTAATTTCACAAGTGTAATATACCATTTATACATCATTTTCATCATATTCTCTTTCAAGGCATTACAAGAAAGAATAAAATTTACAGTGTGCTCTCTTTTCAGCCCAGCAGTCGTGAAGACGTGGAGGTCTCCAGCGCATTTGCCACAGTGCGCCAGAGATTCTAGCCTGGGGGCAACTGTTACGATATGGATGCAATGCAGCTGCAAAGTGCTAGCTTGAAAACATCACATGATGTTGGGACTGTCCGTGGGAAACAGAGGGACAGTCAATTCACAGTGCGAAGCACTGGAATTAGCTCAGAGTGTAATATGAGCTCTTCCTCTTGTTCCTGTACAGGAAGTGTTTGTCTCTCGACTGCTGGAGCTTGAAGAGAGCAGTCATGTTTTTTGTAACGCTGCAAAGACAGAAATAAAGGCATGTACCGTATTTTTCGCACCATAGGACGCACCGGCCCATAGGACGCATCAAGTTTTTTGGGGGGAAAATAAAGAAAAAAAATTATTTCCCCCCCCAGGCGCTTGTGGGGCCGGCAGCGGGGAGAAACGCTCTTCTCCCCGCCGCCCGCCTTCAGATCAGGTCCGGGGACAGCGGGAAGACGCGCTGCGGCTCCCAGCTGTCCCCGGAGCGTGGGGGCACGCCGCCGGGAGAAGCGCTCTTCTCCTGCCGCCCGCCTTGAGATCAGGTCCGGGGACAGCGGGGAGACGCGCTGCGCCTCCCGCTGTCCCCGGAGCTTGGGGGCAGGCAGCGGGGAGAAGCGCTCTTCCCTGCCGCCCGCCTTGAGATCAGGTCCGGGACAGCGGGAAGACGCGCTGCGTCTCCCAGCTGTCCCCGGAGCTGGGGGCAGGCAGCGGGGAGAAGCACTCTTCTCCCCGCCGCCCGCCTTGAGATCAGGTCCGGGGACAGCGGGGAGACGCGCTGCGCCTCC